CTATTACTTGATTTAGAACATGTATTGTCTGTAAACAAACCAACGAGCCTAGTCAATAGGTTCGAACATTCTCCAGTCAATCCACCACCATCTTTTGGCCTTGGCTTGGGCGACGTCAGCGCCATCAGCGGTGGGGGTGGCGATCGCAATAGTAGCAACAGTAGCAACAACAAGGGCCTTGAAGTTCATGGTGATGATTTCATGAGACATTCCGTGGCATCTATATACCAGGTAGGCGGTAAAGTAATTGGTGGCTCGAATAGGAAGGTATGCTATTCCAGATGCCCAACGTGATGCGGGAGCACCAGGTACCACCTGATAGCAGAATTATACCACAGCGTGTTATCCTGAAAGGACTTCCAGCAGATCTTCTCGATTCACATAGAGTTATACCAACAGGGACAACCTCATTGACAACCCCTGGCATATGCAGAGCCAGTTGCAATGCTACATGGATAGTCGCCATATAATGATAGCAGTGTCACAATTGGTATTCATCTGCGTACATCATGCATTGTGTAAATGCTAACGTTTGCATCATCCGTGACAAAATAAACGTATAGGGGTTCACCATTTGGGGGTATGAAAGGGAATCAATGAAGATTGGAAATGCAAGCACCATACGCTAATGAAGAAACTTCAAAGTGATCAACAACATCCCTTCTTACTGTATCAAAATTGGTCTCCACCCAGTTCAAACCATGGGATTAAAGGAGTGGATGACATGAAATCGCTCCAGTGCAAGAAATGATACCTGACACTACAACCGTAAAGCCATTTTTATCACACATGGTAGTTGACGTCCTTTATCAATGATCTCCCAGGCAACTGAATGAAAGGGCAGTTGGTCTGCAATTAACGTTTAAATCATAGCCTCAGTAATCCTGATTGTTGCAAGTATACTAGGTATTGTGTGTATCGAGATATCTTCACTGATTAATTCGAAGCGGATTTACCATTCCATCAAGTTCAATTGGCAGAATGGCATTGCCAAAATCAACGTAGATGACAGTCTTTCACAGTGTATGGTCTCATCGAACAGTGCGGCTCTGCGCATGTGATAATTCTTATCAGCCAGCATCACCAAAATTCAAAACTGGTACAGCCATAACTGCTTCCTCAAGTTCCACGCAAGTGTTCGTTGTGCCAATTATTCTTTTGTTGACAGATTATGGAGTGACGTCACTTCATCCATATTGGAACAGTTCTTGAAGAATTTGGGTCGTATGACTTCCACCGCGGACGTGTCAAGTTTTTGCAAACCATCCAGACCATCCACTGGCACACCAAGACTGTCTTTCACTTGACCAGTTAACGCAATTGGTTATAGGAAGTTCGTCAAAGTCTATGACGACTTCGACAACTTTTGATAAGGCTGTCAGATCATCAGGCTCAACTCACGTTCGTCCATTGAAAGATAAGTGACGAGATGGGCTCTTTGCGAATGATCGTTGTATGCTACATGAAAGAGGATGTCTGGCGGGTGTAGTTACGTTGAGCTGAAGGGTTTCATTGGGTGCTGGATCAAATAGCTATCTCTTTTTGGGAAACTGGATATCATGGTTGCCTGCCTTGAAAACACAGTCACTCAGGTGAATTGCTGACTACTGTCGGTATATTATTGTGCTACAATGATCTCGCTAATGTTCAGCTCTACCGAGGCTTTTGATCGTCCACTTGAAACCAAGCGTAAGGCATTTATGGCTTTGAACTATCGATTACCTAGGCTTTTTGAGTCATAATTAGTGTGAATATACTTTTAATTCTGAAAGTTTGATCTATTAATTGAAAAGACTTGAATGATTTGAATTAAATCTATCGATAGTGGGAAGGCAATCGGTGTATTGCCACACCTGTATCAACCAAACCTAGACGTATGTAACTCTTAGTGAGCTGTGATGGAGGGTTGGTCTACGATCTTGTTTAATTGAACACTGCCATTTTCATGTATAGCATCGGTTTAATTCAGAGAAACTACACGTTGTCGGTCAGAGCCAAAAGCTAGTCGAAAATGGAATTTCCACGTTGCATTGACTTCTTCCATTCTTCCATTTGTTGTCCTTGCTATATCGTGCAATGACTCTTAACGGATATGTAACACTCACACAGCTTAGCCCTAGACCAAATGAAGCCATACTGTTCCATAAATGTAGTTTCGACAATTGAGGAGACTTGACACAGAGCCTCGATTGACTTGAATAATTATCGTCGCTGCCACAGAATCAGTTTCTATCAAGGGGTGTTATCTTGTGTTGAGCCACCCTTCTTCGCGTAGTTTTCCATTGGCACGGGATCTATCATCATGAGGAATTGCGCGTCACGAAATTAAAGCGTCTTCATCCTACGAAGCGTCGCTCACTATACTGACAATGGAGAAACTCATCCGTCGTTGGTGAACATCCACCAGGGTAGCAACAGTCTACCTAGTCGGAAAGCTCACACCAAGGGAGAGGCGGTAAGCTTACAATGCTCACTGTCAAGACATTTGTCACTCCTACTGTGGCTGGAGACGGATTTCTCTCAGTCACCAACTACGTCGAAATTTTGAACCCAAGATATGTTATCGTCACTCTCAGTATGGCGTGGATACATTTGTAACTTTCCTTGTGTGTTTGGTCTATCATCAAAAGCAATCGACGATCAAAAGCATCCATCCACAATCTTGCACAACGTTGCATCTGGCAATGGTGTTTCATTCATCAAAGTTATCCGGTGCCTGCGGAATCAATGAGATTAAGGGGTGTGGCTTTTAACGTCAAAATTGTGGCGTATGCACCCCACAACTTGTTGGTGGATTCTATAAAGAACTGGGGTAGCCGACTACACAAAAAACCATTACAACACGAACAAATATGTCTTACAGACCTCGCGGATCCGACTTCTTTGAACCTGTCAACATTAACCGGTCACACCCGTTAAAGCGCTTCTACAAACTTGATCCTGATGCTAACAAGAACGTGAAGTACCCCATCTACTTAGCTCCAACGAAGCCAGAAGAAGCTGGAAAGTTTCGCCGATTTGAGAACCCAGACCACAAGAAGAATGATCGGGGTCACTTCGGTGATGCCCAATTCAAAAATCTATTTCCCAAAGGTATCGATCAATTCAACCACTTCGATCTTAGTCCCGACTTAGGTACCGAAATTGACGACGAGCTGTTCCAGCTTTCTGAATTGACTGATAAGGGGCGTGACGACTTGGCGTTGTTTTTGGAAACCAGAGGTTTGGGAGTCTTCCGGCAACAAGACTTCAGAGACAAAGGACCAAAGTTTGCTAAAGAGTTTGGTGAGTATTTTGGTCCTCTTCATGTACACCCAGTCAGTTTCTCTGCTGAAAATCATGCTGAGCTCTTGACGACGTTCAGACCTGCTGGTTCCAGTGATAGGTACGACAGCTTTTACGAAGACAGCACTGACCTGTTTTACTGGCATTCGGATGTCAGTTTTGAGGTTTACCCCTCGTCGTTTCTGTTTTTTGTGGCCCTTGAGGCGCCTCCTCTGGGCGGTGACACGGTCTTCATCGATTTGAGAGAAGCTTATCGTCGATTGAGCCCAACTATTCAGGCGTTTTTTGACACTTTAGTTGTGATACACTCTAATGTTTATCAGAATAAGTTGGCAGAGCACGCTGGTCAACCGGCTCGAGTTGCTGGAGATTTGTATACGAAGCATCCATTGGTACGAGTGCATCCCGTTACTGGAGAAAAACTGTTGTTTTTTTCACGAGGATTCATTCAGAGAGTGGAAGGCGTTAAGAAGCAGGAGCTGGATTTCATTCTCAACTTTTTGGTACAACATGTCACGTCCAACCCAGAATTTCAGGTGCGGGCGTTACACCGTGGTACTGATCTGAGATCAGTGATTGCGTGGGATAATCGGTTTTTGTTGCACACAGCCACGTTAGACTTCTTGAGACACAACACCGGTAACCGCCACCATTACAGAATTACTGTGTTGGGTGAAAGACCTTATAACGATGTCATCGGTGATGGCGATGGAAACAAAGATGAAGGTGGTTCCGAAAAGGATGGAATAATTACCCCACCTGCTGAACAAGAATAATGTATCACAAATATAATTTAATGCTTTGAAAACTTGACTTAATCGAGCACACCAAATCAAGCCAAGATCCAAAGGACTGTCAAGGTACAAAGAAGGCTAAAGTAAATTTGAATATTGTTCACAACGATTGACACAAAAAAGTGATCAGCTTCACCTTCAAGCTGTCAAAAAGATGATTCCGCCCGGGCTCGATCCGGGGACCTCATCCGTGTTAAGGATGCGCCATAACCAACTAGACTACGGAACCGTTTTCGAGATTTTTAAAAATTGCGGTAGTTCGATAAGATCAGTAGTAATGCTGGAGATTCGTTCAATTTCCACCCAATTTGCTCAGTTTAACCAACTTGAGACTCCCTACACCAATTGTAGTTCAGGTTATTAGAAGCAGCTTATTTCATGTCTTTGCACTCATAATGCGAGCTTACCAAATGTGGGAAGTAAATATGCTCAAAGAACACTAAATGTCCAATACCCCAAAATTGAAAATAAAATTGCTCAACAATGTGGCAGTTTCAAAGCAAGCACACTAAACATATCTCCACATAGGTAGACTTTATTAATAAAGAGTCGACAGTTATATTCGATTGCTAAAATCACCTAACTAAACTATCCTACTGAATCTCCTCTCAATTCTCCCTACAATCGTGGCACGGATAGTCATTGAGAATAGCGCTTGGCGGCTTCTTCCCAGTTGATGACGTTCCAGATCGCCTCAAAGTACTTGGCCTTAGCGTTTTTGTAGTCAAGGTAGTACGCGTGTTCCCAGCAGTCCACACCAACTAAAGGCACAAACGAAGGGGGGACGACGTCTTGGTTAGCAGTGGTGATGACATCAATGGTGCCGTTGGTCTTGTTTTTCACAATCCAAGCCCACCCGGAACCCTGAATACCAGCGGCCTTCTTGTTGGTTTCAGCAATCAACTCATTTAATGAGCCAAAGTCTTGGTTGATTTGCTTAGCCAAAGCCGAGTCGGCCGGGGGAGCCTTGCCACCACCTTGGGAAGTGGGAGCCAAGTTTTTCCAGAACAAACTGTGGTTCACGTGGCCACCACCGTTGAAGTTGATGGCACGTTGAACCTCAACAACCTTGGGTACTTCACCCTTGGCCAGGTAGTCAACAGCTTGCTCAATGGCAGCGTTGTAACCCTTCACGTAGTTGGCATGGTGGAAGTTTAAGTGGAGGTTCATGATACTTTCGGAAATGTAAGGTTCCAACCCGTTCAAGGGGTAGTCAAGCTTGGGTAAAGTAACAGTCTTGGGTCCAGACATTGTGGTATGGGAGAATTAGTCAATTGATGAATTCAGCACGTCCGCGAGATTGATACTCAAGGTTATATATAAAGGAAGTCGTGAATGCAAGCAATTATCCCCTCATGTCACATGACTCCCTGCTTTTTGAGAGAGCTCCGTTGATTTGTAATCTTGAATTTTATCCTTGTATCAGCTGCTTTGGGTTCTAGCATCGTGCATATACCTTAGTAGTTTTCGACCGTAATGCAGCCTTAACACAAAATTGTGCGTCAGGGGCGACAAGTAGCCAATGGAAGACAACCAGTAGGTCAATTCATTTCAAGTGTGGCTTTCAAATAGCTTTCTATCAGCTCCATTCCAACGCAATTCACTCCAATTGCAATCATGAGCCTCACCGCGATGTTGCGTAATTTGCTCGTCATTATGAGCGCGCATCATATCCCTGCTTACTGAGCAGTCAAGAATAGTGGCTCGAGCAGACCGTGGCAAAATGTTTGTTTCCTTGAAAGCAATCTATTATTTATGAGCACTGATTGATCAAGTTATCTCCTTTGTATGGAGCAAAAGGAAGCAATCCTTGATGGACTTGAGCTTAAGATTTGTTGAGGTATAACCGAGCTTGCGCAAGTTGATGTTGATACATGAATAAGATTGGTTCAAACATTCGTGCTTTCTATTCTATCAGGTTCTGTATTCTGCAGCCCGTTTATTGGACATCCTGAAAGTCAACAAATCAGCATTGTGATCAGCCTTGTCAAAACTTGTGAACAGTCTTATAAATTGGTTGGTTCCATTTCACAAGATCTCAGACAAATATGGACAACAACGTTATAGTTCATCTAAACATGACGGTTATTTTTGATCCATGATTCATACAAATACGACCGACCTGGAGTATTTCCATCATCGTGTCTTACCCGCCAGCTAAGTTTGATCCCCGTGAAAAATAAAAAGGCAACAACGGTAATTTTCATGAGCTTCAAAGGAGTATTCTGTGGTCCCACGAGTCGAAATTGTTCGATATGTTGCTTACGCCTCTTGATAGTAACAGGCTGACATTGCGTGAAGGCTTGCTCTCATTTCATGAGGCTCATGAAAATTAAGACGAGAAATTCATTGGCAATGCGAGCCTATCGTGGTTACCTTGTGTCCATCTGAAAGTTGGCATGGTAAACTCCATGTGAAATGGTCCAAAAAGACTTTTGTTGTTTTACTTGTGGCCTTTGACCTACTACATTTCAAGCATTGCTTGTACTTATTGACCTATGGAGTACATGATGGCTTGAACGTGATATATCATCAATCAAGACTTCTACAAGTGAAGTCTATCACCATATGAACTTGATAACGTTTGCCTTCCTATAAACATGAACACAGATGTGAGTTGTACACTCTCAACTCATTGTGTCTGCTACTGCAGCTCCAAGATACCAAATAATACAGTCAGACGCTAACTCTTACGGTCTAATTTTCCATTCACATGTGTTGTTAGTATGTTTTGAAATTGTGTGGGTTGTCATGACTTGAGAATTGAGATTGTAGACGTCTAGGTAGATTTGATAAGAACTATACTGTGACAGCGATAGTAAAAACGAGATTTGCGATGATTGGAGATATATATATATACTTCTTGGTGCTGAAAGATAATTGGGCATTGCTAAACTTGTATAGAGAAGAAGTCGTAAGTCTTAGCGTCTCATGTTAAGTATTTACGTAAAGATAAATTGATATTGAGTATCAGGGCTTGTCTTTTTGAAACCGGGTTTTCGCAAGGAATGATACTTGTCTTGAATTGACACAACCTAAATGACATGCAAAAATATCACATATTCCACTTTTCATGAATTTTTTAAAAAAATTGACAATTCATCGGTTGCAAACCGTATTGATATGTGTAGATTGTTAGCTTTACTAGCCAAAAATGATTGCATTCGAGTAAAGATGCGGAAGATCTTGACGACAAAGCTGTTACACCAGAGATAATGAGGTAAATTCGTTTCTAAATACAAAGTAGATGGCGAAACAAGCTGCAAAAAGAAACTGATTCCACCCGGGTTCGAACCGGGGACCTCATCCGTGTAAAGGATGCGTCATAACCAACTAGACTATAGAACCAATTGCGGAAATTTCGCGGCGTATAAAAATGAGAAAAGCGGATACTATGTAAATTTTCGGCTCATTTCCGTCTATTTTTACTAATAGACTCCATCACCTTAAGGTTAGTCAGTTTAAAAACCAGTTGGTGGTAAGTAAACTATCAGATTCCCAAGATGAAGAAGTTTACAAGACTTATACCGTGAGGTCGAGAATGGCTAATAAATTGAATATGGTTACAAAAATAGCACCACACTTCATTTACGTGATGTGTTGACAATAACTCGTAATGTCCATCGATTTTTTCCATCGTATGAAAGCTAATTGTTCCCCATTATTGGATCATGCATTCTATCATAAAAAAAAACTAAATTACTGGCAACACAACTTGGACCAGAACCCCTTGTGTTCTTCCTCGGCGTCTTGTTGAGCGTAATGATTTTGTGGACGGTCGGCATACTTCATGTTGCCGTTGGGAATGTCGGTCCCCAAACCGTGACCCTGGTTGCCGGTACCTCCAGCCGCCAGGGGCACGCGGGCCACAGCCAGTTGTCCTTGAGTAGTTTCCTGCTTTATCGGAGGCAAAGGGCGGTTGACCAAGTGTTGCAACTTTTGTTGATGTAATTGAGCTGCGGACAATTGCTGGCCCAGGCCCGGCGTTGAGTTGTTCGCAGCAGCGGCGGTGGCCAGTTGATGATGGCGTGAGCGCCGTTCAGCCCGATGGCGACGGTCGCGTTCATTGGGAGGGTTGGGGTGGCCGTACCCATGTAAGTTGGGCTTTTTGTTGATGGCAGCATCCCAACCACGGCCGCCGTTGAGATGCAACCAGTCGTAGTCGCCGTCACATTGTTCGCCTTGGTCGTCAAGAACCAGAAGCAACAACATGCGGTACTCTTCGTAAGCAGGCTCGGCATCGAATGGCAACAGCCGGACCGAGTCTAAGTATTCAGCGAACTGCCGCGGCAACCCATCGCAAAGAGCGATCGCGGGGGTGGTGCGCTTCTTGTCACCGATCTTTTCGTATTTTTGCTTGTTGGTAGGGGCTTTAAGACCTTGCCACGGCAACTGACCGCGCAAGAAGTAGAAAAAGACGTGGCCAAGGGCTTCAAGATCGTCTCGACGCAGCTGTTCACGTCCCAAGTGAGTGTTGATCGACATGTACCGGGCGGTACCACTCAACAGCTTCTTTTCACGGTACGGGATGTGTTGCTTCGTGCGCAGATCTCGGTATTGCTTCGCCATACCAAAGTCGATGAGGTGCACTTTGTTTTCGTCGGGCATCCCCTGGCGGCCAATCAAGAAGTTGTCGGGCTTGATATCGCGGTAGATGAGGTCGTGGCGGTGCACTTCTTCGACAAGGTTAAGCATTTGAATGGCGACCTGAACGACGGTCTTGACGGTGAACATGCGGCCACACCAGTCAAACAAGTCTTCAAGAGACGGACCAAGAAGGTCGATAACAAGAATGTTGTGCAACCCTTCCTGGCCGAAGTAGTACGCGTTGGGGATACCCTCCAGCCCTTGCAAGTGCTTGTAGGTACGGTACTCATCACGGAGCTGGGGGGCCTCAGTCTTGCGGGGTTCGAACTTGATCGCCACTGGCACTCCGTTTATTATGTTGGTACCTTCGAAGATGACCCCGAACAGCCCTTCGCCAATCTTTTTGCCGATCTTGTAGTGGAGCCCCACCACCAGCGAGTTCAGCGCCAGCGCCAGAGACCCCAGGCCCAGCGACATCTGGGGGTTGGTCGCGGCGGCTGCCGCAAGCGCCGCGGGGTTGGACATGGGACGGGACATCGCTTATGGTCCCGTTACGCTGGTGTTGATGAAGGTGGTGCGGGTGGGCGTGGGTGTGATTTTTTCTGAGGGAAAATCGGGGTGTGCCCATACCAAATTTCGCCTGCATGTAGACGGGGTGAAATCAATTGTCGTTAGGTCGTCGCTGGCCCGACAGGGCGTAGCAACCGCCGCGTTCCGGTAATGTTGGGATCGCCACGAGGTATTGGGGCTACGGGCTAGGGGACCTTGTCGGTTCTAAAGTGTTATGATTAATCGCATCCGGGGTGTCCCCCAACTCAGCCTCGACCGTCGTACCAGCGCCCGGCGTTCTCTGCTGCGGGTCTATTCCTGAAAACAGCAATGCCACCACAACAATAGCGTCCGCACAAAAACAAAATTTCGCCCGCATGGTGGGGAGACTGTGCCCCACCCATCGGCAAGTGCGATAATGAACGTGACTGCTGATGATGCGATGCTGTGGTTGCTACCGCAACCGCGTGGGCAAGTTTGTTGTGGGCATTTTCGATTATGGAAGGTATAGCGAAACGACTGTAAGCACTAAGTTGCCCAAATATCATTAAGTGAAGGTTGGGGTTGCTGGTTAGGAGAGGATCGCCGCGAATCATCGCCCGCCTAAACCTCGATGGCGGTCCTGCCTAGTTCCGCGCGAGTCACTGCACACGATGCGTGGGAACGACAAGCGACGCGGGCGACGCGAGGTCTGGGGGAAAAGCGAGGCTTACGGGGATTAATTAGATAAATATACTGTTTACAGAGTGTCTCTAAACTATTAAGGGCATGAGGACGGGACACTAGCGCTTGCGGCGCTCCATCGCCTGGTGCTCGGCGATCTGCTGGTTCATCATCTCGGTGATTTTGCTGTAGCTGGGGTCGTTACGCACCACTCGGATACACCAGGCACCGAGGTTGGGCCAGAGCTTGTAGATGTCCCGCTTGTCTTGGGTACACTCCTTCACCCCTTCCTCGTTGTCAAACAAGTTTTCGTACACCGGGAACGACAAGATGATGTCGGCGGCGGTCAACTTGTCGCCGACAAAGTACCCGGTGCCGTTCTCGATCAACTGGTTCTCGAGGTAGTCCATGTTTAGCCGGTACTCGTGGATGTAGTACCCTTGGTTCAACCCGTTGGCCACCAATTTGGCAAGCAGCTTCATGCCAAACGGCGCCACCAGCTTGGCGGTGGAGTTGATAAGCAACGCCATCAAGATGTGCTCCAACGACCCTTCGGCGTAGTGGAGGTAGTAGTCGACCAACAACTCGTCGGCAGGGTTGTTGGGGCGCAAAAGCCCCCGCGGGTCGTAGTGCTTCAACACGTATTGCATGATCAACCCCGTCTCCACCAACTGCAACGGGTCCCGCCCGTCGGCAAAGTGGATCTCGAGAATCGGCGCCTTCCCCAATGGGTGGACTTTAAACAACAGCTTGGGCCCTCTCCACGTTTCGGGATGGCGCAAATAGATCTTCACCAGATAGTCGAGCCCCAAAAGGTCTAGCATCCAAAGCACCCGGTGGGACCGAGAGTTGTCGAGCCTAGAAGAGGTTAGTACCAACGCCACAGTTCGGTAGGGCAAATCAGGGCCACTTACCAGTGAAGGACAAATTTATCCTGAGTGAACGACATCTCGCTGCTAGAGAACTCGAAGGATTCGTCACGCATTATATTCGTCGACAGGAACAAGTTATGATCACAAAAGCCCCATTGGGAGTGTATGCAGCACCCCCACTTGCGACCTTTCCCAATCGGGTTACAAACTGGCCCTCGTCGCGTTCGTCTGCCACCGCACCTCAGCCTCAGTCCTCGCGTGTCCACCTACATCGATCGTGGCGCCTCCCGCCTATCACGGCAGGGATAGGCGACTTGGGGGTTTCAATGTTGCCACGAGAGATCCGGATTTACTCGCCATGTCAACGGGGCTTGGGCTTGCGTGATGTCGCACGCCGCACCACCCCTAAAATGTGGGGTTGCAAACATATCATGTGTCCGCGGTATTGTTTGCCACCGGGATAGGCTCGGGGATATCTGTGGTCCCTTTGAGCGCAAATCACAGACCGGGCCTGGTTTAATCGACGCCACCATAAACCATCGTTTCTTTTCTACACCCCCAATCAATCAACCTCCTATCCCCGTCACCAGTGCCCGTGACAGACACCTCCCTACCCCTGAACAATCGCTCGGGCGGAAGCCACTGTGCCACCCACGTCACCATATCACCATGACCTCGAAAAATCATGTACTTTAGCATGGCATGACCGCAATGGCAGCATCAATCCCACGAGCCACCCCCCTATTGTGACGTGTTCTTGCAATCCGTGTGCGAAGATCGCCGTCTACGGAAATCTCTAGAGGGCGACATTTGCTATGATGACAGCGAATTCCTTGTAATCTGACATTCTTCAAGTGCCACTAAAACCCATCCCCATGTTTATATTTACGCCAATAAGAGGAATACTCCGAGTGGGACTGACCTCGAGATTTATATACCTTTGCTCGGGCTAAACCAGCGGCATGTGAGAATACTTCGACACCAAATTGGCAATTAGTCTTACAATTCCGTCTCCCCTTACATTCTGATCCTGGCTACGATCTTCTAGTCGAGACTCATAACATAACATATTGGCCCATTTAGTTCGCGTGGCCGCTCTGGGATTTTGCCGCGCTGCAGCTCTCCCTATTCGAGCTCTTGCTTAACTCAATTGGGTTTGGATGAATCATCCGCGCGTGAGGAACCTCAACTTGTCCAAGTACATCGATCTCACGTTGCTGAATGGTGTAGCTGAGCCACCAGTCGGCGTTAATAAAGACATCTTCTTATGATTCAGAACCAGACTTCACTCGCCACGTCTCCCGGAAGTCTTCCCAAGATGTTTCGAACACGCGTGTTTGGGGCCAAAATGGAAATAAACGCCTGACAAAGCCCTATTCAGGTGCCGAGACGTGGGCGAGCCGTCTTCAAACACGCCAGCCGCCTTAAGTGTATCGAATTTGGTCAGATTAGCGTGCGCAAGCGGCCCGTTGAGCCGCCTCATGTTGACAGATTCGAGGTATTCGTGAATGGATTAGGCAGGGCCACTTGTTGCGTCAACCTAGTTGAGAGTCGTCAGGTTCTTCGACCAGGCAAACAACATCCACAAGTCCCAGCTTAACTGTATAGTCTGCTATACGATTGAACTAGAAGTCATCCTTTGCTATCAGAGAAACTTCAATAGCTTGGAAAATTTAGTTGTCATTCGTTCGAAGGCATAAACCTAAGGCAGCCGCGCGAGAACTCAATCTACTGCACTCTGCAAGGGGACCTCCTCTAGTTTCTCTCGAGAAAAGAGAGAAAATTCAAGTATAAAAACCCCCCGACTTTCACCCAAACTCCCAATACCCACCCACTCTATTCACTCGTACCAATGAAGTTCACCACCGCCGCCACTGCTGCCGTTCTCGCCGCCACCGTTGCCGCTGAAACCCCCGTCTGGAGACAAAACGTCGCCAGATTCGTCAGAGAGCTCGACGGCGAAATGAAGTCTGGTGTCTCCAAGAGAAACGCTGTGCCCTTGACTACCGATGAAATCGTCGAAGTGTTCAACAACATCCAAAAGGCCATTGAATCGCAACACGCCAAGAGAGAAGTGGGTGCTTACGGCCCCAGAGACGTCATCTCCGCCTTCAAGGCCGCCGACAGTGTTCTCAAGGAAACCTTCGCCAAGAGAGACGGCTACGACGCTGAAGACAACTTCATGACTGCTCGTGCCGCCGGTGACTTGTTCTCGTCGGCCGTCACCGCTGCTAACGACTGGGTGTCGGCTAACCCCGAACAGTTCAAGGCTTTGCAAGCTGAAGGCAACCAGTACTTCGTTGACATTGCTAAGGAAGTCGGCAGACTTACCCTTAACTCTGTTACTGATAAAGCCAAGAGAATGTTGTACTAAGCGACTCAATCTCTACCTTAACTTGAAGCCTGACTCGACAGTGCTGACTATTTTCTAAACAATAAACACGGCCGGTAACTACATTGTAGAAATTATCTCGTATTATCTATTCTATTAATCCGCATATAAACCATTCGAGATAAACTTGATCATGTACTCATCAAGATGGCCCACACCTTCGGCGTAGTCCACATCGGCGTCGTCCTCCTCAGGCGGTGCCCCGGGAGCCGGCGTCGCCGGTTTCAGACTTTCGTTGAAGTCTTCGTCATCAATAGCAACTTCTTTCATCGCCTCGTTGGCAGCTTGTCTGTCGTCTTCGTCTTCAGCTTGAGCTAACAAGTTGTTGATGTTGCCCAGTTGTTGTCCCATAAGTGCTTGGTCGGGTAAGTCTTCGTCAACCATGCTGGCAGAGTCCAGTACCAAATCACGCACGGAAAACTTACCAAAGTAGTCAGTGGTGAATTCACCCTCTTGGATAACGACATTGTCAAGTTGTCGCTTTTGATTAGCCTTCCGCAAAATGTTCAGCTCGATGGTGTACTCTGAAACGAACCGATAAATGTGGACATCACGCAGTTGACCAATACGGTGACAACGATCTTGACATTGTTTATCCATAGCAGGGTTCCAGTCAGAATCATAGAAGATCACAGTGTCAGCACCAGTCAAATTGATACCCAACCCACCAGACCGAGTCAGAAGAATAAACACCGGGATCTTATTGTCACGGTTGAAGTTCTCCGTGAGTAATTGACGATCCTCGATCTTTGTAGCACCGTCAAGACGCATGTAGCGGTACCCATGGATATTCAAGAATTGTTCGAGAACGTCGAGAACCTTGGTCATTTGGGTAAAGATAAGCGCTCTGTGGCCATTAGCCACCAATTCTTGAAGCAACTGAGCCAACTTTTGGAGCTTACCGCAATCATATTGAAGCAACAGCTTGTCGGGGAACCCAATGGAAAGTTTGGTCTGAGCAAAATGGAAAGGATTGTCCAAATTTTCATCAACAGCTTGGCGGTGAAGGAGCTTTTGCGTAGAGATTGGCACCATCTCCCGCACAAAATCAACTGCAACCACAGAAGGAGTGATGACCGCAAATTTATCAAGCGAAGCCCTCATCTCAGCTCCACGATCGCCAACCAGCTTAATGAAATCCTGAGGTAAGTCAGGATGAATAGAAAATGGCTTGGTCATAGATTGCAACTTAGTGATAAGCCAGTTCCCATAAACCGGTTGTTTGCTAGTCCGCAAATCATTGATGTAGGCAGCGTGACGAAGGCGATCGCGAACCCAGCATTGTTCAGCTAATCTCAACCGTTGATGGTGACCAACAATCAGATCTTCTGGTTCCATATGATCCTCTGCTTCCGTCACCAATTTGTCGAGCTGATTGGCTTGCTCTAGAAGCGCTGATGACGAGGAGAGGCGAGACATTGCCAGTGCCACGTGTTCGTCAAGGAGAAGATGATTACGCACGTCAAAGTTAAGCACCTCTAAGTGGACCTTCGCTTCAGTTACAGCAGCACTAGCACGGAACACACTTCCCACAATGGGCTTGTAGTCACGCACAACGGGTTTCATGGCATACAGCGTTAGTACAGGGCGGACTTCAAACAAATCGGGGTGATTGCACACTTTACGAAGTTGCATCAAACAGTTGATAATCAGCAAAAAGTTACCACTGCGTAAAGTTTCCTTCGTCTTTGCTCGCAGCATGAAATCATCGTACAAAAACCGTTGACGTTTCAGCAAACGACAATACACGATGTGTTCGTATTTGGCGGGCATTTGCTTTTCCACATCTTTCTTCAACCGCCGCAAAATATAGGGACGCAAGACTTGATGAAGTCGAGCCACGGTATCTTTCGTTTCCTGATCCATCTTCGACGTTGTAGCTTCCAGTTCGTCAATTAAATCAGGGTTGCTCGTCATTGCGGTAGCTTGTTCCAAAATACGATCGACCGGTTTACCAAACCACTGTTGGAAATCCTCAAGATTTGCGAAACCGTCAGGCATCAGCTGGTTTGCTTTCGACAGGGGCATGAGGAAGTAAAGAAGCGACCACAATTCCATCAAGTTGTTTTGCAAAGGTGTACCAGTAAGCAACAACCGATTCTCGGTATTCATATTAAGCAAGGCACGCCAACGTGTCAGCCGGAAATTCTTAATATTGTGGGCTTCATCCAAAATCATATACTTCCACTTGCGCCGCTTGAAACTCAGATGGTCGTGGACAACCAATTGGTACAGGGTAATGCACACGTGGAAAGTGTCAGGCTTATTCCACCCTTTACGCTTGCGAGCACGCTCTTGCGGCAGACCATAGTATGTCAATACTTTGAACCCGGGAGCAAACTTCTTGAATTCCATTTCCCAATTGAGCATCACTGACGTCGGCACAATAATGAGATGAGGGCCCCAGTCATGGTGTTCGCAAGCCAAGTATGCCAACAAGGAGATAGTCTGAATAGTCTTACCCAAACCCATTTCATCAGCAAGAATCCCGTTGGTATTATTGTTATAAAGCAGAGCAAGCCAATTGAGACCCTGCTTTTGATAAGGTCGCAAAGTCCCCCGAAGTAACAGAGGAATAGGAACATCGCGAACCATGGCACCATTGACTTTAACGGGAGGTGGTGATGGCTCCTTCTCAGCGTCTTCACCATTCTCAGTGACGGAACCCTTGATGTCGACATCCATGCTGTCACCATTAGGAGTTTTCGGCTCCATAGCCTCATCCTCAGAGCTACTCAAATCGTCGTCATCGTCAATCTCACTCTCATCGCCAGAGGAAAAATCACCTTCATCGTCTTCCTCAACTGTACCTCCGAGCAAAGCCGCAAGGCCGCCACCCAGAGTGTCAGCTTCCAGCTCCAGGGGATCCAGCTGAACTTCTTCAGGTTCATCTTCGGTGGCAACGCCATTGGAGTCTTCGATGGCACCGTACTTTTGCCGCAACTCTTCGACGGTCAACTTGGCATCGTCTTCATCGCCACCAGCTTCAACATCTTCCTCTTCCAGCAGCAGCGACATGTTTTCCAGGTCGGTCTGAGCACTATTTTCGGCCTCCAGTGCCAGTTCGTCGTCAGAGTCGGCAGTCTCGCCCTCAGTAGTTGCTTCACGCAGCATCAATTGTTGCTCCAACAACTGCGTCAGATGCTCCAACATTTCACTCAAATGCTTGCGACCCTTGAGCTTCTTGAGTTCCTCTTCTTGCTCACGCTGCATATACTGGTATACCTTATGAGCTTGATTCCACCGTTTGCGCACCGCTTGGACTGCCAAGCGTCCAACACGCCGTAAGTTTTGCTCACGTTCCCGTTCACGACGCTCCTTTTCACCAGCCTTCTTACGGAAATGCTGTTCGATCATTTGCGCAATGCGTCGAACACGGTAGGTGTGTTGCTTACGCATCAGCTGGTGGATTTGGGAAAAGCCAATCGCTTGTTGAAGGAAGTGGTCATAGTACAGTTGGTTCTGAGGAGCATTACTTGAATGCGAAAGCTTGGGGTGAACGCAATGGTGCAAACGGAACGGGTCGTCAGTGAGGGGACGAATATTGACGGGAGGGGGTAATTGCACCTTCTTTCTTTCAATTTTGTCGCCCTTGAGCTCAACGACGCCATCAGTTTCAATAAGTTCACGAAGATTTTCGATCATCGATGTTTGATCGCGAAGAGTTTGTTCATAGTCGTCCACGGGTATTAATTCGGAAGCATTGGGATCATCGACAATCGGCAGCTTGTAGCTTTCCATGAACTTCAGCAACCTTTGAGCGACGGTGCCGTCGGTATCAACTTCCACACTAGATCGTAAGCGCTTCACCTTAATGTGCATTGGTTCAAAAGGTACAATTTTCTGCTCAACATTAGTAATGGCACTCAGCGGGACCGGCGTCAGTTCAGCCAGATCTATACGAATACCATCAATGTAGTAGCCAACATCGGCAGTAGATTCTTTGGGAGTTTCAGCAATCATCGGTCTCCATGCTGGAATATGCAGAGGATGAGTAACGAACGGCTTTGTGAGGGAATATGTCACCAGTCGGAACCGATCCAGAGGTGGTAGACTGTCCAACCGTAAAGGTTCAGGTGTATCTTCTTTACGGTCGGGAACCTCTTCAAGAATGTCGTCGTCAGTTTGAGCATCTTCGATGTCGACCTCGACGTCTTCCTCGGATAATTCATCGTCAGAATAGAATACAGGCTCATGCTTTACCTCAACTTCTGCCACACTTCTTCTCGAGGCGCGTCGCAGCGAGTTCTTTGAGGTTGTGGAAGTGCTGGAATTAGTGCTGGTGGTGGTGGTAGTGGTGGGCGCGGTTCGTTTCGCCGGCGTCGATTTCCGCAGGGGCTTGGCAGCGACGGGAGGGTCGTCGCTGACCAACAGCTCAACTCGAGCTCTTTCCATGGCTTCTGCCGCCTCGATGACCTCATTTTTGAACGGGTACTTCTCCAATAATCGCGCTTCTTGCTCAGCAAGACGCTTCTTCTGAAGACGAAGCGGGAGGGCATCCCAGTCAATTGCTTGCTGGTATTCGGGATCCCACACCAACTTATGCTCTTTCTCAAAGATGTCGAACTCCTCGGGAAGCCCCAGAGGGTGTAGGGCTCGACATAACGCCGAAGGGTCCCAATACACCATCAGCTTGTACTGTTTGAGATGGAAAAGCTCTTGTAATGCGAGATTGTGCTCGGTTATGAGGTTTGCGAGCGCCGCAGTGTTGTCAACCTTCCTCCGTTTGGTGGTTTGGGCACTTGGACGAGCATTGCCGGCCCGTTTTAGCCGAGCTTTGGCCATTGGAAGGGTATCAGTGGGGAATGGAGGTGGGCTGGTGAACGCTTAGCCTTTTTTCGGTGGCGCGCGCGAAGAGAGTGTTTCGGTCTCGCGGGGCACATAACCATTTTTCGGGAATGACGATGAATCTGTAGAAGCTTCTACACCATTAGTCAAATAAGTTTACCGTGATATATTTGTCATTCTATGTACATGAAATTATTGGGCAAAGGGCGAAGGGGGGATGACAGCCTCTTCCTTCTCCGGTCTCGCCTTAGTGGGGAACTTCTTCGACGCGAACGTGGTACCAGCAAGCTCGCCGCCGTTGTAGGCTAAGCTGGCGGGCGTGTTTTCCAAGTTCTTCTTGATGTCGGCGTCGGTGACCTCGCCGTCTTCGCCCACTTTGAAGAACTCCCGCTTGGCGACTTCGACGGCGTCGGTGAACGCTTGCTCGCCCTTGAACTTGATCAACTTTTCCATGTTGTGTTTGGTGATGTCGTCCAACTCCAACCCTTGTAATTGTAAACGGGCCACGATCTTGGCAGTGTACCAGAACTTGACGTCGAGCCCCAGGTCGACAAGCTCAAGCACCGCCATCGGCGCCTTATCTTCGCCCAAACGGGGTTCCAACTTGATCACGCGGGTGAACCCCAGCTTTCGGTCGGGGTACCGCTGAGCCAACTCCTCGATCACTTTCAGCCCCACTTCCACCTTATCCGGAGGTTGTAAGAAGTTGAGCAGCTTGTTGGCAAGCACCCGATCAAGCACGGTGTCGCCTTTGACCGTCTGGTTGTCCTTCAACGCCAGAGCGAGGAACCGCTCGATCTTGGGCTGGGCACGCTTCGCCTTGGTCACAGTGGTGACGATGTACTCGTTCCGGATCAAGTTAGCACACAAGTTCTTGTCCATCAGCTTGACATGACGGATGACATTGGCGTCAAACTTCTTGAGCGAAGGCATAGCAGGCTGATTTTTCACTCGCGAACGGCCAAGTGCGAAGAGGTCCCCGAAGGACGAACTACACTGAGGAGAGGAGAGAGCGAGACTGTGTAGACCATCTAATTATAGGGAGTATATATGACTTACTTTTATTAGCTGGTGAGGGGTGACGCTTATCAAACTTACGATTGTTGGCACCGTGTCGTTTCTTTTTCGCCTCCTCGAGGGATAGGGGAGGGGTGCCTCGTAGTGTGAGCTTTTTTTTTTTTTACCGTATCCGTGTACAGTGCATAAAACGCCAAACAATCGTTTCCCCACCCTTCAACGAGATGTGGTACAGCAAACGACACTTCCTCCCCGAAGGTAAGACCGCGGTGATAGTTGGCGGATCCCAGGGTGTCGGGTACGAGATCGCCTTGCAGTTGGCCGACAAAGGGTGCACGGTGGTGCTTGTGGCGCGGACTGAGTCCAAGCTCAAGGCGAAGGCGGCGCTTATCGAGGCCGAAACCAACTCTACTGCGGAATACCTAGCCTGTGACGTGTCTGACTACGACCTGTGTGAACACTTTTGGGCGAAACTCGATGCCCTTGACCTAGATCCGGACTACTTGTTTTGTTGCGCTGGCTCAGCGGTGCCTAAACTCTTCGGCGATATGACCAAGGACGACTTGAACCAAGGGGTCGACCTCAACTACCGAACGGCGGCCAACATGTGCCACACCTGGTGGGGCCGGATCAGGGCCGAGGGCAAGCCCGAGAAGCCGCGTCATATCGTGTTGTTTTCCTCGGTGCTCGGGTGGTTCCCGTTCATCGGATATGGTCAGTACGCCCCGATGAAGCAGGCAGTGGCCTCTTTGCTGGTCATTTTGCGCCAAGAGTTGTCTCCGTTCGGGTTCCGAGTGCTGTGTGTGTTTGCCGGTAACTTCTTGCTGGAAGGCTACGATGAGGAGCAAAAGACGAAGCCCGAGATCACCAAAATCATCGAGGGTCCTCTGAACCCCATCACCGGTCAAGAGTGTGCCGCTACTATTTTGGACCAGCTCGCCAAGGGCTACGACACCATCACCACCGACTTCATCGGCTGGGTATTGTGGTGTTCGGTTCTCGGGGTGTTTGTACCGAGAAAGTGGAACTTCTTCCAGGTGATCATGCTGTTGTTGTTGGCCATCGTCGGCCCCATGGTCAACTTGGACATCAACAAGAAAATCTACGACTACTTTGCCACCCAAAAGGCCAAGACCACTAAACTGGAATGAGGGCAAAGCCTAATCAAAAATCTTTGACAGATACCCCGCCGAAGACGGGGGCTACCCCAGTGTAACATACTATTAATGAGAGATGCCTTCGGCGCATGTAATAAATTTCATTATTGAGACTGGTTCCACGCCACCACATCGGCGAACTTGACGAGTTTACCGCCAAAAATGTCAAGTGCCGACCCGTAGGTAAGATCAACTTTACCCTGACTTAGCCGGTCCACGGTGGCAAGATTGTCAACGCTGTTGGCGCCACCAGCGTAGACGATTTTACCGGCAAACCCTTCCGGACACCACTCGCCCAATTTCGTCACCAACGTCTCATCAATACCGCGACATAACCCTTCGACATCGGCAGCATGGATTAAGAATTCGTCACAGTATTGAGCCACGTCGGCAAGGAATTCCGGCGTGATCATCGTCGACGTGATTGTCTGCCATTTATTGATGGCTACGGCCCATCCGGATTCGACCGTGCGACAACTCAAATCGACGATTAAGCGGTTCTTGCCCACTTTAGCCGACACCTGTTTGAGTTTGTCCCAGTCAAACTCGTTATTGGTAAAGAGCGCCAGCGTCAAGATAACGTGACTCGCCTTGTATTCGTCCAACCATTGGATAGCGTTGTCGATGTTAATACCGCCGCCCACCTGGAGGTGACCGGGCCAAGCGGCACAGGCTTCCTTGGCCGCAGCATCATTGGCTGGGTTCGATCCAAGCTTGATCACATGGCACCCTTCGACGTGGTTCTGTTTGTAGAGATTCGCGTAGTATGACAGCGGCTGGGTGGAAACAAAGTTTTCTGTGGTGGTGGAATCGTGGGTGGTGTCGTCCTGCTTGAGGGTGCCACCAACAATTTGTTTCACCTGGCCAGCGTGGATATCAATACATCCTCGAAAGCGAGTCATGGTGGGCAGTAGGTGGTGAGTGAGCGTGGAAAATGTGGGGCCGATAAAGTGTTGGTGAAAGTGACGTAATATTGAAAATTTTGACAAATACTCAAACAATGGTCACATTTTGAAAGTGTTAAATTCTAAGCCTATCTAGTTTTTCTACTTCGCCTATTTTTGTTATTGTGTTGTTGCCTTCTCCAGACTGATTACCTGGGGGCATCGCATCACTATCGCCAAAGCCGCACTTAGAATAATGAGCGACGATGACGAAGCGTGGTCGCTAGATGCTCAACGGCGAGCTTTTGAGGCCCAGTTTGGCTCGTTAGAGAGCATGGGTTTCCAAGATAACTCCAAGGCAGACGCCGAGTCGCTGGAGCTGACTGGAGACGACTCCGATGGCAGCGACTTCGGCGGCTTTTCCGATGACGATACCGAAGATAAGGCGACAACAACCAAGAATCGTGTCCAATATGACTCTGACCTGTCTGATGAGATGACGCTGGAGTCAGACGAGCTGATGCTGGAGTCGGAAGACGAGGCTCCGCGGGTGGTCCGCTTAGGGGAGACCACATCGCAACCGATCACAGTACTGAAGAAAGAGCGGCGCCTTCTCAAGCTGGGACGGGCGCCCACTCTTGCTGAACTCGACGCCCAGCAAAAGTTGGCACAAAAGCAGCAAGAGAAAGAACTACGCCGCAAGGCTGGCTCCGATGATGCCGAGAACCTTAAGAATGACTTGGAGCTTCAGCGGTTGCTCTCAGAATCACACATTTTGGCCCACAACCTCGAGTACTCGGGGGCCGACCTTACCTTACGCACCATCGACAACGAGGAACCTACGGGGAAAGCACGCAAGCGTATCTTGGACCACCGTATCCGTGAGATCAGTGCTACCAACTCGCTGACGGGCGGGTTGCCGAAGCGGCTCGAGAAAATGCCCATGCTGATGCGTAAGGGGATGATTGATGCCCAGGCTCGACGCGTGGCTAAGTACGAGCAGGAGGCTCGTGAAGCGGGCATTGTTTTGGCCAAGGTGCGTAAGGGCCACACCCGTCAATTGAATATGGGTAAGGGTGTTACGGCCCGCCTGGACCGGTTGGGCACGGGGGTGAAGAAGGCGAAGGCGAAGAAGGATAAGGGATTAAAGATCCAAGCGGTGGGTCGGTCTACCGCCAACGGGTTAGTGATTTCAGAGAGAGAGATCGCCCGCGTTGCCAACCGGGGCAAAGGAGGCAAATCGCGCCGCCGGTGATTTGGGCTTTGCCCCTATTGTTGGGAAAAAGGAGGGAAAAATTTTCATGTTAGCATTAATAGACAAACTATTCGATGACGTCGTTGTTTCTGTTTACAGTAGAGTAGCAGGCGAGAGGCTATTGGCTGGCATGTGGGTGGTGCAGCATTTCCTTACGCAAAATCGTCAGTTGCTTCGATTAGAAGGTGCAAAGTGCGCGTCACTTTGAGACCACCGGAGAGTGGGGTGGTCTGAGGACCAATCTCGGGTTTGTCGGAGATGACGATCGAGTGCGACTTTTGGTGTAGAAAGATCATGAGGCTATTGTTTGGCGTTGTTATTAGCAAATCTGGCGGCAATCACATTGAGTGGTTGTCGTCTAGGCACAGCCTCCCGGTGATCCGCTGGGGATGTGTCCTGGCCATATTTTTGAGGGATAATTGTCCAATCCAAGGTTGGCTCGTCGCCTCGTACCCTGCTGCTGAGGGAGAAAAAACTTTTCCCTGTCGCGACAAAATGACGTCACACAATGGAGCCACGCGGCTGGGACCAGGGTCGCCAGCCCAGCCGCTCCCAATCGAGACACGGCTACCCCTGTGTAATTGGCAGGAAATCGCCGCGAGCCTGTAAATCAGGGTGTGTGCCGCTCAATTCTCTCCTGCGGTCGCCAGCTTGCAATAATCCCGCAACCCACTAAGCCTACGGTAGTCGAGAGAAACTCAAAGCACCTGTCCCAATTGGGTTTTGGGTCGCCAACACACAACACTGGGTATAAATCCCCAGCCCTTGTCGCCATTGTAGTGTAGATTCTGCCTTTGTCAACGCTCCTCCATGTCCGAGTCAGCTCTGCTTAGCTCCAAAATCGACTTGGAAAAAGTCGCCGTCGACGACGAGTCGGTGGGGATCAAGTTTGACGAGAATGCCTTCGAGCAACGTGGTCGGACCCGTCGCCGGGCCCTGGTCCACACTCGTTCCCGCCTGGCCCTGCTATTTCGGGAACGGGTGGGGCCCGACGTGGTGTTGCCAGGGGTTTTCAAGACCATCAGTCACCATGTCGACAACGAGTTGGAACAAGACAAGCTCCCCGAACACGCCTCGAAGTTCTCCAAGATTGTGTGGCACACCACGCCGGCGGACGTGGTGGAGCAGGAATTTGGTACCAACTCCAAAGGTGGTTTGAGCGACAACGCCGTCAAAGACTTGAGCAAGCGCTATGGCGCCAACATTCAGCTGAAACCTCCGCTGAGATGGTGGTGGAAGTTGTTGGTATACTTCTTCGGTGGGTTTGGCGGTTTGTTGCTTGGCGGTGGCATCTTGTGTATCATCAGTTGGAAACCTCTCGGGCTGTCGCCCGCTGTGTCCAACTTGGTGCTTGGTATCATCCTTCTTGCCGTCTTCGTTGCCCAGGCGATGTTCAACTTCTTCCAGGATTTTAGCAGTTCTCGAGTGATGGACCTGATCCACGACATGATCCCTGAGCTGTGTACCGTGACTCGCGACGGCCAAATCGTCAGCGTGGAGCTGAAGGACATCGTCCCCGGTGACATCGTCCACATCGCTGCTGGTGATAAAACTCCTGCTGATCTCAGAATAACAGAAGCCTCCCCTGACTTGGCGTTTGACCGACTGGTGCTTACTGGTGAATCCGTGCCTGTGGCTACGCTGGCGATGCCTGACCCTTTGGGCACCAACTACCTTGAGCTGACGTCAATGGCAATGCAAGGTACTTACTGCGTCAACGGCGCTGGTCGCGGTATTGTCGTTGCCACTGGTGACAACACCATCTTTGGTACCATTGCCAAGGATGCCCTGAGACCGAAGAAGGGGATGACGCCGTTGCAAAAGGAAATCTTCCGCTTCATCCTCTTAACCTGTGTCATTATTGTCACCCTTGTGGTGCTCCTTTGTATCTTGTGGGGGGCTTGGCTTCACAAAGACCACAAAGACTGGATCAACGTCCCCTCATTGATCGTGGCGTTAGTGCTGGTGGCGGTGGCGTTTATGCCCGAAGGTTTACCGATTGCCTTGACTACATGTTTGGTGATTACTGCCAACCAAATGAGAAAGCACCAAATCTTGTGTAAGTCGTTGCTGATTGTCGAACTGTTGGGGTCGGTGCTGGTGCTTGGTTTTGACAAAACCGGTACCCTCACTCGTAACCATATGACTGTCACCGACGCTTATACCCTTGGTCCTCAACGCCTGGTGGTAACGATGGCAGCGGTGTGTAACCTGGCGGTAAAAGCTGGCGACAAAATTATCAATGGTAATGCCACCGACAAAGCGCTTCTCCAATACGCTGACAATCTGGCTCCCTTAGAATCGATTTACGGCGCCTGGACCCAAGTTCACGACCTCCCGTTTAACTCAAAGGACAAGTACATGATCACGATGCTTGAGCCGCGACTGAAGGAACTGTGGGCCGAGATCGGCGTCCCCGCGTTCCACACCAGCGACAACCTGAATCTTTTTGTTGTCAAGGGCGCTCCGGATATCTTGCTTCCTAAGCTTGCATTTGTGGTTAATGAAGAAGGAATCATGCCCATCACCGACGATATCCGCGACACCATCACTGAAACACAACGCGAATGGGCCAGCAACGGTAAGCGGGTGCTTCTTCTAGCAAAGAAAATCATCCCCCTGAACGCGGTGTCTGATGATAAGCGGGTGGCCACTGAACAGATGCGTGATCAAGTGCGTGGCTTGGTGTTTGTGGGGCTCGTTGCCATTGAAGACCCTCCCAGAAAGAATATCGCCAGTGTCATTACTCGTCTTCGTCGCGCTGGCATCAAGATTGTTATGATCACTGGTGACTTTGAGTTGACGGGGGTTGCCATCGCCAAGGCCTGTGGCATTGTCAACGGCGAACCTGACACCGTGGGCCACCTGACAGGGGCTCTGGCAGTGTCTATCACTGGTCCTCAACTCAACTCGCTTACCGACGACCAGTGGAAGGACATTATTGGCTACCAGGAATTAGTGTTCACACGGACCACCCCTCAACAAAAGTTGATGATCATCCAGCAATTCCAAAAGAACGGGCACTTGGTGGGAATGTCGGGTGACGGGATCAACGACGCTCCTTCGTTGAAACAGGCTGATGTGGGTATTCTGATTGCCGACGCGCTGGACATTGCTAAGGAAGCTCTGGACCTTATCTTGATGGGGCTGGGCGAAGAGTTGTTTGAAGGGATCATTGAGGCGTTGAAGTATGGTCGTTTGGTATTTGAGAACTTAAAGAAGACGTTAGGGTACCTTTTACCCGCAGGTACTTACTCTGAGTTGTGGCCAGTGTTGCTTAACGTCATCTTCGGCATGCCCCAGATGCTTTCCAGTTTCAATATGATCATCATTTGTTGCATCACTGACTGTATCAACGCCATCGTCATCGCCTTTGAGCCGCTGGAGAAGAACTTGTTGGAAAAACCTCCTCGAACTGAACGCCTCGTCAACTTCAACTTATTGTTGCACCTGTACTTCACCATCGGTACCTTCTACTCGTTCACGCTGTTCTTGCTTGGTTTCATCAACTTACAACGCCACGGGATGCCGTTCTCGGCGTTCACGTTGTCGTACGGTAGTTATGAAAACAAGTGGTCCAATGTCGACGATATCATCGCCATGTCACTGTCGATTTATTTCGTCAACTTGGTGATCATGCAAATCTTCAACTTGTTGGCGATGCGGACGCGGTACTTGCTGATGTTCCAGCATCCTCCCTGGCTCAACAAGTGGATCTTTGTGGTGACGCCGATCTCGTTTGGGGTGACGTTTATAATCAACTATATCCCCGCCATTCAAAAAGCGATGGGCACGGCAATGGTCCCCGTGGAGTATTACTTCATCTCCCTCGGGTTCGGGGTGGTGGTGCTTGTTTATGATGAGTTGAGAAAGTGGCGGGTCCGCACCCATCCCAAGGGGTTTCTCGCCAAGATCGCCTGGTAGTTTTATGGTTTTTCAAATGCACAGAGATGTTATTCACTCAGTTCTGTAGGCACTCCGTCATCCTTTACTCGCGACATAAACTCAGGGGTGGGCGTAGGTCGGCGGCTTACGGGCTCGACGCTAGTAGCGGCAGCAAGATGGGCCTCTTTATACCCCTTCCGTTTGATCAGCTGGATCGCCTTATACGTTTCCCTTAGGAAGCTGAGTCGATCACACACGGTATGGTTATCCTGCATCCACTGGTCGTCGGCCAGCGTGTCGTATTCTAGCCCTACATTGCCGTTGGAGCGGGTGAATTGGGGCTGGTAGTTTCTCATCCGCTCAAGCGCCTCGCTCACCGACTTTTCTGCGGCTTCGTTGGGAGCGGGATATGTCGTCTGTGGCCGCGTTTGGGTCGCTTGTCGATACCGGGCCGGGTTGTAGTGGAGGGTGACGATGGTACTCATGGTGGTTGCAAATTACTGAATTTCGCAGCGCGGCTTGAAATAAAGGTGACGGAGATAGGATACTTATAAGTGTAATTTATAGGACATAGTTTCGACGAAATTTTTATTGACGGTACGCTAGCTATTTAATTGACCAACTCCGCGGGCTTGACTGAGCCCCTCTTCTCCGATTTCACTTGGTAGTAGTCATCGGACAACTTCTTCGCTTGGTCCTTCAAAATGGCCACGTCTTCTTCCTTCTGCTTCAATTCGGCTTTGAGGGTCAATACTTCGTCGACATCATCAGCATCGACGCCAGTGGTGGGCTTGGTTTGCTTCAATTGGTCCAAAGTGTCCTTGGTGTGGGTCAATTCGGCGACAAGACTGTAAGTTCTGATGATGATCAAAGTCAAGAACAACGTGAACCCACACAAGTACATGTTCCGTTGCGAGTAGAAACGACGGGCCTGGATCTCCGCCCGGTCGTTGATGATACCCGCAATGGCCGCCGTGTGTTGGTTGGAGCGGGGGTCGCTGGCGCTGTGGAGCTCCGCCGTCACCTGCCACACCCGGTTCACCAGGTCAATGAACAATATGAGGACAAAAATCAACACGAACTTAAGACCAATTTGAAACTGTTCCAGCTTGAAGGGGATGGAAAACACGTGCAAAACCCTCCGGCGAATGGCCCGCGGGAACGGGAGCGAGACAATGGTGAATAACACCATCTCAACGGCTAAAAGCGCAAACACAAGAGCATAGTAGATCGCCATGGCTGCTGGTGTGGTCGAGAGAAAGAAGTGAACAACTAGGTGCGTGTGAGGTTTTCGCGACGGTTGCTGGTGCTGCAGGGGCGCAGTCGGGGAGGCAAAGTGGCAATTCCAGCGCTACCATGGATTGGTCATCGGGACAATAAAAAGAATGAGTCAGAGTGCTCAATTGGGCTTAAAGATAATGAGGAGGCAATTGTTCGTGGCGTTCGTTTATCGTGTTTACGTTGGATTATCACAAGAGGGTGAGTGATGAGAGCAATAGTGCGGTGTGCTCTTGTGATTTCTCCCCAGACTTTCCGGTGCGAGTGATGTGAAGTGAGCGCTACCATAAAAGAGTGTTGCCCATAACTCCTTCAAAATAGGGATTGAGACGAAAACCAGGGTGACAGAATCAACTAGGATGCTTGATTGAGCCTCGTCAGTTATGAATGAGTTGGATCCAGTTCGATAATCGAGTCACATGTGCTATTTGAAATTTCTATTAATCCTTTACATTAAAACTATAGGCCACAATTTATGAGAGTAAGCCATTTTCAGTAATGTTTCACTCTGCTAATTCAATAACACGACGACGTTCATCTGTAAAATTAAAATAGATTACCTATCTGTTGGTACTTAATGATGGCGATCTTGGGTGCGCACTTAACCGTATGAGCTCCCGATACTTGAAGCGTTTGGAACGCCAACGGCAAGAGGAGCTGCCCACTCCCCAAGTCGAATCGGAGGATGAATCCGTACCGGTGGCTGAACCCAAGTTCAACGCATTTGCCTTACTTAACGAAGGCGATGACGATGATGACGATGACGATGACGATGACGACGATGACGTCAAAGAAGACACCAAACCGTCACCTGCTCCCGTCAAACTGCCTCAACGTCTGCAACTGCCCAATGTGTCTACAGCCTCCAAAAAGCTGAAGAAGAAGAAGCTGAAGAAGAAGGCTAAGCCGGTGGTGGTGTCTGATTCTGAAGAATCATCTGACGGCGAGTTTGATCGTATCCTTGCTGAAGCCCGCAAACAGAACCTTGCCAGTGCTACGGCAACTCCTGAACCTCTGGCGGCCGCGGAAGACGATGGCGCTGACGAATTCGAATATGAGGAAGAGTACGACGCCACTGATGAACCAGTGGCTGAGTATGATTCCAACTTCAAATATTTCACGACATCGAGAGTCAAACAGCTGATCCCCATTCTCAACTTACTGCTGGTTAAAGATCTCGACCCGGACCATGAACTTCGCAATCTTTTCGGCAATTTATCCCTTGAAAGTATTGAAGATGCTAATACCACCACGTCGCTTCTGACTCCTCCTGAAGTGCTTGCCCAATTTAAGAGGCTCGCCAGATTAACTCGAGGATGGTGTGGTAAGGATCGTCGTGGTGTACCTGGTACTACCCGTAAGCTTTTACTTTCCAAGATCCGTGACGATTGGTTACCCACGGCCCAAAAGCCAATGCAAATGGAGGAAATCCCGAAGAATAGAGTGACGGATTACTACGAGTACAAGGAAGATACTGCCGAGCTTGAAGAGTTGGAATACCGCATAAACCGCGAATATAAAATGGGTGTTCGATGGTTCCGATTCGATAAGCTCATGACCATTCCTGAACGAGTGGCCAATACCCGCTTCTACGCATCGGTGGTGATGACACCTGACCCCGATCTGTTGATGCAACTTCTTCAAAGTCACCCATACCATGCGGAAACCCTTCTTCAAGTGGCCATGGTGTTGCTCAGACAGGGTGGCGACAAGTCGGTAAGTTACGCCCTCATCGAGCGGTGCATGTTTGTGTTTGACCGGTCGTTCTCTAAGCATTTCCACGAGTTGTTACAGGCAGGCAAAACTGGTCTCATTCGTCTCCCGTACGAGCTGTTTATGCTGAGGCAGTTTTACCTCTGTTTGTTCCGCAATATCGTTGCGTTGGGTGAGCGGCTGACATTTTCCACCTCATTGGCCTTCTGCAAGTTCCTCCTTGCTCTTTCTCCGGCAGAGGATCCTGTAGGCGTACGTTACTTCATTGACCATTACGCCATCATGGCTCAAGAATACAAATGGCTCGTTCGCTTCTGTGATCTGCCATTAGTGACTACCTACAAACGATGGAATACTCCTGGGATTGCGTACTCGGTAGTGGTGGCGTATTTGAAGTTAGGCGAGAAGAAGCTGGCGCTCGAAGCTCTCGACCGCGCTTACCATGCCCACCCTTACACAGCTATTTGTCTCTTACAACAGATCGGTGTGCCTGATGCTGGTGCTGGCTACAACGCCACTGTCGAAGAAAAGGTGTCGACAGAAACTTACCTTGTGCGAGCACTGGCGGTGTGGGAAGAAGCCGAACATCAAGAGTTCTTGCGCAAGAACTTGCTTCAATTATTCAAATATGATCCGCCGCAACTGCAACCGGGTGCTAAACGTCTGATTACACAGTCAGTATTTGATATGCTTGGTATGGGCTCAAACGAAGACATCGACAATGCGTTACCTTACAATTTGATCAGATTTGCTATCCTCTCGGGTGAGGCTAAAATCATGGCTAAGTTACCTCAGGAAGTATTTGGTCGTGACGACGTGTTGGAATACGATGTCCTTCCTCCTGAACTTGCTCCCGACGACTATGATGTTCACACGGGTTCAATCAAGTCGCGTCTAGTCGACCGCCTTCTTGATTATGTGGACCAGGGTCTTTTGGGAACCATAATTCAACAGCGGACCCAAGATACTGATTTCGAAGAGATGATTCGTAACATTGAGGGGATTGAAGTCGAGTCTGAACATGAAGAGTGAGTTTGCTGATTATTACTAACCTTTGCATAAACGATATATGAAACTAATTAACCTTTGTAGACAACCTGGCCCAAAACATGGAACGGCAGCAACACAATCTTCACTATCCGGTACAAAATGTCCAATAATTTCGACGCTTCCCACATCATCCACAAGAAGAAGAAACACTCGAGGATGTGGATAGGTAATGTCAAAATTGGGTAACGCGCGGCGATATCATCCAAGGGTCTAAATGCTTTTTGAAATAACTCAAACAGTCGCAAACGATTGGTGAAGTTGGTCGGGTGCGCTTGTTGTACGTATGGTCCCACCGAAGTCACGACGGGGCCAACAGCGCCTCGAGCAGTGGCAATACCGTTGTTGACCGCTGGCATTTTCTCCAATAATGGGCCCAATTTCGTCTGGACAAGGGCATACACGCCGCCGCCGCCGCCGCCGCCAGCAACAGCGGGACCGGCAGTGGGTGGTTCCCCGTGCAACATCAGCGACATCAGCGTCGGCGGTTCCAATTCGTTGGTGTGAGGATTGAGCACTAACTCTCTAGACACATGCAGATGGCCGTCGGCGTCGACGGTGATCACGGTGGAGGCGCCTCTGGTACGCACCAGGCGAACCAGGCCCGGCGCTGCCAGGCGGATCAGCGGCGCTTTAGCGGCGCCGCCGCCGCCACCCCACTTGGTGTTGGAGTTGGACTTAAGCTTTAACTTGCCAAACAAAGGCTTCCTTGGTTTGGGGGCAGGGGGTTCGTCATCCCCCCACAGGGTGCCGCGAGGCCATTTAGCCATGATCTGAGGTTTATAACTGGGTCGATGCGGGGTAGTTGAAACAACCACGGGCGGGGTCGGGGTGGCGGTTGTTTCAGTTAGCGGGTCGCCACTAAGGTCACAAGAGCCGTCTTCAGGAAGCGGGTCTAAGGGATCGTCGGCGTCACTGTTGTCGCCTAGGCTCAGGGACGGCGAGGCGTTCGCAGTGGTGGTGGCACAGGTGTATTCGGTGGCGATCGACTCGAGGTCGGGACGGGGTATAACGCTGGGGGCGTGAGCGGAACGGGCTTTGGAAACCTCGCTGGGGTCGACGGTAGCTGATGCCTTTGTGGGGGAAGTGGAAGGCTGATCACTGACGCCAGGGGGGGTACTGCACCGAGACAATTCTCCTGCAGCCGCTGCGGAGGTGGTTGCAAGGTGGGATAGAGTTGACGACGACGAAGCCTGGGGGTGGGCAGGTCGTTCCGACGATTGCGGTGTCAGCAGCCGTTGGTTGGGTTCGGGGTTGTCGAAGATGTCGTCGGTGGTCGTTTTCACATGCCGATCGTCGCCGCTTTGGTCCCAAGCCGTGTTTTCCCACTTAGCCACTTTGAATTTGTTGACAAAATTCTTAAATGAGTTGGGCTTGCGCTCGTGACCAGTATTGTAAATTGCGTCAACCGCGGCCGCGGGATCAGCCCCGGGCTCGTGTGCACCAGCCCCCTCATCATCTACCCCACCATTACCACCACCGCCGCTGACACTCATAGCGAGAGCCGCCGCCGCGGCCAGCGGCAGCGGGGTGCGCGTCATGGCGTCTTGGAAGTCACGTTCTTCCTGTTTCCGCTGTTCTTCCGCAGCTAATCGCGCCGCCTCGTCCTGCTGCTTGATCTGGGCGCGGCGCATCTCAAAGTAGTCATAGTTCTTGTAGTTGTCCTTGCCCAACTTGTGCTTGACGGTGTCCACTGCCCGCTTCACTTTGCCCGGGTCTTTGTGGTCAAATACGTACTCCATCGGGTTGTAGTGGGAGTTGGGCTCCTGTTTGTTGTGGAACACTTCCCGTAACGTCTTGTGGGTGTACATGTAGGGCTTGACGTCATTGGCGGCATCGTAGCGTTCTTTCTGGTTGATATAGTACCCCAGCCAGGTGCGCTTCAGCAGCGGCGCCGCGTCGTCGCCATAGGCGTCATAATCGGGCGCTGTAGGGTCAAGATGGCTACCCTGGCTCGAGACACGAACCCCAGAGGTAATCCCTCGCGGTTGCAGCACCACTCGGTCGCCGCTATCGAAGCCACGATGTCGATCGTCGCCATATTCATGATATTGGTCATACTCTGTAGGAAGTGGGTGGGGACCTCGCCGGTCGCGACGGCGATCGCCCCAACCGCGATCTAGACGATCATGGCGCTGGGCTTCAGCATTAAGATGGTATAAGTCAGCCGGAGTAATCCCCATCTCGAGGTAATCAGGGTCAAACACGTTTGAAGTCGTAGACTGTTGACGCCGACGAGCCTTCTTTGTCGCTGCCCATCGCTGATTGGCAAGTTCCGCTGGCGTTACCGCCTCATCAAGAGCATCGGGATCCTGCGCTGCTGCCGCTGCCTGGTGGCGGTGACGACTGAATACTCGAGGCTGAGGCGATAGCGGCGCTTGCGCTAGTATCTGCGGCGACAGCGGTCCCGTGTGCTTTGATGATGGCCGCCCCGTTGAGGGCAGCATATGGTGATGGGGTTGAGGCGATGACAGCGCCGGTATCATCGGTTCGGGCGAGGCGTTGGCGGTATTAAACAGGGTCATTTCTGGTGAATGTTGGAACGCGACATGGTGAGACACGGGCGACGGCGTTCGGACAGGTAGGGGAACGTTGCCGTGAGGATAGGCATCGTAGCCTCGAGCGGAATCAGCAGGATAGCCCCGATGGCCATCGCCGCCGCCTCCGTAGCGGCGCCGGGGCAAGCGCTCGTCGTCGCCGCTCCCGGGGCCGTGCAGCCACTCCGGGTGAGTGTGCAAGTACTGGGAAGTAAAGTACCCTTGGCTCGTCACGTTCATTGACGGCTTAAGAGATACGGTTGGCGCAAATGGTCAATTATAGCGGCAGCCGGGTCCCAGGCACCTCCTCGGGGTGGCTGGCTGGTGTTTATGCAGGCCAAGCACCCCCATCTCGGGGAGACTCCGGTAGCCGCCGCCAGATGTTCTTAGGGCCAATTTACGATAACGAGAGAGATTCTACGAGAAATAAATCCATGGAAACACCGATATTCCAAGTGGATGGTGTGGCTAGTGTACCTACTACCTCTTAGCCTCTGATAAGGGGGTTCGCACTAAAGGAGGGGTAGGTAGCATCGATGAATGGTAGTGGCTCGTAGCAAGCGCAGGAAGCGAAGGGGTGTCAAGAGCTCTTGGATGACTAGCCTGAAAAATAGGCTTCCGAAAGTGGAACGAAAAGTGGTCGTAGATTGCCGTCCCCCGTGGTCGTCAGGGTGAATTTTTTAGGGTGGTTGACATCGTGCCATTATGCATAGAAGCACCCGCTCCGATGGCTGGTTCGCACGGCTGAAGATATTGTATCCAAAAGCTAATCACGAGGTAGGAAGAGGTGGGATCAGCAAGTAGAATAAATTGATTTTGTGAGCTCGGGTCAAGTCCACCGGGGTCGGCTGCCCTGGTTGCTCGTACTGTGACAATAGTTGTCGAGACGGGCGTGGCTTGACGGCCATAGACTACCGCAGTGGTTCCAGCCAGCATCACGCAGAGCGATCGGTTGGGCATTGTCAGATGCATAATTCAAATTTCACTGCGTGTTTATTATTGTCTAATTTAGTGTACTTGTCAATAAAGACGATGGTATCAAATTAATGCGGTCACCAGCGAGATTTACTGGACTTTCGCGTGGAAGCTGCTCAGGTCATCGCCACTGAACAACAAGTTTTCTGAGTAGTCGTACTTCTCCCCGACAAGACTCTTGATGATCGACACCATCTCGTCGTAGGCAGAGTACATGATGTGGCCATACAACAAGATGTTGATGGCGCACTGGCCGTCGTGGCTGAAGAAACGCGAGTAGTCGAAGTTCTTCATCGCCGACGGCATCTTCTGAATAATGGAATCTTCGCGGCTCTCTTCTTCGTCAGGGGTCATTTCGGGGTCGTTGTACCACCGTTCAGAGTAGGAGAGCTGGCGCGTACCCCATTGGTCGAGCAAAAGCTCCATGTGCTTGAGAGCTAACGTCGCTTGGGTCACCCGGGGAAGGGCGCCCCCGTCGTGCAACGCCTCGGCACACATTTGCACGATGGCAAACAAGTTGGCCAAGAAGTCCGTCAGATCCCAGCCCAACCGTTTGAATGCTGTCGGGATCATCTTCTCGGGGTCGTCGAACTCGCCAAAGAGCTGGTAGATCAAGTTGTACAACAGGACAATCTCGGTAATCAACTTGGTCAACCGCTTGTACTTCGAGTCCGGCCAGTAACCGATGAGGGGCAACTCGTGCTGCAACCCGATGGTCAATTGTTGCGATCTCAGCAATCGCAACAACACCTGGCGCAACTTTTGGGTGACGAAGTCGTGCCGCTTTTTAATGACAACCGTGGGATCCCGCGCACGGTTTTCGGCAAATTTGGCCACAAGACACTGAAGGTTACCGAAATCGTCCACCGTCTTCGAGAGAATGTTACGCAACATAACTTTACTCAGCAACGGCGTCGGGAACAACGACAGAAGTGCCGCAAGTACCAAACCCACCACGACACAAATAAGTCTGATGACGAACGGACGCCACCCCCAACCAATGTTGGCCAAAAGATTACCGTGATAGTCGACCCACGACGCCCCCAATACCAACGACGCCGTCACTGGCCACAAAAGCGCCGGGATTATCAGCTCATGCTTACTGAAGTGACGGTAGTACAGCAAGAAGGCAAACACTACCCCACACACGGCGGCAAAGCCAAAACTGTTGCCACAACAGATATACCACATCACCATCCCGGTGATACACCCAACCACGGAATATGATACTTTGGCGCCAAAATTGTACCAGGTGACCCCGGTGTTGTCGGTAAGCGACAACCCTGTCATCACCACCACCCAAAGAATCTTTTCCTTAAAATAGTACCCTGCCGAGTTTCTGAAGAAAAATGGCGATGCCGAGGCAATCACGAAAAGCGCCCCGTAAATACACGTCCAGAGCCGCTTACTCAAGATGTACTTCTTGTAGAAGTTGATCGCAAACTTCCAGAAGCGTTGGAAGTTGTTCACGGGAGGGTAGTTATCGGGGTCTCTCTGCTGCACTCGCGACGTGAACTCCAGGGGATACTCTTCCTCGACGGTGACGTGGTTACGGAACAAGTGGGTGGCAGGGTCGTGCTTCGGCCGAGTTAAGTAAGTGATCACTTTCGGGGTGGGCCGGGTTTGGTCAATGCCCTCAAACACCAGAAGCATGTAGAAGAGCGCCTTACACAACTGCTTCGTCGACTGGAGGAACGACGACAGCTGGTTGATCATACACAAAAGGGCCTCGTCACCAACATTGGTGGCTTCAAGTAGTTCCTGGAAGTATTCGTGTTGGGCTTCGTGTTGCTTGAGCGCTTCCTCGATCTCCTGCCGGCACTTGACGATGCGGGCGGCATTCTCTTGTTGAAGGGCGACTTTCTTCTTCCAGCCGTGGAGACGAGAGTAAATTCTGAAGTGGTTGGCGTCGTTAAGCCATTTCGCCGCCAGTTCAAGCGCGGTGTCGGCAGTGACAAGAATCGGGGTGAGGTTGTCGGTGATGAACTTGGCAATGAGGTCCAAGTCGGCGAGCGTCACCTGGTGGTTCGGGCTGATGTCGTTCATCCGCTTCTGGATTTGCCTGCGTCTCACACTAGCTTCAAATCCCCCGGCTTTCTTGTAGTCATCCATGGTCGAGTACAACTTAGAGTCGGCGGTGGCCACCGAGCTGCGACGTCCGCCGAAATGGTTTCTGGTGAATTCTTTACGCTCTTCAAATAACCCGTAGAAGAATTCAAACCCGGCTAACGACGAAATGACGACGTTAACCGCCAGTCGCACTTCACCGACATCACCTCTGTCGAACCGTCCGTAAGAGATTTCGAAGGGAATCACCGATGCTTGCACTTCCAGCATCGCCAACTTCCCCCGAAGGCCAATCACGTCCTTGGCAAGATGAGCGTAGTTGACAAACGAGTCTTCCGACGGTTTAAGCGTTTGCACTAACCGCAAGTTGTTGGCACTGGCGGCCCGGAGACCCTGAAGCACCTCTGATTGGGACTTAAAGTACTGGAAGTTCAGCGTCTCGGGGAAGAAGATGAAGGCGCAGATGGTATTAATGACAAACATGAGCCCCATGGGTTTAAATATCGTTTTGGCAATACTGTTCGGGTCCCAATAGGGGATGAAGATGGTGTAACAGAAAAGCACGGCGATCATAATCGTCGCCATGACCTTACCCAACTTGCAAAGCACGTGGATGGGTTCCGAGAGCCGGATACCTACAAGGGCAAACACGGTGGCAATGACGAAGATCACCGTCTGGCGAGCGTCGAGGTACGCCCCGGTGTAGGTGTAGTTGGTGATGCAATTGGACAACTCCTGTTTCGCCATCGACGCCGAGCACACCCCGCGCTCGATGGCAAGCTGGATATAGTACTCCTTGGGCTTCCACCCTTTGATGGCCTGACTGATGGCCTGGGCGATGATGATGTGGGCCCACACGTAGCAACAGTAGGCACACATCAGCACCAGACTCAAAAACACCCAGATGATCAGCCCGCCCCCGGGGGGATTGAGAAACACCGTGATGTGGAGCATAAACGCCGCCGACCCTTGCCACTTCAACAGCGGCACCACCGCCATGAGAATGGTACCGACAAACGACGCCGCCCACGTTCGGAACACCACCCGAAATGACGGGTAATCGAATATATGGTTGATGAGATATGACGGCCACACCGCGTCCTTAACTTTGTGCCAGAACGGGATGCGCACCCGGGGAGAAATGTTGTGGAGCATCGTCTCCTCGTCGTCGTCGCCTTGCTCGACCATCTTCTCGATGTCAGCGGTGGTGGGGGGCTTTTTGCGCTTGGCGGCGTCGTCGGGGTAGAACAAATTAAAGTCGTCGCGAGTCTCTTCGAGCGGCTCGGTGCCCCGGTACTCCTGCGGGGTCGCCAGGGCATCGCTCTGGAGATCTGACGACGTCGACAGTCGCTCTTTCATTAGCTAGAGGGGGCGGTGACGTCGATGTTTGGATGCGCACGACGGGGTAACGGAATTTATATAAGCATGGTTGCGGAGGGGCTGTAGCCGAAAATGACCTGCGTAACACATAAATTTTCTCCCGTTTATGTCCGGCAGTTAACACCGCTATTACCTCTATCAGTGACGTTATACTAATGTCAGATATTAATACAATAGATGTTTACCTTGCTCGCCATCACCACCACCCCTAATCGCTCATGGCACTCCTCGTTCAAGGTGGCGCTGTTAACGTGGCTCAGCGAGTGCGCTGCTTTTACACGCCCCGCCGACAATTAATGTAAATGCAGTGCGCCGGTGAGAAGACATCGTCCGTCTCCGTGTCGAGTGCACGGTGCATTATCTCCGTGGCCACCACGGCTAACTGGCATAAAACCGCTCAGGCACCGCTGACGTTTATAGCGCAAACGGATCTGTCGCCGATGTCGCTGCCATCACCCTCACCTCCGAGTGCCGTCGACACCTTCGCACCCACCTTCGCACAAACCTTCGCACGAGCCCTGCTGCCTCTAGGGCCGCTTCAGCCGTGAGCATAAAAAATATATGTATGGGGGAAGCCAGCTGGGAGATGCAAAACAAACCTTATTGTCTACTAATCAGAGTTGTGTCGAGATCCAAATTACACGCTAGATCTATCCCCGCCTGGCATTAGAATACTCTGGCCATCGGCAAATTGCCACCCGTGGTCGCATTAGCTTGCTGTCACTGTTTACTGGGGCACATTGTTCGCCACTGTTTTGGGACCTTAGTGGTCTCGGCCACCCACTCGAGAGAAAATCTTAGCTTTTCTTGTGCGGCGACTCGGAAGCGTCGGGACCCTCCCGATACGAGGGCTGGCGCCCAGAAAAGGGAAATGTAACTGAACATTGCTAGCCGTTTTCATGCCGCTCGGGAATCTAGTTTCCCCCACAAAGCGCATTCGAAGTCTTTAATGGTAATTCACAAGTAGCCTCATCATCACATCGACACCTCCTACTATACACTTATAGATACCGCTACTCTTATGTTGATCACCATTTATGCCAACATCGAAGGAAAACTGGCAAAGTCAAGATATTGTTAAAGTTAACTATGTCTCATTTGATTCTTCCCCAGCCACTGTGTCTCTCCTCGCTCTTTGGTGTGGATCTTTTTTCGATGTCGCGCAGAGGCCTTGTTTGTATACGCGACGCGGTGATCTCAGGGCAGACATCATGGGCACCAAACGACGCCGTAACGGCGAGGACGTGAGCCTGGCAGACACGTCGTTTGCCGAGACCACGAAAGAGCCCCCATCTCCCACACCCGTGCCGCGCCCGCAAACGCCACCTCCTCGCACGGCGCACGAAGACGACTCCACTGACGATGTCCATCCTCAGGCTAACTCCACCAAGACCGAGCCCGTCGACGAAGATATCCTCTTTTCCGACGACAATGGGGCAGTGCTGAACTCAACCACCAAGATCGAGCCTGACGTCGACGCGGTGCTGAATTCCACCACCAAGATCGAGGACGATGAACAAGACGTGTTGCCACCGCTCCTGGCGCCGCCTTCGCTTCGACCTGATTCCCGGCTTTCAATCGGGGAGGACCTGCCCCTGAAGATGCTCTCCTATTCCGAGCAACAAAAGGATTTACTTATGTCTTCACCTACCAAGCGGCAGACGGTGATAAAGCCAGTGGTGCGTATTAACGAACCGCGACTTGTCATCAGCAAATTGGTCCTCACTAATTTCAAACTGTATGCCGGTGTACAAGAAATCGGTCCATTCCACCCAAGCTTCAGTGCCGTGGTCGGCCCCAATGGTAGTGGTAAGTCCAATGTCATTGATTCCCTTTTGTTTGTGTTTGGTTTCCGAGCCACAAAAATGCGTCAACTGAAGCTCAGTGAATTGATTCACAACCTGGCTGTCGACGCTAACCTACGACCAGAATACTGTCAGGTTGATATTCATTTCCACAGTGTATTGGACGATCCCGAAGATGAATCCCATAGTGAGGTGGTCCCCGATCTGGAGATTATCATCCTGCGACGAGCAACCCAACAGAACCAATCGACCTACTACATTGATAAGCGCACGCTGAACTATACAGAGGTCACCAACTACCTCAAGGACAGAGGGGTCGATTTGGACCACAAGCGGTTTCTCATCCTTCAAGGAGAAGTCGAACTTATCGCGCAAATGAAGGCAAAAGCTGAACGTGACAACGAAGATGGCTTGCTTGAATATCTCGAAGATATCATTGGCACTGCTCGATATAAACTGTTGATTGAAGAGCTGCTACAACGTGTGGATGTGCTTAATGAAACTTGCCGCGAAAAGGAGCTGCGTGTCGAATTGGTTGAGAAAGATAAAACCAACATGGAGCCTCTTAAGGAAGAAGCGCTTCGATTTTTGGAAAAAGAAAAGCAATTGGTCCACAAACGACTGCTACGGTATCAAGTGCTGATTTTTGAGCAGACAGATAAAGCTGAAGCAGCTGAGGCTAAGGCTCAAGAACTACAAGCTAAACTTGACCAGGAACGTGCAGACAATCAAGAATTAATTGATCTGGTGGCGGATATTGTCAAGGAGATTGAGCGTCTTAAGGGCCAATGCGCCGACATTGATCCCCAGCTTTCTAAGGCTATCAAACAGCAAAAAGATCTCAACCGTCAGAAAGTTGCAGCTGAGGAAAGGTATAAGAATTCTCAATCTAAGTTGAAGAAGTTTGAGAAGCAGAAGGAGTCGCTGGAACATCAGCTTAATACTAATCGTACTAAACTCAAGCAATTGGAAGCTGATGGTGCCAAGGAACGCGCCGAGCTCGAGCAACTTAACCAAAATCTCGTAACCGAGAAACAAAAGCTTGATGCTATCAAAAGCAAGTTGCATGAAAATACGAAACATTTGCGAGTGCAGATTGAGGACTTGCAACGCCAATTGTCTCCGTGGAACGAGAAGTTATCTGCAAAGGATAACCAAATTCTGATTGTCAAACTGGAAGGTGAGGCGCTCGAGAGAGAGAAAAATGAGATGATCAATACTATCAAGGAGGGTCAAAACCGTATGAAGGAGATCAAAACGGAAGGTCAAACTAAAGAAGCAGACTTGGCTGAGCTGGAGCACAAAATCGAAAAATGTCGCGAGCAAATGGGTCTTGGGAAGGACCAAGTTGCCGCAGCCGAAGAACAGCTCAAGGCAGTGGGTGAAGAATTATCAATCTTACAATCGAAGCACCATGAATTGCGCGATCGTGTGTCACAAAGTCAAAACCGGAATAAAGTGTTAGACCTGTTGATGCGTCTTCAACGACTGGGACGTATTACTGGGTTTCACGGTCGTCTTGGCGATTTAGGGCGAATTGATCCTCAATATGATGTGGCCATATCTACTGCTAGTGGTGCAGGGCTTGACTCTTTGGTTGTTGATAAAGTTGAAACTGCCCAGCAATGTATTGAATATTTGCGTAAAAACAAATTGGGGTACGCCAATTTTGTATGTTTGGACAAATTGCGCAAATTCAATTTGGGACTGATGCAATTACCTAGCAACGATGTGCAAAGATTGTTTGACTTGATCACACCAAATGATCCGAAGTTTGCCCCCGCATTCTACTCCAAGATGTATGACACCCTCGTCGCGCCACTGTTAGATATTGCGAAACACGTTGGGTACGGAGGTGGCCGTGGGGGTAAGCGCTACAAGGTTGTTACTGAGGATGGTAAGGTTGTTGATACCCTGGGTGCGATGCTGGGTGGTGGTACACATGTGGCACGCGGTGCCATGAAATTGACGACTGAAGCTGTTCAAATTGAAGTGGACCCTGCTGAGGTTGAGGCTCTCGAACAAAGTATCCGAGTCAAACAGCAAGAGTACAATGAATCCAAACGTGATTTCGAACAGAAAAAGGATGTCATGGTGAAATTGCAAAACTTATACGACGACACGGAGGTGTTGATTCAAAGATTGAAGCTCGACATCGACCATTTGGTCCTGGAAAAAAGTGAATTGAAGACGCGCTTGAAAGCGATGGTCGCTGACGAACACAAATTTAAGGATCTCGATGAAAAACTCGACGCCAAAGAAGCTGAACTTAAAAAGCTCAACGCTGAGCGCAAGGAATTAAAAGCGCAAATGAAAGATCTTGAGACGAAGATTGAAGATTTGAATCAACAAGTTTTGAATGCCGGAGGGGTGAATCTCAAAGTGCAAATTTCGAAGGTCGACTCAATTCAGCAAACAATTGAACTTATTACGTTGAAGACCAGTGACGCTCGCAAAACCCACCTTAAGTTGACTCTGGAAGTCGCTCATGGAGAGAAGATTTTGGCCGAGGCTGAGCTGCAAATCGCAAAGTTGACGGAAGAAATTGAAGGTTTCGTCGCTGGCCAAGAACTGCTCACGGCTGAGTTGAAGCAGGTCACAGAGCTAATCTCAAAACTTGAAGCTGAACGTCTCAAATGGGAACTGGAACTTGAAAAAATCGAGCAGGATCTCGAAGAACAGAATGAGCGCATCAATAAGTTCAGACTGATGGAGATTGAAATGACTAACGAAATTGAAACTGTGACAGCTAAAGCCGCTAAAGCCAGGCGCCACATCGAGCATGACCAACATCAACTTAATGAGCTTACAGTAAGGGACACAGCTCCTTACTTAGAATGGATGAAGGATGAAGCCGAAAGAGCACGTTATGAGCTGGGTGCGATCAACATGATGCTGCGTGAAGAGTTAGCTGATGTGGATTTCGAGCAAGTTGAAGACGAGATTAGTGAGTTGGAAGCTTATTTCAGCGAAGTTCAGTGTGATATTGAAGTTCTCATTGAATATGGACTCAAAATGGCTGATTTTGAATCGCGAGTTGATGATATGAATATTGCAGTGGATGAGCGAGATGCTGTTAGAGCTGAATGTGAAGAGCTCAAACACAAGCGGTTACTGGAGTTTATGGAAGGGTTCAATACCATTTCAATGACGCTCAAGGATATGTATCGCATGATTACTATGGGGGGTAATGCCGAACTCGAATTGGTCGACTCTCTTGATCCGTTTTCCGAAGGTATCTTATTCTCAGTGATGCCTCCAAAGAAGCTGTGGCGAAACATCTCTAACTTATCCGGTGGTGAAAAAACCTTATCGTCATTGGCACTTGTGTTTGCCTTGCATGCATACAAACCGACACCGTTATATGTCATGGACGAAATTGATGCCGCTCTCGATTTCCGTAATGTGTCAATTGTGGCGAACTATATCAAGGAACGAACCAAGAACGCTCAGTTCGTTGTCATTTCCCTCAGAAACAATATGTTTGAATTGGCCCAGCAGTTGGTGGGAATCTACAAGGTTGACAACAAGACCCACTCTATCACGATCAAAAATAAATAGGAGGAATTAATTTACGTTACGAAACATAGCCGCTTCATTACTAACTCTGTGTACGCCAAGGAAAATCGAATGCATTGAACTGTATGTCAAACCCCGACCAAACCCCGCAGGCTGAATCATACAGACCACGCCGTAGTCCTACAACCTACTAGATGATGACCCCGTGGGGTTCTCACATCAATACTTAATTACTGATTACAGCAATTGAGATTGTTCTTACGCGAGGCACAGCTGACATGTGTGTATGCAGATTTCCCATTTTCAAGGCTTTTCCATGATGCTTGTCAATTCCGATGTAGAGTTATTGAAGTGAATACCCATAACACATATTTGACGTGAGAAAACATGCGCGCCAACTACGTCATTTAGAAGCGATACATGCGATGCTCGCGATGCTTTCACCGTGAGGCATTTACCGGCAAGGTGCCCTTCAAGTGAAGTGATAGCCATTTTTATGGTATTTGTCAGTAAAGAACAGAATAGGGCTTCTGGTCTCCTTGTATAGTTGTTTTATGATCAAAGAAGATCAGCTCATGAGCAAAATTATTCTCTAAAGTGTTGCATACAAACACAGCTACTCCCAACAGCTTGAAACACATAGAACGTCCCGGAAAAGGTGACTTTGGATCTAGTAGCGGGTAATTTAGTGTACTTGAATCGAATAAGCGGGTAATTCAGTCCATTCGTATTTCGTAAGCGGGTAATTCAATAAAGCCCCTACTTGTGCTCATAACCCATCTTTAGATTGGGGATCAATGCTTGTCGCATCCAAGCCGTGGGGAGTTGCCACCGGAAATCTGTTTTAATTGGGAGCCCGGTATATGCAGATGACGAGCATATTTAAACTGGTACCAATTTCGATTTTCTAAGCCCACAAAACATGTCGTTCAACTACGAAGACCACAAGAAAGCCATTGCCGCCAACATCAAGGCGCTCAATCCCACCATGGCGGAGTCCTACGAGGTCAAGCCGACTATCAATGCCTCGCTGGTGTTGTTTGCCAAGACGATGCTTGAATTCGACTGGAAACACCCTCAGCAACGCAAACTGAACGCTGAGTCTGAAACGCCTGTTGGTAACCCTGATAAAGACAATTATGGCATTAGTGAAGCCGACTTGCCTCTGCCTCAGACCTACCTTAAGGATTACCCCAATACCATCTTCAGGCCCGGAGCCAAAGTGATGGACTTCGCCGCGGGCACGGGTCTCGTCACGACGAAATTAGTGCCGTACTTGCCTGGTTCGGAGATTGTTGGTGTTGACATCAACCCCGCCTTCTTGGCCAAGTTTGAGGCCAAGGAGAAGGCGTTGCGGGAACAAGGGGTGAACATCTCCCACGTGGAGGTGGACATCATGGACCCTTCAAAGAAGGAAGAGCTCGACGCTAAGTTCAAGCGCCAGTTCGACATTATCTTCTGTACCTTATCCTACCACCACATCGATAACTATGAAGACGTTACTGTTCGTTTGTGTGAGTTTTTAGCTCCGGGGGGTGAATTGATCATCATTGATTTCTACAATGAAGATCTTGAGAATGTCGACGTCGAGCGGTTGAATGCTGACGAGTCGTTTGCTGTACGTCACATGGGTGGTCTTAAGAAGGAAGTCTTGCACCTGGTGTTGCAGGACAAGTGTGGCTTGACGAACGTGTCGGTGGCCCGTGAATTCAGATTCCGTATGTGGAATGAAGCGAAGTTTATCAATGGTCACTGCGATAAGCAAACTATTGACGACTTAAATGCAGGCAAGTTACCCACTAAGCAAGATCCCGTCGACGGGACCGTGTACTTGATCGACTCGTCGATCGTCATGGCTATCGGGCAACAACCCAAGTGATCGGGCAAAAGCAATAATTGACGAAATAGAAATTCACGTATGAAGACTTTTCACTCCAGATTATTTGTCAACAGTTTATACCACCTGTAAATAGAGCGAGGTTACTAAACGCAATCCCTGGATAACATTTAGTCTGCCAAATGTTTTTACTATGTTGTATACATAATAGGGGGACGTTAATGTCACGCTCGCCTTACCTCAAAAAATTCGTGATTTCAGTTATCTACCTGCATATGGCCGAGGCCACCCAATATATCTCACGATCGCTGCTCATACACCCACCTATACGTATGGCGTCCCGTGCTTCCCAGAAGCGGCTCACCAAGGAGTATAAGCTGATCCAGGCTAATCCTCCGCCGTTTATCCTCGCCAAACCCAACGATGAAAACATTTTGGAGTGGCACTACGTCATCGAAGGACCGCCGCTGACGCCGTTTGAGGGTGGCCAATACCACGGGATCTTGCGGTTCCCCCCAGAGTACCCTTTTAAGCCGCCTCTGATTCTGATGATCACCCCTAATGGCAGATTCACTACCAACATGCGGTTGTGTCTCCTGATGCTGGATTACCACCCCGACACGTGGAATCCCGCCTGGCTGGTGGCAACCATCCTTACCGGCCTCTTATCGTTTATGACCGGCGACGAGGCTACTACCGGATCTATTCTGACGACAGACTCGGTTAAACGCAAGCTCGCCCTCTCTCTGAAGCAGTGGAACAACTCGGAAAACGTCAGGTTCAAGAAGCTTTTCCCCGACATATACAAACAGAATATTATTGACATCAAGAACGCCGAAGCCCCTCCCAAGCCGGTGGAGGAGAAGCCGTCAGAGATCGCCGATCTAGCCTCGATGGACGCTGAAGATCGTGCTCGTGTTCTTGTTGAACCCCGCAACTCCAACGGTCTGAGCCGGGTCGGTATGGTGGTCGGGGTGGTCATCGTCGCTATGGCTGTGGTTTTAATGAATAAGTAATGACATCAGTGAATATACGTATGCAACAGTTGTTTTTGTAGTATTTCGTAAGCACATAAGAAAGATACCCTTCATTAAAATATTAATATACACAAGATTCAAGCTATTTACCCGCTTAAACCTTGAAACCTCTCGATCTCCGTCTACCTCTGGCTCTTTCGAACTTTCTGCCCTTGGACATGATTCTGGGAGCCTTGTTCTTGTGGGGACCGAAACCGAAGTGTCTGACGGCTTCTCTGTGCGATCTGGGGCCTCTGACAATCACGGTGTTTTGACCCTTGGGGGCTCTGAGGGCCAATTGGTCCAAAGTGATGGCTTCACCACCAGCCTTGACGATTCTAGCCTTGGCACCGGCGGTGAATCTAAGGGCGGCAACGGTGGCCTTGGGGGCTTCCAACAATCTGTTGTCGTCGGTAACGGTACCAACAACAACGATGGTCTTTTGCGAAGCACCCTTTTGCTTGAGAACGGTGTCAATTCTCGAGAGCGACACGGGGGGTCTGTTGATCTTCGACAAGAACAAAGCTCTGAGAATCACCTTGTTGAAGGGAGCGTCAGTTCTTCCTATTATGTTAGTAACAAAGCTCGTTTTCTGCTCCATGAAAAAGACGCCCTTCACAGGACTCGCAGAAGCTCAACTCGATCAAGCGAGGAGCAAGTCGCCAAGCCACTAAAACTAGTAACAGTTGGCTGCCAGTTCGGCTAATAAAACTAGCAACCAATTGTTACTAGTTGCAACGGTTTGGAACCTCGTCAAGGCTCTCTTTTTCACACAAAAATCCATCAATACTTACTGGCAAGGAAGGTGTACAACTTGACCAACATCTTCAAGTAGATGTTGTTCGACTTGGGGGCCTCTCTGTGACCAGATCTGGCGTGTTGCTTGGTGGTGTGGTCTCTACCCATGTTGACTTGTGAGTGTAAACTGAAGAGAGATGAACGGTGAAAAATCTTTTTTAAGGCCAGACGCCAGGCGTCGTGTGCAGCGCGCGAGCGCTTGGGGCTTTAACCCTAATCACGTGATATTGGTATTCTGTGGTGACATGGCTAACTACGATTATTGCCTTAAGGAACATCGTAGCCGTTGTCAAAAAGATTGAGGCTACCTTGTACTGCTTCATAGTCTTCGTGTAGTCGTCAACGTTAATGCTGCTAAAGTCAAGTATGGTTGCAATGCGAGTGTACGCAACAGGCAATAGCTAGCGAGGTGGCACTTGCCAAGTCAACTTATGAACCAGCCATTCATTCATTATCAGGGTTCTTTAATTCAGTTTTCTTGTAATCATTCGACCTTCGCATATTCTGTTTGGGTTTCGAGATGGCTATTAAGTATTGTATCGCCTTCGGAAAACATCATCACTAATAGGTCGTTTAGTCGACTTTATAGCAAAAAAGCTCGACTCAATCTTCTAAAGCAGATGAATTAAGATCTGTAAGCCATGGTAGTTTGAAACTTTCACTTCTGTCCCGTTAGCGTAGTGAATTCAGTTAATAAAATCAATTAATCATATTTGTTCGATTTTCAAGCTGTGAATCACTTGTATAGGAGAAAGGTTAAAGATCAGGTTAATCTGGATTAATTAAAGTGTGTTCCATACAAGTTCAATGAGTATGGAGTTACTCAAGCATTCAGGCAACCTCAGATATGATCGTGTCTTTGAATACGAAATTGACCATACGCAAAATACATGACATTGAATGATATTGCCGTAGACCCAACACGCTATAGTGAGCCTTTATTTGAACGTGTAATCACCACAACGTCTAATAAATTTAGTCTGCTTGTTCATGTAATGACTGTCCGTGGTGCATAAGCCGCACGGATATCGGAGATCTCAGACCCTCGTTATCATGGCCCAGATAACTCCCATAAAGGGGTTCACAAATACTCCGGTGACCCGATCAATATGTTTGGTGCTGACAGTGACGGCGATAGCGCTCTCTGTACTCGGAATCAAGCACTATGTCCACCTCGAAATGGATCCCCACATTATTGAGTATTCGCAATACTGGCGCATTGCCACCTACCAGTTGCTGGTGGTAAACGAAAGCGACTACTTATTGACGACATATCTTTGGTTCTACTTCAAAGTGCTTGAGAGATTCTTTGGCAGCCGCAAGTATTTGTCTCTCGTGGCTCTTCTTTACGGTGTCAACGCTTTGGCGGTATTTGCCGTCATGGCCTTAGGCCAATTGGGGTGCTACATCACATCCTACCTCACCAGTACCATCATATTCAGAGGGGCTGGTTCTGATTTCTTGCCAACCATATTCAACGAAGTTACCCCAGGACCGCTTGCCATTTTAGCCCTGTTGTACGTGGTGTTCTCATATGTTATCCCCAAACTGTACCAGTTTAACATTGTGCTTGCAAACCCCTGGAGACCCAATGAAGTATCTAAGCTGGTCACGTTGACAAACCACTTCGCCATCCATATCATATTTTTCATGCTTGTGGTTAACAATGGATTCAAGCTGATAATACCACTGGTGGTAGGCCTCTTAGTGGGCAAGCTATACGTTCACCACTTACTTGTGGGCGAGAAATGGATGGTGCCGCAATGGGCGTTCAATCTATTCGTTAACCCTAAGAAGTTTATGCTACAGCTGAGTCCCAGCCGAGACAGTTACATGCCCGCGCCAACCCTGGAGAATCCTGTGAATATACCCGACCCAGAACACGACACTCCCGAGCAGGTGGACGAGGACGGGGGTAGTCGGGAGCCCAATGTGATTCGGGCAGAGACGCCGGCGCGTCCATTGGGGCTGCAACTTTTGGATACGTTCAGAAATTGATAGTCCAAGGATAATCGTATCTATTCTTTATTCATCATTCAGGTAAACTAAATATTTAATCCATCAACAACATCTTTTCGGGGTCTTCGATGAGTTCACAGACAGTCTTCAAGAAAGTGACGGCTTCTCTGCCGTCAACACATCTGTGGTCGTAAGTCAAGGCCAAGTATTGCATGGGTCTCGATTCGACTTGACCGTTGACGGTGACGGGTCTTTGCTTGACACCGTGCATACCGAGCACAGCGGTTTGAGGCATGTTGATGATGGGGGTACCGAACAACGAGCCGAACACACCACCGTTGGAGATGGTGAAAGTACCACCGGCCATGTCTTCGAGGGTCAACTTACCGTCTCTGGCCTTCTTACCCAAGCTGGCGATTTCAGCTTCGATGCCCAAGATCGAACGCGATTCGGCGTTTCTGACGACGGGGGTGACCAAACCCTTAGGGGTGGCGACGGCGACAGAGATGTCGACGTAGTCTCTGAAGACGATGGTGTCACCGTTTTCAATGGCGGCGTTGACGGCGGGGACTTCCTTGGCAGCCAAGGTCACGGCCTTGGAGAAGGCACCCATGAAACCGAGCTTGATGCCCTTCTTTTCCAAGAATTCGTCCTTGTACTTCTTTCTCATGTTCAACAAGTTGGTCATGTCAACTTCGTTGAAGGTGGTCAACGAGGCGGCGGTGTTTTGCGATTCCTTCAATCTTTCGGCGATTCTCAATCTCATCCGGTTCATCTTAACGCGTTCTTCGTGTCTCGAGAAGGCACCCAAAGACGAGGTTTGTTGAGCAGGTTCCGACTTGGGAGCTTCCTTCTTGGGGGCGGCTTCCTTCTTAGGAGCGGGGGCCGATTCTTCCTTCTTGGGAGCAGCCTCTTCCTTCTTGGGAGCGGCTTCTTCCTTAGGGGCGGATTCTTCCTTCTTGGGGGCAGCGCCGCCTTCAGGGGCGTCGCCTTCTTCGATGACGGCAATTTCTTGGCCGACTTCGACGGTGTCTTCGGGGGCAACAAGGAGTTCCTTGACGGTACCGCCGACGGGGGCGTTCACTTCGACGTCGATCTTGTCGGTTTCAATGGTAGCCAAAAGCTCATCTTGGGCGACGTATTCACCAACTTCCTTGTTAAACGAAGCCAAGGTACCTTCGGTGATCGATTCAGCAAGTTCGGGGACCTTGATCGATTGCGAAGCAAACCGCTTGGGAGTGATGGGAGCGGAGAAGGCCGACACCGGGACAAATTGAGTGGGCTTCAGCGCCACCAAGGCAGAAAGGGTTCTTTGGGGCACCTTCACAGCCTTGGCGGAGGCAGCGGCCCGCAAAGCCGATCTTCTAACACTTCTCGACAACATTGATTAACGGTGTAGTTAAAATTTCCAAAGCGCTTATGCCAGTGTGGTATTGCCTTTTTCCTGTACATATATAATTGGGCCCGGTATGCAGTTCTGATTGGCCCCAAGCTCCGGGAAGAAGCGAGGTGAGGGATTTACTCCGAAGCGAGGTCCGAGGGTCAAGGCAAACCCAGCAAGCGAGCCCACGGTTTACATTGGCTAGGGTTCGGTCTATGATACTCTCAGACACCGCTTGGTAAACAATTGAAATTTTAACACAATTTGTGGCGATTGGTGAAAAAGGCGACACCCGGGCAACGACGGAATTCGTTTCGGTGGCGGTTGCGTGCCCGGCGTTCCCCGCCGCAAATGACTCCCGATGACTATAGTGACGATGAACGGGGTCCCGGTGTCACGTATACCGTACACAGTGATGAGGTGGCTTTCACCTTGCTTTCACACGCGTCTGTTGGGCACACTTTTTAATGCGGCAAACGAGAAATCGCCGAGCGGTAGGCTGTGTCCCCAACAACGGCGAAATCTCAGTTCGCGCATTGCCGTGAGTTGGAGCCACGCACTCTTTACATCGCTGGGGATTTCCGTGTTTTATAAAAACATATTCCCTAATGAGGGATTGGCTGCAAAATAGAGGGGAAACTGAAGCGACCGAATTTTGGTGTAACATTGAAATTCCACTACAGGTCTAAAAAAGAAACTCGATGTACAGACGATTTAACTTAATTTGCTGGGCACGTACGGCCTTAGTAAGTGGCGTTTTTGGATCATGTGCAGCAAATATGACTGGTCGGGCCGTGTGGCCGTCCCAAAAAATACAGGTCCTACCCGGATTCGAACCGGGGTTGTTCGGATCAGAACCGAAAGTGATAACCGCTACACTATAAGACCCGCACGAATTATTGTATGATAGACGGGTTTGTGAGAAGCAAAATCAAATGCAATATTTCGCAAAAACTCGCTCATATCCAACTTAAAATATCATCGCATTGGTGCCTGGGTTGTTAAATGTGTCGAAAGTTCGAAATCACGTACAAATTTGGTCATACGAGACGCGTTGATCACTTTCTTAAGTTTCGGAATATTTCGTGAAAATTGAAATAGACGCAACAAAATGGTTTACAATATAAAATGAAAGATTGCAACGATTAACTTAACGTTCTACTATACAGTTTGTACTCTGTAATATTGTGTATGTTTGATTAACTCACGTAAGGCAGACCTAATCAAGATTCACTTTGAGATCATTTAGATTTAATTGTATCCTTGTGCGTTGCGTGAGGAGAACGTGGGCGTCTGCACTTAAAGACCGAATGTCATTGCACAAACAACATCAATCTTTTATTTATCTCGAGTAACTATTTGCCGTGGGTGCTTGACCTAGATTTATGTCCACGAGTCAAAAAACTTCCTTGGTTTGACTCAGGCTGGCGAAGTTGCCGAGACTGGTCCAATAACCTTCCCCACCCGGAGATTTCCCGGTGTGCGTATTGAACTATCGGATAGTCGCGAATACTATCATGGTCGGACATTCACACCCGCACATGGCCCGAAAACCTTAAATTGAGGTTCGGATGGAAATCCATGATAGAATACGACTAGAGTAGTACCGATGACATGTAGCGATTTGTCATCTAGGCGTGTGTCTGGTCATTTTTTCAACCCCCGACCGCCGGGATCCACTCCGGGTCTTGCTTTTCCGTTACTTATATAAAGGACTAAGCGCGAAAAAACTCATCTGGGTACCCAACCAAAAATCTCAACCAACCAATCAGTTAACCGATTTGTTAGCCAATTAGTTGACACTAACTAACGGAAGATGTTGAAGATTTCCAGAATTGCCAGAAGATTCGCCTCTACCAAGAAGGCCGAAGTCCTTGTCATTGGTGGTGGTCCCGGTGGTTACATTGCTGCCATCAAGTCGGCTCAATTGGGCATGAACACCGTGTGTGTTGAAGGCCGTGGTGCTCTTGGTGGTACCTGTTTGAACGTCGGGTGCATTCCTTCCAAGTCGTTGTTGAACAACTCGCAAATCTACCACACCATCAAGCACGACTCTGCTTCCCGTGGTATTGTCGGCACCGAAAACGTCGCTATCGACTTCCCCAAGTTGATGGAAGCCAAGGAAAAGTGTGTCAAGGGTCTTACCGGCGGTGTCGAAATGTTGTTCAAGAAGAACAAGGTTGACTACGTCAAGGGTTGGGCTTCGTTCGTCGACCCCCACAAGGTCACCGTTAAGGGCCTTGACGGTAACGACGTTGAAATTGAAGCCGACAACATCATTGTTGCCACCGGTTCGGAAGTCACTCCCTTCCCTGGTATCGAAATCGACGAGGAAAGAATTGTCTCGTCGACCGGTATCCTCTCCCTCAAGGAAATCCCCAAGCGGTTGACCATCATCGGTGGTGGTATCATTGGTTTGGAAATGGCCTCGGTGTACTCGAGACTCGGTTCTGAAGTCACCGTGGTTGAATTCCAACCCGCCATCGGTGCCGGTATGGATGACGAAGTCGCCAAGACCATCCAAAAGTTGTTGACTAAGCAAGGTCTTAAGTTCAAGTTGAGCACTAAGGTTATCTCGGGTAAGAGAAACGGCGATGTCGTTGACATTGAAGTCGAAGACGCCAAGTCGGGCAAGACCGAACAAATCGAATCCGACGTCTTGTTGGTTGCCGTCGGTAGACGCCCCTACACCAAGGGCCTTAACTACGAAGCCGCCGGTTTGGAAGCTGACAACAAGGGTCGTTTGGTGATTGACTCTGAATTCAAGACCAAGCACCCCCACATCCGCGTCATTGGTGACGTCACTTTCGGTCCTATGTTGGCCCACAAGGCTGAAGAAGAAGGTGTTGCCGCCGCTGAATACATCAAGCACGGCCACGGTCACGTCAACTACAACAACATCCCCTCGGTTATGTACTCGCACCCCGAAGTCGCTTGGGTTGGTCAAAACGAAAAGCAATTGAAGGAACAAGGCATCAAGTACAAGGTCGGTAAGTTCCCCTTCATTGCCAACTCGAGAGCCAAGTGCAACCAAGAAACCGACGGTTTCGTCAAGTTCCTTGCCGATGCTGAAACTCAAAGAATTCTCGGTGTCCACATCATCGGCCCCAACGCCGGTGAAATGATCGCCGAAGCTGGTTTGGCTTTGGAATACGGTGCCTCTACCGAAGACATTGCCAGAGTGTGCCACGCTCACCCTACTTTGTCGGAAGCTTTCAAGGAAGCTGCTTTGGCTACTTTCGACAAGCCCCTCAACTTTTAATGGTTGTACGTAATGAGTATGATAGATTACCAGTGACTAACGCTGATTAAATGCGGCTCAAGGGCTGTTAGCAAATTCCGTAGTTCAGCTTTCAGAACATTCTCTTTATGAATGACCACATCTAGTGGCAGCTTACCGTTGAAGTACTTGACCATTTTGTAAAAGACTGGTACAAGCTCGGGGGCAAGCTTCGCTTCATCCGAGATGATTTTGCTCATCCAGCGTCTTTCAAGGGTCGTGGCCCTGCCAGGATCCATGATAATATAATCCTCATCCTCATCAAGCTCAATCTTTGTTCCTCTTGTCAACTTCTCTTGAATCGAATCGATATCCTGTTTGGTGGTAGTAACCTCAGGCTGAACTTTAGAAGTGTTGTCTGACAGTTGGTTCAAGAGAGCGTCGCCCAGCGACAGAGGTTTTGTCTTTCGTCCCCGTCCTTCCTCCATGTCTTCATCAACTTTCATACGAATGATCGGAGACACTTTGAGCCATACGAAAGTTTGGAGTTGTATAACATAGCCGAATTTGAGCAACCAAGTGAGAGCTTGAAAGTACAGCTCCTTGTGATCACGAGATGGTATAATCAGAGCATAGTGCAGTGGCTTGCGATGGTGAGGACTCAATAGTTTGAGAAAGTGAGACATTGATGGCAATGTGGGGAACAGATTTCGAAAGTTCTTGATGTCGTAGAAAAGGTTCACCAGAAGCGGCGCCATTGGACTAAGCACGTAAACACTTCGAGTAGAAATTGGTTGGATCACCCGAGCACGCCGCCAGTAGATTAAGTGGAAAGCATACAGTTTGATTTCATCCATATTCAAATCCGAAGCTTGAGCTAGAGACAGAAGTGATTCAGTTGGTTTGATCAAATGGATAAACTTCGCGAGACTCAGAGCTTCATCAGCCTTGAGTTCACGGATGATATCTCTAGGGTCGTCCAACAAAAGTAATGCAAAATAGATGACATCGTCAGCAACAAGACCAGTATCGTCACCTTCTTGTCGATCATGTTTACTCGAGGAACCATATCTCGTCGGCTCACCCAACACAAGAAGACCTTCGTTAGCTAAAAACTTTGTAGTCGAGCATAGTTTCGCCCCCGGCAAGTGCGGCACCAGAGGCTCGGGAAGCAGAACGAACTCCCACTTGATGGGGATCTGAAAAGATCTTAACTTGTTGTTGATGGATAAGTTAGCAATTTGCAGAGTCAGGATCGCTGTATAGCAATCACCAATCATCTTGCAAAGACCCAGCTGCTCATAGCATGCTTCCCACCATGTGTCCGGTTGTGTTTCCTTCAACTTAAATATCGACTTGATCTCTTTTGACACATAACCATTTCGACTCTGTTCATAACGCAACACCAAAGAGAGCCTCAGAATGACAAAGTGGAACATTTCATCAACACGCTGATTAGCTTCATTGATTGGTGGATTCATAATGAACACCAAATGGAACATGTTGATTCTGCCAGTAGGATGCTCTTTTTCTTGAATGCTTGTGTCCTCACCAACCACTTCCACGTCAGCTTTAGGCAAACTATTGCCCCGCCGATGGCTGCGGTTGTCCAGAAGGTCAGTTAATGTCAGCTTTTGATCAGTAGGAGCACGATGTTTCTCCTTTCGTCGCCAGCTATTATTGTCAAGCTTATGAATAGGCATACCCAAAAACACTTTATCATCAATCTGCATTTCGAATCGTGTGTTACACATCAGTTTGGGCGGACTGAGCATTTCTCCAAGATACGTCGTCTCCATTCCGAAGATCAAGTTAGTCTTACTCTTGTTCCGCTTCTTCAGCTGGTTCTCGTCATGCATATCATGAGGAATTGCCATGGACGTGTTCTGGCGCTTTTCGTGAGATTGACGCTGAGTGTAGAGTTCATCAAGATATGAAAGTAAGTCACCTTTTGTACCCGTGTAGAAATTGAGATGTGTCAGATCCCATTGCTTGCGCAATTTGCGATGTACCAAGTCACCGTCGTCATCATCACTGTACTCGCCGTCGCTATTCTCCTCTTCCTCTTGATATATATGCGTTTCTTGGGAGGACTTTTCTTGGCCCGATAGATCTTGGGGGTAGTTGAAAACTATCAGAGGCCCTGAAACCGTAGACACAACTAAAAGTATCCCCACTAGTGAAGGGTTGGGGAGGTTAAAGCTCATGCCTCCACGAAAGCGATCGCGCGGCGCGTAGAAGCGGGTTCAACGTCAGATACTTGAAAACCATGAATATCCCCATATTGTAGGAATGAAAACGATTCCATATAAGAATTTTGGTCAGACAATTGTGGTTGGTTGTAGTGTTGTCAGTCTTAAAGTTACTCTACTTTTTCATTTAGTGTCTTATGACATTGAGCCGTCGGAGGGTCTTTTTTCCGTTGTTCAAACCCCCGGCCTCATAATGGACCAGATACAACTAATTCTTGCCACTGTCCTTCTAGGGCTTGTGGTTTTGGTCGCGGTATGGTATGTCATACTGATGACCGGCCGTAAGGCCCTGGTGTCTCGCCCGACTTATTTGATTCTCGGTATAACCAATCTGGGGAAGACACTGTTATTCGCTCGATGGAATGATGTGGCCAGCGACGATGCTGGCGAAAAATGGGAAGAACCCATCGTCACAGTGTCGCTGATGGAAGCGAACTATGGTCAGATTCGTCTCCCGTTCTCCAAGCCGTCCATACAAAAGCTGTTCCAGCTCATTGATTATCCTGGTCATCTCAAGTACTTTGACTTGTTACAAAAGCTTATCCTTAATGAGATCACTCTCCAAAGAGTTAAAGGGGTCGTGTTCGTTGTTGACTCATCTCAATTCAAAGACTCGTCTCATACGGTGGCAAAATACTTGTTCAACTTGTTGAGTGTGACTGAACGTCTTCACAACGGTGTGGACTTCTTATTCGCAGTTAACAAGACCGACTTGTTTGACTCGACTCCTGTGGTTAGAGTGAGACAAATGCTCGAGGATGACATCAATTCGCTCATCCAAAATGAGTTGACGGCTATCGATAAGAATAACCTTGATGACAATGATGACCCCGTTGGCACCGAGACCCTTCGTGAATTCTGGCTCAGTGTGGTAGGATCCAAGGCTGGAAAGTTTACTTTCGACAAGCTTGAAGGTAATATGGATTTTGTCCCCGGTCTGGTGGTCAAGGGTAAGCTTGAGATGTGGGAAAACTGGTTAGACGAACGCGTGGTCAATTAATATACATAATAATACAGATTTTTTAGGTAACATCATGCCGAGGAACTTCAGGGAAGAAGCCACCTTGTTCGATTTTCTGTTGTCGGAGACGAGCTGCTTGAGATTGTGTGTGGTGGTTGAGCCGCACCTTGAACATCAGATCATCTAGCTGATAGTTCTTGAATGAATAGCTGGCTATTGACAGTTTTGTAGCTTCCAATTCTTTCTGTTGGGCCTCAAGCTCTTTTGTAAGCTTGGCATACTTGTCGCTAGAATCAGCATCACCCTCCTTTGCGTCTTCTTTTGGCTTTTTCAGACCCCACACCTTATTCCAAAGAAAAGGTTTATGTTTATAACGTTCCTGGGTCGTTTTGTCGATTTGCGATTCAAGTTCTATTCGCTTCTTCACAAGATCCTGATACTCAGTGGGTTTGATGGCTGTGGCAAACTGGGCATCACTCAAATGACCGCTGCAAACGTAGAAGAAGTCGACTTGATTGTCAGTGATCAACACGGTAGTGGTAGGCTTGTAGCATATAGCACAAGCCTTGCTATCCTTCGCTGCCACTTGGCGACATGTGTAATGGTTATTGAACGGACCAGCCATTGTCGCACCAGTGTGGGTGAGACATGGAAGTTGCGGCAAGTGGTCGACTGTACCAATAAATCATGCTAACCACGTACTTTGAAATATGACGACCACCACGGAATTGTCGACATCAAAGACTTTTACATAAAACCGATATCCTATATTTACGTGACGCCTTGACTGAATGCAGAATTGTATGAAATTGTATAATGTCCCACCAAATCCTTAACATCGAATAAATGAAATCGAACCTCAGAATTGAATTCATGGGTTCGAATTATCGATTGTGAGAGACTGATTACTATGAGCGGAATAAGGAGTCTGAAACAATCGACCGGATTTAGGCTTAGACCTTTCTAAATTGTGCGCTTTGCGTCTAGGCTCGACGAATTCGCGTGGCATTACGCATAGATCGGGGTCCAAATACAGCAAAGCAAGCGTGAGGGAATTTGCTCGTATAGGTTTGTACCCATGGTCTCATCATATAAACGAAATCTGGGGACAGCAAACGGGTTCAGTAGACAATCACAATCGTAAGCAACCTCCTTACAATTGTCATCGCCGTGGCGATTCCACGTGACACGAAATCAAATATTTACCTAAATTGGGCTGAACGATGGCTGGCGTCCAGCAATCGCGACCGAGTCCCGATTGTAAATAGAGATGCGAGTATCAGAAAAAGTAATATATGATACGGAAAGGCGTCGATTTTGAGAAACCCCCTTCATTAGGCAGTGATTGCTGATTCCGTTCCAAGCCGTAACGACAATTTTGGCGGTATACTAATATATTCTACGTAGCATTTAGTAACTGCCAAACGGGAAGAGGCCACGTTTATCACAGAGATCTGCTCGGTTAATACTCTGGATGTGTGGGGGGATGTCTTACTCACAACACGTGATGTTGTCAATCTTAGCGCCGAGCCGCCAAACATCCCCAACATTGAGAGGCCACGCGGGTCATGGGCACTTGGGTGTGACCCAGTACTCGACACAGTTGTAGACGCGCATACGGCGTTTCCGATTCGGGCCATTATCTTTAGTTTTTACGTGTAGTCATAAAGACACCATTGCTGATTTACAGAGTATCAATTGCTTCCTGGCATCCCAATACATTCAATTCGCTTCCTCCATTGGCTAGACTTGCACCCGATCCCTTGTTTGTAGTATATGCAGTATGCTCATCCTGCATATTTTTTGGGGTGGCAATCGACATGAGAAAAATTTCATCGTGGGCAAAAAAACACACCACCCTTACCCCTTTGACCGCCTTCTCCGGTTACGCCTAACACCGCGACCAGGTCCTACTATACACAACAATTGAGACATGAGTGACCACCCTGAGGCGGACATCGATTCCATCGTTGACAGATTGCTCGAAGTGCGCGGTCTGAGACCAGGGAAGCAAGTGACGCTTGCTGAACATGAGATCCGTTACCTTTGCACCAAGGCCCGGGAAATCTTCATCCAACAGCCCATTCTCCTTGAATTAGAGGCTCCCATCAAAATCTGTGGTGATATCCACGGGCAATACTACGATCTTTTACGGTTGTTCGAATACGGGGGCTTCCCGCCCGAGGCCAACTACTTGTTTTTGGGTGACTACGTTGACCGTGGTAAGCAATCTTTGGAAACTATCTGCCTTTTGCTTGCCTACAAAATCAAGTACCCCGAAAACTTCTTCATCCTTCGAGGCAATCACGAATGCGCTTCGATCAACCGTATCTATGGGTTTTACGATGAGTGCAAGCGTCGTTACAACATTAAGTTGTGGAAGACGTTTACCGATTGCTTCAACTGCTTGCCTATTGCCGCTATCATTGACGAAAAGATCTTCACTATGCACGGTGGTTTGTCTCCTGACTTGAACTCGATGGAACAAATTCGTCGGGTGATGCGTCCTACCGATATTCCCGATGTGGGTTTGTTGTGTGACTTATTGTGGTCAGACCCGGATAAGGATATTACTGGCTGGTCAGAAAATGACCGTGGGGTTTCATTCACATTCGGTCCCGATGTTGTCCTGCGGTTCTTACAAAAACACGACATGGACTTGATCTGTCGAGCTCATCAAGTCGTCGAAGATGGTTACGAGTTTTTCTCGAAGCGTCAATTGGTCACACTTTTCTCAGCTCCTAACTACTGTGGTGAATTTGACAACGCCGGGGCGATGATGCTGGTTGACGAACTGTTATTGTGTTCGTTCCAGATTTTGAAGCCGGCTGACAAGAAGCCTCGGTATCCCCCCACATCGGTGGGAGCCGGTTCCCGCCCGGTGACGGCGGCGAGAAAGCAAAAGCGCCCCGGCAAGTAAGGGGTCAAATTGGGTCATGAGGTTTGTCGAGTTGGCGTTGGGTTGGTTTAGGTGGTTGACGTGGCCACGCTGGCCGATTGGTGACGGTACCGCCAGGTCATTTACCAAGCTGAACTTGCAGCCCCAGGTTTTCCCCATGCATTTATAGACTTATATAACCTGCATTTGCCCTGGTTGTGGGCATAATTTTTGGTATTGGCATCATTTTTTTTCTTTTTGGCTGGTACCGACGTTTTTATAGCAGTTTATAGCATAACTATGTCCTCCAGCGAATGTTTCGACATTGGCAACAATTGGTCAAGACCAATTGAAACCAATGGAGGGAAGCACAAACCCAAGTGCTACCCTCCACCATTCCTGGAAAGGGCTAGTTATTGTCTTTTTTGATGCTGGGAGATCTGGACTGGTTGGAAAGCGGATACCTTGGTTGCACATTGGTTGCGTCGCACACACACCATTCACCACTAACTCGAAAGGCCTTAGACCCAAGGCATACAAAATTATTTAGGAATTGTATTACGAATAACGAATCTAATTGGATGATGTTTAAATCGGATGTGTAGGCTTTCACCTCGACAAGAGAGCCATGTTTGCCGTTACTGGACTGATTGCTAATGTTTTGATGTCATATTAATGGCAAAATTTCCTTTGAATGTGATGTGACCGACGTAAACGTTTACGAGTCTAGTGATCTACCCTTGCTGCTGGAACTAAACAGAATTACGCTTTCAGTCATTTGAATTATGATGGGAACCAGGTTTCTCAGCTATACATAAACCTCGACCAAATACGCGTGAGCAATATACGCTTCTGAATCATAAACTACATCCCTGGAAAAGATAGATAAAAGGCAATTATGCCTTTGAGATCACTACATCTGTATCTACCCATCTATATTTACTGTTTGTCACCTTGATCCCCTTCGATTTCTTGACTATGGCGGATTCTCAGGTCACGTGCTTAGGGTTTCCAGCCCTTTATCACTTGCGCAGACGACCATCCTGCAGCTGGCGGGGTGTGCGCGGTGTTGAAAATTTTGTTACTGAGGAGACATAGAACCCTTCGAATAGTCAGACAGCATGGTAGGTAACCTCGGTTCCAACAGCTGACGCTTTATTCCTATCGTTCCGTTTACATGTTTTGTGAATCAGGTTGATTCACTATCCCAGGGCCCGACGTTCAACTTGATTTCTGGGGGACTACCCCATCCGCTGGTTGGGTGGTCATTGCCCACAGAGCCACAGCTTGAGTGACCCACATTTTGGGCTGTATGCGGAGGATAGGAAGGCGGCGTCGATACACAAACGTGCCATTGATACTAACATTGATAGGTTTTGGTCCAAGATTTGTTGCACCCCTCTGCCGCTTCGGAAGCTAAGAAGCACAAGAAGAAGACCCTTGTCCAAGGCCCCAGATCGTTCTTCATGGACGTGAAGTGCCCCGGCTGCTTGAACATCACCACCGTGTTCTCGCACGCTCAATCCGCCGTCACTTGCGACTCGTGCTCGACTGTGTTGTGCACCCCTACCGGTGGTAAGGCCAAGTTGACCGAAGGTTGCTCTTTCAGAAAGAAGTAAACGTTGTGATTGGGGATAATCTGTGTATTACGTAATAGACATAATGAAATAGCATCGCTTTGTAGTATTATATCAAGACATTTTGAAGTTAGTGGTCATCTATTGTTTTAGAGCTACCTGATGACAATTCACTAATTCGAAGAATCGCTTACAACAACGTGAGTTGAAGACGTGGGCATTACGACGACCACTTGCGTCTGCTTCACAGGTCCTATATTTGGTAAAAAAAATTGTTAGTCGAATGTGAGCGTGAGATCGATTACTGCCTCTGGCGTTTAGCACCTAAAAAAACACAGGGCGCGCGCCTAACAAACTTTGACTACCAAAACGGAAACAGGAGATTACAAAAAAAAAGTGTCCTAGCTCTAGCTCGTGTCATTAATCTATCATTAGCATTATAACTTAGTCTTCACGTGTCTCACGACTTCATCGATGGCTTGAGCCACCCGTTCAACGTTACCGTCGTTCAACCCCGCAATCAGGGCCCGGCCCAGCGACACAAGGTAAACAGCGTGGTTCTTTTCCAAGCGGGCAACTTGTTCCGCGGACAAACCGGTGAACGAGAACATACCCACTTGGTTGACAATGTGGTCCCAGTTACCAGGGGTACCCAAAGCCTTCAAGCTGTCTCTCAACTTGACTCTCATCAGGTGGATACGAGACGACATGGTCACGAGATCCTGCTTCCATTGCTCGTACAATTGAGGGTCGGTCAAAATGGTGGCGACGACCTTAGAGCCGTAAGCAGGTGCCAGCGACACTTCCGAACGCACGATCTTATTGAGTTGGGTGGCGATGGCCTTGGTGATCTTGGTGTCCTTGCTGATGACGTGGACGCAACCAACACGTTCACCGTACATACCAGCGTTCTTAGCGAACGATTGACAGATGACAATGGGTTCTGCACGTTGGTTGGCCACCGCGTAACGAATCAGGTAGGCGTCCTGATCGAGCGAACCCAGGGCAAAACCTTGGTAGGCCGAGTCAAACAAAGGCACGTGGCCGTTGTCGAAGATGGCAGTCAACAACACTTGCCATTGTTCCTTAGTAGGGTCCAAACCGGTGGGGTTGTGGGCGCAGGCGTGGAGGACAAAGATCAGCCCTCTGGGGGCGGTCTTGATGGTGTCAACGAACCCGTCGAAATCGAGGGTCTTGTCTTCCTTCCAGTAAGGATACAGGTCGACTTGGAAGCCAATGTCGGTGAAGATTTGGTGGTGGTTAGCCCAGGTAGGTTTCAGCAAGTACAACCGCTTCGACCCGGGACCCGAGGTCAAGTTTCTGTACAAGAATACACCAGCAACGTGCAAAGCCCCGGTCCCCGACAAAGTTTGTTGGGACACGACGTTGCCGTTAGCGAGGGCGGGGGAGTCAGCGCCAAGGATGACCTTAGCGGCGTTCTGGACAAAAGGGGCGTAACCAGTAATGCCGAGGTATTCGTGGTCGTAGTTGGGCAGCTCTTGCAACTTCTTTTCTGCCTGTCTCACCGCGGGCAAGATCCAGGGCTTGCCGTTGTTGTCACGGTAGGCACCAATGCCCAAGTCGACCTTGTTGGGACGGGAGTCGGCGTTGTAGCGAGCCTTCAACCCGAACAAGGGATCAGGCGGCAATTCCTTAATGTTGGCAAAGTACGACATCGTGATACGTATTATCGCCACAAATGTCCGGGACTACACTATTTTTATACCCCGGGCAAATTCTTGAGGCATTGGGGCACTGAGGGGTTCGGGCCTGTATGCAACGCCAACGAAAAAGGCACTGTGGGAGGTGGGGAAGAGGTGAGGACGCACGAGGGGGCGGGGCGCCGCCCCAGCAGGACGTAAAATCCCGCGTTGGCGGTAATATTATCAGCAGGGATAGGGGGTGCTTTGTGGGCAGACCCACGAGTCCCTCTAAGCTACGTAGCTATAGAGTCTATGGTAACTCTCCACACCCGTGTTTTTCTCCCCCGCATGTGAGCTGTACCAAGCCGAGGCGGCGGCATCGGTCCAAAGGATGTTTTCCCTCGCCGCGCCGTTATATGCGATGGTAGTCTGCCGCCATCACAGACGCTGCCGAAAATTGACCCGATGGATCATAAGAGAAGGAAGAAGTCGGGTGCGTCATTATCATTACTATAACCAGATGCTGGGCTGGCCTGTGTGCCAGCAATTGCTAAAGCTTCGAGCGGTGCTGGTGGGGCGGCCGCGACGGGCGAACGAGGCGGCTCAGTGTCGACCGGTCGTTGGTGCGGCGTTGCGTGTTTAAGGTCGTGCCAAAGCCCGCCATCAGCCCGCCTGTGGTGGTCATCGTTTGGAGCCACGCTTTTAGCACTAGCCGATCTAGAGGGAACTCGTCAGTAATGAACTCGTCAGATTGAATCATAGGGTGATTTAGGACAATTCTTGCTACAACGAAGACTTTTATACCTTCTAAATTACACCAAACCATCTCGCCACTAGACATCGCCCCACTAATGGGGTGATGTGATCTTTCTTTAAAATGTCATGCCATGGCAACTGGTCGCTCGGTGCGGCAAAAGTTCCCCGGGTTTCGCCAGCACGGAGGTAAGTTCCGTGTCTCCGAAAAGCATCGGAGTTCTCGCTATAGTAAACACAGATACCCCGAGTACACGGTGAACTATAGTACGAGTGGCGCGGGGAGCTGATGCCCCCGATAGATTCCGCGACATTTCCTGTTAAGCGGCTTCGCTTGCGCCCTCCACTAGCGGTCTGTCTTAGCGGCAAATATAAGATCACCAAAGCAAGTCTTACCTGGTTGTGAGCCCCGGGTGACAAGTGTCACAAGACAGATGGGTAAATTACCTCAAGGTTAAAGCCAACAGGATCGGGCTTGTGGCAACCCCACACCTGTCACAGTAAACCATCGGAATAAACCGCAGCCAAAACAAACACGCTTAGTCAAGCAAAAATTCCAACTGTGAGTTTCGAAACGTTATTGATCTCCAGAGATTTCTTTTGTCTACGTCTTGCCAAGGCACACACGGCACTCGAGTTTACGTTAAAATCAGAATCTAGAACACCCGCCGATAAAAATGTTAGAAAATAACTAATAATAGATTTGTGGTGGAATTAACTTCGTCCAGAGACTGTTTGCCACAAAATTCAATGCTACCGGCGTGAGCATTTCCGCTGGACGCGTTCTATGGTGTACAATGGTTTATTTGCGTATCTATTATGCTAAACTACACTCTTCACCTCGAAGAATCTCCGCAAGTAGTAGATCTGGAAGAGCGAGTTGGCGGCGACAACGATAATTTGGAACACTGACCACCACTTGACCCGCGAGTTGGTGGACTCAGCGGTATTTCTGTGGGTACGTTCTCTGATGACGAGGTAAGCCTGTTCGTCCTTCACTTCTTGGGTCAAACGGTTCAATTGGCGAATGGCGTAGTCCAAAGTGTTGGCTTCGGGGTCGTTGACATCGATGTAGACCACCCCGTGGACGTTGAACGACACATCGAGATCAACCCGATTGCTCTTTTCGTTCGAGAAGCAGTACAAGTACTTGCCGGAGACATCGGCCTTGTACGAAATGTCACCGTGGTCCAAGTTTTCCCGTGATTGAACCACCTGGCCGTTGGGGTTGATGATGGAGAAGTCCACGGTGTATTGTTCACTTTGCAGAGGGTTACGCGAACCCACTTGGAAGGAAATCGCCAACTCGTCGTTGGACTTGAGGTTTTCAAAGAAACATTGCTTGCCGTAAGGTGTAAGCAACACGTTGTGGGCAAACAGCACCGCCAAAAGTACGAACAACCCAAGCACGTTCATGGTTCGTTGTCGTGAAAAACCAACGCGAAAATTTTGGACACGTCGCGCGCGTGGCACAGCATAGCTGTCATTGAGTCGAAAACAAGCACTAACTAAATAACTATGACACTGATACCGAGTTATGGACCGTCATCACCCATTGAAAATATCGCTTAGTCCACTTATGTGAAATATCTCACATCAGCACCGCGTTCTTGTTGTCCATAATCGGCGCACCGGTATTGTGCAAACAGCCAGTTTGAAAACGCGTCGTCTCTTCATCTCAAAAGCTGTTCGTGGTAGAACAGATTTGGCATGCTTCATTGATTATCTTGTCAGTTGCTGATAAACATATTGCCTCACAGGTTAGTTCGACTATCGTGGTATTCCTGAGCAGTTTTGCCATTGTGGAGCCATTTTGAGAATGATGCCGCCATGTAGCCTCTCCCGTTATCGGCTGTACCCCCCTTCAACTGCCAGATAGACGTGCGGTGCTCACAGGTATTTCTCTAAACCCCGAATGGTCGCCGCAGCGAAACTACCGCGGCCGCATTTTCCGCGTCAATTTGCTTTCTCTGAGCGGATTATCAGATCGTTCAGACTAAGTCATGAGCAAACTCGTATCCGTGAGTGTTCAGCAACAATTTGCCATATGGTCTCAGCTTGCGATATGGACGATATGGAAAATCTCAATTGACTTCAGAGATACCCCACTGAGTGTCGCGGGGGTATCTCGCATAGTGTTACTGTATTTGCCATTGCCGCACCCCGCAAAGCTTTAATTTCGTCGCCTAATTTTTCACTGACAGATCTATCATTCACGATCTTTCCCCCAGATTTAACGCAAAAATGAACTCGGATCACAATTACTGATAGCTATGACATTTAACGCTTCAAATGATGGGAAATGACGCCATCAAAACGATTATCTGCCATCTGCACCGGACATTTACCACCGCCGGAGAATCGTTGTATTTCACCGAAACCTGCACTTATTCCGCAATATTGAGCCCTGACGCATGACTCTTAATCATGAACCAATTGCGATGCCTGTGTATATAAGACAGCTGATTCCGGCGTTATCCTACAGCTTAAACAATGTTCCGTTTGGCTGCTCGTGTCTCCAGACAGCTGAGAGTATGGGGGAGACGCCACCTCTCCCGTACCGCGATTCCTAAGCGAGTACCTCGCGTGATGGCCGTTACCACTTTGGTGGGGACGATTGCCGTGGCTATCGCCTTGAGCCAGCCGTATCAATTGGATGCGAAGCCCAAGGGAAGAGGTGTACCCGTTGAAGAATTGCAAAAGCACAACTCGAAAGAAAATGGCGTGTGGGTGGCCATCAATGGTGACGTGTACGACTTGACCGATTTCCTTGAAATGCACCCTGGTGGTGAAAAGATCATCCTCAAGTATGCCGGTACCAACGCCCTGAAGATCTTCAACAAGTACCATGCCAAGGATGTGTTTGCCAAGTTCTTGTCGCCGGAAGCTTACATCGGTCCTCTCGTGGGTGAGTTGGAAGAAGCTGCCGACATCACTGAAGGTGAGATGGACCCCGAACGGTTGAACAAGCTTGAAAACTTGCCTCTGATCCACCACATGATGAACATCTCCGACTTTGAGGCTGTGGCCCGTCAAATCATCCCTCCTAATGCCTGGGCCTACTACCTGAGTGCGGCCGATGACGAAATGTCTAAGCGTGAAAACCACTACGCTTTCCACCGCATTTTCTTCAACCCTAAGGTTTTGGTCGATGTGAGAGATGTCGATATCTCCACCGATATGCTTGGTACTAAGGTGGCGGCTCCTTTCTACTGCCTGGCCGCTGCCCAGGCTAGATTGGGCCACCCTGATGGTGAACTTGGCATTTCTAGAGGTTGTAGTAAAGAGCGCATTATCCAAATGATCTCGTCGGTGGCGCTGTACTCTTTCGATGAAATCATGGACTCTGCCCTTCCTGATCAAACTCACTGGTTCCAGCTTTATGTGCTCCCTGATCGTCAACTTGCTTACGATGCCATTGAAAGGGCCAACAGACGAGGCGCTAAGGCTCTCTTTGTTACTGTGGACGCCCCTGAATTGGGTAACCGTGAGAAGGATAGAAAGTTCCGGTTGAACTTGGATTTGGACGACAACTCGGATGAAGACGCTGCCATTGCTGCCCAAATGGACGCTGACGTGGTGATGTCTCACAAAGATGCTGGTCTTACCTGGAAGGACATTGCTGACTTCAAGAAGATTGCTAAGATGCCCGTTGTGATCAAGGGGGTTCAAAGAGTTGAAGACGTTTTGTTGGCGGTTGAAAACGGCGTTGATGCTGTTGTGTTGTCCAATCACGGTGGTCGTCAACTCGACTTCGCTCGGGCTCCCATCGAAGTCTTGGCTGATGTCATGCCTATCTTGCGCGAGCGTAAGTTGGATGACAAGATCGAAGTCTACATCGATGGTGGTGTCACCAGAGGTACCGATGTCCTCAAGGCCCTTTGCTTAGGGGCCAAGGGTGTTGGTTTGGGCCGTGCATTCCTTTTCGCAAACTCTTGTTATGGTGAAAAGGGGGTTCAAAAGATGATTAAGCTTTTGAAGGAGGAAATCCGCCTCAACATGAAGTTGTTGGGGGTGTCCAAGATTTCCGAGTTGACTCCCGAATTGGTTGACACTCGCAGTTTGATCGCTCGTTCCGCCCAACCTGACTACATGTATAACTCTTCATATGAGCCTTTGACTCCTCCTAAGTTCAGAGACGAATAGATTCATCTTCATCAAAATACATCATTCAATCATTATAAAAGTTTCATGCGTAAGTGCCAACGTTTTCTAAGTGTCAGGTCTAAATAAGCAGACTTGTCTCTTGCTTCAGTGTTTCGGGTGAGTCGAAACTTGCTTCGCAATCATGAATCAAGGTTAAAGCCACCCCTCGGTCGAATATTCCACCAGGATAAGTGTGAGGGATCATGGAAGGCCTACCACATGGTCCATAACGACCAATGACTGGGATGCCATTGAAAACTACCATGAGCATGAGCGAAATCAAAATTAGTGTCATCTGCACCACTGAAATTGACCAAAATGCTTTACCGATGTAACAAAAGTAGCTCTCGTACCAGGAACTGTTTGAGAATATCCGTGAATAATAGCCACAATCGGTACCGGGGAAATCATAGAGAATACCAAAGATGGTGATCCAGAAGGCGTACACTAGCAGTTCACACACCAATAGGAGTCTAGGCCACTTGGGGCGGAACGGCAGAAGCAGCACGGCCAACCAGATAAGCGATAACAGCGACACCACCATAGTATAGATGTAGCCAGCATAATGGGATACACTGAGCAACACTCCACAGAATGCGACGCAAGCAGCGTTTAAGAGGATTTGAAACCCTCTCAACACCAAGGAGATTGCCAACTTGCTCATGATGATACCTAGAATTTGGTTTTGACGTGAATGTGGTGGTTGAGCAAAATGCAAACAAACTGGCAGAGAACCCAAGAAAATTGTAACTTTACAAGCTGGACTCCGCAAATACCGGTACAAGCGACTATTTAGTTGTAATTTAATCATCTCAATAAATTGACTTGTCATCATCATTATCCCAATACTGAACGGGTTTACATTTATTTCAACCCTCTTGGAGGCTAGCCGTGAGAGGCTGAACCCTATTATGTTCACTGCGCGACCTACGATTTTGCATTCGCAACCCCTTACTTTGCAAGTGCCGAACAGGCCAAATTGCATCACTTCATGTTGTAGAATATTGTTATTTCAGGTTTCTCAAAAATGACATACTACAGAAAGTATTAGACTATTTCTTACTTCTACATTAAGTTGTGACATGCTAGCAGCTCTGCTAGTCATATATTCGTGAATAAAATGAAACTAATTAGTATTTATACAGTGAGCCATCCTGGCAAGAGCATCGACCCCGTCGATGCAGTATTAGGTAGTAGAAGCATCGTCTAAAGGTATTGTGAGCGGATACCGATGACCATTTGCTGCTTATCAGGAGGCAACGTACGCACCTCGTGTTCGGGTAATTGCAAAACTTGGACAATCAATTCAGCCTCTTGAGGGTTAACTTGAGCCAACTTCTGTTGAGTATGAGGCGGGAACATTGCCCATTTGCTGTTGACATTGGGGGTGGGAGGCACAGGTGAATGTCCATAAGTTTGAGGAACCGGTTGGGGTGGCGGCGGCGACGGTGACGGCATTTGACGGAACTGTGTTTGCGTAGGGGGTTGAGGCAAATGAGGATTGGGACGACTGGTGACCTCTTGGATCACCTCTTCGTCAATGAGTCCCATGAGCATAAGTGCTTGCGCGGCAGCGGGTGCCACGTTGGGGTATTGCAACACCTCAACCACTCGTGCCGCATCCGGACCCAGAAGCATGTTCTTGATAGTGCCAATTAACTCGATGAGTTGAGGTGGAGGGATGTGAGCAAGGGTTTCGTTAATGCGGTCGTTGACGGTGAACGGAGAATCGTTGATGGGCATTGGCGGCAACACCTTCAGCGCTTGAGCGTATTTGGGTGGCACCAATTGCGGCTGGTTGCCATTGACACCTGCCCGAGGGGCCACGTTGCCGGGAACAGGACTACGCTCAAATGCAGGCGACATTTGACGGGCCTGGCCGTATCCTTGAGGAAGGGAATGTTGCGCAGGATCAAGTCCCGGTATTTTCAGCACCATTTCCATGGGCATCTTCACGTTGGGAGGGATGTAGCGAGGGTCGGGTTTGATCACTGGCTTGAGCAGCAGGTCGGTGGTGTTGGTCTTGAAGCCTTCTTTCAGCAGTTCCACCCGCAACCGTTTAGGCCCACCGCCGGGTTGCATGATTCGGACTTGCTGAAGCATCTTGGTGGCTTGTTGGGCATCGGCTGAGGTTTGGTACTCACAGAACGAGAACCCTTTGTGTTTACGGTTGGAGTCAAGACCCATACGGACATCGATCAAACGACCGGCGGCTCCGGCCACGGCTCGAATGACATTCTCATCCCAGTCAGGCGGGAGCAGCCCGACATAGAGGATTGTCAGAGTCATGAAAGCCACGAGACAACGAGCTGAGGACGAGGAGAGGATTTATTCGCAGTGCGTGCTTACGCGCCGCTTAGTCAGACACGCCACCACGTCAAATACACAACAACTAGCCGAGAGATTGCTATCTCCCTGAGAGTATTATTTGCCTACACCAATATTAACGTGTCTAAAACAATGCTCAATTTCAATGTGAGCGAAGAAGTGAAGCACTGTATCTTTTGGGAATAAAAACACACACGCCATTAATCCAGATCCTGACTACATAATACCAATTTGGCTCAACAGACATTTTACACGAAGCTATCAGTCAATCCGATAAGTGCTCACGATTGACAGATGCTCGAGAATTGTTGAATTATCTGTCGTAATCGCTTCGCATTCAACATTGTAAAAATCACATAGGAGAAAGCTAATATTGTTAGTGGATCTCATCGCATGTCGTGGAGACAATGGCCGGCGATTACCGACGTCGACGAACACGTGTTTGAGCTCTACACTGAGTGTGGTCCGGAGGAGAACCAGAATCTTGGCTACGTCGACCGGCTGAGTGACTTGGTGCAGGTTGAGCTCGCGGACGGTACCGATCTCACCATTCGCCAGCTGTGGAGTGAAGTGATCCATAATGAGCTGTCCACAGGGTTTATCTGCTGGAAAGCCCTGGTGAACTTGGTGGACTGGTGGAGTGATGGCCCCTTAAGTCAGCTCTTGACGGCAGACACGATGGTGGTGGAGTTGGGTGCCGGAGTTGGCGGGATTCTTGCCCTGCAACTAGCTCGTAAGTGTCGTAGCTACGTTGCTACTGATCAGAAGCTGATACTCAAGCTTTTACAGGCAAACCTACGGGAGAACGGTGCCTCCGCTCAGGTGAAGGTGGCTGAATTCGACTGGGAATACGTCGAGCATGGCGTGTACCTGGTGCGGGAGGTGGAGCTGGACCCCATCGACGTGGTGCTTGCCAGCGATACCATCTACAACGAGTACCTTGTCCCACACTTCATTGAGGCTGCTCATGCCATTCTTCGGCCCCAGGGGGTCGCGGTAGTGGCGGTGCCTCTCCGCCACCCCGAGCTCATTGACTGCTTTGTTGCCGAGGCAATTGAGCGCAATCGCTTTGTAGTTCGAGCCGTACCATCTCAGAAATTGTCAGAAGCACTTCGCCGTGGCTACGTGGTGTATGTTATGGAGCGGTCATCATCGTAACCAAATGCCTAAGCGAGCACTATAATCGCGTGAGCAAGAACACGTCTCCAAATTGGTATAATTTAATTAGAACTATTCTCAATTGTAACCACTCTCCCACTATCCAATCGCCTGCGATAATCCCCTCGAGCATTTAGTGGTGGGTCGTTCAACATCACCACTCTATTTTTCGGTTACGCCGTACATCGCACTCACCTTGAACATCCCACCGGTTGTCGAGTGCCGTAAATGAGCTCTGTCAAGGCACAGCGGAACCCACAGGGCTCAAGGCGGCGAAAGCCGGTGAAGACTCGGCTGAGGAGACTGGAGGACGCCGAAGATGCCCCGCCAATGGCGGCGAGGGAGTCCCTGACGCCGGCTTCAACCGTGACTGCTAAAGGCGCCCTCAACTATCCTGCGGACGTGGTGGCAGCTACGGGACCATTATTCCCAAACCCTCAACAGTTGGGGTTCACCGAAAAACGCCTGAGGACCCCCCGTTCCACACCAAAGTGGCACTTGGCCCAGCCTCGAAACCTCGTCACCCCTCCGATACATCGCGATGAATGGGACGTTGCTAACCAAAACAAGATGGAGCAGATGGAAGCGCAACGGCGAGGTGACTATCATGGTCTCTACGAAGATTTCCAGAGGATGCGTGACGTTGAAAGGAAAGAGATGGAGAAGCGGGGGCTAGTCGATGCCGAGGGCGCTGCGAAAGACCTCACCGAAGCTATCTCCTTCCAGGGTTCCTGTCTTGATATGTGTCCTACATTTGAACGGATACGTCGTGCCAATGAAAACAATGTTAAGGCGTGGGAAAAAGACAAAGCCACCGGTCAAATCTCGCGTGACTTAGCAGTGAAGGCATTTCTGCGCCCTGCTGCCGGTCAGCCGCCGCCCCTTCCACTGGACGTTCGTCCGCCTCAAGTTTTGCAAACTACATTGGATTATTTGGTTAACAACGCTGTTAACTTTCTCCCCGACTCGCATCTGTTCGTGTGGGACCGGACTCGTCTGATTCGTCAGGATTTCACCTATCAGAACCTGTACGGGCTTGAGGCCGTTGATTGTAACGAACGCATTGTCCGCATACACTTGGTGCTGCTTCACATTATGGCGGGCAGTGACGTCGAGTATTCTCAACAACAAGAGCTCGAACAGTTCAACAAAGCGCTTCAAACCCTCATTGAAATCTATCAAGATGTGCGCAACCATGGCGGGAATTCTCCCAACGAGCCCGAGTTTCGAGCCTATCAATTACTCAGTCACTATCGCGATCCCGAACCCGAGCGTGAAATTCAAACCTTACCCCCACATATCTACAATCATCAACTTGTTCAGCTTGCTCTTCGCCTACGTCAATTGATGTCGCAAAACAATGTTGTTGAGCGCGGGGTCAAGAATTCACCTGGTGCCCTCGATGCCTACGTCGCTTTCTTCCGAACCGTGTATAGCACCGAGGTTCCTTTTTTGATGGCTTCTTTGTTGGAAGTACACTTTAACGCGGTTCGTTTCTACGCCTTCAAAGCCATGGCTCGTCTGTACCATTCGAAAGCGGGTGGTCTCACGGTGCTGGAGGTAACGAACATGCTAGGTTTTGAATCTGACGCCGACACCGAACTGTTCGCTGAATATTATGGAGTCGGTGTGGCTACCAACGAGCAAGGAGCAAAACTAATTCAAGTCTCACTGACCACCTTGAATCTGATTCAAGACAAGCCTAAGCGGGCCCAGGCGGTACTGCTGGCGGTAACCGCTAAAATCGGGTCTCAGAAATTGTCGCTGATTGTTGATCTGGGACTACCCAATGACAGCTTCCACATGACTGTTGCGCCGAAAATTTTGGAAGCCCCCAAGATCAAACCAAAGCTACCCAAGAAGCCATACACACCTATAGAACAATCCGTCTCTTCCCAGCCATACGTATTTGGTCAGAAACCCAACCAAGCGACTTCGGTGGCACCAACGACCACCTCACAACCATATGTGTTCGGCCAACGACCAAATCAAAATCAAAACAATATGCCGGCTGTGTTTGGCGCCAAACCTCAACCAGAGGTTGCTCCCTCAATCACAAGCAATGGTTCAGTGAAGCCTTCGTTTGGAGCTCCCACCACGAACACTAATATAGGATTTCCAAAGATACCTCAAAAGGAACCTGCTCCCATTGATCTCAAGGTTGCTGATACGGAGCCGTCACGGAGAAAATATACACCTGTTGTTTCGGGCTCGGAGGAACCACCGTTGTTTCTCAACTCCATGCATATCAAGAAACCTGAGAATGTACCGGTGAAAACTGAGACCTCTTTCAATGCGCCGCTGATCAAACCTGCTTCCGTTACCGAAGCACCGGTGGCACCTGCGGCACCTGCTTCACCTCCCAAACTTCGTGATCACCCGCAATTTTCAGCGGCGCTCAGTGGTGTCAGTCAAAACCTTGTTTCCTCTGTGGTTGATAAGGAGGTCCGAGCATTGATTGAGTCGTCTTTGAGAGCTCACCAACTGCAACGCAAAAACCGTGAGGCTATCATTGATCAACTAACTGGTGAGTTATACCAAGCGTTTATTCAGGAAATCATTCATAACTACACTATGCAGATTATCGGTGCCCATTTTGAGGATCGTTGGCTTGCTAAGCGAGCTGTGAAGCAAATAGCTCACCAGGCTCGTGAATCGTTAGCGCAAAAGAAGCTTCGAGAGCGAAAGAGGGATGAGTTGGAGCTGGTATCCTTGACAGGTAGCATCAAATTTGAGCCTATGGCTAAGCGATCGGCGCCTGACTTTAACTACTACCTAAACTATCGGCGGGATATGGATGAGCTTTGGAAAGCTGTTGATTTTGAGAGTTTCAGTAGTGTACGTCCGGGACTGAAAATGATTGTGGTTGCTGAAGACTGGGATCACGTACTTCTGGATTGGCTTGGGAAAAAGCTTGGTCTCACAAAGAATGAATTGACGGGTGTCTATGAAAATCGATTGGTCAACTTTACAATAACGTCGTTACCTAAAAGTGACTTCTCAATGAAAGAAACGTTTGGTGCTACCCCGTTTCTTTTACTTGAATGCGTTATCGATGATGAAAACTATCAAACGAAGCTAGCACAGGCAGTGCGGGTGTTACAAAAGCTTGTCGCTTTGCTCTCCCGCTATCTGACTTACAACGCTCAGATTGGCATTGTTCTTTGGGACCAACGCTCTCACCCTTCACCGCCACTGGACATTGAAAGACACCTCAGGTTGGATGAATTGAACCACAACCCTTCTATTCAAAGAGTGGAAGTGGCACATATGGCTCATTCGGATAACGTGAACGTTGAGTTCGAGCGCTTCATCAACCTGCTCGGTCAACACTACGATGCATCACTTACTGCCAGAGGTGAACGTCGCAGGCTGAGGGCGAATGCTCACCTGCGTAATACCAGTCTGGTACTGACTTTTGCTGATGTTCTGCAACTGATGAGCTTTATCGATGCTAAGGAAGCTGAAGTGATTGCCCAAGGAAGCATTCGCAAACGACGGTTCGGCTACCTTGAGAAATACCGGGGTACCAAGCGGCGTCGCACCAGCGAAGCGGGTAGCGTCAACCTGCTGGTGTACAATTATCTTGATAGTACCATGGCCCTGATAAATGCGCTGGTTTACGATCTGGCCAATCAGCTGTCACTTTCGAAGGCCGTTGCGGAAAGAGATGAAAAATTAGCTGATCTCCAGCTGGTATTGCAGTCTGCCAAAAAATACATCAAGCGGACATAATTTAACGTTTTCATAATTTAGAGAAAGTTTCTTGCATTGTCATAAACTCATTACACATCATATCGTGAATAAGTACTCGTAAATATCGTTAGCAGATTTTAATTGTCCTCGCTTTGTCAACATACTCATGATCGTAGCCGACATTGAAGTAGCGATATATCCCGCGAGCGTCGTCGGCACGAGCCAAACCCTGGCCGTGCAATAACAGAACAACTTCGCGCCTGTTCCCAAACAACTTGTGATTGATCAGTTGCATCAATCCCAAGACCAACTTGATCATAACCTCGTCATCATTGAATAAGAAGATATCGAGAACGTGACAGGTCAAGTTGAAATTAAACTTGTTAGCAAATAAACCCAAGATCAACTCTGGTAAGTAATCCATCGGCTTGATTCCCATGACTTTGAAGTGGGTGTACAACCGGTTGCAATTACGGTTAAGCAGTAACTCAAACTTGTCCAAGAAATAGTTTTGTAATGAACTAGTCATCACTGAAAGTGAAATTTTGGCAGCTTGTTCTCGTTCCAACTGACCCAGTTCGGTGTACCGCTTCACCTGGCGTTGAGCAACCTTGTAACCCAACACCATCTGCAAAAGACGACGCAGGTATACTTGACAGACTTGAGCCAATGCCTTTTGAGAGTTTCTGAATTGGTAAAAGAAGACCGACACCAAAGGCGTGATCTCGGGGAAGTAGAAGTCACTGACGGGAGCTCCACTTCCGGCTTGGCAATCGTGCAAGTACACGACGAAGGCAATAAGGATCCGACACAACTTGTGCATCACATCGAAACCTTGGAAAAAGTTCACATCCGGGAATACATCAACAAGCTCCCTCATTATTTCATCGAATATGAACTTAAGCTCGCCAATGGTGGCACCATTATCCGTGACAACCAATTCCTTTAATTCTTCAAGCTTAACAGTACCCCTCCGTTCTTGTTCCTCGAAACGAGCAATTGTTGATGCGTGATGAGCCGACCCGTGGCGATAGACTTCAAGTGCTGTGCTGACGCGGTGCAACTCCAGCAGAAGCTCATCAAACTTTTGCAAGTTCGGCATGATTTTGGTATCATAGATTTGGAAGTAGTGTTCACAGAATTGTTGATCCCATTGATGTTCCAGAGTTTGAGCCAAGTGTTCCTTCCACCAAGCACGCGGACGGACTTCAGGAGAGATACCTCTCCACACCATATCATCGACAGAGGCTTCCACTTTATAGCGAGCCATAGTCATATCCAGCAACTGGCGCCAGCGCTCAGTGTCTTTGACTTTTAAGCGACCAATCTTCTCAAGGCGCTGAGTGGTCTTGGCCTGTTCTTGCAGCTCTTTGAGAAGCGCTTGATAAATCAAATGCTCCAGTTGTTTCTGGTGGCGAAGTTTGTCCTTGTTCAGCTTCGGGGGCAACCAGGTTGGCCGCGTGTAACTAAAGTACTTCGACAGTTCACTTGAAAGCTGCTTGACTTCGGCAAGAGAAGGCGCCGGCGCAGGAGCTGAAGCTTCGACGGGAGAGTTGGACTTTTCCTTAACCGTCGCCAACAATTCCTCCAGCATTGGCATCATCAGCAAACGTTTGCAGCTTGCAAGCATCAGCCGGCGCTGGCGGTTTTGTTCACAGAGTTGTTGTGCTTCGTTTTGACTGAACATCATTGTCAAACGCTGGGCATCTTTGTTCATATGTCCAAGATCCAACGCTGAAGTATCAGCACTGGTGCTAGCAATAGAAGTGGTGGTGGTTTCGGGCAGCTCAATTTTGTCGCTATTGTTCAGCGTTAGCAGCAGCAGTCTCAGCAGAGCCAACAGCAGATTCCGGCTGTCGTTGCCGAAAGTGAATTTTTCACCTTGGTTGATCAGAGTCAATGGCTGGGAGAGAGGGACATTGTATACCGGCATCAGCAGGTCGATAACATCGTCATCGTCGTCCACAGGCAATGACAGTTGTTGAGGCAGCTTAAGCAGATCAGCAATTTGAAGTCGACGAAGTTTAAGACGTGCCAGAGGTGTCATCAGCGATGGGGTGCGGTTTGCTTGAGGAATAGTGTTGTTTTGATCATGGTTGGTCAAACTGGAACCAACTAGCAGGGCCCGTCTGGTAGACAGGGACCGCAGCGGTGGCAGTTGTGCGGCAATCGGGGATTGATCAAGGGCGTAGCTGGCACCACCAAAAGAGAGTCGGTTGAGGCGAATCAGAGGTGCTCTGGCTTGTGAGTGCCGAACCCCGCGTGATGCATTCTCAGTGTTGGTGTCAAAATCAAAGCCAGCAGCCAATTCTTCAGATTCAGGAATGGCCGAGGAACTCAACTGTAGCGGAGAGTCATGTTGTTGAGGTTGTTGTGGGGTCACTGGAGGCTGCTGAGTAGCTTCGTCTAATTTCAATTGTGGGATTTGCCTGGGAGTTTGCCTGGGAGTTTGTGTCGGGGTTCGCTGAGGTTGTTTTGGAGTCAGCTGGATCGGCTTTCGGTAAACCAGCAGATGACGGGAATGGGACGCTTCCGGGTATTGTATAACCTGGCGAGGAGGAGACAGAGAGGGAATAACCTTAGGCACCTGCGGCTTGATTGATGATCCAATGACGATCTCTTCGAAGTTATCGTCAAGAGGGACGCTGCTATCCTTGCTGGGTACTTTAGGATGAGACAGCGACCCTTTGGCCATCATCACCGTCAGAGTGATAAATTCGAAAAACAGCATGCTAGCTGGTCAGGGGCGGGGGAGTAAATGAATGGATGAACGATGGATGTTCAGCGCCTTAGCGAAAGAGCGACAATGGTGGGAGTATGGCCAGCGGCGGTAGTGATGAGGAGGAGTGTATTCCCGGTCGCCTTTTTTGCACTGCAAATAATGGCGACGCGTAGCGGCGTCCCCTTACCGACGGGGACTATTTTGGCTTCTGAACCTTGAGGCATCTACTTTGAGTTAAATTACCTAACCATGCAGAACCTTTTGTGTAGAATGAATTGCAGTTGGTTTGAAGACTATACGGCCAACATAGTTGAAGATAGCTTAACCGTCACTGTTACTGGAGCTTACGCCATGTCATGGATTCAGGGGAATGAAGCATTTCACCATCAGACGCCAAGGCGGGCTCTCGGTTGAGGGGTTACATGAAACGCGGGCAGTGTTTGGCATCGCGAAAAGCGTGGCTCATAACCGAGAAGGAGCTATTTGTGTGAGAATAACGACAACGATATGACGCGCTTCATTAAGCATGATGTATATGTATTCGATGATGGAGAAGGGAGTATGCGGAGAACTGAGGCGTGAGGGATTTCAAGGAGTATGGCCAAATACTTCATCCTGATTTGGTGGCAATTTGCATTGGTATACACTCATAGTGAGGGCCGAGGCGCGAACCGCGCTTGTCCAGAACGACACGGTCAGTGGTGGGGCTTGGGACATACATTGTTTTTGTCCCGGGATCATAACCAGATGTACGTTATCCCTCATATTCTAACTAGGCGGTACACCAACCAACAACAGGGGCCAAAAGAAACCGAACCGCTAGACCCGAAATCAGAATGCCGTTGGTTTCAGTCTAATGATAGTCCATTGGCGTCATTGAAAATCCAACTCCTTCATTGATAGCACTTGCTTCGTGACGGAATGCTGGGGTAGGTGCTTGCAGCAGCTGCTGCTACTTTTTAGGTCCATTTGGAAACAACTACCTTGTTCCCTCATCATATTTTTATTTGGTCGAGATTTAGGGGTGAACATTACGTTTGCATACCGTTCAATAGCTTGCGTACTTACATGTGTTCGATGACATTTAGCAGGAAACTAGTCTATCAAATGATGTCTGACCTCATATGTGTTGTTTACTGTACGGTGACGATTTGCTCCATGTGATCTCACTTTTATGGCGTGAGTGGTCAATAAATGCGACAGCGGGTTTGTCTTGAGGCATGTCTCGGTATACTTTTCACTTTGAAGCAAGCGACTATACTCCCTTCATCTCATTAGCATCCAATTATAAGCGAATCAAGGGTGCATTAAGCGGAATAAGGTTAGGCTGAAGTTGTCTGACTATATCAACGAGCGATCAGCTGAAACCAAGGTTTGTTAGGTGCAACTCATCATGAAAATTTGATAATGTTGCCGTCTTAACCCCTGAAGGGATCACATTCGCGTGCTTCTTTTCGGACCAATTCGGACGGTCAGCAATTAAGTGCGTTTATTACCATCTTACTTTGTGGTGGCATCTTTAGTACGAAACGTGCTCCTAATCAGACCTGGGGTACAGAAACTTTCATTATTGTAAGCTTGGAATACAGTTGGTTTCATCAGCGTTGTTTGGAAGTGATCATACACAGTATGGTCTCCCATACATTTAAGCGTTCGTGAATAAAAGAGAGCAATCTAGTGAATATTAGCAATCAAGGGTCAATGATTCGACGTTGTGGCAAATCGTAGTCAACTCCATTGTATTAATCAAAATCTTGTTCAATTTATCATTAACACATTGTCCATTTCTATCAGCATCGAGTTTGCATCCCCAATCCCAAGATCGATGAGTGCGGCGCTGCTTTCTCTGGGGGGGGCCATCAATTGTTCGCGCGAAACTAACGCGTCAACGCGTCTCATGGTTCTCGAATTCTCGGAGCCACTCATTGGCACCGTTAAGGAACCCATTGATACCGGGACTCTAGTCGATCGGTTGACCAGGCTTCACAAGGAACTCTCGCTGGTCGAGCCCTCCCGAGAATCTCTCGATGAATACTCCTCAGTTGCCAAAGACCTCGCGAACTCCAAGTTATTGAAGCATCAATCTCCAGGCGTCGTCGCTTACACCTGTTGTTGCATCTGTGATATCCTTCAGATTCATGCTCCTGACGCCCCTTATACTGCTTCTCAGCTTACACTGATCTTTAAGGCGTTGACGCTGCAATTGTCTCGTCTTGGAAATGGACCCGACGCCCCCTATGCCCCACAATATGAATATATACTTCGGAGTCTTACCGACGTGGAACTGATCCTGCTTATTACGGATACTGGATCCAACGCCTCCGATTTGATCGAAGCCATGTTCACTACCATTTACCACGCTGCCGCTCGCAAGCTCGATCGCCGGCTTACAATCAAGGCGGCAGGGATGTTGGCAGAGATTGTCGCTGAAGCCGAAACTATCCCTCATGAGGTGATGGATATGATCATGGCTCCATTCAGCAAAGACCCTTTTGCCAACGACAAGAGTATCAATATTGGCTTCCAGATTCTGGTTCACATCTGTGAACTGAATGTCGACCGCATGCAGCGTCTTGTCAGTCAGTACTTTAGTGAGATGTTGTACTCCGAGGGAGAACGGGTGGAGCTGGGAGAGAAAAAGGCGAGGAAGGCCTTGAACCGCATTCATCACTTATGTGAGCAGTTGTGGAAATTTGTACCAGAGATTCTCGAGCTGGTTATGCTGCTTCTTGATGATGAACTCAATGCTGATGACCCCGAAATCCGTGAGATGGCAACTCATACCCTTGGCACAATCATCGGATCGCCTAACTACATTGAAGCGCAACCAGTGTCAAAAGTCAACTTTTTTGTTGTCTACCCCCAAGTTTGGGTGCTGTGGCTCAGCAAGGTTACCGATAGTAGCGTCGCTGTCAGAACGGCGTGGGTCGACACCATTGATCTTGTTATGGCAAACTCTAATGCTCAGGCTCTGGAAGTATGGGACCGTCTCTCTCGTTGTTTTGCTAAAGCTTTGCGTGATCTGTCTGATCTGGTGAGAGGACTGGCGTGGCAAGCTTTATCCTCCATGCCTTACCGGGTGACGAGAAGGTTGATTGATCCCAGTTGGGTTGACACCGTGCTTCAAGAATGTCGTGACAAAAACTCCAAAATCAGAAGTACTGCCATCGCCGTGGCGTCAGAAACATATAATCAGGCTGAAGAAAACGCTGATCCCAACCCCGACCTAGATCAAATTCCCCTGGAACTTTTGCATTTGTACTACATTAACGACCGCCTTGTGGACGCTCAAGTTGACATCGCTTGGTTTGAACTGATCGTTCCTTTGACTATGGCAACTACTCCTCGGGTGCAAAGAATTTTGTCCGTCTGGAAGAACTTAGATCCTCGTGCTCGTGATGCGTTGGAGGCCTCAATGGATCGTCAACGACAATTGGCGCCGGTGGTCCTGACATTCATTGAAATGGGTCAACTGAATGCCAAGAATGGAGATGTTGATTCTGAAAGAGTGGCTAAGGTTGTGAATTGGTTAAGCACTCAACTACCACAAGAATGGAAACCTCGCGAAGGACTTGATCGCCTTTATCGCAAAGGTACCCCTCGTCACTGGTTCCTTCTCCGGCAATGTATGGACCCTGTGAGCTCCTTGACTACAATTCGGCAGCTGTTGACTGAACTTGAGCTGAAGATCACCGATCCTGATACGCGTCTCTGCGTACGAGTTCTAGTATTGCGGAGTGCGCTGATAATGTTCAACAAGTCTAATGTAGCTGAGATAATTAGCCTGGCTTCGCGGTCACCTGAAGCTCGTCAAGTACTTCTGTTGATGACTACAAAAGCTCCTACATTGGTTGAATCCCACCTTGATGATTTATGGGAACGAGTGCGTCGTGGTGAGACTGGTGCTAATCTCGAAGCCCTTTATCACTACGCTGTTCTGCGTTTTGAGTTCGATATTGATGCTACCACTGTTAAGATGCTTGCCGATTTGTCTGTTACTGGATCTGAGGATGATGCCACCAACGCAATCAAGCTTTTAGCTCTTTCTCGTAAAACGATGGCCATCAGGGAAGTGATCCAGCGTATCCACCCATTAAATCCATCCGATCCTCATTTCACAACGCACTTGGCAACGTGGGCTCAGCTTGTGCTCGTTGAACTGGAAGCAGTGCTGCCTTACGCCAACGAAGTAGCTCTGGTTCTTGTTCTGATTCTCATGGAAACTCAAGAACGTGAAGATATGATCGATGCTGATGAAGTCATCAAGCAAAAGTCACTATCACTTCGCATCATGGTCAATCGGCTTTTGGGCCTTGTCGAAGACGGTCGGTACCCCCTGCGTGAACTCGAAGCTCAGTGTAAGCCAGTGATGCAACTCTTGACGTCACTAATTGGCCATCTGGGTGAAATTGTTCCTGAACTGCTGGCTAATTATCCTACCCCACCCTCGCATCGTCAACAGCTTCGACTCACAGCGGGTGAATTGATCCTACAGTTGGCAGAGGTTCCCGTCTATGACTCGCTTGTACTGCCGACTTCCTTGCGCAGACTCACAGTGCTCCTTATGGATAAGCTGCAGGATGTACGACAAGGATTTTTGCAAGCACTTAATCAGCGGGTGATGGAACGGAAGTTAGATCGTCGTTTCATTGCCATTGGGTTTTACACTGCATTTGAAACTGACCCTGAACTCGCTAAGCAAGCTCGCATGTGGATCCTGCTGTTGTTCAAGCGTCAACTGCTGCATAAGTGGGAGAAGACGTTGGCAACAGTTGTTTACTTTTTAGCACATGATGAGAAGTTTTCCGAATACCTTGAAGATGAATCCGGTGAGGTCACCAATGAGAGTCTTCTTCATGGCTGCCAGTACGTTGCAATTGTACTTCGCTACTTCATCCAGCTTATTGCTCAACAAGAAAACATTTCCTTGCTTTACTATTTGGCTAGTCGAATTAAGCAATACCGTGATATTTCGGTGGACACGGCGTTGTATCAACTGCGGCCTCTTCCTCTTGAGGCACGCAAGCTTTACATCGTTGCTGAAACTGCTCAATACCTTCTCTTGAAGTGGGCTGAGCAACACAGCTGGCCTCTCACTCTGTATCCTCAGAAGATCAAACTTGATGCCAATATGTTTGTACCGATGGCAAGTACCGAAGAAGTCCACGATGTCATCACCACAGTGTTTGTCCCTGAGTCGGTTCAACAAAAGTTGGATCGCCGCAAGAGCACAAAACGGGTAAGAGCAGACAAGCCCACCAAGGCCGCTTCAGGAGCTCGTAAAAAGGCACGGGTTGAGGCTGCTCCTTTGGAGCCGTCTCGTCGCAGCACTCGCCATACGAAGCAGGTCGACTATCACGAAACCACCGCTGCTGACGATGATAGTGATGATGACGATGATAATGATGACGACGACGACGATTACTAGTTCAACTACCAATCAAGTGGTGCCAGATGGATGTGCATTCTCGTTAATTAATGAATCAAATTTAACGAGGTATAATAACCGTAGAACATGATAGTCAGCCGAAGTTCAACTTACTGTTGAATTCTTTACACAAGAAGGGAGAGTAAGCCCAGTTCATATCAAGTATTCATTATCAATTACTTAATGGTGTTGGTTTACTAAACACCAAGTCTTCACGCTTTACGGCGAGTCAGACGATTCTTTGGCAAGACACGGTCAAATTGACGAACGACATCGGCAGCGTGCACGCCATTCTCCGCAAGTCTCCACTTGTCTCCCGCGATGTAGAAGGCGTATTCGGGAGATTTCACGTCAGCCATCCACAGCCGGTAAGCGGTGTACATGTAGCCGAAGGGCACGTCCAATTTGCCCAGCGTCATCATGAGATTTTCGATAAACGGCGTGGCCACCCCTCGCGTCGGCTTGCCTGAGATGAACGACACCATCTGCGTCGGCAACCGGCGGTCAAGCTGGGAGTGGAAGTAATGGGTGGCGTTCAGTTCGGGACACAACAAGAACGCCAGCCCCATGAGCACCATGTCGGCGCCAGCGTCCATGTACCGTTGTACATCGCTCACTCTGACAATACCACCAGCAGGGACAATGTAGCAGTCGCTCGCTGGAGCTGCCGCCACCGCCAGAGTCACCGCGGTGAACGACTCCCATGTGGACTGACGCTGGTCATGGTCAGGCATGAAGGTACCACGAGGACCACCAGCTTCCCACCCTTGTACAATCAACCCGTCGACGCCCGCGTCCATCGCGAACTTGGCTTCGGCAACGTTAGTCACCGTCACCATCACCAAGCTGGTGCGTTTAAGCTGAGTAACAACGTCCTTCGGTGGGCAGCCAAAGTGGAACACATCACTGGCTTTACCTGCAGAAGCCACTGGTAGAACTCAGTCAATAAGGGTTCATTTTTGATGAGCTGTTGGAACAGGACGTTGCCGTTGGCGAACGAGATCTTGTCCGGGTTCGGCTTGAACTCGCGGTAGGCGTCGAACCACGTCTGCTGTTGCTTTTCCGTAGGCGGTGGATCGATGTCGTGGTTGTAGAAGTTCAAGTTGACCCGCAACTGGCCGTTCTTCGTGAGCTCGTAGCCATCACCAATTAGCGCCTGGAATTCCGTCACTGTCAGCTTGAGCAGGGCAAGCGACTTTGAGAGATTGTGGGTGCCAAAGGGGAGCGAACCAAGGCCGCCCGCCCGAGTCACATCGGCGGCCATCTTCACCGTCAGAATGCCCGCCATGGGCGCTTGGATCACGGGAATCGTGCATTGTAACGCGTTCGTAAGTCCAGTCATCATCAAGAACAAACGTCAGAATGGTCAGCGGCTAAAGGCTACTGGAGCGTTTATATATTCTCTAGCCCGGGGGCTGGGGGAAAGCAGGACATCGGCTCACCCTGCGGTGCAGTTGTCGGCTTCGAATTGCGGGGGGGGGCCGATGAATAGCGAAATATGCAGTATGTCAGCTAGTAACAGCGGCAGGTACAGTGCTCAAGGCTCAACAGAGGCAAGAATGCATTTTGGAATCGACGTTGGTGGCGACTCAATGGAGCACTGGGTAAGTGCTCTTTGCACTAACATTTCACTACCAATGTGTGTGCGAAACTTCGGACTAGATGCCAATTGAAAATTCCGTTGCAAAACCACTGTTAGCTGATCGTTGGTGGATAGCGGTCGTGTACGCTTTTAAGTTTAATTCGAGTTTCCTTGTGAAGCAGTGGTAAAAACCGACCGAGGTTATTTCCCCTCGCCGATGTCACGCTCAAGTGGTATAGTTTCCTAGGTTTGACCGATTACTAAATATTGTAGTGCTCGTAATGACATAGATGAGGAGATAAGGGAGATTGAAACCCCCTAAAAATCATTTCGTTCGTATTGTATTAGCATCCTTAAGGCGTGTCTGTAAATCATCTCTATCTCCAAAAAAATTGTATGTGTTTCGTTATGCCGCATATTCCAGGTGGACTCACGGATTCATTGGTTTGATCCCTTTGATTTGGCCCAGCTTCTCCCACTCCTCTCCCGCAATCAATAATCGAGCCGCCCCCAGGAAGTGTTGTTGTGATACTGACATGGGCCACGCCAGCGCCACTGCTTGAAGTAACTTAGCTGATTGACGACCGTATTGGGGTAAGAAATGTGACGCAGCCACTTCCCACCATGACGAGACGACGGCAAAGTGAGTGTTATCAAGTATCAGCTGACTGGTATTAAGCATGCGAGCCAAAAATTGCCATTGGCTTTTAAACAGATAAATTGACACTTGTTCGCCGTACTCTGTGAGCCACGACATCACTGCCCACACCGCGGCGATACCCCCCACCCGTTCTTCGTACTTGACAGCATCTTCCCAAGTGCTATCAGTGCGCTTCCAGTTCATGCGATAACGGCCTTCCTCAGTGTCGATCAGACACGAATAGCCAATGATGTAGGGACACTTTTTGACGAAACGAGCGGTTAAAAAGTATTCAAACTCGGGGAACTGTTTGAGCAATATGTATGCCATGTGTGCGAGAGGTTGAGCCCGCTCAAGCTTGATCCCAACCTCGGTTTCTGCCTGAGAAATGATGGCTTTGGCAACAAAATTGAGTATGAACTTGTAGGCGGCCGGATGGCTTTGTGTTTGTTTCAAAATATTGATGACCTCTTGTCCAATCGCAGTCAAATGCTGCTTCAGGTCCAGAAGCTGACCAAATTTAACGTTAAGCTTCCGTTTGTAAGCGCCCACCTGCTTCTTTAACACTTGATCATTAGTAACCGTCTGTACCACCTGGGTCTTAATATCGGCAATGTCTTTTTTGTATTTCTTGAATTGTTGGTCGATGCTGGTAAAGTTCGTGGTGCACTTCAGTTGTGAGGCAAGCTGGCGTTGGCGTTCCTCTTCCTGTTTCTTTTCCACTTCTTTCTGCGCTTCCTGGCGTTTGCGTTCTTCCTCAGCCTTACGCTTCTGCTCCTCTGCTTCTCGGCGTTTGCGTTCTTCTTCCTGCTTGCGTCGTTGTTCTTCCTCTTTACGTCGCTTTTCCGCCTCTTCCCGGCGTCGTTTTTCTTCTTCTTGTCGGCGTTTTTCTTCGGCTTCAAGACGTTGTTGTTCAAGCTTGATGACCGCTTGAGTGTTCTGTCGCTGACGTTGGAGCGACTGGGCGGTATTTTCCGAGATAGTTTGAAGCTGTAGTTTCATGATGCTGTGGAACTCTTGCTCGAGGGATTCGATTTCAGCCTCAGGCAAGGGACCCCGTGGCTGGATCCCTTCTTCAAGTTGTTGAAGCTGACGATGGAACTTAGTCACCGGAGTGGGGGTCACCACATTGAGCTTCTCCATCAACGGAGCTGGTACCACCTGATGCCTCAGGGCAGCGGGCACTGGCACTTCAGGCAGCACCACACTATAGTTATCTGGAAGCCCAAAACGCATCGATGGATTGGGTGCGCGCGGAACCGTCTTGGTGAAGCTTTCGGTTGAGTTAGTCGACACTCGATGAGATTCAGGTATACGGATTAGAATTTTACAAAATATCACCTAATAAGCAAACGTGTCACGTAATAATCGTTTCTGAGCACATAAGTGCTTGATGTTATCTAGCAATTAATATTTAAACCATATTGGAAACATCCGCGCACAACACAATGACTGAAGTTTAAACAAACGTTACGAACATCATGTGAAGATCTAAGCATCATATGATACTTATCTCTAGCTACGTCACTGTTGTCGTTGTCATAAACTTCTTACTTGTGTTGATAGAGTCGGTCACTGAGCTGTATACAGAACCAGTGCGATAGTGAAAAATCTGTTCTTCGTTACCACTCCAACATGCTGATCCGGGCGTTTTCGACGACGGCGTTGCGGAGCCGAGCCGGCTACTCCACGGTTGAGCCGGTGCACCACCTTGTCAAAATTAAAAAGAACGCGTTGAAGCCAGCTCTTTCCGAGTTGTTAAAGTCTTCAGATGACATCACCGCGATCAAGTTCAAGCCTACCGAGATTGACCAAGACCGGGTCCAGGAATACTACGACAACACCCTCAAGCTGGATCTCATGCTCCACTTCTACGAACACGACGCAAACACCGTCTACGGGAACAAGCTCCGGTCGTGGGGTAACGACTCGCCGTATAAGATGTACCGTCAGTTGAAGAAGCCGGTGAAGACGCTCAAGCAAACTCCCGACGTCCACCCCATCACCAACAAGTCGGTCCCCGAAATCACGCTGATTGTTGTTCAAGCCTACAACAAGGATGCTCTTGAAGAGCTGTGGCTTAACATTTCGACCAAATTGCAATTAGCCCAGATCACCAACGTCCGTCCCAAGCAGTTGTACTCGCGTACTAACATCTTGCCGTGGAAGACTCGGGTGGGCAAGCAGTGTGGGGCCATGGTCGAGTTGACCGGGCGTGACATGCACCAGTTCATGTCGACTCTCTCCGAGTTGGTGTTGCCGAGAATCAGAACCTTCCGCGGGATCTACAACTCCACCGGTGACAAGCAAGGTAACATCACGTTTGGGCTTGGTCCCGAGGACGTGAAGTTGTTTCCTGAAATCGAACAGTTTCAAGACTTGTACCCCAACTTGTCTGGTATGAACATCACTTTCAAGACCCTGGCCAACACCGACGACCAGGCCCGCACCTTGGTGAGCTCGTTCGGGTTCCCCTTCTGCAACAGAACTAAGGCGTAAACGTGTATATAGCACCTCAATATAGGTATAATTGGCACTGGTAAATGTGTCAGACATTCAAAATAAATCACAAATAATGTTCAACGACGACATAAACGATCTAATGTGATCTCTGATTCAAAATCTTATCATCCTTTTTAAAAGAGAGCACTAAAGTTTTGAGGAGTTTAGTGGCCATGGCTAGTATAATGACGCGTCAACGCTACTAATGAGCATCGTTCCGGTAGTACGCTACTGAAACTCAAACGCGAAGACGTCTGGTAAACGAATTGCAGGATCGAAAAATATTACGAACTGGTTTTATTCTTTGGTGAATGCCACTAGTTTCTGTGAATTCCCTCTACCACTCTAGTTCTGCGACTGGTTGACACAATGCAGCCCCTTATCGGTATTGTTGTCGATCCCAAGTCTACGCTTACTCAGTATGAGGCCATTTCGGTGTCACCTGCACGGAGTGTATCGAGGATCCCCAAGCCGTGTCTACGATGCCGCACGGTGGTCGCGGTACAACTGGAAACAAACCGCGACCCCCCAGGCATTGTACCCGTTCGCCATGGCAACGACAATATTAAGGTTTATAGTGATGGTTGCTGGTACCCGCACGTCATGCCTGCCTAGCAACTTTAATGGAGGAGAGGGGAGACATGAAAATACACTTCTGTCGCCCAACGCATTGAGCAGCCGTTTTAGCGTCGTCTAAATGGTGCGGCCACCCGTAGGCGCCTCACATGCCGCACGGGGAATCTGGAAACAGACGCTGATTACCCGCTACTAGAGGCCCCAACGACCCGAGCCGGGTCCACTAGATGTACTCTAGTCTCCCTTAAGCACCCCCTTTGTTGCCATTGTGTCAGTTGTCACGTCATCGGGGTAGTGTGCTGAACCAATGCCGCTCGGAAGTCGCTGCTCGTCTATCGGGGCGACAAAGGACGACGCACCCACGCACCCCGTAATCAGCTGTGTGTACATGACTGCCCCCGTCAATGGATCTCCGGCATGCAGAGACGGGGGCTCCATATAGTCTGGGGGAGGGCCCACCCGACGCCACATGTTGTTTTCGCTCACGTTCGAGCCTAGCGCCATCAGAGCCCGGACTTACCAGTTTGTCAAACGTAACTCCCAGGCTCGCGGGCTCGTCACTCAAGGCCCATCTAATACCACGTTTGGATCCAGCGAACGAAGCTCGCCCACCATTGTGCTGGCGTCGACGTTGTCAAAGCTTAAGCTGATGTTTAAGCGCAAGAGACACGAACCCGAGGAGCCAGAGTCGTACGTGCTTCCGGAATTCACGTTTGATCACCGTATCCTGATGGTGATTGACATTGACACCGATGATTACGAGAACCTGACTTTGCCCGTGGAATATTTGGTCAAATGTGATGACAACCAGTTCGTTCGAGTGCTCGGTACCAACCAGAAGACGGTGGCACAAAACATCGCCGAGATGGCGTTGGATGAGTTGAAGCGTCTGGGGATACCCGTGGACTCGGTGGCCGTCAACTATATCAACGGTGACATCACCGATAGCGACAACACTAAGTTGGGGATGGTGCCAGGGTTGACTAGGGGCAAAAAGGTCCTGGTAAAGCCCGATGACACCATGTACGATGTGCCTACGCTGATGGCGGCACTGCCATCGACAAAAGACGAGATTGCTAGTCATTTTAGTGACACCAGCAGCAAGCTGACCATTTGACTTTACTTAGCAAAAGGCTCACGACGTTATGTAACATTAGGGAATTGGAATAAATGGTAATTGGAGCTCCACATCGGGCAATGCAACTGGTGGCAGCGGTGATATGCGTCCGAACAATAAGACATTCCCATCGGGAGTCGGGGGTGACGATTTTGGCAGTCGACTTCGTTTTGTGGCTATTATGCCTGCGCGTCGTTAGACGAGCAGTTCCAAGTACAGAAAGAGTGTTCTGCGATTTACAGGCAGACAGTCGCCTTCGTCTGAGATTACTTATACCATCAAGGTTAGTGGATCATCATAAATCCACAATCCTGCCGTCAATTATTTTTTTTTATCTATAAGTATGCATTAATATCTACCTGTAAAAAACGGTTGTAGAAGTCTCTAAGAGCCACCCACCGCCGTGAAAAAAAAAACAGATGAGATATCTGCGAGTTGAGGAAGCAAGAACAAATTGCAAACCTCTGAGAGATTAATAACTGAAGTAGGGTGCTCAACTCTTGCGTGAAAATTATTATTCACGAAATGCGATGACCAGCGGCGCGATTAGGTTCAAAACATACTCGTATTTACCAAATTGCGTCGAATATGTGGCCATGCATGGAACAGCGACCGCATAAGAGCACTGGTAAGGGAAATAGGTCCAGACTTGCAATCGTTTCCAATAATTCAACCTGGTTAATCCGCCACGAAAGGTTCCGTAGTCTAGTTGGTTATGGCGCATCCTTAACACGGATGAGGTCCCCGGATCGAGCNCGTAGTCTAGTTGGTTATGGCGCATCCTTAACACGGATGAGGTCCCCGGATCGAGCCCGGGCGGAATCATCTTTTTTGCCTGTGCTTCTTCAACGTATCCCTCGTTTGATTTTCTTTGCACTGGTTTTGTTCTGTAGATCTAATTCACTTTATCTTTAGCCATGCCTATTGTGGCCATAATGTTATTTTCACTCCTCTAACTATAAGTACCAGGAAAATACAAACTAAAAATGATCTCTGCCGTATTTCATGCTCACCAGAAGTCATTCCAGTTATTTGTGGGCTCACAGCTCTCGGAATGCGCTATCAATGAATTCATATAGCACACAATATTGTGCTTTTAATATTTTTCAAAAATGGCATTGTGGCCGAGTGGTCTAAGGCGGCAGACTCAAGCGAAAGCTTCTCAACTGTGAGGTTGGGGTTTCTGTTATCGTAAGATGCGCGTGTTCGAATCACGTCGATGTCATAACTTTTGATTCTTTTTGGTCTTCTCGATGAAGAATCGAGAGCACTCGGATTTTTGCAAATTTGTACAGAAGTCTGACAACTTGCAATAATACGACAAAAATCATTTTTGTGCATGCGTTCGAATTACCCACATGAATATCTTTATCAATTTCATTAATAGGTGTCATGAACTGATGAATTAAGTATGCGATGATTTAAATCAAGTACAGTGCCCCAAACTCCGAATGGTCAAGTGCAACATTTAACGTCAGCCTTGCCTTGCTTTAGCTCAGTCGTTTACGATTGAATTGAATCATACTAGGTTGGCTTTATCCAGTAAACTATTAAAGCAAGAGGACCAACTAGTAGAGGTTATTGAATCCGTTGTCCAAATAAGCTTAATTTTCTCACTTTTCTCCCAGTTCTCAATTGCTTCCCAATTGCTTCAAGAGTTGCAGGCTGTCTTAAATACCGCCACCGCGCCCCGCACCTGATCCCACTCCACCGTCATGAAGCTCATACGCTCAGAGACGTACTATGAACGACAGTTCACGTACCGTCTGAAGATGGGGGTGTATTCAAACTTCAACGTCACCGTCAAACTTGACCGAGTGGTCACACCCACCCACCTTTCGCATGCCCTTCGCCATATGATTCGAAAGCGACCAAATCTTGCTCTTACTGCTGACGATAATGATCAGGTGATGCTCCTCGATGAAATCCAATTCAACGATGTTTGTGTGTTTGAAGAGGAATCAGAGTTTAATGAACAAACGCTTGAACGTCTTAACGAAATTCGATTTGACACGAATCTGCCGACTTGGCGAATTGTGGTGTGGCAAAGTCCTCAAACCAGCACCCAATGGATTTCATGTGTGTTTGAACACACCTTTTACGATGGCATGCTGGGGTCATTCTTTGCCGAAGACCTTGTCGAAGCATTAACTGGAGTCCACGAACCTAAGAAGACTCCACTTGATTTCTGTGATGTGGTGTATTCAAGTGATGAGCCATACGAAGTGAATGATGAGCCTGTCAAGTTAACACGACTGATTAGCCACGCAGGATATCCCAAAGACCCATCATCGCCGTCGTTAAAGCGTCTGGCTTCATACGCGCCAATCACTCCAACTCCCCGCCCCCAGATCTATGGTCCCACTCTGGAAGTGTGTGACCTTTACTCCTCTGGCGGGTGGTGGTGGACTATCAAGCATTTATTGTTGGAAATTTTACCATCGTTTTTCAAAAAGCATTATATCAAATGGACCGAAGGCATCGATTTGTTTGCTCACCCAAAGTATACCAACTTACCGGCGAAATTCGGCAGCCATACCAATTACCGAATCATCAATATTAAACCGGCGGAATTGCTCACCCGTCTACGCAATAACTCGATGACGCTCACCCCGTATTTGGCGGCAGTGGTCACTCGATGCTTTCAGCAGGTGATTGTACCCCACATCAAGCCCGATGCTCAAAAGTACAGTGTGAATTGTTCGCTTGTGGTGAATGGACGCCGGTTCTATCCCGAGAAAGCCGATGAGCTTCGTTATAACTTGTGCATGTCTGCTATCGACGTCATTTTACCTCCTCCTCCTATTCATGAAACAGAAAATCAAATCATTTCAGCTGATACCATCGACATTTCTCATCAATTGGCGGTTGGGTTACACCTGCGAGAGCCTTTCGGTCTAATTAGCTTATGGAGATTCATTCTGCCATCAGCCTACTTTAACGGTCTCTGCGGTTCCCACTGTCGTTCAACTACTGAAGTCAGTAACTTAGGGTTATGTGATTTCAGTACCCCCAAATTCAAGGTCAAAGACATGTGGTTCTCTCAAGACATCGGTCTCTCGTGCCATGCTGGGTTTAGCGTTATTTCCACTCCTGAAGGTGGGATGAATCTCGTTATGGGGATCTTGGACGAGTACCTTCCTTACGTAGACGACTACGTCAAAGCCGTCGATCTGCATTTGCACAAATAATTGGTGGTGAGATATTTTGGGATAAAGAACTATGGGATGCTGACTGTAAATACCGTAATGGACAAATTTTTTATCTTTTTCAAGTGAGTGATAGTGGTCTATTCATTGTCTATAAATGATTCAATAAAAAGGTCGTAATCGTATTGCGGACGTACCGCTGCATGCATTTTACATTCAAAACCCTCCAGTCATATCGCGAATCTTGTTCACTTCTTCTTCGAGTGCTTTCAAGTCATCCAAAATGTTACTTGTAGAATCGGTTCGTTGAGGCGCGGGGGGGCCAGCATTCCAACCCGCTGGTGGTGGAGCATACGACAACTCAATCTTCGGTGGAAGAGCTGGGGGCTGCTCACTGTAACTAACATTGCGCCGGCGCGGTGGTGGTGGTGGCGGCGTTCGTGACTGCTGTGGTCGCAGGGGCACCCCCAAGCTGGCGCCATAGACTCCCTCTGTTTGTTGTGGCAGCAGCATAGACCGTTGGCGTGATGCTGGTGGTTGAGGGGGCATGAATTGGGACTGAAACTGATTTTGAGCTTGGGTTTGCGAGGCCATTTGCGGTTGGTTTTGGTTACGGTTGGTTTCAGGCCAGGGTATAGGGGAGTTGGTTGAATTATGGTGGGAGGTGGGGTTGAGGAAACTCAGATGTTGCTGATTGTAAGGCGATGCCATGTCAGCGTTGTGCATGGTATTCTCCTGAGTGGTCCCTGTCATTTGCGAAGTAAAACTCTGGAGAGATATCCTCGGGGCGGAGATGTCGGGTTCGTTGGCGCCAAATATGCGTGACATATCACTTTCAGTGATCCGTTGACTGGGTTGAGTAGGGCCTTCAAATAGTTTGGCCATCTGAGCTGGGCCCGTCATGTTGGGTTGAAGGAGCTTTTGTTCCTCGTGGAGATATTGAGCCATTTGCGCCGGCCCCGTCATGTTGGGTTGGAGCAAGCTTTCTGGCAGTTGTTGCTGTGAGTTGTCAACGTTGTTCATGTTCTGGTAGGAGTTAGCTTGAGAATCCATCATCTGCTCTGGCTCGCCCATCGCTTGAGGTTGTTGTTGTTGCAGACGCATCCGAAGGAGCTGGTCCATCAGCATCTGCTGGTAGTCAACCGGTTGAGCTTGTGGTTGAGGTGTGGGCAGCATCAGAGGGAGTTCATCGTGAGTGACCACTTGATCGGAAAACTTGACGCTCTTTTGCTTTTTGCGACCCTTCTTTTCTTCGGGTCGTTCACCGGTCAAAATGAATTGAGAAAACAGATCGATATCAAGCGGCTTCAGTTCCTGGGAGACAGTGCTCGCCGCGTCCAAGTCGTTATCGTCGTTTTGGCGCTTTTTCGAAAGAATCAGCGGCGGCACCGGTGGGGGAGCCGCGATCTTGATCATTTGTCGTTTGATCTCATCGCCTATAAGGGCATGTGCGATCACTCGTAACACGGCAAAGAATTCACCGATGTTGATTGAGTTCATGATGCGGTGGAATATTCTGCAGATCTTGTCCTTCGCCGCCTGGGTCAACTTGAAGTTGTTGAGGAAACTGAAGATGTCCGCCAAGCAGATGGTGGGGGCATTGGTTCGGAGCAAGATGTCCGAGTACCACCGCATGTAGGTTTTCGATTCGGCGAGGGTGAGCTCCTGGGCGGTCAAACTGAGGGGCACCGAGTCGTCGTCGTCGCTCATCGGGAACAGCTCGACCGAGTGAGCGTAGAGGTTGGCTCTGACCGGGTGTAGGGTCGCCTGAGGGTTGTGGCCGTTGGCATTGTGGTGGTAGGGGTCGAAGTTGTCGGCGGGGACATTTTCCAGCAGGTAGTGGCGGTGAGGGAGCGGGGGCGGCGTGGGGCGGGCGACCGAGTCCACCAGCGACGCGGGGGAGAACAGCACCTCGGGCGCTAGCCGGCCGTTGCCTGCTCTCTTGTTGACACCCAACCAGTCAAACGTGGTGTCACTGTTCATCTGGAGGTGTCGACCAAAGCGAATTGTTCCTACCAAGTGCGTGCGAACAGTTGTTATCGAGTGGGGAGGGTCGGTGGGAGAGCAGGGCCGAGAACGGGCAGAAAAAAGCGGGCTTTGCTGGGAGCTAGAGGCGATGGGAATAAGTGAATGAAGAGGAGGAAATATTTGGTGGTAGCTTTAGCGGAGCCTATGCTGCTTCTTTTAGTACGGGTGATACCGCCAGCGTGGTTTGTAGGGATACCAATGCCGAGCCCACGGTCCAGAGTATGGGCGGAGCGCATTTAGTCATGAGTTATCAATAGCGGGCGGTGGAGGAAGGCGGTGCGCGTGGCTTCGGCGCCGGTCCCGGCCACTTGGCGAGTGATGGCGAACGCAAGGGTATTCTCGCCCTGCTGTCCTTAACCATATATTAGTAAACCGGTCGAGACCTTGGCGCGAGAGCCCCACTATGGCCGAGAGGCAAGCGGTTAGTGACGGAGGCCAGAGCCGGTGGGAGGCACTAGGTGCAGGGTAAACACTCCTGCACACAGGTACCGAAACAATCATCACGACGACGTAGTCAATTTACGGAATCGGCTAAAAGAGGCATGTTTTCGTTGAAGGGGAAAAAAGCAAAGACAAAAGGTGGCGCCAAGGCCAAGAAGCTGTGGGACAGCGACGATAGTGGTGATGAGGGCCGTGGGGACTTTGCCGCCGAGATGGAGCGTAAACGCCGCCGAGTCGCTGCTCTCGCCAATGACCAGCTGCTGGCCACCATTGATGACGTCGACACCAACCAAAATGCCACCACTGCTAAAGCCGCTGACGAAAGCAACAAAAGTGGTCAGGCGGGCAAAAGCCGCTACCTCAGTGGGTTGATGGAAGCGCTGAAACGACGCGAGCAGGCTCAGGCGCAATTGAAACACCAGCGCCTCGCTCAACGAGCAGAAGCAGGAGCCATTGTGTACACCACCACCACTGACGAAAACACTGAGGGTAGTGGTGGTCAATTAGCGTCGAAGCTTTCGTCTCAAGACATCGAGCGGTACCGCCAGCGGTACTGGGCACGCCACCCGGAGCGAGTGAGATTTATTAGTGACGAAGTCACCACTTGATGCACCCCCCAAGTATTTGTGGTGCAATTTACTGAGGGCTTAACACCTATGCTTCGTGATCTCGGCCCAGTTTACTAATTATAGGGGAGACAACATAAAGTGGTGCGACCATTGAAGCACGCCGCAGGTTCCGGCGCTTCCGCATGGGCCCATAACCATATACATAAAACCCCCAGCCGTCGCCGAGCAACCATCAGGTATAACCCACCCCACCCCACCCTATTCCACCTCACCATGTATGTGATTCGCGACGTCCGCTTCCTCGACTACGACTGCCGGTACATTGACCCCAGCCACCTCCGCCTCGTGTTACAGGGCGTCAAATGCAACGCCCCAGCGGCGCGCCGCCGGCTCACCATCCAGCTCTCCAAAGGGCAGACGGTGACGGTGTCGGAAGGGTGGCTCGCGGAGTACGTCGACTGGTTCGACGACTTCGAGCCGTTGGACCTGTTTCGGGTCGAGTGCCGCCTTGCCCCCTACTCGCGCCGCGTCCAGGACGACCCCGACTTTGAGTACATCGACCATAGAATCACCTACTACCACGCCGGCAACTGGCAGTGAACACCACCAAAAGGTGAACTAAAAAATGATCTGATAGTTGAACTAAAAAATGATCCGAATTGATCTAAAAGTAGTTCAAAAGCTGAACTAGAAATGATCTGAAAGTTGATCTAGAAGATTTATTATTTGCATCGGAGTTTTATTCTAATATACACTCGGTTTTTCAACCATTACCCGTAAAATTCGAGATTTGCCGTTTAAAACGATAACAAGTCGATGTCGTTGTTGTTGTTGTTGGTGGTGGTGGTATTGTTGGTGGCGGGTGCCAGCGACAGCAGCGCCGGCGCCGGCAGCGAGAAGAAGTCGTCGTCGAGCACCGCCAGCGCTGCCGGCTTCGATTGCAGCGCCGACGACAGCGGGGTCGCTTTCGGTTGCAGCGGCGACTGCGCCTTGGTCTTGGTCTTCGCGGTGCTGAACAACGACGAGAACGCGTCCTCCTTCGGCGCCGGCTTGGCGGGGCCCAGCAGCGCCGCCAGGTTCACGTGGTAGTTCGCCTGCTGTTGCACGGGCTGGAACTTCTGCGCCGGTTGCTGGAAGAGGTTCTGTTGCTGTTGTTGTTGTTGTTGTTGGTGGAGTTGAGGTTGCTGGGCGAGGGTGGGCAGCGACACGTACAAGTTGGCGAGGTTGTTGCTGAGGTTGTTGACGGGGGCGGCCGCCAGCGCCGACGGCGCCGTCTGGAAGTCGTCGAAGTCGTCGTCGTCGTCGGCAGCAGCGGCGGCGCCGGCGCTGGTGGAGGTTTGCGGCGCCAGCAGCGAGCCAAAGTCCATTAAGTCTCCCAAAAGATCGGGTTCTTGTTGGGCGGCGGTGGCGTTGGCGTTGGTGGTGGCGGTGGTCGCCTTCGAGCGCGCCGCCAGCGCCCCCAGCGCCGACGGCGCCGCTTCGTACTCTTCGAACTCGTCGTCGCCACCAGCACCGCCGGCGTACTCTTCGGCGGTGTCGCCGTAGCGTGCGCCGTAGACACCACCGTCGCCAAACACCCGGCTCGAGTAGTCATCGTCCTCAAACCCAGCGGCGCCCTGGCCGGTGGCGAAGGAGCCAGCGCCGCCGTACGCCGCCAGCGACACTCCGCCGAACTTTTTGGCGTTGGCGCGGGCCTTTTTGCGCTCCAGTCTGATTAAAGCGTCGTCGTTAAGCAACGCCAACAAGTTCTTCGCCCGGTTGCGGACGTTGATCCCCTGGTCTCTCCCCTTGGAGTCGATGTAGTGGAACAGCTTGAGCATCTGGATAAGGCTCATGTTGGCTCTGACGTCGTCGATGATGCGCTCGGACCCATTTTTGATCAAGTAGTCCAAAAGCTCCAACAGCTTGTAGATCTGGCGCCACTCGTTGGCGGCCTTCTCCGTGAACCGGCGGAAGATGAACAGCAAGATCTCCTCGCGCTCGCGGTAGTTGTAGGTGCCGGCGGCGATCTGCGCCTTGACGGTGGACAGCGTGCCCCACGGCTCGTTGTTGGTCGCCTCGCGGACCTTCGCCTCCATGTCGGTGAGGTTCATCGCCACGTTCTGCGCCTTGCGCACGTAGTGCTTCACTTCGTACAAGTTGATTTGCTTCGCCGCGTCCTTCAACAAGTCCATGGTGTCGTCGTAGTCCGGGGGCACCTGATGGGGATGGGGGGGGAGGGTGTGGTGTGTCGGTGGGTTGGTGCGCGCAGTTTGCTTTGCTGGCAACGAGCGGTGGCGACCGCGAACCCAGGCGAGAGAATGGAGGCAAAATGTGTGTTGTAGAGGATAAGGGTTTTGTTCAAGCTATGGTATGATTTATTGTTTTTCAGTTTTTGTATAATTTTTCACTGTGGGGAGGGGCTAGCCGAGAAATACGGGGGGTGTTTAGCGATGCGGTTTCCCCGGGTCACGCAGTGAGGGATTTGGCTGCGATGAACGAAGCACCGGCCCGACCCTGAAAAGTGGTAAAAAGTATTGCAGAAATGGGGGTTAACCAAGCCGTACACCCGGGGTGGCCTTATTACGTAATCGTAAACCACCACTAACGTCGTCGGTTATATCAATCACTTCTTCAAGGACTTTTCATACCCTGTCTCCATAGTTCTCGGTTTAACCACGTGCCGTCATCCCCGCGACCGTCCGGATCGGAATAACTATTTTCCAAAAGTAAGACATTGATCAGATAAAAAAACTTTCAGAATACTCGCTTCAATTGAAATAAATTACACAAGGATACAACTAACATGCTCGGACGATACCACTCATCGAGGGAAACATCTACCATGCTGGGCTTATTCGTAATTGTACTCTTAGATCCATATAATGCTACACTGTTACTCACATCTCGCTCAACTCTTGGCCTGGTTGAGCGCCGCTAACAACTCGTTCGCCATCTCCTCCGTCTTGACACGGACACCGTAAATCACCACTTTGTCCTTGGCCTCCACCGTGGGCACCAGCACCATCACCTTAGACTGGACGGAGTAGGTGATGCTCTTCTGGATCCGCGCGTTGAGCAACACCCGGTTGCCGCCCTCGGAGCGCACCACCACCCGGCTCTTGCCCGTGTCCTTGTCTTTCAACACCTTCAAGTCGCCCAAACCTTTGGGTTCGTAGTGCTTATTGTTGTCGTCAGTGACGAGCTCAAAGAGCTTCACCCGCGCCGTGTGGACGACGTCCTCGTTCTCGTCGCCGGTGATCGGCTCCACTTTCTCGCTGAGCTTGACCACGGGGGTGAAAGTCGCCGTCAGATCAGCGTCTTCCACTTTTTCTTCGTTGTTGTCACCGCCACCAGAAGTGGAAGTGGAGCCAGCAGCAGCGGCAGCAGCAGGCTTCGCTGGCTTGTTGAAGGAAAACAGGAACGCCAGCGGCTTGTCTGAGCCCAGGTTGTTGCCGAATGCCGGCGCACTGCTGAAGGAGAACGCGGGAGCCCCCAGCTTCTGCTCAGCGGGTTTACCAAACAGGAAGGCGGGAGTCGTGTTATTGCTGCTGTTGCTGTTGTTGTCAGCGGGCTTACCAAACAGGAACGTGGTCGGTTTGGTAGTGGTGTCGTTGGTGTCGTTGGTGTCGGCGGGTTTGCCAAACGAGAACGCCAGCGTCGGCTTTTCCGAGGTCTCAGCCGGCTTCTCCGTGGTAGTAGTACCAAACGCCGATACCGGCTTGTTGTCATTGCCAGAGGAGCCAAAGGAGAACGTCGGTTTAACGGCTTCAACGGCATCCTTCTTTTGGAAAGAAGTGCCAAAGCTAAACAGAGGCGCAGCCGGAGCAGTGGCGCCGTCATCTTTAGCGTTAGTGGTGGAAGTGGTAGCGCCGAAAGAGAACAGAGGCGTGGTAGTGGCCAGCTTATCGGTAGTGGACGCCGACGACCCGAACGTAAACAGCTTGGCAGTATCGTTAGCCTTGTCGTTAGTGGCACCGCCGAAAGTGAACGGTTTAGCGGTGTCGTTAGCCTTATCGTCAGTGGTAGTAGAAGCGTTACCGAAGCTAAACAGAGGCTTGGCTGCTTCCTTAGTAGCATCCTTACTGGCGCCACCAAAGCTGAACAGAGGCTTAGCCGCGTCACTGTTGTTGTTGTTGTTGTTGTTGTTGTTGTTGTTGTTGGCAGTGGAGCCAAACGAGAACAGTTTAGGCGCCTGGTCAGCGGGCTTATCATCGGACTTAGTCTCGGACTTAGTTTCGGCCTTATCGTCAGTCTTAGCTAACGAGAACACCGGTTTCGTTTGCTTGGCGCCCTGAGCGTTAAACTGGAACGTGGGCCCCGTAAGTTCGACATCGGACTCAGAGTCGTCGCTATCCTTAGGCTTCGGTTGGCGGCCAAACTCAAACGCCGTGCGCTTCTTGGTGGGGACAGTCAGCAAAGTAAACGTGGGCCCTTTCACTTCCGTCTTCCCTTCGTCCTTCTTATCATCGTCGTCGTTGTCGCTATCGGTGTCGAGGTTGATCACGTCGTCCAGTGCCGCCGGCTTAGAGGTTGGTTGCGCTGGTTGTTCAGCAAGCTTAGGCGCCAGTTGCGCTGACCCGAAGGAGAACGCCAGCGACGGTGTCAGCGCCAGCGCATTGGCGCCGGCGGCAGCGGTAGAACCACCGAACAGAGGAGTGGCGGTAGTGGTGGGGGTGGCGGGTTTGGCGTCAATCTTGGGCTTAGTGGTGGCGCTAAACGAGAACGCCAGCGACGGCACCGAGGGGGTGGCGCTACCGCTGTCGGTGTGCTTTTTGAGCGAGGCGAAAGGGTTAGGCTTGTCGTCGCTCAGTTTGGTAGTGGTGGTGGTGGAAGGGAAAGCGGGCGCCGGCAGCGACGAGGCGCTGGTGTCGGTATGCTTTTTAAGCGACGCAAACGGGTTCGGCTTCTCGTCATTAGCCTTGGTCAGGGCGCTAGCGCTGGCGCCGGCGCTATTCGAGAATGGCGCTGAGGGCGCAAACAGCGACGCCGGCGCTGATGGCGCCGCTGACGGCGCTGAAGCAGTCGCTACTGGCGACGCCAGGCTCCCGTCAAACAAACTCAGAAACCCCTTCTCATTGAAATAGCGAAGATACAGCGAGCACGCCTGGCTAAAGTCCAGCACTTTATCCGTAGAGTGCGCCAGCGTAAGCGCCTTGATGAACTGAGAGTTGAGGGCGTATAACTGGTTCTTCTTATCGGCGCTAGTAGCAGCGCCAGTAGCGGCGTTACCGGGGGCGGCGGTGGGGACGCCGCCGAGACGGCGCCGGGGGCGGGCGATCTTGCGCTGGGCCATCACCTCCGCCAGCGCGAGCTTGGGCCCATTGCCCGGCTCGTCGGAGTCGCTGTCGAGGCGCCCCGGCCCGTCCTTGGTGATCTGGAAGTCAGCTCCTCTTTTAGCCATGCTTATAGCAAGAAAAACGGCGGGGAAGGTGAGGATGGGGGACTATCGCTGGCTGGGCGGGTTAGCGTTGCGAAGCGTGTGGGATAGGATGGCGCCGGTGCGCACTGATGGCTGAGTCAGCGGTTATATCAGCAACATCCAAATGGCGAAGCTAATAATAGTGGTTTAAACTTGAGCCACAAACTTCGAATTATCGTAAACAAGTCGCGTGAGAGAATAGTTAATGTGGCTAGTTTACATCTTGAATGGCACGGGTTCGACGTAGGTGATTTATGTGCCCTCACAAGAAGTGATTCCCTGACTATCGAACCATAACCTTAGATCGATCTTGGTTTGCAAGCAGAGAATGAAGCAAGGTTTAAGTTTCTAAAGAGCAAAGTGTAATTTTAAAGCATTGGCGTCAAAGGCTGTTGTAAGTCGTTATGCTTATCCTCATCAAGGAGATGAGTGAGGTCGTGAGTTAGAGAGGGTAGTGAGGGTAGTAAATGTCAACCATGCTCACACCCACACCAATTGATCACCACCATAAATGAAATAAAAGAAATTAACCATGAACGATAGATTGTTTGATTTGATTATGGTGGTTGAAGAATGGCAATTTAGTTTGGTATAAATTGAGGGGTGTAACCCTATCGCACGTGACCCACGTGACGTGCGACTCGCGCCTGGCCGCGGGCGGGGGGTGCAATTTTTTCATCACCAGCTCGCCAGAGATTTTGTTTGTACAGTAAAGATGGCGCCTAAGATCCAACAAACCAAGGCCGCTAAGGGTATGTGAGCTTCGTTTCAGGTGGCGTTTCAGTCCATGGGAGAACGCCTATTGTCATTACAAAAGGCTATTTCCTAATTCATTCAATTTGATCGGTATACTAACAGTGTTAGCTGCTGCCGCTTTGGCTGGTGGTAAGAAGGGTAAGAAGAAGTGGAACAAGGGTAAGGTCAAGGACAAGGCCCAACACTTGGTTGTGCTCGACCAGGAAAAGTACGACAGAATCATGAAGGAAGTGCCCACCTTCAAGTTCGTGTCGGTGTCGGTCCTCGTCGACAGACTTAAGATCGGTGGTTCGATGGCCAGAGTTGCTCTCAGACAATTGGAAGACGAAGGCATCATCACCCCCGTCGTCAAGTCCTCGAAGCAAGTTGTCTACACCAGAGCCGAGTAAATTCTGTACCAATAGCAATACACGTAATACGAACGAATCCATTTGTAGTTTTCAACATTTAACGGCTTTGTGCAGTTTTGGCAGTGACACGGGTCAGAACATCAAGCTTATTGCGCTCACTCTCCGATGCTCGTGGTCGCCCGGCGGAGGTTGTTTCTGTTGCCCAAGTTGCCCCTGTTGGCGCTGCTGGAGCCCCAGACCCACTCGGTGCTGCGTGTGATCCAGGGTAGTCACCAGCACGTGTACCGGGTGGTGCTGGCCGTCGACGAGTACCGCCAGTTCATTCCGTTTGTCGAGGACTCGTTCATCAACCAGCGCACGAACGAAGGCGTCCCCACCGAGGGCGGCCTCCGCATCGGCTGGCAGCAGTTTGAGGAGCGGTTTGTGTGCCAGCTCGAGTGTGTCCCCGGCCAGCTGGTGGTGGCTCAGCTGATGACGACGGCGCTATTCGACGAGTTGTATACTAAGTGGCAATTCACGCCGATGGGGCCTCATATGACGAAAGTCGACCTCAACTTGAAATACAAATTCAAAAACCCGATGTATAACGCGGTGAGTCTGATGTTCAGTGACCAGGTGACTCAGATCATGATTAGGGCGTTCGAAGACCGGGTAAAGGCGACGCCAAACCCCGTAGCCGAAGGCGAAACTAACCAACAAAAATAGACTTTATATAGATGTGTACATAGAACCAACATAGAATTAACGATTACTACTTCCATTGCCTCAATTTTCACCATCCAACTCTGTCTAACGCTGTCTAACTGTGTTTACCCTAGTGGGGGCTAACTCCGACGGGGCCGGTGGTGTCCCCGTGACTTTGAGTGATAAACGGGAAAGAAACGGCGCACCTAAATCAACAACTAATGTGATTTAGTCACGACGAATTAAATACGGTGTCAGTCAATGATGTTTTTATCTCCCACATCTCTTATTGGTAGCCCCATGTGTACAAAACGATAAGACACTGTTTTGGGACCCTTTTGTGTTATATAGCTGTGGCATTAATATTGGCTCGGAAGAATGGGTGCGTGCCACTCCCGGTGAGGCTGAAGGGGCGACTATCCAGCGCCACTCACCCCCATTCACTTGCAACATTGTGGTAGTTATTCATCAATTATATTCACATTCAGAGTCTTCTTTTTTTATACTCCCGATAATGCCTCTAACTGTCTCGTAGCCGTCGTTCGCGGACCCCCTCCCAGTGAGGCTATGGCCCTACCTCCGAGGGCCACCCCCCACAAGATTACCCGCAAATTACGACGTAAACCCACTATTTACCACAAACAATGACAAAAAACATCAAAAATTATTATTCTACATAAGTAATTAACGGAAAAGCCTCATCTAGTCTCCGCCAAACCCTACCTAAGTTGCTGTGCGGCCATGCCCAATAGAAACACCGCGGAATTTGTAGCGCGAAACCTTACCCTTTACCCACCACCGTCGCCCGCCGCTAGCCCACGACTTCTGGCCCTGCCCTATGAGCCATGCCCGACAAACATAAGCTCAAACTCTTCAGCCATTTTGGGAAGCACGACAAGGACGACCACGACCACCCGCAGATCCACCCCCAGGCGCTGGCCCCGCTGCAAAGCAACCCGTCGAAAAAGTTTCTCGGGTTTCACATCGGCAAGCACGAGCTGCAAGAGCTGTTGGCCCTGCCCACTCTTACCAACCTGAGCGACCCCCATGCCCGTGTCGGCTCCCCCAAGGTCGCCCCCGTGGCGCACCAGGCCGACACCCGCCCCGCCGAGGTTAGCAAGACCAATAGCATGCTGGAGATAAAGCGGTTTTTCAATAAGACGCCTAAATTTAGTTCAGGGCGCCGAGAAGTGCTGCCGCAGTACCTGCTGCCGCCGCCGATCCCGCCCAACCAGCTGCTGACGCTGTTGGCGACGTTGATCAACCAGACGCTGACCCAATTGCTCCACAACGCCCTGCAACTGCACTTGCAGCTGCACATCAAGGATCCGTTCAACGACGACAACCTGCCATACGTCAAGAAGTACGGCAAAATCGGCAAAGAATTGGGGCTGGGGGCCGGAGGGCTGGTCAAGTTGATCACGCGGCCGCTGGACGCTAAGACGTTCGCCGTCAAAGAGTTCCGCCCCCGCCGGTCCACCGAGCTGCTCAAAGACTACACGCGTAAGTGCACCGCCGAATACTGCATTGGGCTGACGTTGCGCCACGCCAACATCATCAAAACCTTGGACATCATCCAGGAAAACAACCGCTACTTCGAGATCATGGAGTACGCGCCCATCGACTTCTTCGGCGTCGTTATGCTGGGGAAAATGCTGCGCCAGGAGATTAACTGCTGCCTCAAACAAATATTGGAAGGGGTGCGCTACTTGCACAATTTAGGGCTCGCCCACCGCGACTTAAAGTTGGACAATTGCGTCATCACCATGGACGGCATCTTGAAGATCATCGACTTTGGTCTGGCGGTAATCTTCAAGTACCCCTACGACCAGTACGGGCGGGACCTGATCCATCCCTGCCACGGGATCGTCGGGCTGGACCCGTACTTGGCCCCGGAGGTGTTGCGGCTGCCTAACTCATACAACCCCCAGCCCGTCGACATCTGGAGTGTCGCCATCATCTACTGCTGCATGACGCTTAAACGGTTCCCGTGGAAGATCCCCCTGGCAGAGAAGGACAACCTGTTCATGCTCTATGAGATGCCCGACGACCTGTGGCACGACTACTACTTGCTGAACGAGTGCCACAAGTTGTTGTTGCAGCAGCGCAAGTTGAAGAACATGGTGGTGCGGCTGAATAAGAAGAAGAAGCTCTTGGCCGCCGACGGCGGTGACGCTCCAGTAGTTGGTGGTGACCCTGAAGCAGCACCGCTAGCACCTGCTGATGCTACTACGACTACTACAGAGCCAGCTCCTCCAGCGGCAGCAGCTACCGCCGCAGTGACTACGCCCACTCCCGAGCCCGATGCCGCTAACCCTGACGCCACCGCGCGACCAAAAACCGGCGAAGAACCATCAGAACTCGACTTACTCCGCCAGGATAAGACCCTCGATACCGCCGAGGTGCTCAGCGAAGAGCAAGAACGCGAGATCGAAGAGCAATTGAAGGATATCGACGTCAAACTCGAAGAATTCGAGGTGAAAAAGAAGGAGATGAAGGCGAAGTACGAAGCCGAACGGGCCCGCGATCCTACGCCCAAACCCGTGGTCGAAGATAGCAAGAAGAAGACCGCGCACAAGCAGATCCACGGGCCCTACCGGTTGATGCGGCTCTTGCCCCACGCGCTGCGACCGATCATCCACAAGATGCTCCAGGTCGACCCGAAGAACCGGGCGCTGATGGAGGAGATCTTTGCCGATGAGTGGATCTCGGAGATCCACTGCTGTACGTTAAAGCACCGCGGCCTGGGGGTGGACGACGACGACGAGGTGGTGGTCAAGGGCACGCCGCCGCACGAGCACACGGTGGTGTTGGAGGGCGAGCCCGAGGAGAAGAAGTGAAAAATGAGGTTTACTATGGCGGATAACGGATCGGACTCACACCAGGCTTTTGCCGCACATATACCTCCACGGCCGGTAATGGCCTTAATTTCGCAAAGACAAACTAATTTCACCCGAACCCGTCGTGGGGGTGGGAAGGAGGCACATAGAGAAAGCCATGAATACGGAAATACACACGGTAGAGGTCGTTCCCGAAGTGGCGGTGGCGGTAGGCGAGAGCTATGGTAAGCTATTGTCCTGCACTTTAGTGCGCTTATGAGAGCGCTTACGTAATCTATCGGTACTGGGGGTACGAGATCCCCTCTGCAGTGCCCTGTAGAATTAAGCCACACGGCTAGCCACCCCCGAACGACATCGTCTAAGGGAAATTTGGAGTACAATAGGGGTAAGATAGACAATTGAGACATTACTGTCATTACCACCGAATTGGGCCACGACAATCGCTGACGAGTACAACATGGGGAAAACGCGTCGTCAGGTGAGTTGATTAGGAGTAAGCAGCGATGTCGTGTTTAGGAACTTCATCAGGCCATGCTTTCTGTAGTAACGGTGCTTTCTAGTATTTGCCAGGTGTCTTTACGGTAGTCTAGAATTTTAGGTGGCAAATGAGGCGGAGTTCTCGGAGGGGAATGCCGTTCCATCCGGGTTACACGAATGTTTAAGGATAAAAGGAGAATTGAGGGCTATGCCTAGCAGCTGTTTAATTGTGTATATCACGTGGTGGAGGTGGCGGGGTGTTTGGTAAAGGGTGTTCTATTTTGGGTGGATTTTGAGTGGGGTGGCCCCTTTGGGCTATGCCTGTCTGGCGTGTGTGTGCCCGTTGACGAGGCGACGAGCAGGCGGGGTTAGCTTGGCACCAGCCGCGAGCGGTGTTAGCCGCGCCGTCATGGCCAAATCGGGCGATGGCGGCGCCGGTGCCGCGATAGCCGCCAGCGCCTAAACGATATAACTCAGGTAATGGGAGACGACGTTGTAGAGTAATACCAGAGCCATCCCAAGCCACCGGCGCCACTGGCGCCGCCAAAGCCACTCGTCGCTAGGAGCAAACGGAGCTATAGTCGCGAGCGAGGGTCGCGCCAGGCCCACTGGCGCTGGCTTGGCATATCCGAACCCGGGGCGCGGGTATCGCCAGACCACCGCCGTCCCGAGAACTGCTCGCGAGGCTTTGCGCCCCCCGGAAAAAATCTCCAATCGGGACTAAATTGCCGCGTGCCCCCCGCGGCTGATCGTGGTGATCCCCAGGGGTGTTTGGGTCGTGAAGGGCGCTGTTGGTGACTGTTTCATCGTGGCAAATTGTGGTGAGTTTACGTCGCTTTGTCGTCGGGGGGGCTGCAGCCGCTCCAGCGTGGGCTCTACAAAAATCACGCGCTCGGACCGGACGGATAAGACACGGCGACAACATCCCCACAGACAATGCACTCAGCCTTGTCAATCTGCAAGGTGGACACCCGTGCTAGCGGGATAGTCCGCGCCGTTTTTGTTCAGGGCGCCACCAAAAATACCCGAACGCCACGAAAAACAAAAAAAAATCCCGAGAACCAAACACCAACAGTGGCGCCAACGGGGAGCGGCCCTCCCCTCAATAGTCATTGGTTCGATTAATAGGAGACACCTGGTTTCACCTCAGATTAGCCCGACACGGTGTAGTTTCCTCGTCGGGACATTGTCATTAGTAACCTGCACCAGAATGAGGCAATTACACAGCAACCATCCCCGGCCGGGACTGGCTCGATCCGGGGGCGCCGCGCCCATATTAGCGCCTCGCGGAGATCATGGAGCGACGGGTGATACGTGTTCCACCTGTCTCGTCATCGTCAGGTATTTGGCGTTTGGCTAACCGTAAAATTTTTGGCCCCAAATGTGGTCGGAGTACTTGGCGACGTGGGGGGCACGGCTTTTGCGCTTACTCATCGTCGATTGTTAAAGTTTCGGCCGCTTTCCCTTTTCGCGCGGTAGCCGCACCAGCCGAGCCGATCGACGGGGCGAGATTCGCGGGTTGGGACACAACCAAAAGGGCGGTAAGGGCGGGAAGTGAGGGTGTCATCGTCGAGTTCATTTAGGGGTGGGTGGTCGGGGGCGTATCTCCGCAGAGCCAGCATTTTGATGGTCACTATTGTTTACTTCGTCGTCATCGTTTGAGTCTCAAACTGTGTCGTTTGCGCTCGTAACCAGGGCGAATAGGGGAGTGAGCTCGGTTCGGGGCGCCAGAGTTATCGCCGACGCTAGTGTCAAAGAAACGGTGAGATCATTTTTCCCTCCCTCCCTTGATCGCTAATAAGCTCTTAGCCTGTCGAGCAGGGGGTGCCAGCCAGAAAAAGAAAAATAAATTAACTATTCCTCATTATGGAGTGTAAATGCGGGCGACCGACAAACCGTAACCAACAAATTAGTAATCGCTACAAAACAGGTTTTTCTGAGACAAAACTCCAAGGCAAGCGTCAGGTGGTGCACCTCGTATAGTGATCAATTTAAAACATAACAAAGCAGACCCGAGGTCAAGCCACGTATAAATTTAGTTGACGGCTCATCGTTCCCATCGTTCCACTCGTTCCACTCGTTAACCAGTGGGGTGTCATTTAGTCTCTGAACAAAACACAATTAGGCACTACTACGGGTAATTGTTTAGCGACTGCTTTTAACAATCAGCAAGCATAGGTTGATCTACCTGGCAAGACAAAATCACTAATCCAATCTGGCCAAGGTTAGGATGTTCACATTCGATGGTTACAGTCAGTGTTGGTTGTGTCATGTTCATTTCGTTAATCTATTGAGTGCCCATTGCGGGCGGTCATAATCTCTATATGCTCGTCGTGACCTTCGTATCCGTTATAATCCCAAAATCAATATCCTCTGCCAGGTGGCGCGCCGGCGGCCGACAATCACAGCTCTTGCTTCACCTTGGCGTAGCAGCAGCTGTTGGCCTCGATGTGGTTGACCATCCAGTCGTCGACGTTGGCAAAGTGCGCCCCGCACATCCGGCACTTGCCGGGTACTTTTGTGCGCTGGTCCTTTTTGGTGCCGTTGGGGTACTGGAAGTGGATCGCCTTCAAGTGGTTCTTGAAAGTGTCGCACCGCAGGAAGATCCCCGTGTTGTGGCAGCAGTGGTCCTCGCCGTCCTCGTTGGCGGCGCGCTTAAACGGACACTTGAATTGCCCCTTGTCGGAGCCGATCTCCTTCCAGTGGCACTTGATGTGGCGGAACAAGTCGTTGGGGCGGGCAAACCCGCGCTGGCAGTACTTGCACACGTGCGGGCGCAGCGCCGGCTTCAAGTGGGTCAGCTTGTGGGTGGCCAAGTTGGAGAAGAACAACTTGCACTCGGGGCACTGGCGCTTCTTGCGTGGCTTCCATTGCTTCTTGGCCAGCAGCGGCAGCGCGTCGGCCAGCGACACCGCCCCGTCGTCGTCCAGGACGTCGCTCAGCTGGTGGTGGTGCACCACCACCGGCGGCATCGCCAGCGCCGCGCCGGGCGCCGGCAACTGCTGCCCCAAGTGGGGCACCAGCTCCAGTCTCAACTGGGGGGGCAGGGGCCGTGGCAGCACCAGCACCGACTGCGGGGTGGGGGCAAAGTTGTATGCCAGAAGCTGAACGGGGTGGGCGTAGCCCACCGGCGGCGCCAATGGCGGCGCCATCATCGGGTACGGCGCCGGCGCCGGCGCCAGCGCCGCCAGGGTGGGGAACTCTAAGAGCAGGTGGATCAGCGGCAACTGCACGTTGGTATGGGGTTGCACCGTGTTCAACATTTTTTGGTCGGTGGGCGGTGGATGGCGGGGGTGGTGAAGTTTATAAATCATCGCTGAGAATAGGGGTTCGGTCGGGAACGGGAAAATCTCTGGAACCGAAACTCGCCCCATCCGGACGGCATTGCCGTGCCGCCAGGGCTGCACACCGGTGCGTCATAGTGACAATGCACGCAGAATACCAGGTGGATGAGGGGGGGGAAAAACACCCCCAACCGTCTGCCAGCGCCGGACGCTGCGCGATAATTAATCTTGCCCCACCAGGCGCGAGCGCCGCGGCGATGGCGGGTGGCGACCAGGCTTAGGGTTACCGCAGCCGTCTACCGCTGCCGACACATACCCCTATCGCCCCCCACCATCCGACACTGTGTCTCAGTTGCCGGGCAAGCGCCCTAACCAGGGGTTCTCCGGACCGGATTCGTCCCATCCACCGTGGGTTCCGTCTCTTGGCACCACTCAGCGGGCGCCCTGCCCCACCGCGCGCTGAGCGCAGCGCGCGCCCAGCCCTGGCCGGCGCAGCGCCTTCCAGGGCGATTCCGTGGCCTCCGGCGACAGGTGCGGCAACCCTTTGGCCCTGGCGCTGCATCATGACATCTTGTCCGCTTTAGGGAAAGGCGCAGACGGCGCCAGCCTCGCCATTAGCGACGTGAAGTGAGGGATATACGGAAACGTTAGCGGAAGAAGCCGCTGCGACCAGCTGCGCTGTACCCATGCTAGGCTACCGTCGCCGGCACCGTCAGGAGACCACCCCCTCCTCCCTTCAGAGTGTCTCCGGCCCACCACGCCTAATTTCCTCGACTATTGGCCACGATTTCCTACCACGGTATCGCCGTTTTGCGGGCGGCTTGCGGCCCGGACTTTTCGCGCGGAGACAACCGGGGATTATCCCCAAGTGACTACCCCCCGCCCCGCTGACACGGGCCTAAAACGCCAAATGCCGCCAGAGCAAACATTCGTGCCACAAAACCTAGCGAGGACAATAGTAGCCCGTTCGCTTTTGGGGCGTATCTCCGTATACGCAGTGGCCACGTCCAGAAACGCTAAGTTTATTTTCGAGGGGTGTGTCGCTTGCCCCACGGGTTCAGCCGGTCCGTCAGATAGTGATCGGTGGTGTGTCTCCACACGGCTACCGTGCTCACCCCCAGAATTCGACCTAACCAGGTAAGTTGATCCCCCGGAGTTAGCACCACCACCACCACCAAAGCCACCGCTAGTGGCTTATTAACTCCCTATTACTTTCACTACCCCAGCGGTCTCCGTCGCTCGACCGTGGCAAACGCCGCCGCCGCCCGCGTTTGCTCTGAGGCCTTTTGCCCGTTGCCTAGTGTTGCTGGGGCCAGTGCGATTTGTCGCACTCGCGACCGTGGCGACGCAGCGACGAAGGTAAATACCGCAACAACGCACCCTGGGGGTGGACTCCACAAACAGACACCGGTCTAAACTGGGGGTGGTAGACGGTGGGGACCCATGGCTATTGTGGCCTATTACTATCGCCATTTCACTAAAAAGAAAAAAAGCTCGCGTGGTGGATCAATTTCCTCGCTGTCTCACTACCGGTGACGTTAACTGCCGTGCGCACATTTTCTGGGTGCACTGGCGTGCGTGCACCGACGATCCTGGCACGGAAAAGGCCTAGCCCCACCATTAGCCTCACACCCCCGGCACCTCGCCTATCCGCAACCGTAAATACGGGTCATCCCCAGTGACAAACCACGGCCAGCGGTGCCCCTATCTCGCGTGCAGCGATCACGGAACAACTACGGAACATATCGTCCAGCCATGTCGCCCGGGATAGGGGTAACCTAGTCGTGGTCACTCCTAATATTCGCGACCGGGTTTATACGACGGAGCTGAGTTCGGCACTCGGCCCGCCGACGCTTCCGAGCGCGATCGTGGAAATTCTATGGTGGCTACACACAATGAGGACACACAGGCTATCAGGATGTGTATTAAGTTTAAACTGGTATATGTCACTGTCTATATGAACTAAGCCTTTCTCAGTTTAACGTGGCTGTGGCCGGCGGCGGCGCCGGTGGCGGTCGCCGACGACGCGTCGTTGGCAGCGGCGTTGGCGACGGCCTTCTTGCCCTTGGTGCCCTTGGAGCGGTACACCTTGATGTAGAACGAGATGAACAAGATGAGGTACGAGGTCAAGATCAAGTACCCGTAGGCGGCGGCGGCGGGGGTACCGTAGCAGTCGCCGTGGTTGGGCAACCAGGGGAAGTAGAAGTAGGCGTAGTGGGTGTAGGTGGCAAAGTAGACAAACACCAAGTCGATCAAGAACTGGATGATCTGGAAGCGGGTCACCCATTCCTTCCACCACACCTTGATGCCGCGGGCGGAGAGGAAGTAGTACCAGTACATGACGACGTGCACCCACAAGTTGAGGGTGATGGGCACCCATTCCACCGACGTCTTACCCGACAACTGGGTGTAGCAGAGAAGCGCGGTGGCCCCGTGGTGGTACACGTGCAAAAACAACAACTTCTTCTTCTTCAAGATGAGGAACACGGTGTCGATGAGCTCGATGTACTTGGTGAGGTAGTTAAGGTAGTACAACGTCACCAACTTCTGGGTGAAGGCGCCCTTGTCGCAGATGGCGTAGAAGATGCCGCGGCGCGCCACCATCGGCACCAACTGCTCGACACAGAGCAACAACAACACCAACAGCGCCACCGTCAAGAAGATGTTGTGCAACTGGAAGGGCCCGTTGAGCTTGAGCGCGGGCATGTTGAGGGCGTTGATCAAGGCACGCCCGCCGAAGATGATGATGTAGTACACCACGATGACGCCGACGGCCTGGTAGCCGTTGGCCAAAAACGTCTTGTTGTGGATCCACTCAAAGTCCTCGGCAGGGTAGCCCACGACCTTCTCGAAGCAGTAGGAGAAGATCGGCCACAAGTGGAGCCCAAACGGCCGGTCCAACGTCGGGGGGAAGGTCACGTCCACAAGCGGGTGGGACTGGAACGCGTCGAACATCGGTGGTTTGTTATGGTAGAGCCTGGGCGTGAGTTTGCTTTTATAAAAAAAAAATTTCACCGCTGTCAGGCACGTGATTTTCCCCGTGGCGCGCGTCGCGACGTGGCCTTCACTGCTTCCCGCGGCAACTATAGGGGTTGAGATGCTGGCAGAAATGATCGGCAGAAAAACCCAACAAACTCGTAACACTTGCCCCCTATAGCTGGAGATGACTTCCTTTACCTCTACCTACTCTGCTACACTTTAGGATCCACAGCTTCCTCGCGTTGCTGTCCCTAAGCCACCACGCGCCGAACCCTGTCCTACCCCACACCTCAGCGACCTCATCGCAAGCCCGCCGCCGCCGGCCCCGCCCCCTCGACACGTGTCTGTATTAACCTTGCTCAAATCCAGTGGCCACCCCTACAAATTATCAAATCGACAACTCGTTATCGTCGAGTTGCCCAAATACCGCCCTCTGCAGCCTCACTAGCCTCTCGGGCGGCCTATCACGAAGCAGCGAAGACGCCTCGCGCAGGACCTCGGCCTCCCGTAAATCTCGCAATCACCGGAGACCCCAGCCACCGACAGGCGCAACAGAATACATAATAGTGAATGTGATGATCATCTCATCACAGTAGCCCCGCCAACCGGTGGCAGAGCAAAGAAACCCAAAACATCACAAAAACCACAAAATCAGGTTTTTTTCGAAAAATTCCTCTGGTTATTACCGATTTTGTGGCTGGTAGCCGACTCGTAGTCATCGCTGGTGGTGCTCACTAGTCACCGCTTTTTTCTACCTGGTAGTCGTCGGCTACGTAAATCTCGCACCGACGCTGCTTACAGGCAGTACCCACCGGCGACGTGTAAACGTCAATGTTTACCATATGTCATGTATTCGTTAGTCGCGTAATCATTACAGGTGGTGTGTATCTATATAACCATTCGTCGCACATGTCATCGTCTCGTCTCTCACCCTGGTTTCTACTGCTTTTCCGGAAGCAAGTTCAAGTCGAACCACCCCAAAAAGTCGTCCTCCTGGCTCATGTTCTCCAACCACCCGTTCAGCTGTTGCTGGAAAAAATTGTCCATCTGGTCGGCCACCCCCGGGTACTCCATCAGCGGGAGGCCCTGGACGTCAGGCCCAAGCACCAGCGGCGCCTGCGGGGGAGCGGGGTCAAACGGCTGTTGCTGCTGGTTCCCGTCCCAGTCCGTTTCCGATTTAATTGGCGGTGGCGGTGTAGGTGCGGCTGCAGCTGCTGCCGCCGAGGCCATTTGCGGCACAGGCGTGGCGAGGGTGCCGTTGCCGTCCTTGTGGCCGTCGTGCATCAGCCCCGTGGCTTCAAGCATGGCCAAGGGGATCCCGTTGATCTCCAACGGCTTGTTGTTACCCTCAGCGTTTACTCGAGCCTGAGTCATTGCCTGGTCGGTGGGGATCAACGTGGTGATGGTGGTGCCGTTCGGGGTGGTGGTCATCAACGTCTTGAAGTCGTCCTTCGTGATCTGATTGTAGAACGGCAACGGCGCGAGTTTGCGGTCGCATTTGGCTTTAGGCACCGGTTTACCTTCCTTCTCCAATACCGTACGCCGCCTGGCTTCGTGGACGCACCACACTAAGTCGTAGAACAACAGCGCTGTGAGGTGCAGTCGCATCCGAGTGATGATCGATTCGTTATCGTCGTCGCTATCAGCCAAGAAGATCTCAGGATAGGTGTAGAGAACGATATTCAAGTTCTCCAACACCTTGGCGTTACGACTGATATCGTTTTTGAGGTCCTTCCACGAAGATAATGTGTTTCTGAGTAATCTGTGTACGGTGACGATCAGCTGGCGGGCCAGGTCGACGAACTTATCGATCAAGTACCGCAGCAAGTGGAGCTTAAATAACATGAGCACCAGGTACTCAAGCGCTTGGCGCACGTAAATGGGAAGTTCAATCAACAGGATCTGGGTCAGGATCATCTTCAGCGTTAACGTGACGATACGGGTCGCCAGTAGGTACGCCAGCGACACGTAGCGCACCTGGTCCTCGATAGGAGTACCGGGCAAGAAGGCAAAGCAAGCAATCATGAGTTTGATGTATAAGTGGTAGATCTCGATCGCCAGCCCCTCGGTGATGTTCAATTTAAACTTTAACCGGTCAAGTTCTCGGTCTAAAATCGCAAGCAGCGCTGCTCGATTCAGCGGCTCAAGCAACCCGTCTGCTCTCGTCACCAGCACCCCCATCACGTTGATCAACTTCAGCTGGAAGATCAGCAACGAGATGAGACACCGGAAGTCCTTGGGGAGGTGTTTGTCGACTCTAGCGTTCTCCAAAAGGTAGTCGGTGGTATTGATGCTGGGTGGAAGCCCAAGCACCAGCAGCCAGAACTGGTCGGCAAAGAAGATCGCCAACCACAGCCGTGTCCGCCAGGTGTCGGCATCAGGGCCCAATGAGACCTGAGTACGAGTAAACTCCTGGATGAAACGACCGCCACGATGGAGACCAAGCTGAAGCGCTAGGTTCTTGGCAAGTCCAATGAACCGGTAACTGCAGTCGTCCAATACTTTTTCGTTTGGTAGCGGCCACATTGAGAGGATTAAGAGCAGCTGGATCACGTGTGTCAGTCTCGGTGTACGGATCCAGCACGTCTCAATCGCTAGCTGTTTGATAAGTGACGCTAACAGCATGTATAGCGTAGGCTCTGGCTCCAGTAATGACGCTGTAAGCATCACCACCCAGAAGAGAAGCTGCAGCTTGTGGTAGAGCTCGTTGGCCAGCCGCAGCGATAATATCGGCAAAAACGGGAGGTTCTTGGTCATAAACAGTTCGTGAAGCTCGTTAGCTTTATCGGAAGTCAAAGTTACCTCGCCAAGGACATACTCCGAGAGCTGGGGGTATTGCGGCGCCAGCTGTCTCTGAGGGGTGTCCAGCGGTGCTCCCAGGGTGGCACTGGTTGCCGGCAGGTTATCCAGCCCCTCCTGTAGCACTCCGTGGAGCTGGGGACCGTTATTATGGCCAATCAGGTCGTTAAACGCCGGCAGCAGTTCCACATAAGGTAGCGACGCCTGCGGTGGCAGCAACGCCGACATCAGCGGCTGAGAATACATCGGCATCTGCATCAGCATGTTGACGTTGTGTTGCTGTAACGCTTGCGTTAATAGCGTTTCGTTTTTGGTGAGCATTTCGATCTTAAGCTTCAACTCGTCAACATCGGTCTTGAGCAGCTGGATCTGCAGTCCCTTCTTGGGACGAAACTGGGGGTCAATCTCACACTTCAAACCCATCTTCTCGCACCGCTGACACGGGTTGGGCATGGTTTCCAGCGCGTTGCACTTGATCTTGTGTTGGCGGCAAAAAGTGCACAGAGTGACGGGTCGGTGGCCCGAGGCTTTGCCCAGCTTATCCTCTAGCAGCGTCGGTTGTGGCTGAGCCATGGGGGCCAGATTCAGTGGCTTTCGGCTGCGTTTGGCTGGTGGTTGGGGCAGCAGTGCCAACATCGGGGTAAGTGGTGGCGGCAACGCCGAGCTCAGTTTGCGTTTTCCCAGGGCAGGCAATAACGGCACCGGCGACGACACCCCCAGGATACCGCCCAACGGCTGCGGCAGCGGCTTGGGGAGGATTTTGACTTTGGTCTTGTCCATGGCCTAAAGCTAACGCTAATCGGGGCCGACAAATAAAAGTTTTGTCTTGAGTGCGCCCTCCTGCATACAGGCATGCTGATCAAATTGATAATTTACCGATGACCACAAACGGGGCAAGGGATGGCGCCAGGGGAAGTGGGTGGCTGCCTCGGGTAACTCCGTGTTTCCTAACCCAAACATACAGCAACCATCGACGATTGACCACTTTTTAAACCGTAAAAACAAAGGTGAGGCTGTTATCTAATCCATCACCTGTGGTCGATGCTCCTCCCTGTTAGGGTATTTTTTTAACAAACTAGATGCCCGTCCCTGCACACAATTGATGAACATTCGAAGCGCGGCATTTACCAGCTGCACCCACCCGGCATCCACACGGCACCGAAAGCTTTGCCGTGCTCTGAGAAGGAATTAACCTCGGGGTTATAGGTCCCGTAAATTTTTCGATGTTTGTTCTAAAGTAACTAGAGTAATTCTGAGCCGTTGACGCTTACATAAACCATTTTAAAGTAGTATTCCTGCCATTGACCTCATCTCTGTGACACCTACTGTTTTCGTCTTGGCATTTCGCCCTTGTGGCGTGTTGGGCACACAGTAACGGGGGCAGATTCCCCGAAAAGACACTGCGTTAGCGGGGGGGGCGGACACAAAAACCCCGTGACGGTATCCCTAGTGCTTTGTGACCCCGGATACGGGTGTTTTTGTTCGCCTTTAACCACCCCCCCAAAAAAAAAAAAATGCTATGTGCTTGGTATGTGTCACGTGATGTGATGTTGATGCAAGTATTTTTCTTTTGCCCCTCATACCCCGGTAATGTGCGAACGGTCGCTTACTGGCACCCATCGATCCAGCGGTTGAAATGACGGGATTAAGCGAGACCCTTGGGTGGCAAGTGATTCTTTCAATTGAAAAACAAACAAATTAAAGATGACTATACACTGAATATCGTGGTGGTGGTGGTAAATGTGGTATTATTAAAATTTTTCGTAGCTCATATGCCTCTTGCAGTTGGTGGAGAGGTGGTGGTGGTGGTGGTAGTGGGAGTGACTTAGGCCTCCTCGTCTTCTTGTCTGGGGTCGCCAATACCATCTTCATAGATGGCAAACACGCAGTCGGCCTCTGGCAAGCACGGCGAGTCGTAGATCTTGCAGATTCTCGTCTCCGCCCGCCCCTTACGGAGCGACAACCGCGTCGTCAGCGCGTGGGCAAGGATGTTACCGCCAATGGGCTTCTTCGGGTCTGGGTTGTACATGTTACTCATCCCGTCGACTTGGGACACCACCTGGTTGGTGATCACCACGGCGATGCCGAACTCGTCGGCTAACCGCTGGAGGTACCGCATGTACTTGGCGACGCTCATTTGCCGGGCAGAAAGCTCACCACGCCCAGCGTAGTCGGTACGGTAAAGCGACATGATCGAGTCGACGACAAGAAGCGAAAACCGCAGCTCCGCCATCATCTGGGCCGCCAAGTTAAGCAAGTTAAGCTGGTGTTCGGCGTTGTAGGCACGGGCGTAGGCCACGTTGTCAAGACAGTCGTTGGGGTCAAGCCCGTAACGTTCAGCAATCAGCACTAACCGGTTGGGACGGAAGGTACCTTCAGTATCGATGTATAAGCACTTGCCTTCGCCGCCACCCATATCGACGGGGAGCTGGCACGTCACCGCCAACGTGTGGCAGATCTGCGATTTACCGGTTCTGAACTCACCAAAGATCTCGGTGATGGAACCGGTCTCGATACCACCGCCAAGCAACGTGTCCAACTGCTTGGAGCCAGTAGTAAGACAGATGAGCTCCAGTCGCCGCAGGTGGAACTCGGAGGCAGTAGTGAAACCCAAGGGCACAAGCTTGGCGGCTTCAGCGGCGATCTTGTCTGCTTTAGCTTCGGAGATTCCCTTGACGGTGATCAAGTGCTTTTTGGGGGTGTAGGCGATCAGCTCGACCGTGTTGTAGCCTTCAGCGCGTAACTTTTTGATGTCCCCGGCAGAGATGCCGTTGCCTTCAAGGCTCTCGATCAAGGTGGGACCCACCTGGACGTCTTCAGCGTCGTCAGCAGCGTACAGGGGTTGGGGTACGGGCTCTTCAGTCATTGTCAGTTGGCAGTAGTAGTGGCTAGTAGGTAGAAATAAATTCAGACGTGTCGCGCGTTGTGGAGAGAAAAACAGCGGGAATGACCCAGTGATGGGGGCTTAGACGAGGAATTCCGAGGCAGAAGAAACGATGGTTTGACTATGAAAGTTGAAATTTGTCAGCTTCGATTTGGCTAGATTTTTCACTTTTTGTAAATTTGAAGCTGATTTCCACTTAACATAGGATATGTTTGATGAATATTGAGGATGATGGTAGTTCGAATCTCACTGGTTGAATATGAGTGACTTTCTCTAGTGTGCATCATTGGGATCTATACAGGATGATGGTCACCTTTTGATGCTCAACTCTAACCTAGTTTTGCTTTTTATTGCTGGTATGGTTGCTGAGTTAGCACTGCGACTGCCATAGACCTAAGTTCTCAGCGCGGAAACTCTGGTAGCGGTGGTGGAAGCCGATGACGTCATCATTCCACACCCTCTTCGCCCTACAAAATGCCGGACGTTTCTCCCCCACGACAACGGTTCACAAAATCGTCACCGGCAGCGGGCCAGGCTGGGAGTAGCCATGGGCGGTTCTGTAGTCTAGTTGGTTATGACGCATGCTTCACACGCATGAGGTCCCCGGATCGAGCCCGGGCAGAATCATCTCTTCTTCCTTTCTGTTGTTTTTGTCTCTATCGAGGTATCTTCTCAATGGAAGCGTCCCCCACTGGTGAATGATACCACAGTTATGAGCCCCGCCCCTGTCACCAGCCAGAATTCCGATTGTTTCCATTCGGCCCAGAGTCCCCAGGCATCGCCGAAATTTCACACCGCCCCCCCCCGCGTTAGTAGCGTGTCCCTCTCCCCATACATACGCCTATCTCCGCTAGTTACTAGGCCAGCACACTACCACACCGTCGCCGTTATCACTAGCAACAATTAGGCAGTTGCGAACAAATATTATAGTGACTCATAACTCGCACCATCAATTGCCATTGCCTCCACTACAAAACACGTATTACGCCGTCTACTGGCCTAAATTCTCTCTCTTATCTATCAATTGCCAGCGTCTGTGGTGCCATCGCTCCCATTAATTCCCTCAGTCGCCCGTCTAAGCCTCAAAAACGTCGTGACTAATCAGCGGATCTCGCGGACGGGAGGCCCCGATATAAGTAACCCCGCGACTGCTTGCGAACGCGATCGACCCCAAACCAGCCCGCCAAAATGTCGACTCCCTACCGAGATCTGCCCGCCAAACCGCCGTCAAACCCGCTGCAGGAACTGTTCAACGAGTTCCGTAACCTCGAAGAACTGTTGCCCCCGTCGTTGAGACGCCTGGCGCTGCAATTGTTGGACAACTTGTACATCGAAACTCCCCAAAACGAACGCGAACGCCAGCAATGGTACCGGGGCCAGTCCCAGCTGAGACTGTCGTCCCGCCAGCCTGATGTTAAGGACCAGCAGCAGGGCCAGCCGCCCCAGGGGTCGCAGGCCGAGCGCCAGAACAAGTGGTTGCGCCGCCTTTCCGTGCTGGAACACGGGCGTGAGCTGTCGCCCGTGCCCGTGCCCAAGCCCAAGTTCAACCCCCACCAGTTCCTGCCCGCTATGAACACTAAGCAGCTGTCTACCGGTGTGTTGTGGTGTACTGAGCGCGCTACCGAGTACGGGTTTGACCCCGAGGACCCGGCCTGGGCCAATATGGGTCAAGGTGCCCCCGAACACGGCGACACCATCCCTGGTTCGTTCCCTCGTCCCAAGCTGATCCCGGTGCCGGTGCTGGCGAACGAATACGCCCCTACTGCGGGGGTGAAGCTGTTGCGGGAAGCGGTGGCCAATTTGTACAACGAGACCTACCGTAAGGATAAGGCGAGCAAATACACGTGGAAGAACGTGTGTATTGTCCCTGGTGGGAGAGCGGGGCTCACGAGAATCGCCTCGATCATCTCCGACTGCTACCTCTCGTTCTTCTTGCCCGACTACACTGCCTACGCGGAAATGTTGTCGCTTTTCAAGAACTTCTTGCCCATCCCCGTGCCTCTTTCTGAATCGGACAACTACCAGGTGCACTTGGACCTTATCAAGCGGGAAATGGACCGTGGGGTCCAGGCGTTGCTCACCCTGAACCCGCGTAACCCCACCGGAAGATCGATGCTGAGAGAACAGCTTCAAACTTTGCACAACATGTGCCGGGAAAAGTGTCTTTTGATCATGGACGAGTTCTACAACTACTACTTCTACGACGAAGGGTGCACTGGCTCGTCGATCTCGTCGGCGGAGTTCGTCGAGGACGTCAACAAGGACCCTGTGCTCATCATCAACGGGTTCACCAAGGCGTTCCGGTTGCCCGGGTGGCGTATCTGCTGGGTGGTGGGCCCCGAGGAGTACATCCTCAACTTGTCGAGTTCGGGGTCGTACCTCGACGGGGGGCTGAACGCCCCCTTCCAATACACGTGTGTCGACTTCTTGAAGCCGGATCTCGTCAAGGAAGAGATGAAGGCGTTGCAGGTGCACTTTAAGATGAAGCGGGACTACATTGTCGGTCGCCTCACCAAGATGGGCTTCCCCTTCGACCAAGGCAATAACAGCACCAAGACCCCCAACTCCACCTTCTACATGTGGCTCAACTTGGCCCACTTGCCGGGCAAGTTGTCCAACTGTCTCGGGTTTTTCCACGAGTGCTTGCACGAAAAGGTCATCGTTGTGCCCGGTTTCTTCTTCTTGATCAACCCGCAAAACTTGCTGCGTATCGATGACATCATCTGGTACCACTACGTGCGTATCTCCTACGGGCCCGAGTTCCACCAGGTGGTCAAGGGGATGGACGGTATCGAGCGCATCTTGGACCGCTTCGGGTGCTTGCCTTACAAGCTTGAACAAAAGACGTCGACCACGCACGCTCAGCCTACTGCTACTGCTTCTGCTTAGACTTAAAAATATACACGAATCTAGAACTCTACTTACAAAGTGGCAAGCCCGGCAGCCACCGACTGTTGCAACGGCACCGAAAGCGGCTTCGCCCCCAGCATGTACGACAGCAACAACACCTTCAGCACCTGAGGCTCGGCCACCGTGCCCATGTGGCGGGTGGTGTTGTCCTTGGTGTTTTGGTAGGTGAAGTCCAATTGGCCCTGGGGCCCTTGTTGTAAGTACAACACGTGATTCTTGGGAACGGCCCCACGGTACAGCTGGAACACCAGTCTCAATTCGTCCAACCCACGGTTAATCGGTTCACGCACTTCCTTCGCCTTAGGGTTGGCCAAGATCAGCTTGATGTAGCCGTCCTTCAAGTGGTTGAAGTCGGTGTTACGCACGGGCGAGAATCTCACCATAAACTTAACGCCGCCGTCCAACAACTTGTCGATCACACCCACGTTGGCTACCGGGTCCAACAACGTGTCGATGTTGACGCCTTGCAACAATTGCTTGGCCTTAGGCAAGTCTTCCTTGGCCACGTAGATGCCTACACCGTACACTTTGAAGCTGACGAACGTCACCGTACGCACCCCGGTACCGACAAGCACCCAGTCGGTCTTCAAGAAGTCGTTTTTCTTCATCTCCAAGGGGAAAGGGTCGATCGCCAGGTCGACCTCAATCGCCTGGCCTTCGTTGGCGATCGGCTTCCACGGCATTGCCGAGGCAATCGAGAAGCCGGCAGCACCAACAAGACCGATGGCGGCGAAGGCACGCATCGACACTCGCGGAGCCCGCACGGCGCTGCGGATGGCAACCCGGGGGGCGGCTCTGGTGGCAAGGTATCTGAACATTTATGGGGTCTGGTGCGGTGCGGGTCCCACAAAACCCCGATCCCGATCGCTCCCGGAGACAAATCGAACCACTATGAGAGAAATTGAGAATTTTGAAGTTTATGTTCAAAAGTTGTTTCTTTTGATATTACGGATCATTGAGACCATTCAATTGTGATTGTAAGGCTGTTATTTGTACTAGTAAGTAATCAACTTGGCCTCAATCTGAAAAGAGTGAGTTAAGTGTTTGACCTTTGGGAGCATTGAGTCAATTGATTCGAATTTACTATTCTTTCTCTTGCCTTGATGCATTTCAGTGGATAATTAATTGTCAGTCGATTTGGAGAGGTTCCACTTCTCATCGGTTCCGTGAGCACCGTGCTACGCTTGGGAACCATCATAAGCTGGTGCTACCCTCCAAATAACAAGTTTCCACGTTCAAAATCACAGTCATCATCATGTAGCATTTGCCATTACCTATCTCACGATGACTTAGGTTTAGTCTCTATTCAGAGTCTAAATTTTCACGCCGGGATTTAACCACTACCAATTCTGATTCACGTGAAGTTGCCAACAATTTCTGCATTCGCTCTACAATATCTTCTGACGTCACCTCATATTAGTCGAACAATGGCTTGCACGGACTGCCCCTCCGTGTCTACCTGATCCCAACGCGCGACACGTTGCGTGCCACATATTTATTACCGAGCAAAATATTACCACATACTGATATAGGGGAATAATTTTCGCCGTAAATGAAATTTTGCCGTGGTACTCCATTTCATCGATAGGGTTTCGGTCCGAAAGCTCCGATGGCGTGCCGCGCCATATGGGAGCGGTTTACGGGGTCTAAGTGTGTCGACAGTTTGTCTAGTGTCAAGACCCCTTACACTACGCAGACACTCGCCAAAAGTGACAGGCACCACTGAAAGACAAATCAGACAAGAGTACTCTCGTTAGAGGCCACTAAAGCAGCCCACACATGCAGGGGTTGTCAATGGTCGCTTCGTCGTCGCTTACTATGTGCCACATGAACGTGCGGACTAAATTGAGACAATAGGGCTACTGCAAGACGATAGGCCCAATAAGCCTAAGAATAGAACGGTCGCCAGCCACAAAAGTGCCCAACGCCACACTAATACCCAACGGCCCACACCACGGGCCATTGTCGGGGCCTTTGTAACCGGGAAAGGCTCCCCTAAACGGAATATAAAAGGCGGTGTTTTGTCTCCTCATTAATCAATTAATCATGGTTTTCTTTCTCTACCCGTTCATGGTCTCTCTTGCCGCCGCGTTGGTGGTGAGAGACCAAGCTCCCAAGCCGCTCTCTTACACTTTGGAACAACACCCCAAAAAGGAGTTGGTGCAAACTTTTGCCCCTACTTCTAAAAGAGATGGTTCCCAAAGTCTGAAGCTTTTCGTTGACAGAGGAGAATTTGTGATTAACTTGGGGATCATCGACAAAGACCAAAAATTGGGGTTTGCGTTTGACACTGGCTCTTCAGACTTGTGGGTTGACGCTTCCAAGTTGAAGAACAAAAATGGGTTCACCAAGAACGGCCAGGAGTTCGACATTTTCTACAGTGACTCGTCGTACGTGAAGGGTGAGTACGGTACCTCGTCGGTGTGGCTCGAGAACGGCGTCGAAGTTAAGGACTTGCAATGGGCCTTGGCCAACGAAGTTGAAATTGGGGGCTATGAATATGGTGGCATCCTCGGGGTCGGCAAGGAAGACCTCGAGGCGCTGTACAAGCACAACAACGTCAGCTACCCCAACTTCACCCAGAAGTTGAAGGATGACGGGTTGATCGGCTCCAACTCGTACTCATACTTCCTCAACAAGACCAACGCCACCACGGGCTCCGTCGTGTTCGGTGGGCGTGATCTTGCTAAGGTGAAGGGTCCAGTTGCCACCATCACCCCCAACACCACCGACGTCGACTCCCAGTACGACTCGGTCACCGTCTCTAAGTTCACTGACGATAATGGCGGCGAGGCCCCTGAGCTCGAAGTGGTGTTGGACACCGGCACCACCTTGTCCTACGTCCCCTTCGACACCATCGATGCGTTGAAGGTGCCTGGGGTCAGTATCGACGTCAACCACTATGTCATCACCTGTGACCAGCCTGATGATAAGTATGTGTCGTTCTGGTTTGGCGACGTCCAAATAAAGGCCAGTTACAACGACTTAGCTGTCCGTGAGTACGATGACGACGGCAAGTTTACCGGCAGATGTCTTTTCGGTATCCAGGGCAAGCAATGGCCAGATCCCCAGACGCTTGGGCAAACGTTTTTGCGCAACGCTTACATCACCGTCAACCATGACGAAAACCAGGTTTTGATTTCTGATGTCAACTACACCGACGAGGAGAACATCGTCGCCATCTAGAAGATTTCCCTTGAAATATAAACCGGCTGCCACAGCGATTCTTTATTATGAGCCTATGGCGACAATAAACAGCTTTTGCAAAGTATCACAGTAGAACAGTTTGTCTACATTGCTCCACTCGAGGTGGGATTATCAACTGTATAAGTGGTCTGGCAGCTTTATCTGAAGGAGATGATATCGCACAACTATCAACAAGTGTTCCTCAAATAGAACGTAATATGCTCGCAACATCCTTCTACTAAAACCTTTCCCATTTCCACACTTGTTGTTGTGGATTAAGAAGTTCATTGTGGGTATGAATGAAGCAGAGACCCTTGTCGGGACCTTGACTAGCAATGGCTTGAATGTAGAGAGGAGTACTGGCCATAGAGAATCCATTGCTCCATAAATCAACGAACTGCTCGAGGGCTTTTTCCTTCGTGTAGTAGCTGGTCACCGTCAACCGACAGTTGTGAGTGTGCTGGTACCTCTTAATGATGTGTCGTAGCAGGATCTTTTCCAGTTCCACAAGGATCACTGGCGGCAACTGGTCAGGAGCAGGATACGTCGCTACCGCTACGATCACGCGGGCGACATCGTTTAGGGTGGTCACTGACACTTGTGTATCAATCAGGCCACGTTGTACCAACGTCTTCATCTTCGTGTCGATGCCCACGCACCTTACCCAGTTGTACAAGAACAGATTGGGCACTGCCATTAACGACACGCAAATCTCCACTACCAGGATTCCCTGGCGTCTCAAAGTCAGCATATGCTTATTTAGCAGTTCGCCAAAGCCAGGGGCGTACAGTTCCACCTTCAGTGTTTCAGGTCCATACAGAGGGGGGATGTATAGTTTTGGTCTCACCATCAACACAATCTCGCTAAGCAGACAGAGCACGTTGAGGTAGGAGCGAGTCAAGGCGACAATCACGTCACATTCACTGATTTCCTTAGCGATGGCCCTGGGATTCAGGGTAAAGTCCCCCGTAATAAACTGAACACGATGATTGCTCTCGCGAACGAAGCGAGACACCACTTTAATGGGGTAGGTGATCCGGGCAGCAAACGTGTCCAGCACGGCCGCCTCGATCACCGGCGGACCCAAGATCCCCGACGCCCCGATGAGCGCCACTTTCACCATGATGGGTTGGGCAGTATGATTGCTGCTACGTCAACGGAATGTGAGGCTGAGATATCAGCCGCGATATGCCATACCCGATCGGGCCAAAAGTAACTTAGAAAGAAGACAAGTGAACAGACCGCCTTATTAGTAGTGGTAGATGGTATGAAGCAGAGGTGGCTTTGTGTTATGGTACTTGAACACGCTACAAACCTGATAGAGATACCCGGAGTTAGTAAAGCGATAAATCCATCGGCTGCGCCTCCTCACGAAAACCAGGGTGTATTTTCGTTACGAATCGAAGAAAAAACTAGGAGCCCACCAATGTCTTCGATGTGAAATTAGACATTGTACTAGTGTTATGAAATAAATAGAGAATGATAGACATTCGACAAGTCATGGAATGTTAGGAACACAAATTGTTGGGAAACCGTCTCCGCGGGGGGTAATGACGGAGACCCAGCTCTGCTGTCCAGTAGATGATTGAACTGGTTAGTCCTGGAGGTATCTCTGGACATAATGATATCAGGGTAATATCTGAGGGGTTTCTCTTACGAGATAAGTTAAGCTGAGCTTAGTTAAAAGGGAATAAAATTGACAATATAAAAGGTGACTAGAATAGTTTGCTGACTCCCTAGTGTAGTACAGCCGAAATGTCTGTATGCAGAATACCCCTCACCGGGCTCCTGATATCCTTTTCTAACAACCGAATGTGATAGTGCCCTAAACACACTAGTCACGTGGGGTACGGTAAAGCGATTCCCCAACACAAATAAAAAACTTGCGGAATACAATTGAGAAGCTTTGTAGGTATTATGATCAACGGAGATAGGATCAAGTAGGATCTCATGTGCCTCCACCAAGGAAAACTTTGTTAGCTATTGGTGCTGTTCATCACATCAGAGAGGTCGGATGGACGATAATGATGTTTATAAAGTACTGCACGGTTGTGAAATTGCTGTCACAAAGTTCAGTGGTGGCGCTCAGAGGTGGTATTGACTTGACTGAACAGCATTCAAAAAGCGCTAACTCTTTTACGATTACCGCAAAAAGCCATACGCAACACTGCTATCCCAAAGTCGAATTCACCATTTTCGCTGAGCTAGTTCAGACGCCAAGTCTGGTTTATTTATCGAACATTCAAACTTGGCATGAGCAGCGATCTTGTAGAATCGTCTATCACATACCCACTCGATTCACGACTCATCCCTTCTCGTCACTTTCATGCGATAACGTTGTTGTCAGCAAACTATGGCGGGAGTTCTAGACCATCAACTGATGTTCGGCAAGACGGCTTCTGGAACCTTTCCCAAGATCCACAGTCCAAATACCCGTTTCTTCATTTCGTCTTTTCGTTTTCTTTTTATTGTCTGGAGGTCTCAACGATTACTCACAAGTGCGGGAGACATTTGTAGACAAATTTATTACCTCGGTAATCTATTGAATCCATCATATTGCTGTTGTTGATAGCATCTCAGTGGGGTGAAAGCAAAGTGGTAACATTTTTGAGTTTAGTATGATCTCACAACCCACATATGTCCTGCATATAACGTCACGCGCCTCTCGTCAACTCCTGCGTATAAGGTACAAGCCACTCGTCTAAAATTATTTCAAATTTTCTTTTCAAGTTTTTTTGAAGACAACTTTTTTTTTGTCTGAAACATCTTCTGATATCTATCACACATATATTTGAACCGTGCGGAACATAAATTTAGATTCAGAACTCACTCAACTTGTCTTTCCAATGGTGAATGCTTGTCTTGAAAAGTCCTCCTCTACATGCAGGATGCATTCAAAACCGTACATGGAATTTTAACAAGTACCTCAGTATCCAATTTGGCTCCATAGCAATCGTGCAGTTAGCGGTATAGCGTAATGAAATTGTGATGGTGGTGACAAACTTGACCCACTCACGGTTTGCCACTGGTAGTACCATAATTATCAAGTGTACTGCATACACATAACCGTTCTGCAGGTGGTGCAAGTAGAGTGCTTTGCTCCAACCACGCCAAATCTCTTATTAACTTGCCCAAATTCACATAGGCAAAGGCTCAGATGCCAACAATAGTCACAAAGCAAACAAGAGTTGCTTACTGATCCTCTCTTGATTTCAATTCATGAAATTGCCGAAATTACTTCAAAACTTCTTCAGATTGAACGTTAACATTCCCAGATATTTATCTACAATACTTCTGAGGCCAAAGAATTTTATGAAGCAAACGAGAAGTGTGTACCAATTTTTTCTGATTTTATATCACATTTTGAAGATTTTCAGCAGAAAATTCAGAAAAATCCCATTTGCTAATGTGAATACTATTTGTACCTTATACATTACAGTGGTGTAACCCATTCTGTTTTGGAGTGTCATATACGTCACGAAAATCCTGATGAAAACTCATGAATGATATGTACATGCAGTGCTTGTATGCAGAATCTCAAACTTCAAAGCCTGATATCTGCATCAGAATTGGTGTCGATATCTACTTAAACCCACAAAATCGAATAGAAATACTCAAAGATTACAAAGGTGATTAAAAATACGTGCTGATTGCTCTCTAAGTGCGTGATAAAGCTCAGCTTGTGTTGTCCCGCATATTCTATCATGCACCTGCGTACAGGCATTGACCATAGACGAGGTGTAACACCTCTCTCATCGCTTTAACAAATATCACAAGTAAATTCCAATGCTCACTAGATGCAATAGAATACGCAACAAACTCAGAATTGAGCAAAAAAAAAAAAAAAAAGAAAAGAATTGTCAAAAAAAAAAAGTTTTTTTATCCACCTGTAAACTCACATAGAGATGCCAATTTTGACGTCAACTCTCCCAAAATCACCTCAACTATACTTCCAATGCCAAAGAATTTTATGGAGTATCCAGTTTGATTTTAGTCATTTTTCCTGATTTTATAGCACACTTTTTAGTTTTTTCGTATAAAAACGGGAAAATCTTTGTTGTCACAAACACCATTTGAACCATATACATAACGGTGAGGTTGTTAACTGTCTCTTAAATGAAATATACGCGGTGTAACCACCTGGTCGGAAGGTCACATATATCATGTGCTCTTGTGTGCAGGCAGGAAACTTTACAAACACGATAGATGTGTCTGTAGTTGTGGTAGCCACTGGGGAACTTACCAAACCAGATGAACGTATATACATACTACAGTAGTGTTGAGTCTAATAAGTTGGTGACTCTGGATTCATTTTTATAAGCTTATTCACTTCTCTCCATCTCTCACGCTGCGCCTACATACAAGCATCAAGATAGACGAGGTGTTTCACCACACCTTTTATCCTGATCTGCACGGTCCAAATCTGTGTGTAGTAGTAAGATGAAGTTAAATTTGGAGGATCAAAAATTCCCAAAAAGAAATTTAAAATAAGTTTTCGAAAATAAAAAAGTTTTTCCCTCACTATATGCAGGATTAATATGCAAATGCAGGATATAATTGACATTCCGACTAGTGTCATCAACTATAGCCTTAATCCGAGGAAATTATGCGTTAGGATGTGGAATGTCTAGCAGGTGCATTTTAAATCGTTCGTTCAATTGAATTCGAAGTGTACTCAGTGCCTCATTGTTGGAGCACAGACAATCGCTTGTATCTTATGGAAGCGTGAGAGATCTATCAAGACAACTACTGTTGGGCCGCTAAGAAATCATTGTGATGGTCAGTTCGACCTGAAATAAAAATTTTAGTTTAGGTATAAGTACTGGAGTTACTTTTGAAGATTGTCTTTCATGTAGGGGAATAGAGGAGAACGAGGTAAATAAATTATCCTAAACGTCATTTCCAATAGATTAGATAGTAATCCGTTCGATTTGATAATTATATGCAATTAGTGGATGGCGGCTAATGCGGCCGTGGTGGAGCTGGGACTTTGAAGGGTGAGACCACTGGCAAGCTGCGCCTTGTAGATGCATTCCCACTGATGCCATTCGGCTTCGACCAGAGGAATCTCCAGGGTGAGCCAGTTTGAGTGGGCCAACGTCGCCAGAAGAAACCCCACAAACGCATCGCCCGCGCCGGTAACGTTCTCCACCTCAATTTCGCGGTTCTCTTTCGGGACAGACCAGTACTTAACGACGATCCCTGGGCCGGAATCATTCGAGGTCACAATTACTTCGGGACGGAAGGTTGAGGTTGTGGGTAGCGACCGGTAGTCCTCAATCGCGGTACTAATCAGCACCGCGACTACTCCCGAGGGGCCTAGCTTCACCAATTGAAAGGGAAGGTACGGCAAAAGATGGAACAGTTGCTGGAGGGTGCCATCCTCAAGTAATTGAGCCAACACCGGATGGGCCCTTTGTAGGCGTTCTCTCATGATATGGTTGGCGCCAAGCTTATCCAACACGGGGAACCAGTGGTCGTAGTCATCAAACTTCCCCTGGGTATCAAACGCTTGGTAAATGGTCAGCAACTCTGCGGTAGTTGGGGTGATCAAGTCCACCTGATGGTGAGGGAACACTCCGGTCTCGATAGCACCCACGCGAGCTGCTTTGGCATGCAGAGTAGGGTCAACCACGGTGATACTGTGGAGTGATTTGGCCTGGCGAATTACCTGAGGTAACACTTGCGGACTGAGATTACAGTCAGTTACTACCACCTGGGGCTCGGCTTTAGTAAGCGACTGCGCGATCTGGGGAGAGAAGTCCAGCTCAATCGCCAGCATATCGGCACAGGCAATGATAAGTTCGCCGTCGGCGTCGTGGTGGGCGACATACTGAGCCGTGGCCACCGAGGATGAGGCGTGGATACCCGAAGTATCGATTGTGTCGGCCTGCTTTATGGTATTCAAAATGCGGTCGCCAGCGGCATCAGTACCGACAATAGAGACAAGCCCCGCTGAGCCCACCGCTGCCAGAGCTCCGCTGACAAACGGCAGCGTCAAGCTATGGTGGGCGTTGACGGCGATGTTGTGGCCTACTCCCCCCACCAGTGACGTCACCTGGCCAGGATTAGAGTCCCCGAGCACGGGATTGGCCATGGTAGTGATGGTATCCAAAGCGAGCGACCCCACTACCATTACTGTGGCTTTAGGAGCCAAACCAAACGGTTTCGGTACCCACTCGGGCTCGGTTTCGGGGGACGGGGGAGATTGAGAGACATATGCGTGGTTTGTGATATTAAACTGCGGCTGCTGGGTCACTAGCGGCGTCGGGTGCAACGCGGCGGCGATCTTGGAGGCAGCGCGGGCGTTGTTATAGACAAACTGGACGTTGCACAGCACCGAGCGGCCGTCGGTGGCACGCGCAATCTCGGCTAAGAGGAACGGGGTGGTGTCCTTACCCTTGATCCCCTGTACTTTGGCCTTGTGGTTTGCGTCGTCGATGATCGCGTCGATGAACTGAGGGTCCAACGCAATCTCCTTAGGCGGAGGAATGCAGAACACGTTACCTGTTCTCAAATCGAGCGAGCGTTGGTTTCTAATGATCTCAGCAGCGTGGGTAAACGAATCAAATACGTAGGGCAGTTTTACTCCCAGCTGGCGGCAGTAGAACCCGGGGACGTCTCTTTGAGCACCGTCGTCATTATAAGTGGATACCATCACCCCTTGAGTCTCCAAGTACTCCATGGTTAACCCGATATCCAAGATCAGTTTAGGACCCAGACACACCACCGACACAGGGGTGCGCCCGAGCTCGGTGAGGTCAGCACTGATATCGAAAGTCTCTGAAGCTCCGCGGTGAACGCCACCAAGACCACCAGTAGCAAACACAGAGATGCCAGCACGATCACTGAGGATCATCGTCAGAGCGATGGTGGTGCCGCCGTACGCTTTAGACGCCATCACGGCACCGATGTCGCGGCGGCTCACTTTGGCCACCTTGCCCAATTGCGCCTGCTCGGCTAACTGCTCGAGGTCTTGCGGAGTAAGCCCCACTTTGGGAACCCCGTTGATGAAAGCACAGGTGGCAGGGACGGCGCCGTGGTCTCTGACGATTTGCTCGACCGTTTTGGCCATCTCCACGTTTTGCGGGTAGGGGAGCCCGTGGGTGATGATGGTGGACTCTAACGACACCACGGGCCTTTGGGAGCCAAGGGCATCGGCGACTTCGGCGCTGACTTGCGGGACCGACGCCAAACGTCTCACGGCCACTCTTCGTAACCCACTGAACATGCGCCGCGAACCTGAGCGGCTGAACGAGAACAGCACTCGTGACGGGAACAGGGCAAAGATGGGCAAAACAGACAAGAATAGGAAGGGATTTTGTTAGAAGAGATAATTAAAGGACTTCATTGCAGGGTTAATGTTGTTAGAGGAAAACATGTAGTGATTTGCGGGCTGAGCTTGGGGTATTAGTCATTGATGGCCATTTAGGGTTCAAAGGGGGTCAATTTACGAGCACCCCCACAAACAGCAACACGTTCACCAATGTAAATTACACAATCGGCGACGTGATAATCCAAGGTACCTCCAACCAGTTGAGTGAACGGCTGAGAACAGCTTCACGGTAATTAATACGTCCAGCAGGCGTCGAGGGGGCTTTTGTTGCCTCATTGAGTATATTACTCCACCAACAAATCACTACCAAAAAGAGATTAAAAAAACTTGAAGTCTATTCACCTGGAATGGCTAGTAATTATCATCGGCTACACTTACTGCTCTCATGTTTCGGACACTCTCGGAAACCTCCCTAGACCCCTCGCTCTCCCTTGCTGATCCCGGGCCATTCATGATGTCGTGGCGCGGGTGAGACACGCAAAAAGCAATGCGGGACCCGGAGACACGGTTGCTGAAATCCTCGCGAATAGAGAGGCTGTTCTCGAGATTTTTCGATAAAATATCATCTCAAAGCTTTTAAATAACACTGGCAAGTACTCGCAACGCCATATTTTTTGGATTAGGCCTACTTTTCACGTGGGGCTATTGTCGCCCCGGACGCGCTATTGTTGCCATTAGCCTGGCGGTGCTGGCGCCAGCTCGGCTTGCTCGATGCGAGTATGAAAAACAAACTGCCTATGCGAGTCACGTGGCAATTATCCAACTTTAATTACCCAACGGTATAACGATTAAGCCCTTTGATCTGACAAACTGTATTGCTTAACTAGCTGTAATATCCGCCACTATTTCATGAATACCCTCGAAACCCTAATTCGCCGTGGTGGTCCAATTTTGACATCGCCTCATATGTGTCTCCTGCACCGCATGGTAGCGCGTCACCCCCCCACCACCACCACGCGCACGCTAACAAATTGTCAAGGCGCCGAAATTGCTGTCGTAGCCTCTCCCCATGTTGAATCGTCGGCGCATCCGCTACGCCAACGACACCGCCTACACGGGTGTCGCCGCCCAGCCCCCGCCGAACACGCCCCAGGCCAATCTGAGCGCCCGGGCGGCGGCGCGGACCATCGGTAAGGCCAAGTCGCCGCCGGCACTGGCGCTGGCACCGGCGCCGCTGCTGTCACAACCGCGCCAGGTGGCGCCGAAACTGCTGAACGGCCTGCTCCTTGGCCGACGCACCAGCGTCACCCTGGGCGACCCCCGCTTCAAAGGGTTCACCCTGGGCCCAGCCCAACTGGACGTTCCCTCAGACACTACCCTTGTATACGACGTTGACGACGACGACGAGGTATGGAGTCAGAACCGCGAGCTGATGAAGGACTTGTCGCTTTCGGCGGCGCCCGCGCCGGCGCCAGTGAAGATGGTTAAGCGGTACATCCCCACCACCACCGGTGTGAAAGTGGTGGAAGTGCCTGAATCGCTGTTGAAACTGCAAATTGAGCGCTCAAACTCCATCAGAGCTAACATGAACTTGCTGAGACTGAACCTGATCCAGGGCGCCCCGCGCAAGCCGTCGCTGCGGGCGCTGTCGCTCACGTCGTTGAGCTATGTGAACTATAAGGTGACCCGCAGCCCCAGTATGCTGAACACTAAGCTGCCGCAGCGGCAGCCACTGAAGGCGGGCGCTCCAGCGGGCGCTAGACCTGGTGCCAACGCTGCCAAGCGTCAACTGGCGCCGGTGCCGCCGCCCCACACCACTACCACTACCACTCCCAACAGAACGTCAGCGCCGGCGCGCAAGGCTGGCGCCGCTACCACCACCACTACTACCACCACTACTGCTGGCAGAACGCTTAAGAAGGGGGCGCTGCAAGTTGCGCCAACGCCGTCGCCGCGCGCCGTGGAAGAACCGACGACGCCTACGCCCACCGTCAGCGACAGCGAGCGCAAGCTTGCCCAGATCCGCCAGCAAGTAGAACACGAAAAGGAGCTTCAGCGACAGATCGAAGCGGCGCAAAGGGAGTACGACCAGCTTAAACTGCAGCGCCTCCACCGCGAGGAAGTATTGGAGCTGTTCCTTGAAGAAGATGAAGAGGACGACGAAGCCGCTGCTACTACTACTGCTGCGGCGGCTGTGGTGGCGCCGCGTGCACCGGAGCTCTCTCAGGCCGACGTGACCTTCGACTACGACACTACCGTTCCCGACTCACCCGAAGAAGAGATCATAACGGAGACGCGCCACGTCGAAGTGATCCCGGCGCCGCAAGTGATTCCGGTGCCGGCAGCGGCTAACGTCCCCAGCATCGACGTGTTCCCCGAACCGAGCGTCGATCACGACGACCACCCGGAAGTCGTTTCTGAGGAGTCCTTGCGGGAAACGGCGCACGCGCCCGAGCCCGAGGGGCTCGCCAAGCTGTTGCGCCCGGCGTTTGCGCAGCAGCCACTGCAGACACTGCTGACGCTGCTGGTCACGATCCCCGGCACCCCCGCTGAAGTCGACGATATCCGTCAACTAGGCGTCCCTGGCGCCACTGGCGCCGCCACCGGCGGCTCGCTGAGACTGCTGCTTCGCCTGGTCGACCTGGGCGAGCCGCGCAAGCCGATGAAGCTGGCGCTCAAGAACCTGAACTCGCTGTACACGCTTGGGTCGCAGGCGCTGGGCCCGCGGGCGCTGGCGGCACAGCTGGCGTACTTGTCACTTGAGACCGCCGAGAACACCCGCTTGAATATGAAGTTGTCGCAGTCCGACTTGAGCGACGGCTTGGATCCGCACCGCCTACAGGAGCGGCTGCCGTCGCGGTCGCCCCAGCCGCCGCTGGCGGCGGAGCGGCGCCAGCTCACCACGTTGCGCCAGCAGGACCCGCACACGGCGCACTTACAGCAGCAACAAGGGCAACCAGGCCAGCGCCATCGCCCCCAATCGTACGCGGCGCCCCAGCAAACGAAGATGAGCAACCGCAGCTTGCGCCAGCTGACCCACGGGATGCCGTCGCACCAGCAACAGCAGCAGCAGCAGGCGTACGTGGCGCCGATTGCGCCCCACCCGGCGCTCCAGCCGGGGTACCAGCTGCCGCTGAAGATCAAGGCGCAACAGCTCTACGCCAAGGCGCAGGCGCGTCCCATGAGTCAGTTTGCGCCCGTGCGTAAGTCGCTGTACCTGAAGGAGCTGAGAGACCTGGGAGAACAGGGCGGCAGCGCCACCCTCCGCGGCAACCCCAGCAACGGTCAAGCGCAGCAACAACAACCTCACCCCACTTACCAAGCCAACGGCGCTGGTGGCGCCCCGGGGCCGCAACCCTCAGCAGCACCGGCGGCAGTCAACGCGCAAGACCAGCGCGCTTCCAAGCGCCTCACTCTCCGTGGCAACAACAACGGCGGCGGCGCCGCCCCCGCCACTCAAACGGACGTGTCGGCGCTTTCGCTGGCAGGCGGGTTCAGACTGCGCATCGTCGACTCCGACGACGAGGACGGCCCGGTGCCGTTCACCTCCGGCCTGGCAGGAGCGCCCGCGGCGGCGGCGGCGGCGCAGCCATTAGCGCTGCTGGCGCCGGCGCAACAAGGCCCCCCGCCCAAGAAGCGTGGCGGCTTCATCACCAACGCCTTCATCTTGCCCTCAGTGCGCGACCAAGCCGAGGCGCCGGTGGAGGAGCTGGTGCTGAACGTCAACTTCGGGCTGTTGCGCCCCCAGGACGACGGGCGCCGCCAGCTGACGGGCGACTCGCAGTCGCTGGCGCGGGACAAGAAGAAGTTCTCGGGCAAGTTGCGCAAGTTGTTCGGCAAGAACAAGGGGTAAGACTTATTATTTGTATTTAGCGGTTTCCAGCCATTGATTAATTATATGACTAATCCACTACGAACTGAATTGTAGACCTCTTTCGTTGCTCAGCTCCGAAATTGGCAAAGCGTTGATCAGTAGCAGTAGCCAATTTTCCTCATTCTTGCCGGAGTGATGTTTATATCGCTGCGAGAACCTAGTGGCAATATTCGAATGACTACTCTATCTTACGATGATCTTAAAAATCACTTCAAGGTTCAAGTTGATGAACAAACCGTTCACAGAATCAGTTATTGATTTCCCAAGGGCCAGTTGATTTAGAATAATGCTTCTCAGTAAATTGGCGTACTGGCTCGGGTTCGTGCGATAACGCGCCAAACCCCGAAAATAACGATGACATCAAATTTACATAGAAATCTCATTAAATAATCTCAAACTCATCGATTTTTAGTCAATATGATCAATTGATCCCATAGAATCTTCCATCACCGCTTTGTCTACATTATAAGCAGTGCCGTGCCAGGGGACGGAGGCATCCACAATTACCGTATGACGGTTACCCCCCACAGTGGCGCGCATAATCTATTCCTATGGTAGCGCCACCGCGTATATTAAGCGCCACAGACACCCACGGCTCTAACCTCCAACCACCAAATGCTGAACGACGACGAATTGAAACAAAAACTCATACAATTGTATGCCGACCAAGGAGAACGGGGCATCCACCAGCTCCTCCAGCAGATGCAATTGCTGAAGCCCACTACCAACTCCAAATACGACGACAAATACTTCCACCAGTACGCCCAGAAGTACATCGACTTCACCTACAAAAACCCCACCATCTACCACGTGGTCGACCACTTTGCCGACCAATTGAAGTCGAAAGGGTTTAAGTTCCTCGACGAGAGAGACTCGTGGTCCGATGTCGGCCCCGGCAAGTACTTTACCGTGAGACTGGGGCTGCTGCTCTCGGCGTTTGTCGTGGGCAATCAGTGGTCGCCTGAACGAGGTGTTGGCTTCATTGGCAGCCACATCGACTCGTTGGCCACGGTGTTAAAGCCGAAGCTGATTAAAGCTGATAAGGACGGCTACCAGCTTTTGGGGATTGCCCCTTACTCCGGCGGTCTTTCCGAGTTGTGGTGGGACCGGGACTTAGCCATTGGCGGTCGTATCCTTGTCAAGGGCAAGGACGGTAAGATCACTCACAAATTAGTGGACTCGTCGCCCCACCCCATTGGCCATATCCCCTCATTAGCGCCTCACTTCGGCGCTCCTTCTCAAGGGCCGTTTAATAAGGAAACTCAAGCGATCCCGGTCGTCGGGTTTGGTCACAAGAAGGACGACCCCACGGACGAAGAAAAGCAGGCGCCGTTATACGGCAAACACTCGCTCCAGTTGTTGCGGTACATCGCCAAGTTGGGCGGCGTCAGCGTCAACGACATCGTCCAATGGGATATCCAATTGTACGACGTGCAAAAGGGTGCCATTGGTGGCCTCGACAACGAATTCATCTACGCCCCGCGTGTCGACGACCGCGTGTGTCTGTTTGCCGCACTCAACTCGTTGCTTGAAGCCGACCACGAGAAGTTGCTTCAAGCGGACGGTTTCTCAGTTGTTTCGCTTTACGACAACGAAGAGATCGGCTCGAGAACCCGCCAAGGGGCTCAAGGTGGGTTATTTGAAGCCGTGGTCACTCGCGTCGTCAGCGCCTACTTGGCCAACGAGTCACTGGTGGAAGACACTCTTCGCGTCACCTACGCCAACCTGATCTTGCTCTCCGCTGACGTCATCCACTTGGTCAACCCCAACTTCGACGAAGTCTATTTGGAAGGCCACAAGCCCGTGCCCAACAAGGGGATCACCCTCTCGTTGGACCCCAACGGCAACATGGCCACGGACTCGATCGGGGTGAGCTTGGTCGAGGAGTTGGCCCGCAAGAACGGCGACGAAGTGCAGTACTTCCAGATCCGTAATGACTCGAGACTGGGCGGTACCATTGGTCCTTACATCTCGGTGAACACCGGGGCCCGCACCATTGACTTGGGGATCCCTCAGTTGTCGATGCACCTGATCAGAGCCACTCTCGGGCTGAAGGATGTCGGGTTGGGCGTGAAGTTCTTCAAGGGGTTCTGGCAAAGCTGGAGAGAAACCTATGACAACTACGACGGGTTGGTCTAGTCGAGGTAGAAAAGTTTTAAAATTGATTTACGATACACGATGATACAATATTAACATCTTTGAACTGGTTGTAATTGACAATTTGCAGCCATTGTAGTGGGGCCTTGAATTGGTCACCATTAGTAGTTCACGGCCTGGTATGTAGTCGCTCTATAGGCACTGGTATAGGTCTACGACTGCGATAAACTTACGAGCGAAAATAGATCTGATTGAACAGCATAGTAGACTCCAAGATACTCCAACAAAAAGTCCTACTTCGTCGTCACTCGTATATATCAAATTAATCGGAGTTGCGATAAATGAATTTTACAATCCAACTGTATTAATGTGACAAAGCCTAAAATCAACATGTGTTTGACTCTACTCATATGATGTAAGTTCTATTGAGAACGCTAAATCTCATAAACAGAGTTTATCACTCAAACTCCTCAATATCTAATTTGTAGAAACATAAACTCAAGCTTCTTTTGTCTAAGTCCCTCTAATTGTCCTCTCGTCTCACGCGCGGTCGACATCGCATTTTACCAATCACAATTGTCGCGAAGTTTATTACCACGATGTTTGCCAGAGTGTTGAGACAACAGGCCCGGCGCGGCGCCAGACAGTACTCGTCGGAGTCGTTCACCAACAAGCACGGCTTCAACTTGAACCCGCCCCCCGTCCACGCCTACTGGAACGCCCGTAACGCCACCGTCCTCGTCGCGTTCGTCCCCGTCTTCCTCGGCGCCGGGGCCCTCGCCAAGTACGTCGGCTACAACTTGCCCGGGTGGGACGGGTTGTTGGAGTTCTCCAAGCTGGAACAGCTGCCCGTGGGTAAGCAGGCGTTCGCTGAACCCCAGCCCTACAAGAACTAAAGAAAATGCATTCACTTTTCTCGACAGGGTTTTCTTAGCCCGCCGAGTGCCATCTAAAGGATTCTACGAATAAACACACGAATTGAACAATGTAGATAAGAATTCAACTGTAAACACTCTATTTAGAGGCTTTACTGTGTTATGCTTGAGTGTTAGTATTCTGGACGGATCACGTGACTTGAACCCTCACTTTTTCACATTTCAAAACCCTTTCATTGGCTCATTGGACCACCATGTTGACCAGAGGTATCAGAGCCGGCGCCGTCGCCGCTCGCAGAGTCAACCTCCTCAGAGGCTTGGCCACCCAGCAACCCACCCAGCAGATCCCCAACCACAACGTCATCATCGACCACACCTCCGGCCGCGTCGTCAAGCTCACCGACCCCGCCGAACCCGAATACGGCGACTACCCCTACGTGTTCAACCCGACGTTGGCTCAAAACAAGTCGCCCTACAAGCGGTACGACGACCCCCAGAACCGCAGAAACCGCGACGACCCCGTCAACATCAACGACGACTTATACGACATCTGGTCGCCTGACTACTTCCAGTTCGTCTCCGACAAGACCGCGGTCAAGCACAACGTCATCTTCTTCAGTTTGGTGTTTGGCTTTGGTGCGTTGATCTACTACTTGCAATTGAACCCGGAGAAGCCGGCGATGCCCCGGTCGTACCCTAAGGACGGGCTCGCCCAGCTGTTGGGTGCCGGCAGTGACAAGGACGCCGCCATCTACCAGGCGAGACCCGACCCCGAGGCCGACGCCACCTTGAAGGAATTGCCCGCCGACCCGGAGATCCAGGCGCAAACCAAGGCTTACCTCGAAAAGAATAAGGACTTCATCGCCGCCTAAGCCCAAGCATGTCATAATACACGTAAAGATTAGAAATTAAGGAGTGGAGAGTAAAACAGAGATCAAAGCTCAAAAAAGAGATTAGAGACTATCCTAAATTCACTCAGTAGCATCGGGTATAGTGATTAGTGACCACAATTCCATCTCTATTAGTTGTCATCAAATTATAACATTTCATCGTCGTGGAGGTTATTCCTTGCTGACGATCTCCTTGACGATGGCGATCTCGTGGGGGCCAGTGCTGCAACACCCGCCTATCGCCTCCACATTGGAGAGCTTACTCCACGCCTCTACTGCTGCCCGCCACACGTCATCATCTTTTACCACGCCGTAAAACCCTTTAGTCTGGTCGTACTCGTAACCAAGATTAGGGTAGACATACAATGGGAACGGCATCAACTGAGCAAGCGTTTCAATTTGTTTATAGTCACAACAATTGATCCCTACAGCAAGAAAGTTCAGTAGTCCCCTAAGCGGTTCCAAGAGACGAATAACGTCGTCAATGTCAGTGCCATCAACTAACCCTTTTGGGGTTAAGTTCATCAGCACGTAGAATTTCTTGTTTAACGTCCCGGCGACTTGGATCACCGCTTCAAGCTCGGTGCGGTTAGGGATGGTCTCAAACGCCACCATATCGACATCAGCATGGCCATTTAGATACTTGGCCAATGGCTCGTGGTACTCTCTCAACTCACTGATAGTAGCACCGTGGTACTCGCCCGTATACTCTGACCCATCGGCCAAATAGGTGGCGTACGGACCTACCAGACCCGCAATCATCACCCCTGGCTTCGCCGCCCGTTTCGCCACCTGGACCGCTTCATTCCACAAATTGTGGGCCTCGTCCAACGTATAATTCTTGTGCTTTATTAAGGTGGCGTACAGGAGCTGGTAGGTGGCGGTGACAAGCACCTCAGCCCCGGCATCAACGTACTCTCGGTGGATCAGTTCAATGAGGTCTGGTGACAGCAAAAGCACCTGTCCCAGCCACAAGGGGTTGCCCAATGGGTTGCGGGGATCATCCTTAGCAAGTCGGGTCTCTAGTTCCGTGCCCAATCCACCGTCAAGGATGAGCATGTAATCAGGTGATCCGGAAAGCAGCGGGTTGGACTTCTCCTGATATTGTGAGCATTGTGCCCCGCATACGATGAAAACCGGGTATTAACACCCACACGAGATAAGCCAGTATTGGAGCTAATTTACCGGCAAATGTTAATTCTACTTCAGATCTGATGATGATCTGATCTAACATTCTGATCTAGTAGTCAATCACGTTTCAATTTGAAAATTGCTTTGAAGTGAACTGTGAAATTGAGTGAACTCTGACCACAAGTTTGGTTAGTTTTTCAGAAACATCACGAGTGTTACGCTGATTATCTTTTTCTTTTCTGACTCATAGTTTCATAGTTCCCCAGATAAACTGCGCGCCGTGATGGCGGGTGGTGGCGACGACCATGACGTAATAAACCATAATACGATGGCTACTTGCATTTGTCGACGTCCGCCTGCGCACTCAGGGGTGCTCAAAGATCTCCAGACATTTATGGATAAAACGGTGGTAGCCGCAAGAGGCTGATTTGTTGTGACGTGCGATGACTAGACCAACCGGACGAGCAGAGAGTAAATTCCTAGCCAAGCCATTAACAGCTCGCACGAGCCAAACCATGTCGTCCACATCAAGCAAGCAATCACTCACCAGTCATCGTTCACATGTCTATTCTCACCTCTATACTACGCTTCTCTGTTGTCAAATCAACATTACCACTTCATCTCCAGCGCGCACTAGTGAAAAGCGTAACTGACCACTGACTCACCATGGGGGTGTCTGACTTGCTCCAGCGGATAAACAACAAGGGCAAGGTGCAGGCAGCGGCCCCGCCGAAGGCCACGCCACCGCCTGGAGGCAACAAACCCCCCATCCGCCCGCCATTGCCGGGGGCGGGTCTGCGACCGGTCGACCCAGTGGTGGCAGCGTTAAAGGAGAAGCGCCGCCTCGAAAAGGAAAAGAAAGAGGCTGAACTCCGAGCGAAAAAGGGCCTCCCTCCTAAAACATCCAAGCCAAAGTCTCAGACGGCCAAGAGGGAGCCTGGTGCCCCGCGGGCGCCGCCAAAGAAGCCGCTGGCTAGGCTGAGTCGGGGAGCAACCAATCTCCCGCCACCACCACCACCACCGCCGCCACGCCCTCCTCGCCAGAAACGCCTGTTCAATGAACTCATGCAGAAGGCGAAAGCCATCGACCCAAAGACATTACTGGTGGAATATAAGCCGCGATCCAATACCACTCCTGAACCCACAACCCGGCCGCTGAAGCCTCAGCAGCTAAAACCCTCAGAGCGCTTTGCCGCTAAGGAAGCAGCTCTTCGCCAGCGACAAGGACCGAGACCTCCATCGGGGCCAATGCCCTCGGTTTCCCGGGTCGCGGGTAAGAAACCGCCCGCTTCCGGCCGGATAGCCCCGCCTAAACCCATGGCTCGAGGCCCTAGTAAGGCGGTACAAGAGCGTCTCCAGCAGCGAAAGCAGCACTATGGCAGAGGTGGCGACGATGAGGACGAATACTATCTGGAGGAGGAGGAAGAAGACGACGGGTTTGTTGTCGACGACGAGGAGGTCGAACAGGGCTACGATGACCAGGGCGGTGACTATGACCGAGATGAGATCTGGGCTCTTTTCAACCGAGGCCGCAAGCGCAGCCATTACACTCGTTACGACGACTACGATCTGGATGACATGGAGGCCACCGGAGCCGAGGTGTTGGAAGAAGAGCATTATTCACGGCGCAATGCCGTGCTTGAAGATCAGCGGGAAGCCGAGGAAGAGGCTCGTCGCGCCGAAGAAAAACGCCGTCGTAAGCTACAGCGGAGATCGTGAGAGATTACGAGTTATTGCATAAGATGAACACTAATATTACGATATGAAATGAATATAAGCATTCGAAAGCACAAGCCGTAGTCTACAGTACATGATAGATCCCATAATGACGAGGCCAATAAATAGCATCCGGTTATCAGTTCGCCACATGAAATCGTTGGCAATCTACACCTCGTAAGCTTCGATGCAAATGTCTTCTTATTTCTCTCCAGTCCCATCTACCCAAAGATTGATTAGATTGGAACTCTTCGGACATCGGAATCGCTGCTCGCGTCTCATGCTAGTGACATTTTCATAGATCAAGCACTGACCTTACATTGTTGATGGCCAGCATCACTTTTCAACCAGAGTTCTTTCGATGATATCATCGATGTTGGGCTTGAGCTGGGGAAATTCAGCCGCAAGCTTTTCTCCAAGGACGTCTCGGAGTTTGGCAAACCCTTCCATCTTCCCCTTCAACCGAGCATTCAGCTTAGCCGTCACCTCGACGAATTCACGGGTGTAGATATCAGGATTGCGTCCATCCTCAATGTAGCTGATGACATCAATAGGCACCGGGTACTTGTCGATGCCTTGCTGTTCCCAAATGTCCGAGAGACCGCTCACCACCTGGTTGGTGGTGTCCACGAGTGTCAGATGACTCTGCGGAGTTCCGGGGTTATCATGAACAAGCACGCCAAGCTGAATCAACAGATCCACAAGCAGACTGATCTTGTCGGCAGTCTCGGCAAGCTCCTTGTTTGTAGGATCAATCGTCGCCGTCGTCATAGCTAGGTGAAGAGAGCGGCGCGCACCCGGTGATGGCTCCTATACATTATGCGGCTACGAGAAATGAAAAGTCCGGGGGATTCAGACATAATCAAGGAATTTTTGCTTTTAGATCGACGATATTGTTGATTATACAAGGGCGAGTCTGTTCGTATTACACGTTTTTTTAAATTAATGTGGTGAATTATATCACGCGGATGGCTTTTGTAGTTACACCAAAAGCAGCATAGGCAGTTCATGATGTAGAAACCTGGGATGAATCATACAATTACACATTCAAGAACTGTTTAACACATAGAATGGATTAACTTGGACGCGATCTAAGCTTCCGTATTCGAATTGACCCCAAGATAGCAATTCCTACATAACGCCATCCCCCCCACCAGAAAGCAATGGAGTGCGTGAAGCTGCAGTCTTTCGTCGACTTCAAGACTCTAGTCATTTACCTACAAGTGTGCTCCATGACCCGGCCTTCGTCTCGAGCCATGTCATGTCTTACTCAACGTTCCACGGTAATTTTTGTGTTTGTGGTATAAGGCTACATTATGACGTGGGCTGGTTGAGCATTTCGCGTGATCGCCGCCGAAGCAGTCTCGTTGTAAGGCTGCGCCTAGCCTCGGGCCACAAAGAGCCACATAATAAACAATTACATTTTAGGGGATAAGTAAGATTAGAGCCCATCCCCAACAGTGGCTTTCGTGTTCACTACACTCAATTTCAAGTCCATGAGCACATTGTACCACCTTAAATCTGTCAAAACAGTTCTCCGTTCGTCATCCGTACGGCTGTGGACTCAACTAACGGAGAAACTCCCGTCCATGCCGCGCGAATATTATAACGCCGTGGGGGATTGACTAGCGGTTATGTGGACCGATCTGGGAAAAGCTAAATGGCGCGGTAAGGCTGTCCCCAATTGCCCGACTTTTAGACTACTCACGGTAAGCCGTGTACGTGATACACGTGGAATTCGATAGCTTAAGTCACCTTCCGTGAGAGTGGTTTGTATCATTATTAACTGTGCTATAATTATAGGCTAAGTGGGGGTTGATACAAGACGCATTCTTCCCTCGCACGAGTGTCATCCTCCAAATGCGGAAGGTAGTCTGGGGTCATGCATACACATCACCACTGTTTCTAGCGCGGCTCGGGAAGGTCGAAGCAAGAAATGGTTTTCGTGGGGAAACACTTCGTTAATAAGAAGTTGGCTTTCTTGGTACTCTTTTCTTCTGAAAGGACACGTTCCCCCCCGCTACTGCATCAACGAAGATCGTGTCTCTCACAATTTGCAGCCCCGGCTCGGTTAATTTCTCAGGGTCAAAAAAGTGGGGAGATTCACCCGACTAGAGCAAGGCACACCAAGCAGCGATCGGCTGATCGAGTAACGTCATGTTATTTGTGAGCCAATTACTCATGTAAACGCAGGCTTTCCGCGGTAAATGATCAGGTAAAGCGAAGGGGTGATCGCGCTAGTCACTTCAAGCACCCACCGGTGGCTGCTCATTGGCTGTAATGCGGGGAAGCTTGCGTGAGAAATAGCACAAAGTAGATGCACACCAACAAAGATTATTGTCTTGAAGGTCACGGCTGTGATATCGACGTTCCCGAAACAGCAACTTGCAGGAGGTTGGCTCCCTGGACTCTCCAACTATAAATATGGGGATGTCGCGAGTAACGATCAGTATCAACAACCAAACAACCAGACAATCAATTCAAAATGAGAGCCCCCTCCAGTTTCAAGTGGAACTTCCTGAAATTCACCATGCTTGCCGGTGACTACACCATCGCCGCTACCAAGATGTTGTGGCCCAGTCGAATGAGACAGCCAGCTTACACTTTGCGGCGCCGTGTGACTTGAGGACCCGGTACCCTTGTTTTGCAACAAGGGAGGCCAAAGTGGTCTAAGGCGGCAGACTCAAGCGTTATAGCTTGCCGACCGTGAGGTTGGAGTTTCTGTTTTCTTACGAAGCGCGTGTTGAAATCGCGTCGTTGTCATGTTTTTTACTTCTCCAAAAGTTCCCATGGTTCTTTTGAGGCTTGACGTCTCATTCTTTTTCTATTTTAACGTATAACGAAATAACAAAAGCATATTTTCACTTACTTCTCATACTTCTTGGCGTACCGCTTTAATTGTGTGCTGAGACTAAATCTTATCGCTAGTGTCGCGCTCCGCACGTCATCGCACCAACTCCGATAAACGCATCCCCAAACCATGCGAGCATGGACCCGGAGGGCATCGTATATCTCGAGGAGGTATTTGTCAAGTGAAGTTGCCTTCAAGCAGGTCAGTGATATTGCCAAACAGCGATCCTTTCCCCGGAAATACAATGAGCTAAATCATGTGGCTCCTACTGAAATCGATGAGATCCTCGATTCCTTGAAGCATCAGGCCCCTAAAAAAGGGTTGAAAACAGAAATAGCAGAGTTTATCAACCCCCAGGATCAACATCTTACGAACTTACTTGCTAAAGTGGAGAAGAATGAGTTTCCGGAAAATTTACTATCGGTGTTGGGCCACAAATCAAAACAGGACTTTGCCCAGGAACTCATTACCAAGAGTCTTTACCGCCGATATGTTGGTAGTAAGGTGTATTCGTATAAACCTCAGGATACCACTATCGACTTGTCAAACCCCGCCGAGTGGTTCCCTCAGGCACGTAAGATGAAGCGAAAGATCATTATGCACGTGGGTCCAACAAACTCGGGGAAAACTTATAGATCGCTTCAGAAATTGGCTCAAGCTCAGCTGGGGTACTACGCTGGTCCGCTCCGGCTCTTAGCCCGAGAGATCTTTGAGAAATTCAATAATGAGAATGTCCCCTGCAATTTGATTACTGGCGAAGAAGTGGTGCCTACTATCGACAAGTATGGTAAGACAAGTGAGATATCGCTGGGGACAATTGAAATGATCCCTTTGAACAAGAAGATGGATGTCTGTGTTATTGATGAGATCCAAATGTTAGGAGACCCAAACCGGGGGGCTGCGTGGACAGCTGCAGTACTTGGGGTTCAGGCCAGTGAAATCCACTTATGTGGTGAGGAACTGGCAGTGCCAATCATCAAGCGCATCTGTGAAGTCACTGGTGACGAGTTGGTAATCAAAACGTTCGAACGGTTAGGTAAGCTTACTGTACAATCAAACCTGTTGCGGTCGTACAGAGACCTCCAGCCAGGTGACTGTGTGATTGCATTCTCCAAACGGGCAATCTTGGAGATTAAACTCAAGATTGAGAAGGAAACTCGGTTGAAAGTGGGGGTCATTTATGGCGCCTTACCTCCAGAAATCCGGACTCAGGAAGCATCCCGTTTCAATCTGGGCAAGTATGATGTTTTGGTGGCCACCGACGCCGTTGGTATGGGGCTCAACCTCCGTATCAAACGGATTGTGTTTTACTCGACTTCGAAGTTTGATGGTAAAAACGTCATCCCTTTAACCGTATCGCAAACAAAACAGATTGCTGGTAGAGCTGGTCGGTTTTCGAAAGATAAAGGGGAGCTGGAAGGGTTTGTCACAGCCATGAATCGCCGTGACCTTCTTTTCATCAAAAAGACGATGAAGAAACCTAATCAGGATTTGGAACAGGCACGCGTGTGGCCGTCTAATCAGATATGGAAGCAGTACATGACGTATTTCCCTCCTAATACCCTGTTCTATGAAGTACTTCTTAAGTTCAAGGAGGAAATTGAGCCAACATTGAACCAAGACTTTTGCGTGTCGGAAGTGGACCCTCGAATTGCTGTGTTGGAGTTCTTTTTACGGCTGGACCTTTACAAACGAATCACTGTCGATGACCAGTTGACGCTTTCGTTGGCTCCCATGCAAGCTCTGGGGAACAAATCGGCGGAAGTGATTCACACTTTCCTCACTGCCATCGCCAACAATACCCCGAAAAGCGTCTTCCAGTGTGACATCGTTGACAAAAAGTTACTTTCCCGCTCAGCTCGGCCTCTGATGCGTTTAGGAGACGCCATGGGTACGTTGAGTGAGTTGGAGGAAATGCACAAGTTGGTGTTGCTTTTCTTGTGGTTGAGTCAGAGATGGCCAACTTTGTTCATTGATAAGGAGCTGGCTACCGACTTGAAGCTGTTGATTGAAAAACGTATTTCTCAAGAGTTGGACATGACTCGCAAGCTTAATAAGGCTCGTCGCCGGTAATTGTATATAGTAACAGACGAGCTTGGGGATGGGTAATCGATTATCAGTACACCAGTTGTAGCCCGAAATTGTCAAGTAAATGCTTTAATTTGGCTTCATTAAGAAACAAATGGAACAGTTCATAGGGACTGTCAAAATGTAGCTCTGCTTAAGAGAAGACTCGCTTCGGGTAACTGTCACGCTGATTTAAGGAGTTGTGAGCCTTGGTACATTCAACGAGGCTGAAGTGCCCCCTTCACCATTCCGATGTCCCACCCGACCTATATGCATGAATCGATGATATGAAAATTCACCACTGAACTAACTAACTGATTAACATCTAAAACTTCACCAATGACCCACTTCTCGTCGATTTTTCCCTAGTTATCATCGTCATAGTGACGGTCATCGCGATCACGATAAAGGCAGGTACAGCATTCTTCCTGCACACAATTAGGCAAATATCCATTTCCCAAACCGCGAAAGGTAAACAAACACCTTCCCTCTCCCCCGACCACCGCTCCCCATTCTTGAATGAGCCTGCCACTGAAGCTCCTGGCTCTCCGCTTCTTTGAGCAGATGGAGGAGGAGAACCCAACCCCAATTCGGGGTTTGGGACTGCCCCTTCGAAGCCCATTGGGTCCCAGCTTCCGCCACAACCAATCACCGACAAAGGCAAAGAAAAACGACGAAGATTTGGACGACTTGGCTAAGCAACTCGAAATTACCCCCGTGTCGCCCACCAGAAGCAAAACCGCTGCTTTGGCTAGCCGCTTCGAACAACCACTGGCGACAGTGCTGTCATTTAGACTGTCGCCGTCGCTGGCAAGCGCCAGTGTCGATGAAGCGACCTCGCCTCGACGCAAGCTTGCTAATGAGTTCAAGTCCAACGCCAACACCAAATTGCTGCCTAGTCGTGCTAAGGTCACAGAGAACCCGCCTAGTCCGCCACGGCCAAAGAAGAAAGACCCCTTCGCCGATGAACAACCAGACTGGGCCAACAAGAACTACAAGGACATTCTTCTGCGCAGTCCTCGGAAGCTGGCAAGTCCTCGGAAAGAATCACTTCAATTCAATACCCCTTCTCATGTCGCTGATCCCTCGACCAGCCCCCGGCAAAGCCCGAACAGAAACGCCCCCAAGATGGCTCCTCCCGCCGAAAATACCCATTTATCTCCATTAAAGGCACCGTTGGCTGCTTCCGTGCGTACCCCACACAGTTCTGTACCACTGTCGCCGATCCGCCCTTCGCGTCAAATGCTGCCAGTGCGCGACAAGGGCGACGGTCTGCCCGCGTACGAGTACTTATGCCGGATACAGGCTCTCAAAAATTGGTTGGAAACCATCCTTCAAATTGAGATCCCTCAACTGGCAGCTGAACTTATCAACTACGTGCGCAATGGTATCTACTTGGCCAAGCTCGCCAATGTGGTTCTTCCGCTGAAGCGGACGGTTTTCACGAATGACTCGAAGCTTGAGTTTCGCCACACCGAAAATATCAACCGCTTCTTTCAACTTTTGGATTACATGAACGTTCCCGACTTGTTCAGATTTGAGCTCACTGATCTTTATGATGCTAAAAATGTGCCCAAAGTATGGTTCTGTTTACACGCTCTCACTTACATGTTGAACAAGATGAACCCGGGATACCCTAAAGCGGAAAACTTAGTGGGAACTTTGGACTTTTCGGCGCTGGATATTAGGGTGGCAGCCCGGGCGCTTGTCGGCAGCCCTCTTCCAAACTTTGCAAGCGCCGACAGCGATAGCGACGACGAAGATGAGGACTTTGTTGCTCCACCATTGCCGCCAGTTGTCGGTGCGAGTCCTAGAGAAGCACTGGTGATGTATTCAGACCGAGAGCCCGAGGTGGTGTACGTTGAACGTCAACCTGAAGTCGTCTACGTTGAAAAAGAACCGAGGGTAGTGTACATTGATTCGCCTCAACGAGTGATGGTGTCTCTGGGTATTCAAACCGAACCTGTGCGGGGCTCTTTGAGTCGATGTGACGTGGGCACCAGCACTATGCTCCCGCCTCTGCCGCCTCTGCCGCCTCTGGAAACTGTAATTACCGAGCACGAGGCTGATCTTACTGTGGTTCGAACCAACTCTCCGCTTACTGATGCTAAAGACTTCCGTGATGCCAACGACTATGAACTCGACAGGCTTAAGGGTGAGATCACTAAGCTCCAAGCTCTAGCTCGTGGTGCCAACTTTCGGTATCGGATGTTTGTGGACAAAATCATGCTTAAACTGTACTCAGAGGAGATTGAAGAGTTCCAGGCGTTGGCCAGAGGCGCATTGGCACGGACGCACACCGTCCACCGTCACCGCAAAGCTCTCGTACCGTATAGCAACCTGGTGACGGCGTTTCAGCTGGTCTTACGTCGCCGTTTAGTTGAACAACGCATGGCCCAACCTCTTTTGACGCTTGCAGTGCCGCAAATCACCCAGCTTCAAGCGATGATAAGAGGTGGCATTGTTCGCAAGAGTATCAATGATCTCAAATTCCGCTTACAAAAAAGTCGCCACTCGATTATCGGCCTTCAACTGGCAGTTCGTCAAAGGGAGGTAGCATCAAAGTATCGCGTGTATGTATCTAACCTGCGCTGGTTGTTCCCATTGATGACCCGCTTCCAAGCTGCTGCTAGAGGTCACTTGGTCCGCAGAAAACCTACTGCTACTCCAGCAAATATGCCTCGTCAATCGGTGATGCAAGTCACACGTCTCCAGCTGGTTATTAGAGGTGAAGCGACGCGCTATTGGATGGACCGTGTGCGTCACAAGGTTCGTCGTCATACTCATGCAATTTCTGAGTTCCAAGCAATTGCCAGAGGCGGCATAAGTCGTACCCGTATGTGCGACAACGTTTTGGTGGGATTATTATATGAGGACCACACCCTCAATAGATTATTCGCCAAGGTGAGAGGCAATGCTATGAGAAGAGAAGTGAGACTGCTCAAACGTGAACTTCGCCATGTGGAAGAGACTTCAATCCTTCCTATTCAAAGCATATTCCGTGGCATTTACGTGCGTACTCAGCGTTACTTTTTACATGAAGATATCTATGAGCAAATTGGTGAACTTATTGAGCTTCAAGGTGCTATGAGAGGAAAACTTGTTCGCGACCAGATTGATGATATGAACCGCTATTACGTCCACAATATTGCTACTGTGGTAAAGGCTCAGCTGATTATGAAAACATGGATGACAAAACGGGCGTTTGATTTGCTTCTTCTGACTAAGAACCCGCCACTTCTGGTAATTCGTCGGTTCGCATACCTTCTTATGGATGATCTGGATGACTTCACAGAAGAAATGGAACTTTCCGAAATTAAGGATCGTATTGTTGATATTTCCAAACATAATGAACAGTTGGAACTGCAACTTGAGCTGTTAGACATTAAGTTGCAAATGCTTGAGGAAAACAAAATTACCGTGGACGAATTTGTGACAAATAAGGTCAAGCCTCGAGTGAGACCCATGCTGATCACACAGAACCTGGGGCTTCCGAAGCTGGTGAGGGAAAAGCTTGAATTCTTTGCTACATTGTTGTACTTGTTACAAACTCATCCGGCGTACTTTGTTCGTCTTTATGCTCATATGGATATCGCAGCTAAGGACAAGCCTGATCTGGTGGACTTGTTTCACTGTGTCGTCGCATTATTTCCAATTAAAGAGGCCAAGATCAACGTTCACGGGCGGGAGGAATATTTTTTCGTCAAGTTTATTGTTGGCTTAATGGAGCACGACATTAAGCACCATTGCGGGAACATTACCGACATTACTCGGCCATCCAACTGTTGGTGGATCGATTACTTTGTTCACCTCAATTGTCATACCTACCAGAGACTGCATCTCAAACTGATTATGGGACCGGTGATGTCGGAGGTTGTTGACGGTGAGCACCTTGACTTTGAGCTGGACCCTGCTCGCATCTACGCTGATCTTTTACAACATGAGTGTAAAGTAATGGGCCGCCTGGACAAACCCCTGGGTCTTTCTGCTGCAGCAGCAATCAAGCAGCCCGAAGTGCTGGAGCGTTTTGTGAACAATTTGATGCAATTGCGTGAAGTTGCGACGCTGACTTTGAGTCAGGTACAGAAAGTTTTGAATCAAATACCTTTGCATGTGAGGCTTGTATGCAAACGGGTGTACGAAGCCTCCCAATTGCAGTTTCCGGACAAGCTGGCTCAGCACCATTTGGCAGTCACCGGGGTTGTCTTTGCCAAACACTATCTTACTCATATTTTTAATGGGCCTGAAAACTTTGGCTACTTGATGGGCGACCCGTTCCTGCCAGGTACGCTGGTGAACCCACGTGCCAGCAATAACCTTCGCCAGCTTGCTCGTATTGTGATTCAATTGTTTCTGTTGAAGCCATTTAGCGATAACTTCCTCAAGCCGCTCAATGACTTTGTCGTCAATACTCATGACAGCGTGAAAATGATCATACGCGAGGTCATCAATGTGGGTGAAATTGAAGCTGAGTACAATCTTAGTGATTATGACGATATCATCACTACTAGCCGGCCGCAGCTTCTGATAAGTGTCACAGCGATGGTCAGCCTCGAAAAGGTGTGCTCACAGAACTTGGACGTGATGGCGCCTCTGCTCGATGATCAATTATATCAAGTGATGCATAAGCAGCAGCAGGTTGTGGGGCTGGCTGATGATTATATGGCATTGACTGAAATGGGGGTGATCACATTGGACTTGATGCCTGCCACTAAGGAAGATACATGGGCTGACTCCAAAGCACTGCTGCTCTTTACAATGTCCAAGCGGTGCCTCTTATACATTATGCGGGTGCAACTGGGTGACAACTTGTTGGAGCTTTTGGTACTGCCCATATCTGACGAAAGTGAATCTCGCTTCAGCGAATTGATTCAAGATGACTCAAAGCTGCCGTACCACAAAACACTGCTTGGGAATCTTAAAACTTTGACCTTACACGAGCTTAAAAAGAAGACACTTGAAAATCTTATTAAGCTTGAAAATTTGGGTCTCATCACTCGGCAGAATTCATTCCAAGAGATCCTTAATCGTATCGCCACTGATATCAAAACAAAGGATACCCAGCGTCAAAATCGTAAGATGCAATTAGCAATTGCGGTGAAGACAGTGTCAAAGTTAGCTGAGAAGGAACGCAATCTCAAACGACAATTAGCTGATTACAATCGAGATGTCGACGCAATTTTGGTTCACTTCCAGAAACAGCCTAAAGACCGCAAAATCTTTAACCTTATTCCGGTTTTGTCGAAACAGTACTTCTATCATCGTGAGTTGCGCAAACGTAACAGGTTACCCAAGTTTGGCTCTTACAAGTACCTGGCCAAAAAGTTGATGGATCAACATATTTTGAAGGACTACAAAAACATGTCTGGACACTCGAAGGTAGACTTCATGTTTTCATGTCATGCTGTGGGTAGATTCACGGTGGAAGCAGCTACTGGGCTGGTCACCATTCCAGGAGCTCTGCAAATAGTCACCTTGGATGAGTTGTTGAATTTGCAGTACGAGCACGAAGAAGAATTGAAATTGTTTGATGGCATGGCAACATTTAAGCTGGAAAACTTGATAGCAATGATTTTCCGGAAGTTTTACGATACCAATCGCGAATAGCTACACGCACGTTAATACACATTTACATCATCTGACACTTTTCTAAGTAGTACAACCCCATATTGGTTCTTAAATGGAATAAAAAAAAATGTAAATTATTGGACTGAACTGACGGTTACATAATCATTTGAAGATGTCGCGAAAAATCCTTGATAATCTTTAATTGCTATATATTGACTACTTCATATATCACTTTTAAGCAATTGAAATCAGGAGTGGGGCAGTGGCTCAACGGTAGAGCTTTCGACTCCAGATCGAAGGGTTGCAGGTTCAAATCCTGTCTGCCTCAATTTCCTTTTTCATCTTTTTCATTTACAGATTTCGAATGATTAAATCACCAGGTGCCATAAGTTCTTACGTGAGTTTTTGTATCTTTGTTTGTTTGAGTACCTCTTATGCGACGTGTGTGAAGATGCATTTTGAAGGCATCTTTTTTTCTTTCTATAAGTGTGATTTAGCATCATACATAGACAAAATTGTAAAAGTTACCATATGTCATGATACACCTTATCAGACTAGACACGTATCACTTGCAGTATGTTCTTTTGTCTAAATGCTTTGTTTGACCTGTGTTTAGTGTCGTCTTTAGCACCTGAGTTTTTCTCGGATTGCAAATTTTCAGTTATAATTTACGATTCAGAATTATTATACCGGAAGTATAATTCAAACACAGTTGAAGACAATGTTGCATCTTATCTTCCTTTGCGTTCGTCCGATTTGGGCGCTCCTAAATGTCTAACTGCTGAAGTATCCCAGGAACTATCGAATTTTCAAAACTTCACCTAATTTATACTTACTCGGTGAATAAACTTATTTTTTTTTTTTTTCCATAAACTTGCATTAGTATCTATCTATCGTTTGTAAAAATAACTTATAACCTTCACCTAAGGTCGACTAAGAAAAACACATCAAGAATTTGATACCCGCGACTCGCGGAAGTTACACCTGGCCCCTGCCAGGGTTTGCCTTCCTTCAGCCCATAGGGCGAGAAAAAGTTTGGGCTGTACTTATTTTTTACATTACCTGTGAACACGGATGAGATATTCAATAGTGAAGTTCATATGTACGCTTGGTCTTTTTACTGCCTTACGGTTCTTAGACGTACTTGGGTGTGCATACTTTGAAATATCAAGAGCTACTTAAGATATAAGAGACTAACGGACACAATTCGTTATCTATAATGTATAAGAACAATGTGGAAACCATTATATTGCATCAAACTGAGTTTTCCTTGAAAGATCTCGCAAATTTGATTGTGGCCTTAACGGTAGTCGGATATAGATTACAAAGGGCACATGAAAGTCTCAAAATGGGCGTGTGGTCTAGTGGTATGATACACCCTTAGGGTGGGTGTGGCCCTGGGTTCGATTCCCAGCTCGCCCCATTTTTTGTCTTGTTCACATTGCAAGGCTCTGAAATGAGATAATATTGTTACCTCATTGTCTTGCACTCTTTGTTATATCATTACCATGCACAATCTATATCCCACTAAGTTTCAAACTCTATCAAATTGTCGTCCTCAGGCTTGATGTGTTCTCTGAACTTTTGGATGTTTTCACTTGACCCAGTTCTCAATTCGGGCCGTTTTAATTTTATATGTCCCTCAGTTCCTAACAAGGTATCCTTCTCCTTATCATCAATATCCATAGTTATCATATCCTCATCTTCGTCGTCTGGTTTCAGCTTGATCAGAATCACGTCCGGCTTGATACTCAGAGCTGACAGATCAACTCTCCGTCTGACTCTCAGTGCCAAGGTTCTACCGTCGGCAAGCAAACCATCAAACATGACTCTTAAGGTTCTCATCAGATTCAAATCGGTATCAATTTCTTTCGATAAATGGAACAGTTCACGTAAGGTAAAAGCGAAGAAGAGCTCATACGTTTCATCGGCAAGAATCACCATGCGGAATGTTGGAAGAGTAAGCACCACCGGGGCATTGGGATTGAGAGCTGCGTTATGGCTGATCGTCAGTTCCATTGCAAGTTCTTTGATAAGCAATTCTTCATCATCGGGCTGAGCGTACTCAAACGCCCGTTGAAGAAATTGTGATGCCAGCTGAAGATATCTTTCAATCTGTTGAGACTCAAAAGGAGTACGGTCAACTTCAATTGTCCCAGTGTTATCACACTTTTCATCATCCTGTACTTGCTTCAGTGCAAACCGCTCAATCTCATGCTGGGTAATTCTGTCAAGTAATCTGCCTTCTTTCCAGGGACTGGTAATGAAGAGCAAATCTTCCAGCATTTGCAATATCGTTTCACGATCAATCTTCCCCTGTTTACGCGGATTATTGGCATATAATTCGAAGAAGTTTTCGATCAGTGCCATAAGGTCAGGATCACAAAGCTTATCAAGTCCAGAAACAATGTCGCCCAACGTTAATGTACCATGTTTATCGCGATCCCAGTGATCAAACAAACGATGAAGGAAGTGGGTTTGCACCGGGTGCTCACCATCGGCATCATTCACCCAGTCAGTGACACTGGCCATAAACCGACGGAAGGCAACAAAGTCCATCAGCAGTGATGCACCACCAGTGAGAGCACTCTCCAGCTCGACCACGGTGTAAAATCTGTCGTATAAGTTTGAAAGATCACTTGCAGTCAAAGTAACCGTACGAGGCAAATTTCGAATATCCGTACGCTTCACAAAGGTCAGCACGTTCGAAAAAATTGAATCGCGGTAACGGTTTCTGTGCCTGTTGATGATCTCATCATCAATTGTGGAGAATTCCTTGAATGCGGTAACAAGTAACTCTTGAAACTTCGTAATGGCACGATATTTCGGGTTCTTGGCATCGGGATGTGCCAGTTCGTCAAGGGTATGGAAGTAGTGCTTAATGATGGAAATGAACATTCCATCATCTTCTTGTTGCAAAAGCTCCTCGCCATTAATCTTGAGAATGGCAAGAGCTACTTGGAATAGGGTCTTAGGACCCTGAAGGAAGAAGATATCCAAGATACGACAAGCAAACACAAGCGGCATCAGCAGCAAGTAAAGCGAAAGGAACCACGGTAAGGATACCACCAGCAATTGAATATCATACTTGGTAATGTGGTTCCAGAGAATGGGCATCGTGTTTTCTACCAACAGCTCAAACACTCTCTGATCGAGTAATGTACCGTACATGGTTTTCAGGTAATATCCTGGTACCACGCGATCGCACAACATATCCAACGCCCAAAATGCTTGTTCTTCAGACATATAGATAAGCAATGCAGCAACAACAATGTTCATTGCTTGACAATAGCCCAATTCAGGGTTCTTCCACAGATATGCTGTCAATACTCGCCGTAAGCGGCCAATACCCTCTTCCGTTTGGTAAGCAGCGTACTCGGGTAACAGTCGGTTCAAATCCTTTTCAATTTCTTCAATTGCAACAGATTGCTTATCTTTGTTATCGTCAAGTAATTTCTGATACTCCCCTTGATGATCAAGACGAGTATACATCGATCCCACACAAAGTTCCCAAACTTCACCTCTCAAGCGATTGGGGAGACCCACGCGAACAAGTCGGTAGAACATGGGCGTTTTGATTTGAGATAAATTGCGGCCGTCTGTACGAAATAGGTCAAACCACAACTTCATCTTCTGCTTATCCTTCGATTCTTTAGGATCACCCGGGAACTTGTACACCAACCCTAGCCCACCAGGTGGAATTTCCAGAACCTTCTCTGTGGTAATTTTGTTTTTCACCAACAAGAACTCCAGGTAGCATGATTGTATGAATGGTTGAAGTTTACGCACTTCCGGAAGATTAGCTTTGAGCACTTCCCTGAATGCGACTGCTGCCCGTTCACATTCCAGCCGTAAGCCAATCATGTAGAGGGTAACATGAAGTTTCGAATAGGTTATAATCGTGAGAGCAAATCCGTATTCCAGCAGCGGGAGCCGCTCGACTTTCTTGATGGTGGAGAGATGAAGGGAGAACAGACAATTGCGTTTGTCGTAGGCGTCTTTGAAACAGAGGAAGTGTTGCGTTAAAAACATTCTTCCCTGAGGGAAAGGTAAGTTCTTATATGCTTCCTTGTTGTACTCCAGTCGCAAACCAATTTCGACCAACATCTCACTCACCACCGTTTCCCCTGGCGGGAGATTGAATTCCTGACATAATTTCTCATCCCGTGAAAGTGTAGGACCTCGGGGCATATCAAACACCTGGCCAAGCGTGGAAAACGCCCGGTCTTTGAGTGCCCCAAATAATGCCATTTCAGGATGATTACGGGTGTGAATCGCGCGCTCTTACATCCGACAATACCTCTGTCTCGGGTGACGTAAAACAATGCGAAAGAAATTAGTAACACGTACAACCACAGTAGGTCAGGGGTCACGACAATTTACCAGACACTTGACTGCCTGCCAACTTCAGTGGAAATATGAATGTGATCAAGGGACCATGAGGACCTGGAATAATTACGCGACGCGGAGACCGTGTCTCCGGATATAGCATAGCCCACGGGGAGAAAAAAAATGATGATTGGTGTGGGGTTCGAACCCACGCCCCCGAAGAGACCAGGAATGTGACATCCGAAGATATCGCGGTAAGGTGACCTTACCCTGGCGCCTTAGACCACTCGGCCAACCAACCATTTCTGAGGTGGTTGTTTTGCAGGTCATATATGAATAATGAATTAAACTGAAACTTGAGAAAATGGGACCATGGTTATTAAATAGGGAACATAGTACCCAAAACATAAACATTTGCTACTTATGTACTCAATAATGCGTTATTTGGGTTGGAATAGTCTGTACAAGGAGCTTAATTTGGTCACGATTACAATCAGGAAAGAATTGATTGACACAAATGAGATTCAAATTGAATTTGATTATAAACTTCATCTCAGCACACAAGAATTGTGAAGACTGGACAATTCTATTGTTTGAACTGCTGCTATTTTATTGAATTCTGGCGTTCTACTCACTTCGCTCATGCTCTTTGCAAGAAATAAGCAATCATGGACTACCTGTTTTGACAATCTGGTAATCATTGGAATGCTTTATGATATGCATCATCTACTTGCACGAAAGCCACTGATTTGAAGCAATAATGGCGTTATAACAATTTCGAGGGACATACGGTTGCTGAATGAAGAATGGAAAGAAAAACTTTTCGAAGTTATCTCGTCGGCTTGACCTGAGATTCGGAAGGTATATCTTCACTAATAGCTCATATGTTTGTGGTAACTTTCCTTCACAAATTTTTCTAAAAGAAGGTTTTGGAGTTTTTCACTTTCATCAAAGCGATTTCTAGATCTCAAAATCACAGGTTACACACATTGTACTAGTCAATTCCAGATGTATCGAGCAGTTACTATCGACTGTTCTCGAAACACCTTGAGGGCGGTGGGTGACTCTGTTCATGGAGTTCGGATACTGGAATCTTACTAGTAAAGTCTAGAATGAGCAGAGCAAGGACCTTTTGGAACCAATACAAATATAATAAAGATGGTGTATACAATCATCGAAAACGAAAGGAAAGTCGAAGTACGGAATTGGCAAATATGCATTCTCAAATTCTAGCATCGTTACTTAGTCCTTTTAGACCACACGAAAATCAGAAAAAAGGCCGGTAAAAGTGAACATCTCAACCATGAACGTAGGAATTTATAGTTTATGTCATCTTTTTGTGGTTTCATGATTGAAGAGTTCACATTGTGTAAAGTTCGTTATAACGTAATACGGAGTTATCAACGGGTAATCCCTGGGAAAGAGCGTAGAAAGAAGCCCAACGGCATATGCAGACAGATGTGAAACATCGCCATTCGCCGAAATTTCAGTTATTTTGCGTTACAACGGCTTCCACCGAACCTCATTGCCACGGCTTTTGTAAGAGCATACCGCCCTCTCGCCTGCATGTACCTCACTCGCTTATCGCCAGGCAAGCTAAGAGCATAACTCCTTGCGAACACATTGACTGATAATGCTGCATTAATTAGCCTCGTCCGAGGGACCTACAAGTGCATACGTTGTTGACGGAGCTGCAAACTATATTTCATCCTGTTATGTATATATAATTGCCATCGCCTAATCGTCGATGCCCCTTATGGAGAAATACGAATCGGAAGTGTCGTCCCAACCGAAGAAGGAGGTCACTGAGTCTCACTTTGACGATGTTACTTCCCAATTGTCTCAGAATCGCTGGATCAGATGGATCTACGACTTGGACAAATTTGGGGTCGAGACTCGTGGGATTGAGCGAGTGGAGCCGGAAGACCGGTCGCAAAAGCCTCTCTGGTACCAATTCATTCATGTAATGGGGGTGTGGTTTGCCTCTAATATTGGGCTCACGTCGATGTCGCTGTATTTCTTGCCCACATTGATGTTTGATCTCAACTTGAGAGACTCGTTGGTGCCTGGGTTGATTGGCATGTGGATAGGCTGTCTTGTCCCCGCCTACTGCTCAACCATGGGTCCTCAGTCTGGATGTAGACAGATGGTGGGTGCCCGTTTCTTGTTCGGTGAATGGGGGGTGAAGTTTGTGTCGTTAATTGCCATTGTCGGAGGTGTGGGGTGGTCAGTGGTGAATTGCGTTGTTGGAGGCCAGGTTCTTCGGGCTGTGGGTGACGAAAATGTTCCGTTGGCAGCCGGGATCATTGTTATTGCCGTTGTCTCTTTAATTGTGGCCGTGTTTGGTATCCGCGTGCTTATGAAGTTCCAAACAGCGTTGTCAATTCCTTGTGTTGTGGCGGTGATTTTGTACTACGTGGTGGTTTGCAAACAGCTCAGTTGGATCAGTGTCACCAACGCCACCATTGCTGAAACCAACCCCAACGGCTCTAGCTTCACTACCCGTGGCCAATGGCTCTCGTTCTTTGCCATCAGTTACTCCGTCACCGGGACGTGGGGGCTGGGGGCCTCTGATTTCTATATTCTTTTCCCCGAAGACACCCCGAAGATTGCGACGTTCTTTGTAACGTTTTTGTCTATCGGCATGCCGACGACGCTTGTCGCCGTCGTCGGCTCCCTCAGTGGTGCCATTGCCTACTCCTACAAGCCTTGGGGGGATGCCTACGAAAACGTTGGTGTCGGTGGTATCATCGATGCGGCGTTTAGTCCCTGGGGGAGATTCGGCAAGTTCTGCCTGGTGTTGCTCTACATTTCCCTCATTTGCAATAACATCATGAACACTTATTCGGTGGCGTTCGAATTCCAGCTTATCGATAACCGCCTCCGCTACGTACCCCGGTGGTGCTGGGCGGTGTTGGTGATGGCGGTGTACTTGGTGCTTCTGTTGGTCGGCCGCAACGTGTTCTCCGATATCATCAGTAACTTCTTGCCAATGCTTGGGTACTGGGTGTCCATGTACATCGTGTTGCTTTTGGAAGAGAACTTATTGTTCAGAAATCGATCCCAGAAGCATCTACACTCAGCAGAGTTTGTCGACCCGGGGCTGGAGAAGTACTTGTACAACTGGACGGCGTGGAATCGTCCTCGGGAGATCACTTGGGGGATTGCCTGTTGTTTAGCTTTCTGCTGTGGGGTGATTGGTGCCGTCGCGGGGATGAATCAAGTGTATTGGGTGGGCTGGATTGCTCGCAAGATCGGCGACCATGGTGGTGACATCGGGGTGTTTTTGCTGATGGGATTTACTGGGGTTGTGTACCCGCCATTGCGGTATCTTGAACTTCGCAAGTTCAGAAAGTGAACTGTATACGACTGTAATTAATCATAATATGTTTAAGTATCTATAAAATCGTAAGCCAGCCGTGTCGTAGCCGGACGACATTCATGTCCTGTTGTAGTTTACTCGTTACCTGCCGCTTGCACCAAATCCAAAAACTTTTCCTTAGAAATCTCGTTCATCAACTCCTGCTTGCGCTTTTCCCCACCAATCTCGGCCTCAAGTTGTTGCTCAGTCTTGATTTGGGTGGCCAAAATAGCGTTAAACAAACGAACCACCCCCTTTTGAGCCGACTTTTTAAGGTGACGTTCATGAGCCAACGCTTCGGCAGCGCCATCGCCGGCGGGTATAAGTCTTCTCACCCGGTGCTTGTCTTGCAACTGCTTCTTTTCCGCTAAAAGCGCCCGCTTGGCCTTAGCTTCCAATTTATCCAGCTCGAGCTTCTTGATTGTCAGCTTGTTTCTCGCCAAAATAGGGTCCTTCCGGTCGTAAGCTTTAAGCTTCGACCCCAAAATAGCGGTGACTGCGGACGAGAATGCTTCGGAGCCATCACTGGTCTTTGCACTCTTTCTCTTAGTGGGGAAAGAATCGTCTTCTTCTTCTTCATTATCATCGTCGTCTTCTTCCTCTTCTGAGTCGTCTTCGTCCTCGCTGTCACCCAGAGAAACGCCTTCAACATCAAATTCGTCTTCAGCGTCACCCTCCAACTCGTCATCAGACGCTTCTTCAGCCGACTCATCGGAGGAAGCCTCATACGAGTCGTTGGAAATGTCCTCTTCCTCGCGGACTTGGGCTTTCTCCAGCGAGATCTTCAGCTTTTTGGCCATGGTTAAGGGAGTTACGCGATGAGCGATGGTTGAGCCGCACTGCACTTGACTAGCGATGGGCCTGCTGCCTACCGAAAATCGATAATCACGTGATCCGAAGGTTGTCTCCCGCTATAGTGCAATGATGCGCACGTCTCATCCCAGTGATTAACAAAATGAATGGGCCCAATGCAACAGCAATTAATACCGATTTGGATGGAGGTTTGATCATTTGACATTGACGCGGTACCTGATGGTCATCGATAAATGCAATGTTTCAAAACCGAGCGACGCACTTTTCAAGAATTTCAGTGGTGACAATTATAAATTATTATATAGAGATCCTTGGATTCCTTGTCACAACTCCAAGCTCCATCTCAAATCCCTTCAATCATCACTTCCATTGTCAACGTAATCTCAGCGAGATTCTGCAAGGCGTTCACAGTGTCGCTGTCAGGCGCGGTCGCACCGATAGGCGACGCGCTGACGTCAGCGTGGGGAAAGAGCTACGTCGCCGGTCCCAGATTATCTGGAGGGTTACCATCTTCTATCATTAGTAAGCCACATCTCGATCCAACCTAAAAATCACTCGCGTTAGTTGGTCTAATGCTGCGTGCCTTTTCTGCATAAATCCCTTCCCACCCCCAGATGTGGGTGCAACAGATCGTGTACCCGCATTTCGAAGTCGCACACCCACGCCACTTGTATATATTTACCATCTTGAGCTCTGTCGCGTCGCGCCCCCCCTCCACAACATACCGCTCGCTTTTTACTTCACCACCACCACTGCCCATGGCCGAAGAAGGGTTTCCCGATAACGAAGTGACCCTCCACGAAGGGCACGACGATGACGAGTGGAGCGGCAAGGACGTGGATGATGTCATGGGGAGAAAGACAGCCTTAACCACTGAAATAAACGCGTTGCGGTGCAAAGTCCCGGACTACCAGGCTCAAATCGCCGAAGAGGACTATCAAATGGAGCAATTGGAGCAAGAGCTCAGTGAGATCATGCTGATGATTGGTCCTATGGAAAAGGCGAGAGATGATGAGCTTGAGAAACTTCTGAGCCAGATGGCCCTGATCACCACTGAGATTGAAGCTGAACATAATGAAAAAATCAACAAGCTCATGGAAGATACCGAAAAGCAGTCCCAGGCCATGTTTGCCGCTTCCGCTGCTCGCGACACCGAAATCAAAGAGCAGTTGGAACGAGAAATCAGGGAACTAGAGGATGAGCTCAAGGCACTTCCTCAACAACAGAAAACTCGTATCGACGAAGTGCGGCGTGTTAAACAAGAACGCCGCCGACTGGGGATAAACTTACTTGCTCAAGAGTTAGCTACTCTCGATAGCAAGATCGCTAATGCCGATAAATCAATCAAGCAAAATGAAACTAAATACAAGCGCATGCTGGCGAAGATCATGATGGCCGAAGATGAGGTGCTCAACCTTGAAGAGCTGCTACTCGCTGTTCAACGGGAACATGAGGCCCAACAACTGGAGCTTACCCAAATGAGGGAAGGTTTGAAAGAGAAGAAACAATATATCAGTGATACGAAAACCAAAATATCCGATACTGGTAACCAGATTGACTCCTTGGAACTGGAAATTATCAAATTAAACGAGCTCTTGATGGCGCTGGAACTGAAGCGGCGTACCTTGCACAATGAGCTTCAAGAACTCAAGGGCAACATTCGCGTATTTTGCCGCGTGCGTCCTCAAGACGGAATTCAGTTCAATTACAATGTTCGTTCTGCATTCGAAGAAGGCAGCGAAGTGTTAGCAATTACTGACGGGGTTAAGAACATGGAATACCCATTTGATCGTGTGTTCATGCCTGACGCACAAAACCTGGAGATCTTTGATGAAATATGGCAATTGGTTCAACTGCTGATGGACGGCTACAATGTCTGCGTGTTTGCTTATGGTCAGACGGGTCTGGGAAAGACATATACAATGTCACATGGTAGCGATGGGATGATTCCTTTATCAATTCAACGAATTTTCCAACACATGGACGAGATCTCTCCCCAGGGTTGGCAATACAAGATATCAGGTCAGGTTCTCGAGATCTACAATGACAATATCATCGATTTATTGGTGAAAAATGATACCGCCAAACACGATATCAAGCATGACGACGTCAATGGAGTCACCACTGTGACCAATCTTACTACTATGCCGATAGCTCTGGAAGCCGAGGCTCGCAAACTTATACAATTGTCTAACCGTCACCGGCTGGTGGGGCTGACAAAGATGAATGAACGATCGCTGCGCTCGCATCTGGTATTCATGCTCCATTTGGATGGGGAGAATTCCAAGACGGGCGAGCGGCTGAGGGGCACGCTAAACCTCGTTGATTTGGCTGGGAGTGAACGGTTAAACCAGTCTCAGGCTCGTGGCGAGCGGTTGAAGGAAACACAAGCAATCAATAAGCTGTTGCTGTCGTTGGGACAAGTGATCGGCGCTTTACATCGTCCAGGAGGACATGTTCCTTATCGCAATTGCAAACTTACTTATTTGCTCAAGAATAGTTTGGGCGGCAACTCCAAAACATTGATGTTTGTCAATGTCTCCCCTCAATTCGCCAACTTTGGCGAGCTGGCAAACTCGTTGCGATTTGCAACCGAAGTTAACAGCACTAAGTTAGGGTCTCCCAAGAAGCGCGTGGCTATATAAGAGTCGAATCATCATCTATCTACAAACATTGGCATGAACAAATGAAGTTGAAATCTGTGTATTATGAGATGTTGTTATCATTTATTGGTATCAACGCAAACTAGTGGCGTAGTTATCAATGTTGCCTCTAAAATCTTTTGGCGAGGAACGCCATGAGCAATTCGCTCAAAATCACTTGTTGTAATATACCGAAAACCTTTTCAAATAAAATGTTAAATAATTCTTTTCGTCACCTTTGAGGTCCACCTCCTGTAGTAGCCCCAAATTAAATTGATTTCGCCGACGGGGGTAGGGTAAGAGGGAACAAACACCCGAACAATTCGTTTGCTCCGTCACTTGCCACCAGACTGTTCTGGCGTACTGACCACCACCGGGTTATAGACACTACCGAAAAGATACCAGCAAAGGTCTCCTCGATAGCGGAACGTCAACGCCAAAAAAGATTAGGTGACTGCAGCAGCCACCTTAGGCTTCAGTGGAGCTGGCGATGGAGCCCGAACCACGAGGATTCGGGCTCTATTTATGTTGTTGGTGTGCATGAAAGCATTCCCCAGACACGCAACATCGCATATGCAGACACGGCCCAATGGTTACTACATCAATGAGCATCGCCAGATCCTTTTACAAAATCTTGATCCAAAACCCGGGATCATCATCCCGAGACGTGGGACCACCAATAACGTGGTGAACAGGTCCGACACGTCGTTTTTCTTCCAAGGTCTTTTTGAATCAAGGTGATTCCTCGCATTGCCCATGCCGCGACACTCTCGTATAACGAGAGTTCGTTTGCCAGGAATAGTGCATATGGGGCTATGACCAAATGGCAACTCTCGGCTTTTAGCCTCGGTGGACAATGATAAACGATAGTTTTCACGTTTGTGATCACATCGGAAGGCATGCTTCCCCTAAACATAGTCACTGTTTACATTCGGAAATTGATTTCCCTTACAAGTTGTAGCCTAGCGCCCTGCGTCCACAACCCCTTGCCGCGACGAAGATGCATACTGGCCTAGTACTCCTTCATAACACCAACAAGCGTGTTTATCAATAACAAGTACTATTTGTAAGCAAATGCAATAGATACGACAAAGCCATACCATGAGGCGACTTCAGACGAAAGTTTAGACAAATGGTTGCTACGCGCAACCCCTTCGCACAACCTTAAGTAAAAGTTTATTTCCACCTTCCGGTCAAAATACGAGAGCGTCCTTGCAAATTCATGTCTGAAACTTTATTTTTAGCTATTTACAGGCTCGGCTAATAAGTTGGTATCGGGAATGTAGTCAGTCGCGGAGCGAAGCAAGCCCAGGGTGCTGGCAGCTTGCCATTGTTGAGGAAACTCTTGCTGGGCCCACTCGTCGATACGCTTCTGATCGTTTTGGGCAATGCAATAATTATGGAGCGCAATGATTGTGCTCAGAGTGACAGTAACGTCGTACTCGTCTTCCATTTTTTGGGTAAAGTCAATGGCCTCATCCACTAACCCATGGTACACATGGGCTATGAGGTATTGTTGGCATATCTTATCGTCTGCTACCAAGTCAAATTGGGAAAGGTTATTGAAAAACTCTTTCACGTAGCTCATGTCGTTGTAAGTGTAAGCTTTGAGCATGATTGTGGCGGTCTCCAGATTGATCCCATGAGGAACAAGACTGAGAAATAAGTCCCGAGTACGAGCCACGTCTTGAAGGTTTGCATACGCATTCAATATCGTGTTTTGCAACTCTAGGTCGGCTTGCTCGATGTTGATATCCATTTTGAACGATTCGTGCACTTCAATCACCCCTTCTTCGTAGAGTTGATCACCAAATTGTTCAAACAAATACTTATAAACGTCCTTCAGGGGTGGCAAATGCTGGTGGTCTCCATGCAAGCCGTGAAGATGGTTCATTTGTCGTAAAATCACGAGCGCAGCATTTGGTCTGTTGTGCTCACAAAAGAATTTCATCGCGGGGAGGTAGGTTTCATTGGGAACGGTAAAGTACTTGTGAAGCTCACCATAAAGAACCCAATTCGTCTCATGAGTCAGTTCGTTGGTATAAGTGATGGCAAAATTATGAAGCACGTTGAACAACTCGTTATACTTGTATCCAAACGGCTGGTCACTAGGTAATTTAATCGGGCTGTCGGGGCTCATCTTAGGTAATTCACGCTTGAGCATTTCGATAGTATCCCCCACTAATTCCTGCTCTAACATTCGTTGAGCGAAAGCTTTGATCACTTCAGGAGAGCACTGCGGTGTCAGCATGTTCTGCTTGATTTTAGTAAAGATAGGGAAAATCGCCATGGCATCGTCCATATGGCGACACAAGATTTCAATCAAGTTATTCAAGGTGTTGACAATGCTGGGGTCAGTCATCGTCGCCCATTCAGTAAACCTTTCGAGGGAATCGTCGAATAAGTTGATGGCTTTAACATGATCATCATCAGCAATTGCTTTATCAATGAGATATTTGTACAGGTATGCTGATGAGCCCACTGATGCGGTGAGAACTTGGTAGATATGGCCTCTTACATTGAGGTTAGTGGTAGACAATGCCAACATCATTTGATCGATATCTGTCAGTGCCTCTTCCATCAGCTTGGCTTTCTCATCCTCTGAAAGAGAAGAATGAACAATATCGTAAAGCTGGCATTGATTCTGGAGTTCTGGGGAGAATTTCACATCATGTTCAGATACAAACTCTCGAAGCATTTTCGCTAATTTAGGAAAATCTTGATGAGCTAAACGCAACACAGTCTCAATCAACTGTTCATCTTCGAGGGCTTGGGCAAATAACACTTGGCGAATCTCCAGATACTTTGCTGGATTATCCAAGAATGTTAAAAGCTTTTTGATGTTGGCTGATGCTGTTGGCCAATTAGAAACCAGCTGTAACTCGAAGATCATCTTCATTAGCTGTAGCAAAGTCGATGTAGAAAGATGGCTCAAATCGCTATGTTCGACAAGACTGTTCATGAGCAATTGGATGCGATCTACGCTCCGTTCCAAGTCAAGATACTCATGTACTGCGGGATTTTCTTCAGCGTAAATCAGCTCAATGTGAGCCATAAGCTGGCGGTAGTAGTCATCATTGAGACTGTAAAGTTTATCATGGAAAACGCCAGCAATGTCTTCGTAAGTCTGCAAGCTTTGAGGAAGCTGACTTATTAATTGACCCAAAAAGTCTTCCGGAAGATCTCGAGTTCGAGCCAACCCGCTAAGAGCTACGGGCAAACTGGTCATAGCCGCACCCATCAATACCAACTTTGTCAAAACTCTCGTGTCAAGGTCTTGCCGTGTAAGTAATTGGGAAATCATTTGAGATAAGTACTTTGGCATTTTGATTCGGTTCCCTGGTTGGTTAACCTGTTCGAGAAGTGCATCTGCCAGAACCATGAACAAATCGACGGTCTCGTCATCGGAAAGTGGCGTGCCTTTGTTGATTTCCTTGATAGTGTTGCTTAAGATGTCAAAGTCATCGGCGGTGAATGGTTCCGATGACGTTAATGCTTGGGAAAGGCGAGTCTTGAGCTCTTTCAGTTTGATCTTAGGAGGAAGATCAGTGCGAAGGTGAGGCCGTAGCGATGCCAATTTTGAAGGGGTTGGCGGTGTCTGGGTCTTTCGTGATGGTTTCTTCGGCGATGAAAACCGTGGTATGGTTGGTTTCCACAGCCGGTACCGTAGCCCGATCACCCTGGAGCTCGTATTCATCCACCGATGAATTTTTCGATTGAGCGACTGGGAAAGTAGTGATTCAGCGGAACCTTCCGACTAACGAAAATAAACCGGAATAGTTGACATTTTGATCATGAATGTATGATACTTATCGATTCTTGATATGTTCTCCATTTAGTGTCAACATTCGTGTATTTATATTATAATCCTTTTATGTGAAAATCCAGATCGAGAATCAGCGAACCATTAAGCTATTGCAAACTCATGACTAAACTCGTCAGCCACAATCCCATTCGTTTATGACTGAGGTCCAAACACAGGACCTCAAGTTCCATCCGAAACCCAAGCATTTATCCGATGAGTACCAAATGATACTTGTGATTCCATCATTGTTGCTTCTTTTCCGACTCTTTCTCCGGAGTCTCTTCAGAAAAGGCCACAACAATGAACGCCACCAACACCACGTTGGCCATACCTGCCGCCACTGCCCCCGCCCATACAGGGGGGACGCCCATACTTCTGATTGCGAAGAACAGCGCCAATGGCAATACTATCATTGCGAGGGTAAAAACCACAAGCTTGTTGACCACATGTCTATGTCGTTAGTCCTCAAGTTTTCAATCCTGAAACGTCAATTCTCGTCACTTACTGAGGAATGTCTGCCATGGTTATTCGCGCCGTCGATTTCACGCCGCACTCAATAACCCGTTCGTTGCACCATGAAGGCCACACAATGGATGAGCTTATTCACAGCGTTGGGCGCTGTTTCTGCGTTTAAAGACTGTGTTAAAGTTTCCTACCCCGGCATCGACGTCGAACACGACGGTTATGTCGAGCTGAAAGCCACGTTCAACAGCAAGGTGAACCAATACTCCAGCGCCGGGTGCGTTGGTGATAACACTCAATTTATTGTATACCAAGTGGCTCCCGGCATCTTGAAAGACCAGGCGTTTGTTAACGTCCAGGGAGCCCCGGAATTCGACATTGCTGATGCCTGCCACGTTATCTACAAGGAAGTTAAAGATGCCGCCGACCTCGACTTGACCGGCTCTAACTGGTTGATTGAAGAAACTCCTCGGCATAAATCAAAGATGGTAGAATTGTACCACTACGCCCGTGATCGGTTGGCTAAAAGAGAGTCGTTCGCCGTTGGTGGCGACGATGCTGACGAAGCCGAAGCATTGGCAGCCGAAGTGCTGGCTGACTTTGCTGCCGCGTACCTGTTGTTGCTGGAAGAAGGCGACCAGCCAGTTACCATCATGAAGACGGCCCTGGGTGACTCTAAGGTCGATCTTGGCTCCGGGTTATTCAGCGAGTACCAGTTCTTTACTCCCGGGTTGTTGACGATTACTTTCGTGGTGTTGTTTTTGGTATTCGTTCTTTTCAATGCTGTTTCGTGGTTGAGCAGTATCCAAATTACCTACGCTGCGTTTGAGAAGCAAGTCGATATCGACAAGAAGACCGAATGATTTCATAGTTTTAAAATATACACTCATGACAGACGTGCGTTGAAGTTAGTACACATAAGGAATAATTTTGTACGGCACTTGACGTTCGTACTCCACCCACAGCTTCTTATACTTCGCCCGACACTTAGCCTCGTCCCGCATTTGACGGTGGACCAAAAGTGCCCCGAAATAGATCACGTAATAATAGGGGAGCACCAGCTGGAAACCTGTAGGCAAGCACCACAGCCACCCAATCAACCAATCACCAAAGTAGTTGATGTGTTGAGACAATCCCCACCAGCCGTCACACAACAACTTGGAGCCGGTTTCAGTCTTGATCAGCTTAAAGTTTTTGTGGTCAAGCTTGCCATTTTTGAAATCACTCTTCTGTTGGTTAGCCAGGCGGAAAATGTAGAAACCCAAAGCCATAAGCGCAGTAATCCCAATAACTTTAGGCCAGCCAAGATCCAAGCGGTTTTCGGGAAGACAGAGGAATCTCAGTTGAAGAGAATACAGCCACGGCACCAATGCCAAGTCTCCAAAACTCAACATGAACCCGAAACCATCGGTGGTGATGTCCATCATCAGCAACACCCCTGCTTCGTTGAGCACCCCGTCAAAAGTATAAAACATTTGCATCGCGGTCACCAATGCGAGAGAGTCGGACACCAGACCTTGGGTGTGATACTGGTAATGGCAGCACAGCAAATTGATAAGGAGCCACAACAACATACCAGGTTTCAATTCGCAGTAAAGTTTAATGTCCAACGGTCCGATGCGAGGATTCAACTCACGCCCAATGAACCAGTCGTAAATGACATTGCCAGTATTGCCATTGATAGAAAGAACACGTTCGTGAGTACCAACGCCATTAGGCTTGCGGAGAGGGATGAACGAGCATACATAAACGAACACCACCAACAACCACGCGAAAACAATGGTGGTGAGGGTGAGCTGAAGGATGTTGTTGTACACGAATGCTAATTCGGGCATGTAGTGGTTTTCACAGGTGTACCAGCGGTACACAAGCACAGTAATGAAAAGAATCAGCATGGCGGGGCCATTGATCTTATAAGTGAGCTGCGTGCCATCTCTCAATGGCACCCCTTTGAGGGTTTGCCCAGGCAACCACACGTCACACGCAGCTAAGGTGAAAAACCACGTCAAGTATGCTTTCCAACAGAGCGGGTCAAACACAAGAAGTTTCACGGCTTCCCACGAGTTCGGGAGCTGATCCTTGATGGCGGCAAAGTTAAGAGAGATACCCTGGGCCAGGTAGACGCGATTGCACAGCAATTCGAAGAGAATGAGCACCGCGGGGAGCCCAATGGAGATTGCCAATGCGCCGGGCAACCCCGAGAACTCCAAGTGTGTCGTCTTAGGATTGAGCACTGGTTTGGACATAATGGTTGATGTCCTGGTACGCTTAAGACTTTATAGGGAGTAGTTGCTAAACGACGCGCTTGGGACCTGGCGCGACTTATACGATGGGTACGGCGATGAGGGTGTGGGGTGGAGAGAGATGAGGACGCGACTACAATATACCTGTGATCAAAGGAATTCATTAACATAATGAGATTGTGGTCGTCCTCAATAAGGGCCATTCAAGTACTGTAATAGAATGGTTTTGCGAAAGATTGCCATGTTAGCTGAAAAATCAATTCTGGCTTCGTTGACCTTAATGAGGTCTGCAGATAAGCGATTTGCGATGATGTAAGCGCAGACTTGAAAATCTCTCCATGACTGTTGAATCGTCGACTTTATAGTTAGGTGTCGCTTTTGTGGTGTAGGATCTACCGAAACTAATGTCTCGTAACAAGTGCCCTGATCTTTATGCTACCTGCAATTTTACGGTATTGTAATCCGTGTTCTCTTCGCAACCGAGGCTAAACTCCTAAGTTTGGTCTTACACAAGTTCTTGACTTGAACTCTATGTCAACCTAATGTGTGAAAGGCTTCACTGGTGGTTAAGGTCACCTTTTGCTTTCATTGCTGTGGCTCACTGTAGATCATTTGCCGATTTGGTCGAAATCAAAACAACCTGCAGCTACTATATTTAACACGGTGATCTAAACCACCACACCGAAACACCCTGCAATATCCACATCTTGTCGGCTTGAAACTAATCTTTCTGTCACCATTTCATTATGGCAGGCACCCCTCTAATTAGCTTACAGATTCCAAGCATTTCCTCGTACACCTCTACATTCTCGGCTTCGCCTCCCCCTGCGGTCTCGCCCCGTTTCGCACGCGAAATTTTTGGCTACATGATCTCTCATCAACTCACAACCACGTTTATCAACCCACAATGCTGTTTATTCAGTGGGCCGACGATTTCGTTAAGCGGGACGACGATCCCACCGATACTGCTGTTGAGGCGGCTGCCACCTCCTCCGATGTGGTGGCACCGCCGATGAAGGTGCCGACCCTGGACGGTAACCCCTTCATCACCCACTACCATAACCCCCTGGGGACGGTGTTCATTGCCGTTGGCGCCATCGTTGGGGCAATCTTACTCGGTCTCATCTTATACTACTTGATCATCGGTATTGTTGCTGGTCAACTCGCCAAGCGGAACGTGAAGCGTGAGAAGCAGGAGAAGGAGAAGTACAACCACAACGCCGCTGCCTACGGCTACGGTGTCACCCTGAATTACATGGACCCCATGGGCGACTCGAAGGTGCCTCTTCTTCGTCGTACGCTGAACGTTGGCTCCAGCATGTTCACCCCTGGCTCCTTGCTGAACGGCGCTGACAACTCCACCCTTAACATGCTGGAAGTGGGCGCCATGTCCAACCAGGATTTGACCAAGATGTTTGTATCGCCCACCGCCGAAATGCAACACAAACGCGCCAAGTCATATACCCCCCTGATGCTGAATTTGCTGTTTGTCAACAATCTGTCTTCGCATTTGCCCGGTACCCCTGGCCAGCGTCACCTGATGTTCGTGCCTCTGGTGTACATGGAGCCCAACGCGCTGGAATCACAGTTGCTGGTCCCTGGTACTCGTACTGGTGAAAAGCGCAAAACCATTCCATCCATGTACTTGGAGGACTTGATTGATTTAGACAAGCAATGAAATATTGCATAAATAGGATATAATGGCATTGGCCGGAACGAAACCATGAGATTTTAATAAGTTTAGCAGAATAAAAGTAAATTTGCAATACACTAGTATGGTGAATACACTAGTATGGTGATGAAATGAATCTTTATTCCTATGTCCTGATAATTGCCTAATCTTCCACTTCGATTACCTCTTTACCTCTCTTTGACAGCTTCACCGGCAGCGTCAGTCTCAGCCGCAGCAGCTCCAGGTCAAATTTCGAAGCCAAGTCCTTCACCGACCCTTTACGCCCAAGCGATCTAAATTGACCGGGTTTTTCCATGGAAAAGTCTTTCCGGGTGGGCTTCGAGCTCACCACCGTCGGGGTACGGTCCTTATCCTTCTTATCCTTTCTCTCCTTCTTCTCCTTTTTAGGCAGCGAACGCTCCAATGACGATCGCTTAGGAGAACCAGATAACACAGACGCTTTCTCTTCGGCGGCTTGGTTTATTTGAGCGTCGGCAAACTCTTCGTCACTCAGAGTCAGAAGCACAGGGGAAGCTGGCTTCTTTGGCTTTGGAAGTGAAGGTACATCACTGGGATCCACCTTCAACTCCTTGGAAGAGCTAATTTTACGAACAACGGGTGCAGGAATCTCTCCCACTATACGTTTCGGCTTAACCGCTTGCTGAAGTCTCAGCTCAAGCCGTGACTTGGTCAGATTGTCGCGAGACGGCAGTTGGACCAGAGGCACCAGCGGGATTCTGGTAGTCGCAGGGCGAATTTGACCAGCAGGCTTTTGCAGAGTACGACGACGAAGTTCTTTGAAGATGTCATCTTTGTGCGTGAACAAGTCATTTACCAATGCCAATACGTGTTTATCACCCGAGGTATCGCCCACGTCCCGAGGCTTGAGCACAAGGGGGCTAAATTCTTTCAACAAGGTGGTTTGAAACTTCTTGGAAAGTTCAGGATTTTTTGAACCAATAATCAGCACGAGACGCTTCAAGTGGGTGATCACCGCGTCGAGAGTTGCCAAATTGCACAGCGGCAAGTCCAGCAACACATTTTGTACACCGACAATGCGGGGATCGCTCTTAGACTCATCCAGAACGGGGTAGGTTTGGTATAAAGAGTGGATGAGCTCGAGATTGCTGTGGGGAATGAGCAGATCGGGGAGCTCCATTAAATACAACTTCAACACGTTGGTGATGATGATTGGATGATGTTTTTGCAAGACGTCATTCACCAGAGCCGGGTCCTGTAAAGGGTTAAGTTCCAGACGCAATTTGTGAACGCTCAGCAAATTGATAGGCTTGGTCCACAAATTGATACGTTCTTCGTCATTGGCAACTTCTGGGTACACTTTATCCAAATGGCTAAGTAAGCACTGGATCAAAATGGGCACCACCTTCTTGTCGAGTCTCAGCTTTACAGCCAAATCAACACCGAAGGTTTGGTTGATGTTTGAGTTGTAGTAGTTATCATATAAAATGACCAGAGGGTTAAACCGCCCAGTGCCGTAGTTCTCAATGAGGAATTTGAGATCACTGATCGGGTTCATGGTCTCTTCAACCACGCTGAGTTCATCGCACATGTGCTTCATGTGTTCGACCTTGTCAGAAAATGCTGACATAAAGTCGTGCGTAACCTTTTTCACCGCCTTCAAACGGTCGAGCTCACATTTTTGCATGAACGTCAAGTGATCCATCACCAACTCCTCAAACTCACACCGTACCTTATCGAGTTCACATACTTGATTGAAGTAATTGGCATCGTACAGTTTCACTTCAGCCATGAGCCTCGCTAACTGCGACCGATCAGTGTAGTCGACCAGCCCCACCCCCATCGCTTGCTTCATGTCTTCAAAGTATTCAGTAAACTGCAGGGCACGAATCAGCTGGTCTCGAGAAAGTCCAGTTTGTTCACTGGGCTTGTCTATGGCGGCACCGGTAATCTCGAACACCACTGGTTTCCATTGATAGTAGAACTGCAGCGAGTTGATGAAATTCTTCAGCGTCAGCATTGTACCAATCAACCGAATGAACCCGTTGTTGATCAAGTCCTGACCAAACTTTTCCGCCTTAGCAATGTTGAAATCTGGGATGTTGTCAAGGAGCCATTGGGTAATAGCCAGCCCCGTCAGCACGTGGCGGTAGGTACCCAAGATGGGCACCTTGTGGTCGTTGACCTCAACACCACTCAAAATATCAAGCAAGAGACCCTTAATGGTGACGTAGTCGTATTCGGAGTTGCCGAACTTGTATATGCGAAATTGCAAATCATCAGGCGCTGCAGATTCACCCAGGTCCTTAGGAGCGACATCTTGCTTAGCGGCAAACTCTAAGTCCTTGAGCTCTTCCTGTAACTCATCCTCAGAGTAGTGCAGCTTGAACTCTTCAAGCATGCGGCACTTGTTGAAGTACTTCTTTTGCAAACGTTCCACCAGTTGCTTTTGGCTGCGGAACGCCTTGTACTTTTCTCCAAGGGTTTGCTCCGAGAACTCGACCCGCTTGCGGTGTTCGTGGCACCAGTTGGTGAAGGGCTCAAGCACCATCACTCTGATGTTCGTGGCGATTTGCAAGTGGTTGTGGCCTTGACGAACAAAGTTTTCATTGACCTTTTGGTAGGCGTTTTTGATCGTCAGCACGTAGTCGTCATTGTTCATTCTCTTAGCGCCTGGCCGCAAACTTTCCATGTCTTCGAGTTGGGTGCCGTAGACCATTTCTGCCTCCATCCGCTGCGAGAAAAGAGCGACGAAGTCGTCGTTCTCCTTGCAACCATCGTGCAACTGTTCAAACAACACCTTGAACCCCCGATCGTACTCCGGGGTCCAGAATGAATCAGCAAACAGCATCGCTCGAGGTGGTGGAGGGTGCGAGTTGGATCGCTGTCAATTTCCTGCACCAAATCAGGTAAACATCCACATCGCGACATAACATTCTGGGGCGAAGTTGCCGCCGTAGATGAGCGCAGGCAACAAAGAATTTGTGAAATTTTTACCATATGATCGCTGAAAACTCACGGTGTAGGTCTTCTTTTGGGTGGTTTTGTGGCGATAATCTACAATTAGATCTGATGAAGGCATATGGGTGGACGCCTCATTATTTGTGTGATTAGCAAAATCCCGTTCACAAAAGCCAGAGAAAAAAACGGGCTTTTGCGCGCAAGCCTCACTATCAGGGAAATCCACTCAGGCTATGCAGGGCACCAGGCACCGGCATCAACCGGCGTAAATTTAATAGTGGAAGCAGATCAACATTTATTTACTGTAAATCTAGATGGTTTCATTACTGTAATCTAGATGGTTTCATACAAAAAGTCGACAATACGAGGAATGGCAAAGTAACGGACCCGGTCAACGGTGGCAATCGTCACTTTTCTGGCAGCCACCTTGTCGGCCAAGTCGTCTTCACTAAGCACAAACGAGTCGTGGATCCCCCAGGGCTCGACGTAAGCCCACACGTTCACCTTGTCGGGAGAGTCGCGGCGAATGTACTCGTGGATGGCGCGGTCAAACTTACCGTTACTGTTGCCGTATTTGTTCTTGAGGAAAGGAACTCCCAAAACATGATAAGCAAACTCGTTGTCTTGGTCAAGGAAAAGCTCATCTTCGCCGGTGATAAAGAATACGTCACACTTGGGCAGAGTCAACGAGGGAATCTTGTCCCAGCCAGCGGTGGCCCAGTCAGCGTTACCCGGCAGCACCTGAGCCAGCAGAACGTCATGAGTACCAATGAAGCCGGACACAAGCGGCTGATTGGAAGCAAACAGAAAGCGGATAGCGTCACGGCCGTCGTTGTCGTAAGCCAGGTTACCGGGGACGTGATCCAAGGCAGTGGTCAACAACTTAGTCCAAGGCGACAGCAAGATGATCTTGTTGGGGTACACCGGTGAGCCGCGAGCCTTCAATTGTTGGAGCAAAGTAAGAGTCAAGTGGCCACCAGCAGAGTCTCCCATGACCCCGATGTTGGTGTAACCGTCTTCCAACAATTTGGTGTAAGTGTCGTAAGCTTGTTGCAATTGACGAGGGAAGGCAGCGCCGGTACTAGCCAAATCATAGTCAAGAATAAGCACCGACACCTTGTTGCGTTTGTCGGCGGGCAACAACCCGATGATCGAATTGAACGCTTCAAGGTAGGCAGGGGTCATTTGCAACAAGTAGCCACCACCGTGCAAGAATAAGATGACAAGGTCCTCGGGGTTGCGCTTCACGTACCATCTAGCGTAGGCACCAAAGGCTTCGTTGTAATGAGGTGGCACAGTACCAAGGATTTGAGTGGCCTTGCTTTTGTTCTTAGCCAAATAGTTTGAGATGGGGCCGGGGACCGCGTCCTTAAGCACGGGAGGAGGAAGATCAAAAAGCGCCGCCAATTCCGTCAAATTACCGGAGACATGAGGGTTGCGGGCCCACTTGCGGTATTGAGTCCCGGTTGTTCTCGCCTTGATCTTAGTGTAAAGCACCTGGAGCAACACCCAGGGGTAGTAAAAGTAGAACCAGGGAATTGAGGCAGCCATTTGGTGGAATTGATGAGATTGATGGTCGCCAATTGAAGAAGGATGGGGTCTATTTATACTTGTTCCATGCCGATACCCCTTAAATGTGGTTAAGGCGTTGTTGCTGTTTTTCGCGTAATACAAGGTTGTTTAAAGGGGCTGGCCTGTGGCGGCAAGCCTGTACAGTGAGATGCGGCAATGTCGGAGCGCTTCTTTACAGCGACGAGATTTCCGAATAACCCAGGTACACACTCGCACTTTTCTTCTTTCGGAACATTCCCGAAGCCTAGATGCACAATTACGCTTCCGGCTTATGCAATCGGTGTGGAGTCTAGACGCCCGTAAGCAACCACACGGTAGTTAGTTATTAGCTGCATCACTAAGCAGATGGAGTCTGGCCAGTATGGGGTGGGCAATTGCACATTTCCGATAATACACTATTGACAAACTCATTCAAGTCTAGACCAATAATAGCTGGGGTGAAGGCAATCGTCGGGATAATGAGCTTAACCTATAAACTTTGAGCCAATGAACGACGACATCTCAGTTAGCAAATTTCGGGGCAAATCCGGGGGCCAGGAAACACTTCGTAAATGTCGACCTAATATTTTTGCAATGAGACGTTCCATACATATCAACAGATGAGATGATGACACACGTCACTAGCTGTACTCTCAACTACTCCGATGCAAAAATTGCCAGAACCAGTCACCGATTGCCCATTAAAATAACTTCGAATATAGAGTCAAATCCCTTATCTTTTGTTTCAAAATCAGATGGTCTACACTGTATGTCATTGTAACTACTCGCTTGGACATTCTGGAGATTTTTCCTTACCCATATTATAACGACATCTCTAAACTTGACGGAAATATGGTTACTCTGCATATAACCCAAGCCGCACGGAAACTGATGACGCCCCGCCTGCTCAGTGCGCAGTAGCTTACTGACGGTGGCCGTGACAGCATCCCCCAACCACCCCCATGGAATCACCGCCTGAGTCCAACCAGAGAAAGAGAAGAAGGGTTGAGGCGGCTCCAATGACCCCGGAGCTGGCGCGAAAGCCGCCTCCAGGGTCGCGGACCCCTCCGCACCAAGGAACCAGTGCCTGCCATCGGTCTCCAACTCTACCAGAGTACCCTTACTTTGAACCGCCTCCCGTCATCCCCAGGGAAATGATGATGACTCCCGAGTTTACGCCAGTCAAACACCGTCTATTTTCCGATACTGAGGGCTCGCTGCTAGTCAGAGACGACCTTCTGTCGTTCGCCCCTTCCCTCGAGTGCCCTAAAACCCCACCTCGGCCAACTGTTAATGTCGAACCGGTGGGACCCCGACGACTTTTTGCTGACTTCGATAGTGATGACGATGACGACGATTCGCGACCCCTAACGAATCCTTTTTTGGTGCAAGATGAGGAAGACACCACTGCGTCCCGCGAAACTCCGGCCGACGATAACCCCTTTTGGGGTCGGAGAAAGCGGGTGCTGCTGCTAAACCTTGATACCCACATTGAATATATCAACCACACCACAGGGAAGCGGCTCACGCAACCAGTGGCCCCCGCGCACCGCCACTTGAAACCTTCGGCGCTTCGCTTTGACAATATCCCCCACGAGATTACAGACAGATACATCAATCATTCAGGCAACCACGTGATAAACCTCAAACCTAAACACAGTTTGGGGTTTCGTATCCATGAGGATGATGATGTACGCACCACGGGCGACCCCAGCGATGAACTGCCCACTCGTTCGAATAATACCCGGTCTCGCGAGTGAGTAACACCATTTTACGGTTATCTAGCCTCGCGGGCGAGGTTTTTAATATTTCTCCTACTTTTCTATGGTCGACTTAAATTGCTGTAAAATTTTGCAATTTTCTATTCAGATCTCTGATAAGAGTTGAACGTGATACTGCTGAGGTTCGATCCACGTAATGTTTGTCTGGATTTCCCATGGAGAGTAACTAACACCTGTTTTAAACCATTTTGTCTGCTCGTTAATATACCGGAGTTTGACTTCCTCATAATGGTAAACGTTCGCTGTTTCCATGAGTTGTACATGTTGGCCTGGGCCGACTGTAAATTTGATTGCCAGACTCTTCAGCTCACTATGAGAGAGTGAAAATAGCGACTTATGCTCCAAGGCTAGAAGCAGCAGAAATTTGCGTCCAAATTGCATATTGCGCCCTCGCAGACGGCCGGTGGCGAACGAGTAAGTGGCAACCACTCCCGGCGGATTATGGATCACCGGCATGGCCGCTCGTTCAATTACTGACATTGCGGCCACCTGCAGCTCGAACTCCACGTATGAAGCGTTGGAGCCGATGAGATGGCCAGGGATGGTGAGGGCATGCCCTATTTGCACGATAGTGGAAAAAGCTATGATCATCACTTCATCTGTATATCTGTTTGACTTAAATTTTTATAGTGGTAGTTTGATCTGGGATAGTCGGTTAATGGAACAATGAGAAATATAAACATCGCCTAATTGGTGCTGACCCTAGTCATGACATAACACAAAAAGCACCATGACTAGTCTTCTCCTATATAAGTATTATAACGTAAAGCTCGAACTCTCTCTACAAATTCAACTATTTCGTCAATCCTAAGGGCAACATGATTGTGGTCTTATTATTGACAGTTTTGGTTGTGTTGGGCACCAAGCTTATCTGCAGGTCGCATCGGTGACACGAGGGTTATTGGGGGAGGCGAAGCAATGTGTTGCCGAAGCTATATCGTGTAATTTATCCATATATCGTAATATACTGTTGCAAACATTTCGAGCTTTGATGTCACATCCGCTGTTTATACCTTATAGATCATTTCATTCGACCGTTTTCGGGAATGCAACCACTAGGTGTCACCAACGGCGCTAAGCCGCACCTAACCTAATTCGGAATATTCCTCACCACTAGAGTCTTAGCACACACCACACACACCCACTTGGTACACCCACCCACCTTTGAGGCAAATAACTCATTCCAAATCTTCCAAATTATCTGGTTGCTACGCTGGATCGTGGTAACAACTTGTGATTAACTTCAAGACCCTTTAAGAGTCGCATGATCTTGCTTGGGTGTATAGTGGCGGTGGTGTCGCTGGCCATCCAGCTGTTGGGGATAACTTTTCAGCGGAAGTCCCACATCGATATCGGCGCTCCCCACTATCGGAACCAAACCCTCTGGTTCATGGGGTTCGCCATGTTCATTGTGGCCAATGTGCTTGGGTCCCTCATTCAAATCCTGACATTGCCCCTCATCATCCTTCTGCCGCTTCAGAGTATAGGTCTCATATTCAACTCAGTGTTCAGTTGCATGCTATTGAACGAGTCATTTACCCCTAAACTCGGCTGGGGCACTGCGGTGATTGCAGTGGGCGCCACCATCATCGCATACAACGGTCAAACTCCCGAACATCATGACTCGTTGAAGATAGTGGTCGACAAACTTCTACGTCCAGCATTTTTTTCATGGTTTATCGTGACTATCGCTGTGGTCATCATTCTTTTCGCTTTCAACTACTGGCTTATTCGCTCGCGGGTGGTAAGAGGGTTTATTTTCGGCATAATATCAGGAATATTGACAGCCCATACATTTCTTTTCGCAAAATCAATTGTTGACCTGGTCATCCTGTCACTCAAACTGGCGTTGGGGAACCCTGTGTGCTACATTCTTTTGTTATTGATGCTCACCATTATTGGTTTTCAACTTACAGCATTCAACTTAGGTCTCAAACAATTACTGACGCTGATTCTTTACCCGTTTTGCTTTTTCGTCTTCAACTTGGTGAATTTGATCAACGACGTCGTCTTTAACTCGGTGCCCATGTCGTCGCTGCTCGTATGGGTAATCATTGGTTTAGTGGCGGTGTTGATCGGGGTGTTGTTGATCTCATGGGACAGTGTGGACGAAGAAGAAGCTCGCGCTCGTGAAAGAGAACCGTTGGTGCGCAAACGAGTGCTTTCTTATGAGCAATCGCAATTGATGAACCTGTACATTCATGACTAGACATAAACTAGACTACCCAATTAGTCATTTGCTTGGAAAAGCGTTCGCGGATACCCTCCCACGCCTCCACCGACTCACAGTCGTCGGTGATCCGAGGCTTAAACACAGGATACTTAGAGTTGAACTCAGCCTCATCATAGTCAAACATACAGAACGTTCGCTTAGTGTTGTAGGGCATTTGGTCGTTGTAGGTTTCCCATGGTTTAGGGATCGGAGCATCACTGAAGTGTATGAGCTTGACGTTCATCAAAGCGTCAGTTGCATCCCACTCTTCGTTCAGCTCCTTGGTGATGAAGGGGGTGTATTGAGGAGGTACCACAAACCGCCGATGATACTCTTCCAAGAACTCACCCGTGAGTACCCCGTACACTGTATGCGGGAGAATTGCCATTTTGAAGTCAGCACCATGACGAAGTTGTTGATCCATGTACTTATTGATCACTTCCATGTCATATTCATTACGTTTATGGCTGAGCTCAGGTTTGGTAAACTTCCACCACCAAGGAGTACTGACATAGCGTAATAGATCATTGAATCTCTTAGTATTGGGGGTAATCACCATTATGTGAGTGCCAAAAAAGTCGAGGCGGTTACCATACTTGTTGTCGTCGTAAAAGAGAGGGGGAAGAAGATTCCAATCAGCATCAGTGCCCTTCAAAAGCTGAGCCCGATCAGTAGTTTTGCGAATGTAATCAGCAAGAACAGGAATATCCACATTGGGTCGGCTCGGTTCGTGTCCTAAGCCTTCCTTTTCGTGATACTTTTCCAACACATGATTGTGCCAATAAGCATGAGGCAGAGCAAATTCGATCTCTTCAGGAATGGAAAAGAGCTCATCAAGGTGTCCCTTCATCAACATTGAGTCACCATCAAAGTAAACCACTCGATCATACTCCGTCATATTGAACGCATAGAGCTTGGTGAACAGGTTCTGCCATACATCTTCGGCCACGTCTGCTCTTATAGTGTCCACTGGCTTAAGGGTGATGCTATGGTCTCGGGCTAATGTCAATAAGCGGTTCCATTGCTCATGATTAAAATGACGAAGTCTTTGATCAAACACCACCACCACGTCAGCTACCGTACCGGCCTTTCTCAACTCAATACCATTAATCACGGCCAAGTTAATGTGACCATAAGTCGTGGCGTATTGAACGTAGGCGACTTTGGAACCCGGCAGGACAGGATTGATGTGTTGCCACTGATCAAGGTAGGCGGGGGGGATCACTCTCAAATGAGACGCTAACTCAGCGTCATGGTGTTGAAGACTGTCAAGGACAAAATATTGGAGGAGAAAGTAGGCAGCGATGGCTATACCTAACTTAAATTCCCAATTGCGGGACCACCACAGTAGGTTCTTCATTTGGAGGACGTAGTGCGAAGTAGATCAGAATGGAAATTCGTGGTATAAATCCAAGCAAACGTCCACAGATTATTAGAGAACTGTTATATCGAGATAAGTTACTTAAAAGACAACTGCGTGATTTTCAGTTTAGTCACATTATCAAACAGATTCTATCGTAAAAACAATTTCTAATCGTCATCATTAACATTACTAAAATACATAAACCAACAGGAAGTAAATTAACCCGAGCACATGGTGCACGACTCAGGGTTGTCGATAGCGCAGGCAATAACCTTGGCACTGTAAATGTCTTGTTCCAGTTCACCTTCGGTGGCGGCCTGGGGCTTGTCGTCAGTAGTGGCTTGAGGGGTATCCGCCATCTTCAAGTTAGAGAGCGAGTTTTCCAACGAGTTGGGCTCAGTCAGAGACTCTCTCAGCGACAGACCGGTGCGGGGCACGTATCTACGTTGGTTCAACTTCTCCAAAGTGGCCATGGTTTCACCAGCAGTCAATGCTTGTTCTTGGTCAATGGTGAATTGAATAGCAGCAGCGGCAGCTTGGGTCCGGAGGTAGTACATACCAGTCTTCAAACCCTTCTTCCACCCGTAGAAGTGCATCGAGGTCAACTTACCCATAGTCGGGTCCTTGATGTGAATATTAAGCGATTGAGACTGGTCAATGAACGCCGCCCGGTCAGCAGCCATGTCAATAATGTGCTTCTGCGAAATTTCCCACACCGTCTTGTAGAGAGCCTTGATTTCATCAGGAATGTTAGGCAACGATTGGATCGACCCGTTGTTGGCAATGATGTTAGCCTTCATCGCGTCGTTCCAAAGACCCAACTCAACAAGGTCCCGCAACAAGTGAGGGTTGACAATTTGGAATTCCCCAGCCAACACTCTCCGCGAGTAAATGTTGGAAGTGTAAGGTTCGAAGCATTCGTTGTTACCAATGATTTGCGAGGTCAGGGCAGTGGGCATAGGCGCCACCAACAACGAGTTGCGCAAACCGTGCTTAGCCAACTTTTCCTTAAGGGTGTCCCAGTCCCACAATTCAGTGGGTTTGCGGCCCCACAAGTCGTATTGCAACAAGCCCTTGGACGCAGGCGAACCTTCGTAAGATTCATAAGGACCGTCAACAGCAGCCAATTCGATCGAAGCTTCAATAGCACCGTGGTAAATGGTTTCGAAAATTTGAATGTTAAGTTCACGAGCATCTTGAGAGTCGAAAGGTAAACGCAATTCCATAAACGCATCAGCCAAACCTTGGACACCAAGAGCAATGGGACGGTTCTTGAAGTTGGAACGCTTAGCTTCCGGCACGGGGTAGTAGTTCCGGTCGATGATACGGTTCAAGTTACGGGTGACGGCCTTAGTCACTTCGTGCAACTTCTCAAAGTTGTACCAAGTTCTCTTCGAGTCCTTTTCCACGAACGAGGGAAGGGCAATCAGAGCCAAGTTACACACGGCAACTTCATCAGGGTCGGAGTATTCAACGATCTCACAGCACAAGTTCGACGACTTGATCATCCCCAAGTTCTTTTGGTTGCTCTTCTTGTTGCAAGCATCCTTGTAAAGCATAAAAGGGGTACCGGTTTCGGTTTGAGCCTCAAGGATCGAGTACCACAACTTTTGCGCCTTGATGGTTTGACGACCACGGCCTTCACGCTCATAGCGTTCGTACAATTCGACGAATTCGTCGCCGTAGCAGTCAGCCAAGCCGGGAGCTTCGTTGGGCGAGAACAACGTCCATTCACCGTTTTGTTCCACTCTCTGCATGAACAAATCGGGGATCCACAACGCGGGGAACAAGTCCCGAGCCCGAATTTCTTCCTTACCGTGGTTCTTCCGGATGTCGATGAACTCGAAAATGTCAGCGTGCCAAGGTTCAAGGTACATGGCGAAGGCACCAGGACGCTTGTTACCACCTTGATCAACGTAACGAGCAGTGTTGTTGAACACCCGAAGCATAGGGATGATACCGTTCGAGGTACCGTTAGTACCAGCAATGTAAGCACCAGTGGCACGAATGTTGTGAATGTGCAAACCGATACCACCGGCCGACTTCGAGATAAGAGCACAAGTCTTCAAGGTGTCGTAAATACCATCGATAGAGTCATCCTTCATAGCGACAAGGAAGCACGACGACATTTGCGGGTTAGGAGTACCAGCATTGAACAAAGTGGGCGAAGCGTGAGTGAAGTATCTTTGCGACATCATGTTGTACAACTCAATGACACGCGGAATGTCTCTGCCGTGGATACCGATGGCGACTCTCATGATCAAGTGTTGAGGTCTTTCGGCGATCTTACCGTCGATACGCAAAAGGTACAGCCGTTCCAAAGTCTTGAACCCGAAGTAGTTGTAGCTGAAATCACGGTCGTAGACAATGGCCGAATTGATGGCGTCTTCATTCTCTTGGACGATTTGCCAGGTTTCCTCAGAGATCATCGGCGAGTGCAAGCCGGTCTTAGGGTTGACCCATTCGTACAACGCCTTGCACACGTGCGAGAAAGTCTTGGTGGTTTGCTTGTGCAAATTCAGCACCGCGATTCTCGCGGCCAAGATAGCGTAGTCAGGGTGGAGAGTGGTCATCGACGCCGCGGTTTCGGCAGCCAAGTCGTCCAACTCAACCGTGCTTACACCCTTGTACACCCCCAGGATGACTTTCTTGGTGATTGCTTCGGCCTCAACGTGGTTACCGTCGAGACCATAGCAGAGCTTGTGGAGACGCGAGGTAATCTTGTCGAACCGCACCGGCTCCTGGCGGCCATCTCTTTTCTGAACGTACATATTTGTCGTTCGGTGTGTTGATGGAGTAGTTGCTAGTTTTTTTTTGGTGAGGGGAGATATTTGCCTTATATACTTGAGATTTTTCCTCTACCCGAACGCGTCTCACACGCGTCCCGGGTGCTGCGATGCGACATTATTAAGCAAGACAGCCCGAGGCGATCCCGCTTCCAAACGTAAATTGAGGAGAGGGACAACAGCCTAAAACAATGGAGAGTTCACCACTACTATCAGTGGCTGGTCTATTCAACTTAACCGAGTCTTCGTTTCTGAAGGCTAGATTCCCGTGATCGGCATGTAAGCCAAGAGCCCCAACCCCTACCTGTACAAGCGCCGGGCTCACAGTGCTGGGTGTGTATAAGTAGCCCGTCGGGCATGAGGCTACCTCACAGCATGGCAGTTTGCGATCTCGGAATACACACAGTGCTGGCTCTACGCGATAACGCCCGCCAGTGAGCAGGTTTAAAAATGAGCCACACGACTACGGGCAGACACAACTACGCAATAGACCAGTAGAACAAGAGCGATGTTTACAAAGGGGTTATGGTGATGTAAGGTGGCAGTGGATTATGGAGATTGCGATAACAATAATCGTGACGTGCTTACCGAATGGGGATACGTCATGCTTGCTGGTGGTGGTGCCGCCTATGACTGAATCGAGCGATGAGAGAGGCAGCAAAGGTAAATAACCACCTACCGAAAAATTCCAAAAATGTCGTGTCTATTATGCAATAAATAGGGTCTACTTTTCTTCCTTGTCAAGCAGCTGGAGCCACTTTTCCAAGTCAAAGTCGCCTTCAGCGGATTGGGTTTGGGGCACAGCCTTGGGGGCTTCGATCTTGGTTTCAAGTTGAGCCGCGTCCTTCTTGGCCCGAGGCCAGGCAGCAATGGCAACGACACTGCCCAAAGTGGTGAGGGCAAGCTAAAATTTGTTAGTGAATCAGTCGAAGATATCTGGGGTGGGCTAAAAGTAGGTACTTACCACGTGCGCGGGAACAGCTTTTCCGAAGATTTGGTAGGTGGCACCCATTTTCTGAAACTGTTAGTACACTGATTGATTGACTGTGAAAACTCTAGCGGGATTCAAATGCTTCCACTTACTGATAAACTGAAGTTAACTTATATGGGTCTAGTTCAAGCGCGCGATCGGACGTGAGCGCTTCTCTTAGTTGATTCGTTAACCCTATATGCAGGTCATATTTGGCTAGTCCCAAAATCAATGTCAATGAACCATGCTAGCAGCATTACAGTTGACAAATGAATGCGTGGTATTAAATTCTAAATCCAGATCGTATATATGTCGTAACTCTATTAATCGTTTAAATTACCAAGGGGCCTTATACTTGGATCTTGATCTGATCTTAGGCCCAGCGAGGATGAACGTCACGGGGATCAAGATCATCAACAAACAAATGAAACCAAGCACTGAGGACCCCCAACCAACGCGGAACCGGTGGGTCTTGAGATTATTGAAAAGAGGGCGACCAAACAAGGGGAACACACCAGCAATGTACGACCGCGCAAAGTCATTAGAGGCGTACACCAGGGCAAGATACTTAGGGTCAAAGGAAAACCCTAAGTAATTGAACAACGTTTGGAAGATCAAGAACAGCCCCACAGAGAAGGTAGCAGCACCAATCATTGGCCCAATCCAGTGAAGATCTTTGGCTGCAGTCCACCCAAAGATGAAGATACCAACGGGCATGAACAATGATCCGACGATAGCTAATGGCATAAACGATTCCGGAGGCACATAATTGCCTTTCAACATCGGTTTGGTATATTGTATGTAGATGATGATTGAGTAGGCCGCAGCACTGATCAACACACCGACAATGATTGACAAATAGGCACACCCCATTGGCACAAGAGCGAATTCGAATACTTCGAGGAACACAATGGGGAACGCCTCAAACCACAAGTACATGATGGCGTACACCAAGGAGATGTAGATGTTACACGCCAACACCATCGGTTCAAGCATGGTGATTTCCACTGGCCGCCACAACACTTCAATAAGCTCTTCTTTGAAAGTCATCCCCTCTCTTTGAAGTTCCCCTTCAGTCTTGAGGTTCGGGTTACCTGTAAGAGCTCTGAGTCTTTCTGCTTTGCGGTGGAGAAGGGTAGGTTCAAACAGCTCTGGTAACAAAAAGAAGAAGAAGAAGCAAGTGGCCCCGGAGAGAATGCACATGAACCAGAAGGTCCATCTCCATCTACCAGCAACAACCAAGGCCGAACCAATGAGAGGACCAATCGATGGACCACCGACAGACCCAATTGACCACATGGCAATACCCACCGGTAAGTAAGGGAGAGTCATGCAGTCAGATGCTGAAGCCCCACCAGTGGCAAGAGCAGGCAGGGCAAAGAAGCCAGCAATGAACCGACAGATACACAACCCGGCAATGTTCTTCACGAGGGCACAAGGAATTTGCATGATGAAGAAAAGGAACAACGTGATAATGTAAATCAGAGTCCGTCCGTAGTAAGGGTTTTCTTGAAGCGGCAGAAGCACCATTGGTCCAATCCCGTAGCCAAGGACAAAGAGGGTAAGGGGTAATGTCGCTACCACGACACCGACATGGAAGTCTTCCATGATCTCGTCAACCCCAGGAGTGTAGATTGCCAGTGCCATGTACACTGACATGGTGAGGAAGGCGATGAAGAAGGTAAACACCCCCTTTTGCAATGTGGGCCAGTTGCGAGGGTTCTCGGGATCGTCGTCACCTTCCCAACCAACAATAATAATACCCTCTGGGGTCTTCTTCCAGTCTCCATTGATCTCATCCGATTGTTCGACTTTCTCTCCGTCCAGCGTCAGCAGATTGGCTGCGGTGTCATCGTCAGCAGCCTTTTCATTTCTGTCGACAAGGTCGTGCTTTGTGGGCTCATACTCCTTGCCGAGATATTTGTCGGGAATCTGGTACCCCGGCTGTTCTTCAGGGTAATTAAAGTACTTGTGCTTCGAGACGTGGTAGACAATGCGACCAAAGAACAGGTCGCGTACGAATGTGTACCACATGATTCACAATTTGTTTTTAAGAGATCAGTCGCAAAGTATTCTGGCGTCTATATATGTTTAGGTGGGGGCGACAGTAGTAGTCCGTATTGTACTTCGCGTGGTTACTTGTTTGGGACGTGTCCGAGGTGTTTGACGTGGAAACTTACCGATCCCGCCGCATTATTGTTTATGCAATGCGGGAGAGCCGCAACGGCTAACTCCATGATGCTAGAATCATGACAACTCAACTTTCAGCCAATATGATGTCATAGATGGTTTCTAAATCAGCAATAAACCCCAACCCCACTAATACGCAAGCAAAATTGTTGATATTTGTTCGCATTTCTGATGATTCTAACTACTTCACGCGAAAAGCTCGGATGTAGAAACCTAGATTCACATGCACGATTACGGCAATAAATCCCATTCGGGATGTAACTCCGCTTGACAATGTGCAACAAAATGTACAGTTTCCAAACAATACCGAGAAAACTCCGCGATCACTGCAACGGGTGTTTCCCCATTCAGTGGTTTCCCGTGGCAACTTTAACACCTACCAAGAGAAACATTTCAAGATCGCAGAACAATAACCGGCTTCGTCATCCCATTTGGTCAAACGCGGACTCATGCTACAAGTTATCCGCGGATCCGACGGATTGCTTGCGCCGTTAATTTAGTATAGACGGAAATCATATGGTGTACAGTTGGAAGTGTCATACATTGGTAGTTGTGTACAGATGAATGCGGCTTGCTCGGCTCTTGCCCTGAACCAATTGGTGATGGTGATAATCCTCTACTATCATATGAAAACCTCAGTTAAAGTTGGTAGCCCTCACATTTACTAATGTTAGCTTTGCGGTTCTGGAAGAAGTAATGACAAACACAAGCCCACTTATTGGCTTAGTCGTCGGGCATTGCTAGTGCCTGCTGCCAGAAGTGCTCCAACTTAAATCGCGTAAGCAATTCCAATGTTTCCTCGTCCAGCTGGGGCTGGACCGTGCTCCACTTCTTGAAGTGAAGTTCGGGGATAGCACCTTCCCAAACAAGGCGGCATCGCGCTTCTCCCTCGGACCACTTTATTCGGTTCAGCATCAAATTGTCATAGTACCGAACCATTTTCAGGCCACCTTCAACTATCACTAATCCAAATTGGTCAGCGCGGATGGCAAACCCCACAAGCTCTTGCTGTTTGGCATTAGCGTCAACTTTGAAAATATGACGAGGGTCAGTGAAATTATCAATGCGGTACACCGCACACCGTTTGGCCTTCTCAATATCTCGCTGATGCTGATTGTGAATTTTCTCTGCTCGTTGTTCACTAGTCAATTTGCGTGCCATATTGTCAGCCTCGTGCTTCTCTTGTCTTGCTTTCACTTCAGCCCTCACTCTAGCTTCGACCGCGGTAGGATTATTCAATGATTCATTGGTCAAGATGTTCATAAAGTTCAGTAGCTTAACCTTGGGTGGAGGCGCCGGGTCAAGCCCCAACCGGATCCGGTCCTGTTGCAACTTGTTGCGGGCTTCTCTGACGAGCCGGCGCTGCCGTTTTCGTTCTTGTTTCGTCAAATACATCTTGGCCGCCACTGGGTTATCCCATTGTGGCTGTAGGATCACTGGGTGGTGAATATACTTGGTAATCGGAGCGTCATCGCTATCGGTAATCAACTCATCCAATTTTAGGTAATTTGGTTGAGTTAAGTAGGGTCGGTCCCACCATTCCACCCATGGTGGAGGTGTCGAAGGTTTATATCGAGTTTCACCGGCTAATATGTCTGGTACAAGTCCCTCTTCACGCCGCTTTGCCTCTTGTTGGCGGGTCTCCTCATCGCGTTGGCGCTTATCTCGAATAACATCGGCCTTCTCCACCCACTTACCCGGTTCATTGAGTTCAAATCGGCGTCGTTTCCTCAGAGCGCTGATGGTCAGCTGGTCTAAGTATGGGTTCAACGACTCCGCCGAGAACCGGGTGCCATTTACGGGCTTTTTGTCGAGGATTTTATCTCCCAAATTACCCAAAAGCGGGTGTAATTCCTGATTGAGCCCTCGCTTCTGTGGCTTCTTCTCTTTTTTGGGGTCAAGATCCCATTTGGGAAGCGGCATCTCTCCGCAGAATAGTGGATGGACGACTGATAATGATAAGCCGCACGCGCGATGGGAAGCCCATCACAGCATACACCCCAACGATGAAGTACGTGATCGAGCACATGGAAGATGGTTTCCTGGAATGGGTCATCCTTGAGTACCTGCAAATCATCCGGGAAGTGGGTAAGGATAATTTGATCCTTCTGTCTCTTCCTCAAGGTACCGAAGTGCCCCAACAATTGAAAGATTTGGGGTTGCAGTGGACCTCCGACGAATGTGTATCGTTTATGGAAGACAAGAACAGAGTGTGTTTGTTGGATCCAGCGGCCGAGACCGATTTGGAGCCGCTGGACGCTGACAAGTTCGACTACTTTGTGTTTGGGGGCATTCTTGGATCGCACCCTCGTATCGACCGGACCGGCATCCTTCGCCGCAAATACGGTTTTGCTGGCCGTAGACTTGGGGCGTTGCAGATGACCACCGACACTGCCGTTCGTGTCACTCAAAAAATTGTCGAAGACAAGACCAAGTTCGAGGATATCAAGTTTTTGGACTACCCCGAAATTCGCTACAACAAATACGAGTCGACGGAAATGCCTTTCCGTTATGTTGTTGACGCTAACAACGAGCCTATTCTCCCTGAGGGCATGTTGAAGTTGATCGAGAAGGATGCCGAACAATCCATCGATGACTTGCTTGCATAAGTAATGTATATTTAGCTTTCTAGGAAATTTTGCAAAACTCAAAGTTCATTTCCCTTAAGTTTTCATTTCAAGATTAAAAGTTTCCCCTTGAGATCTGAGTTGTTTCGATAAGCAATATGGGTAGATATGTATGTAATTCGGCTAGCTATGGCAATGAAGGATAGAGGGATTTTTCTTCTCTCATTTAAAGTTTTGCAGTGATATCCATGTGTCGAAACGATCAACTAAGACTCTACAGATAGCCTGCTGTATTGATGAAACGTATCGGCAATATAACGAAGCAAAAATAATAGTGGTTCTCGAAGACACGTGCCAAAATATTTACTGTCCCTTTTAGTTCTTTGAATTTCACCTCCAAAACAGCTGCTACTCATATAATTAGGGTGAATCACAACAAGGCGTTGGAATTCAAAGCTTTGGTCGCTAAAATTGATTATCAATTTGAACATGGTTTACTCAAAAAACAGGAAAACTAATTTTGCAAATTAAGGTCCCTTGGCCCAGTTGGTTAAGGCGTGGTGCTAATAACGCCAAGATCAGCGGTTCGATCCCGCTAGGGACCATTTTTTTGCATCTTTTTGAGTTGATTTTTTCAACATATACTTGTCAACTCAAAACATCGTTAAAGTAAAGATCAACCATCACCACCCCTTTTATCGTGTTTCGTCGATCAAATTGCGTTGTGTGTTTTTGTTATACGAGAAAGTTGACACCCTATAATTTGAACGGCAAACAAACAGTCATAATATAACCAATGTATGTGAGTCCCAATAGCTGGTTGCCTGAACCTCTACATGTTTGAATGCATGTGTTTATCTAATATGCTAGTTAAGTCTATAATTTTTTTTAATTCAATAGCTTCTAGTTTAATTGGTTTTGCCATTAACATCGTTGCGGTAAGCGGTTTTCTCTTTGACAGGAGGTAAGTCACTTCTCAAGATTTCTCTCAACAAGAAGCCAGCGGTGTCGACATCATCGAAGTACGACACATGAGCACTGACTGCGCTCACCAATGAGAAATCGAACACTCCCATAGGAAGAGAGTAGTCTATTCTGCCAGTGCGATTGAGTGGGGTGAGCAATTGAAGATCCTTTTGGCTCATCTTGGTTTTGCGTCCCCCCAGAGATTCATTGTCCATTACCGCAAGCGACGACAAGATGTCGCCCAAAGCGTTCTCATTATCGACCAGAGCTTTTTCGGCTTCGGCATTACCCAGAGGTAAGGCACGCTTCTGCTTGCTTTCCAGAAGCCACAGCGTAGCGTTCGACAACTTCTCGCTGATATCGTCCTTCAATTCGTTGAGACTCATGAGCTTTTTCGAAATGCTTTCGGTTGCAAAGGGAACGAGCTCAGCCTGATACGCCGAAAATGACGGGTCCACGAGCGGTTCCATGCGGTATGCCACAGGGTCGCAAGGGTGGTACAAGTTGTACAAGTTGGAACACTTAGGAGTCCGTACCCAATTGGGAGCGTCAGGAGTGTAGGGAGCAAGACTCTTTTGTTTAAGCAAGTTAAACATTCCGACAGGAGAACCGACGCAGAACAAGTTATCAATTTCGAAGTCGAGCTCATGGCCTTCGTCGCTTGTATGATTCTCATCACCATGTGTAGATGAGAATGTGTCATCAAGCTTACACTGATGGCATGCCAAATCAAACCCAATTGCACTACCTAACGAGTGACCCAAAATATGAACTTTCCCATTGAAATCAGGGTTGTTCTTCTTGTAAAGGTTGTAGACCCTATTGATTTCATCCACTACTATTCGCATCACTTGGTTAAAGTAGTAAGGCTCGTAGAAAAGCAACACATCGAGAACCACGTCACCAACAACATTGCGCAATGGCTTGACCCCTTCAGCGTTTATTTCCAGCAAACTAGGAAGGTGTTGCCCCTCTTGATTCAGCTTGAATCTTTCATTTGGGTGGAAATCAACACGGTGACGCCACAGAATTGGAAGTACTTGAATACCGGTATTCGTTGGATCGTCATCGTGAAGTTCTTGATACAGCGGGTCCAGCTTATACACACGAGTCATAGTCTTGCGGAGCAAGTTGATCGAGTGAGTAAAGTTGATCAGTTGATACTTGTCGCCTAATACCTGACCGATACCGTGAATGCAAAACACTAAATGGTCAATTTTGCGGTTGGCAGGGGCTTGGGGCTCAAGATCAGATTCAATGATAACCTGCTCCTTTTCAGCAAGTTCCTCAGGGTCGGGTTCGCTAATCTTTTGATGAAGAAGTTTGCGGAACTCAGTCTCAAATGTTTTCGAAAGTGCAGGAAGCTTTTGCGGACTAAGAACCAGTATATCAAAAGATTCAAGGTAGCCACGATAGATGTATGAGACTTGCAAAAATGGCACTTGACTGGGACCCAAGCTACGGAGAATGTCGATTTGAAGGCGTTGCTTGTACTCCTTGGGGAAAATGGCGGCGATTTTCTCCAGCAAGTAAATGAGATTGTGAGTGGGCGACAACTCAATGATGTCCACTTCGTCATTAATGTTGATATCGCCATTACTGTGTTCGGCGAAATCGTTTACCGATTTGATCATTTCCTCAACGTTGTCCCAAGCATTTTGCGGCGCTTCCTTTGCCGCAGACGCCGCATCCTTGATTTTCTCCGGCACGGCTTTAGCTCCTTCGTAGGCGGCGTTGGGAGCTTCCTTGGCTGCCGACGCTAAGTCCAGAACCAAGCCATAAAGGAAATCAGGCACATCCTTGACGTAGGAGGCCAAGCCATTGAAAAACAGCGTCAGATTATCACTTTTAGCAAGATCAACAGGCGGCAGGTTTTTCTTTGGACGAATCATTTTGGTGGTGTCTGGCTTTTCCAAGTGATGCTTGATCACTTTGGGAATGATCTTCTTATAATTGTCTTCGATCAATTTCGTTTGAGGGGTCGAGAGCGGCGTGCCATCACTGTCAAACCAAAGACCCCGCCGTACTTCATAAACAGCTCCTTCCCAGTAAATTGGGGCCACTTCCATTGACTCCAAATTTACTTCTAGCAAGCCATCCTCTTTCACCGGCACCAAACTCAGGCTTTGCTTGTCGTGGTGATGGAGCCGTTGCCAAGCCAGTTCTAACTTTCGCAGATCATCGCGGCTGAAAGGCTCGAACTCGGTCTTCTTATTCGTTTGCTTGGTTGGTGGACGTAATGGGTTGTTTGTAGCAAAGTACCAGTTGACTTTGGCCGGGGTAATCGACAGTTTCGCCCGAACGGCTAGCGTAAACGTGGCCGCAGCGCGGCATGGTAACTGGCTGGTGATACTAGCATGGCACCGAGGGACCACACGTATCGCCAACATTAAATGGTTCAAAAGCAACCACCGGCAGGTACCTCGTGGGCTATTTAATTAAGCGAGTCGGCAACTAGCAAACAAATCACGGTCCGATGCTGCGGGACCAGGTGCAGGGCGTGACTAGCGTGTAGTGATGCTCAGCAAACTGTTGGATCTGTCATGCGTACGTGCCGTTAGAGAGGGGAAGCTAGAGCAAAACAGTTGGCACCCCGATTAGGTAGTCGGCTACAGGAATATTTACTGTACAGTTAGTCAAGTGGGGGAGGGGTAACATGTATGTGGCATGTCACATTATTTTTGGGGAAGTCACGCACGGCGGTCTGTTGGCGTCGTAGCTGCCACTGTGTGGCCCAATCCCAGGGCCCAGCCCCACTAGTCGCAGGCGGTACCCCACATTTGCTGTGGGTGGCGGAGTTTTTGACTCATCACTCACCAAACGTAAATGGCCGGCACCACACCCAACATCGACCATGACCAAGAACTGGTTGCATTGCTGGATGCGCTGACGATCAACCAACCCCCGATCAGCAGCTACCAGTTTCAAAATACGTTTGCGGATAATTTCACGAACTACCGTCCCTTCGTTAATCGACAGCTAGCCAACGCTCAACGCCACCTTGATAATGGCGACGAAGAGACGATTTATGGCGACGAGGTCGCCGATATAAACACTGCCGAAATCATGGGACAACTGGTGGCGGCGTTCAATCAAAAGTTGGACCTAGTGGTGGTGGAGGAAATTCTTCGACCGTCGCCTATGTGCTTCTCGAGTGAATTAAACTTTGATCAGTTCAAAAGAGGAGAGGCACCGCCATTGTTCAAGGTGCTGGCACCGTTTCTTTCTCAGATGAGACCAACAACGCCGTTTATCACCATCAAACGGGGGCTGGACCCCGACCCTTACTGTACCATCTATACCAAACAAATGACTCGAGTGCGACGGGTGGTATTTCAATTCACTCCCCATAATGCCCCGGCGTTTGAGATTGTATCGTTCATCAACCACTACCGTCCGTTTACTGACTTCAATTACAAAAACACGCGGTTTCGAGTGTTTGGTACCCCGGTGACATCAGGTTACATTCTCGGCCACAAAATTCGATTAAAGCTCACGGTGGTGGATGCTGATAAACCGTCTTTGTGTGACAATATGGTCGAGAAAGAAAGAGGGAAGTTGATCAAGCGCAAAGAGTCTAATTTCGTGCCTGATCCGACAAACCCTCTCATCACTGAAGACGTTTACAATTCCTACCAGGAAAACATGGGCACATCATTTGTTAACGAAACAATGCCCCCCTTTGGTGCGTTGAGCCAAACCGAAAGTGACTTGAAGTCCTCGTTGAAAATACCCAAAAAGTTTTCCGAAGTGGCTACCATAGACCTATACCAAAGCCTGGTGGGTACTCTAGACGAGTTTGGCTTGAACGAAGACTCAGAAATTCTCACGGCGGTGTTATTAGGGTTGAGAGAGGTCACGGTGCGGATGTCTTACAAGATTCCTCAGCAGGATACTCTACCTCTACGTCCAGACGTTGGCAATCTCTTTGTAGCCACGATGTAACCGGTTAGTAGGTATGGGATGCTTGGACCGTAGCGTTCTCCCTAAGTAATTTGACATGCTCGATGCAAATGTCTAACATGATCCATAGGAAATACAGATGGCCAGGAGTGGGAAAGCCTGGGATAGGAAGGAATTAATGCCAGTAGGGTGGCCAGGAGTGGGATGACCAGGAGGAGGGAGGTCTTTCAGTTGGTGTGGGATTAATGAGGGATGGGTGGAGGATTCGGGATTAATTTATGGGATAGGGACATTATGGGATACGGAGGGAATGTCGTGGGGATTGTATTGCGATGGGGTCATGCTGATGAATGTAGGCTATTCACAGTGGGGGAGCGTCGTCCCGGACGGGAGAGCGAGGAGGATGCAGAGATTGAGGAGGAGGCGATCGGTTGCGTACGGGGGAGCGCGACCGAGCTGGAGGGGAACGGTCTCTCACGGGAGAACGAGAGCGGTGACGTACAGGCAGTCTCAGCCGATCACGCAGAGGCAGTCTCAGGTATGATCGACGCTGAGCTTCGCGCTCGCGTTTACTGCGATAAGACTGGTAGTCTTCGCGTCTATCGTAGTCTCGACTGTGTTCACGGTCATTGTAGCCACCACGAGGGGCGTATCCATAACCACGAGGACCGTAGGCTTCCGGAGCGAGCGGTTCGTCGGGGTAGCCGTATCCTCGCGGGTCGTAGCCTCTACCATAGTCTGGAGGGCCACGTCTATCGCGCCGACGGCCACGGGATCTGCGGGTGCGAGTGTAGGGGTCGGAACGAGCCATTTGCACCATCAAACCGCCTTCTTTAGCGTACGGAAGCTGTCTGCCATGCATTTCAAGCGCCTGCTCGGCTGCTTCCACCTCTCGGTATTCGACAAAGGCATACTTTTCGCCATCATCGGTACGGGGAGGAGGGATGTCAAGCCTGATAAGTTCACCGTAGTGTTCGAAGTCAGGCGCGAGGTCAGCCGCTTTCGATTCCCGCGAGAAGTTGGTGACGTAGAGGGTATTTCGGGGCATAGCCGGGCCAGCTGGAGGTGGTGAGGATAAAAATTGGTTATTCGCACACGAGCGAAAAAAAAAAGAAGTGTCGGGGCCAGGGCAATAGTGAGCAAGAAAGACGAGAGAGAGATGGCAACAGATCTGCTACGTCACGATAAGGTGTAGGAGTCAGGCGCTTTAAGCATGTGATCTTAAACCTGAGGAATGTGACTCTTTCCCAACAACCACGAGCCCTTTGGCCACTGGCATGTGTTATTGGTCTCTCACCGAGTGTCAGTCACGACTCAAATAGGTCACAACACTCATTTAGATCATGACGCTCTAACGAGTAATTCTGTGGAAGCTCATCGAATGTTCGATCCATAGGAGCATGTGATATAAACCTCCGAGTATCACATGGAATACTCCGAAGAGATGAATTCGCAAACTCCGACGACCCCGAACTTTTTCCCCCCGCCGTGACTCCGATATCTCGTCTCCACCTACCGGTATCGCTTATCACTACCACCACCTCGAAAGCGTCTCTGTGAGAATGCGTGCATACAGACACGCAAAAACCCACGCACCCACGCCACGGTTTCACAAAATTTTGCCCCCGTCGCGCGCACAGTTGCGGAAGATGATCACTCATGTAAGATACGACGGCACTAAAGGCTGGGGGGGTGGCGGGGGGCAGTGTGCAATCTGGTTCCAAGTAAACAAACAGGGTCTCGCCCCACAAAAACCTTAATGACCTCTAACTTTAAAGGAAGAGAGAATGGTGGGCATCACGTGACGGTCAAGCCACCTCGCCCCGAAGGTGTCGTTGCTTTCAGGGGGAAGTAGGTAGCGGTCGTCGCCGTGACTACCGGAGTCCGTGTCCCTTTCCTTCCTACCCCTCCTTTTCTTTTTTACGGCCTCACCGTGAGGTCAAGCCTCGGGGCAAACGCTCGCAACCGGGGAGAGCCCAACAAAAATCGAGGGCGAAAAAACATCTTTACTTCGACTGGCTCCCTCAAACGTATTACTCCCCCACCCCATCCGTTAAGAATACGTGGCTAGCCGATACTGCGATATATGACGTCTTCGGTAGAGGATACCGTACTTGACCCGACGTTCCTTCTTCCCCAGGACGACCCGGACATCCTCGATGAGTTCTTGGACCAACGGGTGTACGAGTCGATCCATACCACCCCTCAGCCGCCATTCGACGATCCCCTGGTTCCGAAACAGTCCCAGTACCTCTACGATGACCCGTTGGCAATGCTGTTTGAACCGCTGCCGGCGCCGGTGACGGAACAAACCAGCCCCATCCAGGCGCCATCCCATCTCCTGCCGGGGCTGTCGGAACTGAGGTTAGACGACTACGACTACATCCGTGACGAGCTCACCAAATTGAAGTTTGGCAACCCCCACATGAACCCGTGTCCCGAGCTGGTGGATGTTCCTGATCCGCTGTACATCAACTTCTCCCCGGAAGTGATGTCTCGTCTCCCTTACCGTTTGGATATTCTGCCGTTGCCGGCTTACCTGCGGGTGGAAACCCAGATCAAGCTCCAGCTTTCGATCTCACCCCTGCCTAAGCAAATGCTCTTGCACATCCCCCAAGACCTCGTGCTGAAGCACAAATTTTGCCTCGGTGATCCGTTATCGGAGTTGAACCCCCGTATCAAAGAACTGATGCTTCATCTCGACGCTTACGTACTTACGCTGGACTTGACTAAGCTGTGTACTATCTGTCTGAGATGTATCAAGCGGGAGCAAAAGCGGGCGCTGCGTCGCAAACCCGGGTTTTCCGAAAATACCGATGACAGCAACGGCCTCGGCCCCGGCGCTCTGCTGTGGGCAGACGAGAACATGAAGAAGAAAGCGCTCATTTTCAACTGTAAAGAGGTGATGCTGTTCCCCGCTCCCAATGGTGTCGATGATCACCTGGAAAAGACCATGGAGTTATCGGCGAGAATTATCTGCTACTGTCGTCATCACAAAGAAGCCACCGGTTTCAAGTTGTTATTTGTGGTCAAAGACAATAACGGCAACGTCGTTGCCAAGCTGTTGTCGCTGCCGATTATGATCATGGACCGGAAGAAGACTCTGCTGACCCTGGCGCCATCATCGCTGGTAGTGAAGACGGAACTGCAACCGTCGCTGGTAATGAACTCACTGACTAACTTGATTGGCCTCGGTGATGGTAGCCATTTCGACCAACGCCAACTGTTACTGCATCTGCTGCCTCTGGACTCCATGCCGGGGCTTCTGCCACACCTGGTGGACGAACTGGAACTGCAACTGGAGATTCTGCATTTGCTTGGTCTCACTGTTCCTGAAGAACGCCGTCCCTTGAAGCGGAAAAAGTTGAGCGTTGACGATTCCCACAACCAAGCTACTAACCCCATGTTTAACGGGCAAATGGGCTTCCTGCCGGTGCTGAATCTGGATACCAACACTCTGACGCAGAACTACTTGACAATGAAGCCGTCCTTGGCGGTCCCAATGGCAGGCCTGCAACTGGGCCCCCAACCAACACTCCCATTTATTCAACGGATTATCCCGGCTCAAGGTCCTATCCGTGGTGGCATTGAAGTCACTCTTCTTGGGTTTAACTTCCACCAAGGGCTCGCTGTCAAGTTTGGTGCCAACCAAGCGTTAGCTACCCACTGCTGGCTGGAAACCACCATTGTCACCTATCTTCCTCCTGCGGCTCACCCTGGCCAAGTACTCGTGCTGTTCGAGAACCAGCCCCTGATGATGGGAGGCACTCAGCAACAACAGGTGTTCACCTATACTGATGATACTGACCGTCAACTCATTGAGCTTGCGCTTCAAATTGTTGGGCTCAAGATGAATGGTAAGCTCGAAGATGCCAAAAACATCGCTCGCCGTATTGTTGGTAGCGATGCGGGTCTGGGAGCATCTCTGATGGCGTCACTGCCGTCGGCGAACCAAACTCAACGAGTTGAAGGCACTCAACAATGGTTTGACCGCGCCCACCAAGCGGTTGAGCAATTGGTGGCTCCTCGCCAGCTGATGCTGACGGAAACCATCCTCATTAATCTTCTCCTGCTAGTCGATCTTCCTAACTGCCCCATTGTCATGGTTAATTGGCAGTTGATGAACGGCCAAGGCCAAACGGCGATGCACTTGGCGACGCTCAAGGGGTACTCGCAATTGGTGAAGTTCTTGCTCAACCACGGTACTCGGGCCGATATCAAGGACAACCAAGGGGTGACGCCGTTATTCCTCGCTCTGATGACGGGCCACCGTCAACTCATGACGATGTTTTTGGAGTGCCAATGCAACGGCAACTTGCGCATGCCTAATCAACGCTACCTTCAAGATTATTGTGATCCTAACGTGTTGGATGTGTTCAATGCGGGCGACTTCATGGTGAAGCGGGGTCTGGTTGACCTGCTTTCGCTGATGCTTAACATGAGCGTTGGTCGCCACGTGCTGCGCATGGTGAATGCTCCGTTGAACGACGACGATGAGCTGAATCTGACCACCGAGCTTGCTCTGGAACTTGCCGACCTGGAGTATGAGCTGGAGGATGATCAACTGGAAGTCGGTGAAGAACCCCAGCCTGCGCCTAATGCCATCCCCGAACGCCATGGTTTGTGGCAACGGGTGAAGAATGCGTTTAATGGCGACCTGGAGGACGAAATGCTTCCGCTGTACGACGATTTGTTCCCCTTCGGCCAGCTGCAGGACCAAGCGAAGCCGAAACTGGCGATTGAACGGATGCTCAACAACCAGCCGGCGACGGTCACGGACACCACAGGCGAAGACCCAGGGGTGACGCTGGACTCGTCGGAAGACATGGTTATTTCCTACATCAATCACCCGCGGAAGCTGATGGAGAACGATAAGATGTTGTTCTTCTTCTGGTTGCCAATGTTGATGATCACGGTGGCGGTGTTGTTCATGGTGCTGGTGATGGGATACCGGTTCGAGCTGATTGAAGGTGTCAAGCTAATGGTACGTAATCTGGTGGGCAACCTCATGGTGGGGCTGGACCGGATCTCCAGGGTATTCAAGGAGAAGATTGCTGGGTAGCCGTGCTGGTCATTGGCCACCAGTCATGGGTTTAAGGCTGGGTAATGAGAGTTTAGTTTAGTTTAGTTAATGAGCATAATGGATATTTGGTTTTCGTTGTCGGAGTTAAGTGTGTAAGCTACCCCTGTTCTGTTGGGTTAAAGTGGGATACCAGGGCTACTGATTCCAGCATCAGTCCCGATGTGTACTCTGTTCACGAGCAAGAACAGTATCGTCTATCGCTCACAACAATAAATTTATAATTAATATGAAGTTCGTCTTTGAGTATAGACAAATCTAGGATTAGTAACCTCTTTGACCGTTTGAAGGGAGTGTGCCTGATGTATTAGCTAATATGTCTGTTGATGTCATGGTTTCCCATCGTCGCACGCGCACTCTCGCTAATTAGAAGGGGGATGGGGCCAACCCCTCCTAATAGAAAATCATCACGTAGAAAGCGACCAAATTTACGTTATAATCAAGGAAACAGACAAAGTTATGCAATTCATATATGTTTTTCGTAGTCGCCAATTGTTTCGTGCTTTGTTTGACATGTAACTTTAGCTACTGAGGGTGCCTGCTGTCCCTGGTAGAATATTTGCCTTCGCACTGAGGCGAATTCGCATTGCCTTACTCACCCACCACTTCAATGAGCATATCGAAACGAGAGCAAATTGAGCGGCTGGAGATGGCTCCGGCGCTTAAACAGCTTATGGATACCATTGTCAACACCCCCACTAACCAATTGGTGCCGGTGTTGGCGCTGAACATGCGCTGGGAGCGCCCCGAGGGCGACCTTCTCCAGTGGGTCCCGGTGCTTAACCGGTTTGACGAGGTGTTGGAGGCAATCACGACCCGCTACGGGCTTGATGAGACCTATCCTCGCCTCCAGGTGTTTTCTCCAGAGGATGAAGCGGTGGCCTCGGCCGTGTTACAATACACCTTCCTCATCCTCGACCACTGCCTCGACCGCCAGCTCTACAATTCTGGCGAACGCATCTACGCCCTCTTGCAAACACCCACGGTGCTGGTGCGGTTATACGCCACCCAGGTAGCGGTGCTCTTGGGCGAACGCTACGCCCGCACCTCCCACGCCAAGTTCGCCGCCCCGAAACCGGCTCGCCACACCGTCCTCGACCTCAGTCTCAGTTACCCGCCCCAGTTGCCCAGCAAATACGCCCAGCAGGTGACGAAAATGCCCAACAGCGACGCGCAACCGACGATTCTCAACGATACTTACGCCTATATCGATACCTTGAATCCCGCCAAAAACTACCCTAAGGAGTGGAAACGCCTTCATTATGAGTACTACTACGAAGCCGAAAACGATGACACCACAAAAACTACCAGCAAAAAGCCCCGCGAAGGCCTCACTCAGTTTACCCTTAGCGAACAGGAAGTGCACCAGTTATCTTACCAACAGATTCTCGATCGGGCGCTGGAGGCGGTGCCCCCAGCCCACTGGCCTACTGTACTGCTAGCTGCTGCTACTGCTAAAGCGTTTAATCTGAACCTGTACGAAGCGCTTGACTTACGCGCCCAACTCCTAGCCACTAAAGCCTATGGAGTGGCATTTCTCACTAACGCTTGTCTGAATCAGTTTGTTGCTAGCAAGTTGTTTGAAGCTGAGGTACTGATATTCAAATTCTTCACCGACTTGGTTGCTCCCGAGAACCGGGCGCCTCCCCTTGTATCGTTGCTGGCGATGAAGGCATTTCAATGCATTTCCGGGAAACGGATGTGGGCGCTGGATCTTGTGCGGAGCATGGGCGGCAGTGTTTCCCACGGCGTCCTCTTTGAAATCATTCGGTGGTTTCATCATAATGTCGTCAATAATCTTGAGTACTGCGAGGAGATGGCCGTTCTCTTCTTTAACGTTGTCGGCAACTTGATTCGCACCAAGGCGAGCGTACTGAGACTTGCTCTGGGCGGGTTACTTGCGGAGTTGATGGGGTTTCTTCGCTTATGCACCCAGGAAGTCACCCACCACCACCGCACGGTGCTGGCCGCCATCTATCTTTTGGTGCTTTTCCTCGAAAGCTGTCCCGACGAGTTGGACGAGTTTGTCAATCAACACGGGTTTGGCTTGCTTATCGATGCAGTGTCGTTCCAGACTCAGTACGCTCTTGACCATCCGCAAGGACCACCGACTGACGCTGTGGTTACCTATACTTTAGGGTTCCGCCAGGCCGAGCTTCTAGAGATGCTTTTTGGCCTTGCACGCCAACTCATTCAGCTTGATATCGGTGATCGTCTCCGCAACTTGTTTGACCTGCCATTACTTAATAATTTCAACCAAGTCTTACGTCATCCAAAGATATTTGGCGCTTCCCTTGTGGCAACCACAATTGATCTGGTTTACTATATCATTCATAATGAGCCCACTGCATATTCTATCTTGAACGAAGCCGGGGTGATTGAGGCTATCGTCGCTAACTATGGAGATCTATTCATGCCTGACGAGGAAGTCGTTTCCGCGTTGACAAATATCTTCCTGGCAATTTGTTTGAATAAGGAAGGGCTCAAAATGGTGGTTGATCGCAACCTTGTGGGCGTCTACTTTGAGCAGTTTATGCGGCTCGATGTGGCGGCAGCAGTGCTTCGAGAACTGGCCAGTCACGCCGTGGTCCTGCTAGGGTGTGCCTTTGATGAATTAGGCAGGCACCACCCCGAGCTTAAGCCTGAGATTGTGAAACAGGTGGCGAAGCTAGTTGAGAAACTCCCTAAATTCGTTGACGAACGTCTCCAAGGTATCGAATACTGTGCATCAGATGAAGGAGAAGTACACTCGTGGAGTAATACACCGTGGACTTACGTACTTGATTTTGCTTTAAGCTTCCTTGGTGGAACAATGGAGGGTACCGGCTGGGCACTGGAGCTTCGCACGGCTATCCCGTTTGAAAACTGGCTCAACTTCCTCACTATTCGCCATGTGCCTTACGATTTCTGTCGTCTGGAAGGTGTGCTGACGTGGATGGGTTTCCTCAAAAGTCTTGATGAAGGTGATCGTAATTATGCCTTACCTCACATTATCAGTGAGATCTCGCGAAGGCTTCAGCTGGACACGCTACAACGATTCTTGACCTGGAACCTGAAGTCTGATCTGTTTTTCAATTCATTGGCACCGGAAGAAGCCACTCTCCACTTGCAGGATATCATGACGGTGGCCAACTTGCTTTTTGCCATTCTGGAAAACTTCATCCATCCCAGCATCGCTGGCTTTGAACGAGTGGCCCAAGTGGCAGCGATTTTTGACCACGAATACCCCAACTTGATTGGCCTCATGGGACAGTTCTTCCTGAGAGTAGTGCTTGAGGAGACGTTGTGGAGACAGCTGTTGAGTCCCAGTGACATGGAAAACCTGACGCCGGCGTCTGATCTTGCCACCTACCCGATGCTTGTGTGGGTGCTAGCTCCCGGGTGCGACCCGCTGAACCAGAAACCCGCTGACTTGACCAACAAGTCCGCGGTGTTCAAGAATGCTCTTCAAATTCGCCACCTTATGGTGCTGGTAGCGCTGCTGATTGCCCCGATATTTTCTGGTCTCACTTTGCTTCCCATGATGAGACGTAATGATTTCAAGCATGCTGATACGCGTCGGTCAACGGTGGCAGTTACGATCAAACTTGCCCACGCCTTGTGTGGATTATTTATTGACCCTACTGAGTTTGCCGACCCGCAGATGTACTATGGGTATACCCTCTATGCCAGTAACATGCTATTCGAATGTGTCTACCACAAAACTCGCGTGGAACTGAACGTGCAGCCACTGATCATGCTTGCTCTCGCTGAAGCTAACGCGATGAAATACGTATGTGACCATTTACAATACTTATGGCAAGGTCTTTTGGTTCAGGACGATGCACCGTTAGCTCGTGCTGCTGCCTCCCAAAGAGGTTATGCCACTGCCGAACCAGCACTGCTTGTCGTCCATGCTCTACACCAGTTGCTTCTGTTTGTCACTCGTACTCTGCTGGAACTGACGTGGGCGTCATTACCCGTCCCTCGATTCTACTACCCATCTTTGGGGCGTGATGATGAGTGGCTTCCAGTGGAGGCAGCGGCGTGGGCAGTGAGGGACGCTGGTCTTTGTGCATTAGAGAGAATGCTGGCGGCGGTCAATGAAGCCAACGCCGACCGCGTGGCTCCTGAAGTAGCTCGGTGGGTGGTCGATATGGCTAGCCATTGTTATGACGGCAGTCACGATAAGAGTGAACCACCCAAACTGATTCCGCTGTTTTGCGCTGACAACGTCAGCCCTCCGCCTGATCAGTACGCTTATCTTGAAAGGTTTGGTCTTGAGCGAGATGCTATTCTTCAATTCTACGCTCTGGGCCACGATTTGTACCACTACAATCCGGTCAACTGGCCAGAAATGCCTACGCCACAATCACCTGACCAGTGGCGCGCAGTACGTGAAAATTTCGAGCAAAACAAGCCACGTTTCGCCCCTATCGTCGTCGAATATAACCGCGATGAGATGCAACACCGCCTTAAGCAGTGGTCGCTGAAGTTCTTTGACTTTGTTGCTCAGTTTGTCACCCTTTTTGACGGTGTTACCGATAAAATTGTTGAATGGTGTGCCACTTGTACTCCTGACTGCGGTATCGTTCTCGCCGAGAAATACTTGTTCACTCAGGTGGGCACTCCTCGTCAACGCGCCCGTATTCTTTGTGTGGTGTGTGGCCTTTTGGTGAAAGGAGGTGAGACTCAAGAGTCTGCTGAAAAGCTTTTCCAGTCGCTTATGGAGGAGCTTTATCTGGTTTTGAATAACCAGGAGACGTCGGCAACGCTGATCCCCGAAGCCGATTCTCCCTTGGTGCCGCTACTCAGATTGCTTGAACGAGCACTTGTGTGGAACCGCATTCCTGATCTGGCTTTGCAGCAAAAGTTACTGGCTGACCTCACCAAGATAACTTACTTGAAGATGTCCAGGGACGACGAACGCCGCTTAGTACAACCGATGCTTCATCTTAAGGACTTTGCCAATGTCGTTCAAGCGCTTGCTGTTTGTCGTGTGGCATTAGTCTATGCGCTTGACCCTGCCCACCGGGACGACATTGCCAACCTGACTCTACTTGGTGAGGTGATGAAGGTGGTCTCGCAAACCACCTCGCAACCGTTAAAGACGGACCAAGCCGAGATCGATGAGCTAAAGAAACTGGTGATTATTCTTTTGCGTACGGTGTTTGAACTGTCTTCAGTGTTGCGCCACCTATTCGCTCTGGACTTGCCTCAGGTACTTTTCCACGGCGTATTACGCCCTCGTCGTGAATTGCAAACGCTTTTGCTCCAAACACTGCTGTTGGTGCTTCGTGAGCCTCTGACTTATATTAGTTGTATCAGCGATGAGGTGAGACTAGAGGACTATTCCGGTGGTTCTCTTGATCCTGAAGGCAAAATGATGGTAACGAAAACTCCCAGTGAGGATAAACCCCCGGCAAGAGCTGAAGATGGCAAGATTCCCGACTCTGAATACAGGTCCACCGGTATCGTTGCTCTTATTCTTGATCAATTACAACAAGCTTGCCAAAAGCAATGGTGGATCACACCCGAGGGTGTCACTCCCAAGAATGACGATCCTCACGACCCGGCTAATTTGATGCTTAACCCTGACTTCGGCTACGTGCTGTTCCTTTTGCTTTCACTCACTGAGCTTCTTGGTTCGTATATGGATGCCAAGCGCGAATTGATCCAATATGGTGGCTTCAATGCTGTGGCGTTCATCATCGACAACTTAGTGTCTACGGGAGACTCTCTCCAAGTTGAAGTGAGACGCCAGGTGGTGCTGAGCCTCTCTCGTCTCTGTTTGCTTGCCCTTGTTCTGACGCCAGTATTGGATTCTGCTAATGATCCTCAACCGAAAGAGGAAGACCCTGAGATGGCGTCGATCAGAAAACATGCGGTGGAAACTACCCTCGAAATCATTGGTGCCACCGTGTCGTCCAATGATAACCCAGGAGGTCGCTACCGTAAGCTCGCTGATGTCCTTGAGATGGTGGCGCAAGTGCTTCTGCCGAAATTCCGTGAGAGTGCCTTTCCCTTGCTCAATCGGTTGGCCACTCAATGGGATCAATATTACATCACTAAAGCGTGGTTGGATCACGATATCGGTACCCATTTGACTAAGGTGATCTGCTCGATAGACTTGAATTTCCCTGACTGGCCTGGTGTCGTGAAACATGCTTTGAAGCTGTTGATCACTCTTTCTAAGCTGAAGCTCGAATTAGCTCAATACTTGGAAGTGCCCGCTGGTGAAGGTGAAGCCGAACCTGACCATGACAACCTGGAAGACAACGGTTCCGATGATGAAGACGTTGACATGGACGACCCTCCCAATATGTTCCGCCACTCCACTTTAGGGATGTATGATGACGACGACGAGCTGGATGAAGACGATGACAGTGACGATTTCGGCGGTGAACTGTTACTTTCTGATGGCGAGGAACCTCCCGATGACGATGAGCTGCTGGGTCTTTCTGATTTGGAAGATGACGAGGAAATGATGGCTGAAGATCTGGATAACGAAGACCTTGAAATCGTCGAGGAAATTACCCTCAGTGACAACGACTTCGACGGGTTCGATGGTGAAGTTGAATATGAGGATGCTGATGATGATGTTGATGACGATGAAGATGTTGACATTGAAGTTGAAGGGGATGAACCTGGTGAAGATGGTGATGTCATTTCTATTGAAGACTTCGACGAGCTGGGTACGTTAAGTGAACCCGATTGGGACGATTCCGAAGCTCCCTTGCGCCGTCGTATTGGTGAAACGGGGCTGGACTTCGATGATGACGATGACGACGATGCCCCTGATGAGTTGGCTCACTATGAGCTTCGCCTCCCTCGTTCTGGGTTGAACGATACTCCCGCCTGGGCCGACATCTTAGACTCATTCCTTGGTGAATCAGGGGTGTTGCGTACTAGTTTGCGGATCGGTCAAGAGCGTAATGTTCGTCACCCTCTTGAAATGGAAAGCATGCTCCACATGCTGGGCCCTCGTCGCCCTTCACGGGACGCTGACGAGAACCTTTATGTCAAGCTGACCAAAGAACGGTGGGTAGACGCGATGAAGATACTTTACCCTGACTTCCGTGATGCCTACGTGTTTGGGGTTATTCCTGACATTTTGCTGAACATCAAGGAACCTCTGGCGGAAATGAACCAGCGCAAGCTTGAGGAACAGGAGAAGCAGCGCAAGGAACAGGAGGAAGCGGAATTGGCTCGTCAAGAACAAGAACGTCAACGCCAAGAACAAATTGCCAGAGAAAGAGCCGAGTTACCCCCAGTGGAACCGGTGATGGTGCGTATTGGTGATCGTGAAGTGGACATTGCCGGTACTGACATTGACCCCGAATTCTTTGAGGCTTTGCCCGACGATATGAGGGAAGAAGTACTCACTGAACACATTCGCGAGCGCCGAGCTCACGCGCTGAGTACAGGTACCGATACTCGTGAAATTGACCCCGATTTCTTAGCGGCGTTACCGGAGCCGATGCGCCGGGAATTACTCCAACAGGAGTCGATGGCTCGTCAATTCGGGTTCAACGATGATGAAGTGGAAGACGATGAAGATGAGGAGGATGAAGCGGGTGAAGTGACTCAACCGGAGGAGACTGCTACTCCTAAGATGCAATTCGCTCCGTTAGTGGACAAACAAGGGGTGGTGCTGTTGGTGCGGCTCTTCTTCGCGCCGATGCTGAATAACCAGAGAGATCACGTTCACCATACGCTAGTATATTTGGCTAATAATCGTGATACTCGAGTGGAGTTGATGAACCAATTGATGGGGGTGGTTTATGAGGCGCTAGTGGTTAACCGACTGGTGAAGAATATCTGGCGGGCTAAAGTGGCTCAAGCCGGCGAAGCCGCCAACAAACTCCCGATTAATGCACTGGTGCTGACGCTTGTGGTGCAAACGGTCGAGGCCATCGAGTACCTTGTACAACAAAACCACGCGTTGAGAGTGTATTTGTTAGGCGAACACGATAACCCTTACCTTCGCCCTAAGCCACTGAAACGCCCCTTGCAGCCTCAACTTTCAAAGTATGCTATCAACCATTTGCTCAAGTTTTTGGGTACAGATCTTGTCAAACAGGAGCAAGTGGTGATGGACATGATTACTGGGGTGATCCAGATGGCCACCCGTGTCCTTACCAAGCCCCTGGGTAAGCAATTGAATCCCCAAATTCCCACGGCTAACTATCGTCAATTGATTGGAGTGCTTACTGCTTCTGATTGCCTGAATTTGACATTCCGCAAAGCAATCCTGGCGATGCAAAACATGAGACAACTCCCGAAGACTCAACAAGTGTTCTGCACTGAATTAAGTGCCCAAGCTACTAGCTTAGGTAAAGCCATAATTGCTGAACTTGACACTCTCACGGCTGAAGTTAAAGCTCACAAGTGTGGTAGTGCGGGGCTGGTGATGGCCAAGTTCTCGCTGCCACTGAGCGATCAAGCGAAATTGTTGCGTATTCTCACCGCCTTGGACTACATGTTCGATGATCAACAAGAGAACAAAGAGCTTACTAAGTTGTATACTGACTTGGCTCTTGGGAAGTTGTGGCGGGCTCTCAGTGACTGCTTGGAAGCAATGGAGCTCGAGTCAGAATCACTGATTCACTCCACCGCCTTGTTACCTTTGATTGAAGCGCTTATGGTGGTGTGTAAGCACCTGAAGGTGAGACAATTGCCAATGAGGGAGGCGATCAAGTACGAGGAACTGAAACGGATTGATTTCTCCAAGGAACCGATTGAGCGACTCTTCTTTACCTTTACTGATAACCATAAGAAGATTTTGAATCAAATGGTACGCACCAATCCCAACCTCATGCTGGGTCCATTCGGAATGCTTGTGCGCAACCCTAAGGTGTTGGAGTTTGACAACAAGAAGAATTACTTTGACCGCAAGTTGCACACGGACGGTGATGATGAGACAAAGATGGCGTTCACCGTGAGACGTGACCAAGTATTCTTGGACTCGTTCCGTTCACTTTTCTTCAAATCTCCCTCAGAGTTCAAAACAGCGAGACTCGAAGTTACTTTCAAAGGCGAGCAAGGTGTTGACGCTGGTGGGGTCACTCGTGAATGGTATCAGGTGTTGCTGAGGCAAATGTTCAATCCTAACTATGCATTGTTCACTAGGGTGGCGCTGGATGCAACTACGTTCCACCCTAACCGCACTTCGGGTGTCAATCCAGAGCACTTGCAGTTTTTTAAGTTTATTGGTCGTGTGATTGGGAAGGCGATCTTTGACGATTGCTACCTTGATTGCCATTTCAGTCGGGCGGTGTACAAACGGATTCTAGGACGTGGCCTCAGTCTCAAAGACATGGAGCTGCTGGACTTGGACTACTATAAGCTGCTTGTGTGGATGTTAGAGAACGATATCACTGACATCATTACTGAAGACTTTTCGGTGGAAGCTGACGACTACGGCGAACACCGTATTATTGACTTGGTGGAGAACGGCCGCAATATTCCTGTTACCGAGGAAAACAAACAGGAGTATGTGCGTAAAGTGGTCGAGTACCGTCTTCAAGAGCTGGTTGCTGAACAAATGGACAACTTCTTGATGGGGTTCCACGAAATCATTCCTAAGGACTTGGTGCTGATTTTTGACGAACAGGAGCTTGAGCTCTTGATTTCAGGTTTACCTGATATCAATGTCGACGACTGGCTTGCCAACACCACCTATAACAACTACCTGGCGTCGCTGATTCAGATCCAGTGGTTCTGGCGTGCGGTGAAGCTGTTCGACAACGAGGAAAGGGCGAAGTTGTTGCAGTTTGCTACCGGTACTTCCAAGGTGCCCCTCAATGGGTTTAAGGATCTTAACGGCGCGCTGGGCACTTGCAAATTTAGCATTCATCGCGACTACGGGCTGACGGACCGGTTACCGCTGTCCCACACTTGTTTCAACCAGATCGACTTGCCCGCATACGAGACGTATGAAAAGCTCAGGGGCTCGTTATTGTTGGCTATGACCGAAGGTTACGAAGGCTTTGGCTTAGCCTAAAATTCTGTCATCATAATAATTATAATAGCTTTTATCATTTCATATCTTTCATAATAAATACTATTTCGATTGACAAAGCGCGATTTGTTGGGCCTTTTTTTGTTGTTCCGGGGCATTTTTTTGAGTAGGGGATTTTAGGGGTCTCGCCTGAGGGGAGGATCGCCATTGTTGTCTACAGGCGGCACTAGGCTCCGGGTTATTAAGGTTAATGTACCCGCCATACCGCCGAGGCTATGGCCAATACAACAGAAACCATACTCTGCGTGATGGTTGACTCACACCCACAAATGTCTTACACTCAGCATGATTTTCGTCTTTGATTTACTATCCTTTAGGTCATGCTTTCACCCTTCGATGATCTCTCTAGGTGCAGGAGAGTGTGGGGTGCTTAGTGACTCTGCCGCGGCACGTGTGGAAGCCAGCGCGCCTTTCATTAAAGTTCGGCATCTTGACGTTCCTCGGTCCCCTTGACCCGAGGATGTACGCCAGCCGGGACGCCAAAACTTTAATTTGAAAAAAATCCCAACCGAGTTAAATTATTGGTAACGTCAACTTCTTTCATTGTGCGTTCGTCTGAATTTTTGCAAGTAGCACACCACGTTGTTCGTGACTACAACTAGACTACCCATCTCATAATTTCTTAATTTGAGTCAGCAATTTTATTTGATTTTACCACTACCGACGGATGTTTCCGTGGGATGTTCAGGAATTTCTTTTTCGCAGCCGTACCGCCTCCATCCCTTACCTCGGCAAAGAGATGCGACACGGTCCTCGGCACCAGGGTCCGAGACCGAGGAATTCTGCGATGGTAATCAAACTATAAAAGGAGCAGCCGCCCCCCCTGCTTTCATCACTATCAACTCAAACAAGACAACATGGACGCTTCTCCTCTTTACTACTACGTTCACAATGAAGTCCCCGAAGCCAATGTGCGTCGGGCGATGGTGCAGAGACGGGTGGGGACTTTCCTCACCAGCGCTGCCCCCGTCATGGTGGGCTACGCCGTGATGAAGATGGCTATGACTGCCTAAGTATGGTACACAATGTGACCATCAATTCTTTTTTTTTAATTGGGATATTGAAACTGGTGTTCAATATGGGCAAATAGCATGGACTTTTATAGCATAATATAATATGATTAGAACAAATCTGTAGACACTACTATCTAATGAGAGTTTGGAAACTGTTTTAAAGAACCTGCAAGTACAATTTCGGCCTGAGAGGGGTATTTGTGTTATCTCGCTTCAAATATACGTGTTGGGACTAAATTGTGGGGGGGCTATTGTGGGCGGTGCATAATGATTGCAGCGAACGCAAACCCCTGAAGTGGTGGATGTGTAACGCGACACGGGTGACCCACAAACCCTTGAAAGTCAGCGCCATGAATTTCGCTGCTATTAGAATTGCTGTCTTCAAATCTAGACAGGGAGCAGTTCTTCTGTCTAAAACCAACTTTTTATACGAGGTTTGATAAAGCAATTCTTCCCCTCTTTTGATAAGAGTCACTCGCGCAGTGTAGCCTATTGTTAGGAGGAACACGCAGCCATTGTACTGATACCACTTGCAACATCTTAGCCTCTCTCTGTTGAGCAATCACTCAACTTGCTGGGCTCTTGTGCGGGAAATCCTGGAGCTTAAGTCCGATGATGTAATCGACACCTTATCTACAATCATAATATAATTCAAATATACTTAATCATACATTTTCTACAAACACATTAGGAAGCTTTAGATCTTGTTGAAAAACTTTTTCAAAGACAGCAGCTTTTTAGCCTTCGACGACAGCTGTTCCAGGCTCACCAGCAGCGGCTTATCGGGGCTTTGCTTGCCAAGATGGTGGCGGTGGTTGTGGTGTCCTCCTTCAGCGGCCTTCGCCGTAGTCAGACCACCCAGGGACAGCACCACTTTAGTACCACCGGCGGCAGTAGACTCGATGGCCTCTTTCTTGGCGGCGCTGCCCAGGTTTTCGACAGCAGTGGCGATTTCCTTAGCTTGTTCCTTGGACTTCTCGATGAACAGCGCGTACTCTTCCTTCAGGGTGTGGGCCAATTCGTCGGCATTTTTAGGCGCGGTTTCAAGCGAGTGCGATTGGGTCACGGTCTCCACCTTTTTCGTCGCCAGTTCGAGGGTTTCCACAACGGTAGTCTTCAGGCCATCGGCCACCGTTTCACGCAAACCCTTAGCCTTATCGGCAATGGCAGCACCGGTGGCATCAAGAGAGCCGTCCTTGGGAATTTCCTTCACCACTTGAGTAACCTTTTCGACACCTTCGGGAGTAGCCACCGTCAGTTCGGTGACAATGGTTTTGATGCCATCAGCAGTGATTTCCTCGAGTCCGCGAGTAGTCAGAGTGGGGTTGCCCTGAGGGTCCTTAGTGATGACAGCCACGGGTTTGATTTGCGAGCCCTGAGACGAACCCGAAGCGACCTTGGAAGCAGCAGATGAGCGAGGAGAGGCAGGCACAGCGGCACCACCAGCGACACCAACAATACCAGCATCAGAAGCACCAGTTACGGTACGAGCAGTGGGACCAGAGCCAGCGGTCGAGCCAGCAGCACCAGTAGAGGAACCAGGGGCAGTTTGCTTGGAGGAACCAGCAGCAGAACCAGCAGAGTGGCCACCAACGGGCACGGAAGTACCGGTAGCATTGATGGGTGCTTGCTTAGAAGTAGCGTTGGCAGGGACTTGCTTCAGAGACGAGCCAGCGGTGCCAGAGCCAGTGGGCTTAGCGCCATCAATACCTTCACGAGCATAAGTGGGTTGAGAACCAGTGGGAGCATTGACGGGAGTTCCGGGGATACCAGAGGTAACATTAGACAAACCAGAAGTGTGAGCACCAGAAGAAGTACCATGAGCACCGGGAGCGCCGTTGGCGGCACCGGTGGGAGCACTAGTAGACCCGACGCCAGTGTGGGAGGCAGCACCTTGCTTAGCAGCGTTGTCAACAGGAGTGCCGGAGTACACCAGCAGGGTATTCAGGGTGGGCTCAGTCACCAACGCCTCGCGGTGTTGAGGAATAGCTTTCGATTGAGTCGATGGTTGAGTCTGGTCTTGCTTCGAGGGGATCACTTGTTCGTTGTTGCTTGTCGGGGGTAAATCAGTCACGTGCTTGGATCTGGTGTCGAATGTAGAGAGAGAACCGTCAGGGTTGGTGATGATGTCGTCGTCCTTAGTCATCCGTCTGCGCAAGCCTTCTTCAATACTCGGTTCAGTGATGGTGTGGGTACCGCTGTTGGGGTCTTCCACGATGGCGACGCCGCGGTTCTTAACGGTGGAAGTGCCATCAGCCTGAGCTTCGCGAGCGTTAAAGCCTTGAGCCACCACTACTGGTTCCTGTTGTTGACGTTGCTTTTCCTTCGAGTCATCGTAAGAAACATGCTTTTGTTGATGCTTTTGTTGTTGCTGAGCCTTGTGCTGCTTTTGCAATTCGCCCTGAGTCTTGACAATCAACGGTCCTTGTTCCAATGCCTTCAGCGCCGTGCTCTGCTTCCACACCGGGGCGTGGCTGTCGGCGGGGATCTTGAACTTGGATTCCAAGTGCTGCTTGTAGAAGTCACGTCTCAACTTGATGTCAGTGTCGATGAAGTCTTGGTCGTGAGCAATGTCAACGAACGACAACAACTTGTTGAGGGAGTGGTAGGCGATGAGGAAGCCGTGTTCCAGCACCAACAAAAGCAAGACGATCTTGATCAGCGACTCCAAGTTCACCAGGGCGTTGTTCAACGACCACTGGCCGGAGGGCTTGGGGGGAATGGTGCCGTGGCGGTAGAATGCGGTGACCACCGGCAGCAACGCCAGCGCGATCCAGGTGAGGCCAAACAACGCGTAGTTCCAGGGAGCAATCAGGTCCACCCGGCGGGGGATGGGGGGTTGCTTGAACTTGCCCAGAGTGACGGTAGCAAGGTCAAGACGGAAGGTGATGAGGTTAAAGATGGCACAGGCGATGGGGGCAAGCGGCCACACGGGGCCAAACAAGATGAGGTAGCCGTACTGGGTAACGAGGCCGCGGTAGTTGGTGTGGACATCGAACTCAGGGAGGGTGACCAATTGTCTCACGTGCTGCAAAAACGCGTGGTCGTGAGGGTCGTCATTTTTGCCCACCACTTGGTTGAAGCTGTTGACGTTGTACTTCACTTGGTTGATGATCACGGGGACGACGTACTTGGTGACAAGGTTGATCACTTGCGAGGTGACGATGTAGAAGAAAAACTGGTTGGTGAGACGGTGCTGGTTGATCTGGAAGTCGCGCAGCAGCTTGAGCAGCGCCACGTAGCGGTAGTAGAAGGCGTTGTGGTCGACCTTGCCGTCGATGTACAGTCTCAACACGTCGAGCTCGGGCTCAAGAAGGTGGGCGAACGGCAAGTAGATGAACAGGGTGATGATGAGGGGCACGTACAGCGTCAAGAAGTTGAGGACAAACCCCTTGACCACTTTAGACTTTTCCCGCAGCTTTTCGGTGTCGTGGCCTTCCCAGTCGATGAACTTACGCTGGACAATGTCGTACACCGCCAGCAAGATCGGCACGAACCCCACGATCAACACCGTGGGGATGAAGGTCAACACCAGCTTGAACGGACCGTCGTAGATGTGGGTAAGGAAGATCTCAATGACAAAACACAACAACTGGTACAGGACCAACACCGCGGTGAATCCCAAGGCCACGGGGGTGAACGCCAACTGCTTGATGAACCGTTTGGCGTCAAACGCTTGCACTTCCGACGCGGGCCGGTTGGTGTTGATGCGGGCCAATTGCTGCTGGTGGTCGTCGACCCGGTGGCAGTGTTGGATGCCCCATTGCAGCACTAACCCTTGCTGGCGGGCGCGCCACAACGTGATGAAGAGGAGCCCCCACACCAAGTTGATGAAAGTGTAGGACAACGAGAACACCTTGCGGTGCCACAAGTAGCCAATGGCGCCGAACACGGAAAGGTAGCCCAACCAGGTGATGTAGAACTTGGCAAACTCGAAGTAGAGCCCCACCTCGGCGCCGTAGGTCGCCGTCACCGCTTGCAACGCTGGCGGCTGAGCGAGCGCCTGCGCCAACGGCTTGGCCTTGGCGGCGTCGGTGGCGGGGAACACCGCCAACAAATTGGGGTAGTGGGCCCGGTCAATGGCTAACCCACCCACCGCTTCCGGCGACGAAAGATAGGTGTAGATAATGCGCAACCGGGAGGCGTCGGTGGTGTCCTTGGCGGTGACACCCACTTCAAAGCCTCTGACCATGTCGTTCTGGGCCTGGATGTCCAATTCCTGGGCGGCAAGTTTGACGAAGATCAACAATTGGTCAGGGGCAGCGCCGGCGGCGGCGACGACGGCGAAGCCGCCCTTGCCGAGGACGGTGACCAAGCGGTCGTACTCCTTGGCGTTGTACTTGACGCTGAGCACGTAGTCGGCGTCGGCGGTGGCGACGCTGTGACTGGCAGCGGTACTCATGGCGAGGGCAATTGGGAGGAGGGAGGAAGTGTCAATGCCAGCAATATTTCACCGCTAAGGTCGGCGCATGCCCGGTTGCGAGCGCGGGCGCCAATTCCACCACCCGGAGTAAGCAACCGAACAAACTATGGCTTGCGCTAGGAAACACGGAGGATACGGCAACCATCGCCGCTGCCGGGGAAACCGCCACAAACTACAGAATAGGCAATTACAGGCAAGTGTACGTCGTCAATCGAAGTGAGTAGTAGTGACAATCGGGTGGTTGTCAATGGCTCGTAACAAACCAAAGGGGGCGGTAGCTACGTGCGAGAGGCCAGCGGGCGCCTCAGTGGAATTTCTGCTCTAAGAAGGCCGGGTGCCGTCGCGTGCGAGATAAAACAGCGCACCCCGTTTGCGGGCGATGACGTTATACCCCTGAGATAGAGAGGGGGCGAGGTTTATGGGCCATGTGCAGGTCCGCTGCCTCGATGGCTGCAAATGAAAAAATCGTAGTAGACGCGTGGTGGAACGACACCGCCACAATCCCCATACTTCCGCAAACGGATTATGAGCGTATATAATAGTACTCTAAAATGAGTCGCTACAGAGAGTCGTGGTCACATTAATCGTTATATGTAGGCAGACTATATCCGGGTGGGAGCCAACGGCATCCGCTTCTTGATCGGAGACACGTTCTCCTTATCTCTCAGCTCCATCAGAAGGCGCAAGTTCGTCGACCGCAGCATCGTGTTGATGATGAAGTTCTTGTCCTTGATCGTCTCTTTGAGGGTTTGGTTCTCTTCCTCTAGTTCGCGGATCCGGGCTTCGAGCAGCGGCAGCAGTGCCTGGGGCGATTGCAACGCCAGCTGGAGTCTCAGCTCCAAGTGGGAGATGTACAGCTGGTTCTCGGCATTCTCGTGGTGCACGCGCCGGGCGTACTCTTCAAGCAGTTGGATCGCGATTTGGGGGACATCGTCCATCTTAATGATGGCGTTGATCGCCTCATTCTTCAAAAGCATCTTTTCCGTTTGGCGGGTATCGTTGAGGCGGATCCAGTGTTCGAGGCGTTCGTTCAAAATCCGGTTTTCCGCTTCGAGTTGGGCCTGGCTACCTCCCTGAAGTGGGCTACTGGAGTGAGAGTTTGTCGCCATAAACGGGTTGGGGACCTGCTCCTTCAATTGCTCAATCTCGCGTCGTTGGGCTTCCACCTGGGCACGAAGCTCTTCCACCACTTGGGCATCCACCGCTGACGAGTAACGACGCTGTTGTTGTTGTACTTGCACTTCCACTGCTTTTGCCCGAGCAGCAAACCGAAGCGAGTTATGGGTCTCCAGCACCACCCCTGGCGTCAGCAGCCCCAAGTGGATGGTACACAAAATCAGCACGAGGGCCAGCCCCGAGAGCGACGGTTGAAGCAACCGCGTGAGCTTGGAATCACGGTAGTTGATGTGTTCGCCCTGATTGGCGCTCAACTTGGCGATGACCGTGCCCAATGCAAGCAACAGCTTGTTGATAAACAGTCCTTCCTTGCGGCGTTCAGCATGCAACGCTGCTTTCTCCAGTCCCGCCAAGTCACAGAGGGTCAATGTGGTGAAGCGCGGCTCCGATCCGTCACAGGTCTTAAGGCGAAGCTGGAGGATCAGGTGCAGTCTCAGCAGGCGGGCATTAAAATCGGTGGACCCAGTTTTGCGGTGGACGTCACCGCTTTCAATAAGCCTAAGCAATTGGTCGCGTGAGTGGATTTGAGGCATTTGCAAACCAACAATCTTATTGCCGAATTCGCGGTCACTGCGAATCTGAAGATCGCTGTGGTGGCCAGGGTTAAGCAAGTCCAATACTCGTTCGTTGTAGATCTCAAAGTACAGCGCCCAGAGTTCGTAGGTGGCTCCCGAGGTATCGTTCTCAATGTGGTTAAATATGTGGTCCGCCGCCAAACGTACCACCCCGGGATCTTGGGCATCGCCTTTCATCGTCCACGTCTTGCCCAGCCCCGTCATCCCGTAGGCAAAGATCGTCAGATTGTAGCCATCGGCGACAAACTTCTCCACCAACGGCTGGCAACTGCGCACGTACACTTGGCGATTGGTGACGTTTAAGTCGCTGAATACATGGTCAAACTGGAACATTTGCCCGTCGTCTTTGTGGACAATCAGCACGTCCCCTAACCGCCACGGCAGAGGACCACTACCGACATCGGGATTGGCTCGGATCGATACCGAGATTGACCCCGTATAGGGGACGAACGGCACTGGTGTCAGGCGGCCCAGCCCCAGTCCCAGCAGCAGTCTCAGCGGCGGTCGGGCCATGGGCAGCGAAAACTGGGGCTGTTTGAATATCGACAGCTGCTGGGAGGGGGGTCTCATCTCGGCCGCCATCAGCGACATCAGACGGCCCAACGTCGAGCGGGATCGCCGCGGAGTCGTTCTCGAGGACATCGACGACATCGGGGGCGATTGCGGAGGGGTATCGAGGTTAGCGTGAGGTATGGGTGCGGGTTTTATGGCTTCTGGCGTAGGCAACTCCACTTGTTTACTTCTGTGCCCAATCGGGCAAATTGGCATCGAGGGTAAGGCATGATCTGATGACGCGAAATTCGTCTCCCGGATAGTGGCTAGCGATGCCATTGCGATCTAGAGCGATGCCGTGGGTGGGGATTAGGTTAAATGGAATCACTCCAGGCGTTGGTGTAGGTAATTAATCGTTATTAGGGATCGCGATAGCACGTTTAGGGAGTGGCGGTTTTGTGCCGCATTCAGTCTAATTGATAACAGTTGCGTGTGCGGCTGCTGTCACCTGCAAGTAATTTGGGTCACGAATGGTAAGCTGAGCCCCCGTAGCCCAATACCAACTTGCCACAGCAACAAAAACATTACCACAACGTACTTTCGGTTTTAAGGGAAACGAAAGAGCTGCTCAAAGTTTTCTTTATTTCAAAATTATAAAGTTTACAAATGGGCCTATTCATGAGGGGAGCTCATCAATTACAGTAACACCGCGATAATTCGATCTAATATAACACATAATTCGTCCTCTACTACCATCCTTTATGTAGACGTTTGTGGCTGTGACATAATTATTGATTTTGTGGTCTGATAAAAAATGATCAATAAATTACATAAATTACAACTTAGATGTCTTGCTATTAACTGACAAAAAAATGTATAGTCTGAATCTCCCTTCCACTATTACGACTATATATTCATGGGAGGGTGGTGGCTATGTACGTAGGTAGCGCCCGTCTATCTGTATTGAAGTTTACCTCAATTACGCCGTAGGGGTCTGGCCCCAGGCGTACACCTGATGCAAAAGCGCGCGCTGAGTGTCGTCGATCTCGCCAAACAACGTCTGGTAGCGCTGGGCGTTTGTCTGTTGTAAAGAGTCGATCGTTTTCGTCAACACCGTGAACACGTTGATCTCGTCGATGGGCGTCAACTTAAGCGCTTCCATCTCCGCTTCGTCAACCTCGTACTCGTCGTCGACGTCGTCATTAGGGTTATACTCGCGCACATCCTTAGACAAGATCTCTTGACGAGCCTTGATGGCCCCAGGCAACGCGGCGAAGTTCGAGAATAAAAGGTCGGTGAGCTCCAGCACGCAGTCGACGGGGACCACCGATAACTGGTCCAGACGCATCATCAGCAACGCCGCCAAGATCTGGAGCTTGCACCCATACACACTCTGGAAGTCCTCCAGGTGCTTCACCCAAAGGTTAAGGAACAGCGCCACAAATTGTTTGTCTTCGATGAACTTAAGAGCGATGTTAGCATCGGCGAAAATGGCAGAAAACAACACCCGTAAGATCAGCAAGTGGTGCAACATCATGCCGTCGAAGGCGTTTTGCTCTTCGTAGTCCATGAAAATGCTAAAGATCTCCTCGAGGAACGCCGGGAGCACCGGCGCCATCTTGTTGCCAAGCGCCAAGATCACCAACTCCAACATCTCAAATGCTTTGTGGGCAAACACGCCGTCGGTGCCCTGGCGAAGCACGCCCGTGCAGAGGTTGATGAGGGATTGCACGTGAGGCGAGTCAATCGACAAGCTCTTAAACCCGTAGTTGACCACCCCTTCGAAGAACGGGGTGATTTGGTCAAAGTACTCGTAGGCGTAAGTGTCAAACGCGTCCACCACCAGTCGGTAAAGCTCCCACATCGTCGGCAGCATCTCATTGGTGGCGTAGAGAATCAGATCAAGAATCTCAATGGTTTCGGGAAGGAACAGGACGAGTGCGTTGTCGAACACAAACTTCACCATATCCTTGACCACTTGCTCCATCTGGCGTCCTAACGAGGGGTTATTGCTTACAGTATTGATGAGCGTAGTGAGGGTCAGTAAGATCCCCAACGCCTGGTACTCTTTGTCCAAATCGGTCGATTGTTCGGGACTGTACCCGTTCTCACCGAGTTCAGTAGCGAGAGTGACGAAATGCTCCACCAATTGCTGAGCCAATTGGGTAGAGAAAGGCTCAAGCACTTTGCTGAATTTCTCCACAAATGTTTGCATAGGAGTAGTTAAGATTTCCAGTTCAAACTTCTTCGACATCTCCAATAACAGCTCCATAAGCTGAGGTGCTTGTGGTTCCACTTGCTCGGCGATCAGCGGCACTTCCACAAGGGTACACAACGCCGGCACTGCCGTGATGCGGATGGGGAACTGCTTTTGTTGTTGGAAGCACTGGACCACGGCTTCGAAGATCTGCTGGCTCACTTCCTTATTGACGTAGCGGTGGTCAAACATCAGCAACATGTCGCAGGCTCTAGCCGTCAACCAAGGGAAAGTGTCCATGGTCTCTTGAGACAATTCCGGGTAGACAAACGTCGTCAACATTTGGTCGACCTGATTGAGGGAGGCAAAGTCGGGGTGGCTGATGATGAAGGAGATGGTACTGAGGATGCGCAACGCCCCTTCCACTTGTTTCGCAATCGCAGGCAGCAGACGGTCCTGAGCCCTCTGAGCCAACACTTCGTTGACGGCACCGATGATGACGTTACCGGTCTCGTCAAACCGCTTGTTGGCGATACGGAAAATTAAGTTGATCAGCGCCACGTCGGAAGTGTTAGCGTCTCTTGATAAGTCGAAAAAGCGACGGATATATTCGTCAGGATCATCTTCGTAGAGCTCAATGGTTTCTTCAGAAGCATTAAGAGTGGGGAACACCACGTGCTTAATCACCGCTTCAAGCTTGTCGCTGACAAGCAGCCACGCGGGGGTTTGCACTAACTGTTCGATAAACAGGATGAGGTAGTATAACGCCCCTTCCAGAAGCCACACTTCCTTGGTACTCCACCGCTCGATGATTTTCCAGTATGCTTGTAAGATTTGCGGGACAAAGTTCTCGAGGAAGTAAGTGGCGAACTGGCCTTCCTTGTCTTTAGTGAAGAACCCGCCACCATGACGACTGAGTAAGCGATGCAAGTTACCGAAACACCATTTCACCGCTTTCACCCACGGCAATTGCGAGCGGTGTTCCACGTCCTCAGCAAGCACCGAGGGAGGTAACGGGTGGTTGATGACATCGATCTGTAACTGACACCATTTACCTAAATTAGAAAAGTCTTTAAGGTAAGGGGGTAATTGCATGCAGCTGACAAACTTAAAGATTTTGAGGATCAAGTATAACATCTCCGCCAGCTGGGGCAGGTCCAGCAGCACGAGGCGAGGCACAAGCTGTTCAAGCAAAGGGAAGGTCTTTTCCGTGATTTCATTGACCACGGGATTACCGCCGCTCAGCTCGAGCCCGTCCCAGCGGTAGTTCTTAGTATACTCAAACAAGCAGATGAGACCCACATAGACGTGGTCGGTGTTGGAGCCGTCACCGATGAGGTTGGTGATGATGTCGCCCATCTGCTCCCACTTGTCGTAGGACAAAATCGTGTTGAGGGCGCTCAGCAATTGGGAGCGGATCTGGGCAATTTGGTAAGTAGCGATAAGCAGCGTGATCAATTTGTTCTTGACCAGGTCCCGTTCGCTGACGGGGATGGTCAGCGAAGTCGCCGGCTTGTTGTCGGGGGGAAGCCAGTGGTGGGCGACACGGTTTTTGAAGAAGATGGCGGCGGCGATCTGGGTGCCCCGGTCGACCGACGGCTCGCCGATGATGGCGAGCAAGTTGGTGGTGAAGTCGGGGGTTTGCTCGAACACCCGGAGCTGGGACTCGGCGTCCTGGCGCACCCTGACCTCCGCGTCAAGCGTGTTCCGAAGCGCGGTCAACACGCTATGGGTGGTGTCGTCCATATAGGGCTGGTATGAGGGCGTGAGGGCAGGCGACCGGTGCTCACAAAAATTTGTGTGGTGCGCGACTACGGCGACGGCAAGATGAGACGGAAGGAGACAACAACAATTAGGGGTTGCAATAGGTAACTAGGAGTAACAGGAGGAGCATGAATGCGTATGTTTGGTTCGAGCGTGTGTTTTGTGTGGATCGTATTTTGCGATAAGGGTCCCGCTTTTGGGGCCGGGACCGGGGGGATTTGTGGAGCCCGCTCAGAGGAACAGAGAGTATTAGTAGACATGGAGAAACGACAGCCGACAGGCGCTTGTAAGATGACGTAGACGACGAAAACAATATATCGGGTTTCGGATAAATCTCAATATTCCGAGGACCGACAGACTGTAAGGGGTAGTATAGCCACTACTCTGGACTTTCCCCGTAAATGCTAGCAACTGTTTGTGATCCGTTCTGCGGACTCTCTGGCTCCGGCGTCCGCTACGCAGGGTAATACGCGGCCTGTGCAAAAAGCTAGCAATGAAAAAAAAACAGAAATTATTGAGATAGGAAGTGTGAAAAATGTGATAGAAAAGGTAGAAAGTTTGTTTAGGAAGCTCTGCTAGGAATGTAAATGCCAAAAGCGAAATGTGCCAAGTTTCTGCACCTGTCAAACGTAGATTGCTACCGCTGTATTGTTGTTTGGTCCTGATGTGAGACGAGGAAATATTGTGGCGTTGGTAGCCCCAGGTGGGCCCTCCCCTGATGGGCGGTGTGCCATTACTAACGTGCCGGTGGCGTTGGCGCTAATTAGTAACTCGACATGACGCAGATCAACGCTGTCCGCTTTGCGTTTAAGGTGGGGCATGCATTGGGCGATGGAACAAATCAAGAGCATCGGCACGCCAACTTTAGTGAGGCACCATGAAGCGGTGTGAAAAACCCGAGGCTGGAAGAAAATGGCGGGAAAGCCGGACACGGAGGGTGATGGAAATGATAAGCTGCCAATCATGAGTGGTACGCCGTGTCGGGGGCGACTTCGGAGACGGGGATAACCTCGTTTAGTTTGCGGAGTTTAGGGTTGCAACTTATGGTTTATTGTTAGGCGGGACGGTGTCGCTTAGGTAAGCGGCAAAATCCACTCACCCCCATTAAGCCCTCAACCACCAGATGCAGCCCGAACCAACGGCGTACCCACAATTTGCCGAATGTCCGTTTGCGTGCGATAATTTCTCACACGGTGAGGACAGTGATGACCAACTTTTGCCACTATCAGCACCAGGGGACCATTGCCTAATTGGCTACCTTGATACGCAAACCTCTCTACTCCAACCAATGCCTTCAATGACATATAATTCAGGCTAACGACTACGATGAGCAACGGATTAACGTTCGCATGTCGTATTCACTCGCAGTAACGAGGTAGCGATGAGGGGTACCGGATGGAGGTCCGTGAAGGCCCGGGGGGGCAGACACTTTCTCTAAGCGGCAGTGCCGGGGCGCGCCGAGGTGCGCGCGCGCTTATCGCAGCCTCATCTCGCGGGCCGGACACCCTAGCGGAACTAAATGAAGGGGTTTGACCAGGTGGAGGTAACCCTCGACAACACCCGCCACTACATGTGGTACAAGCGGCACGACGGTCTGGACCAGCGGGCGCTCTTCGTCGTCAACCTCCCGGCGGCGGCGTCGTTGGCCGACGTCAAAAAGTTTTTCGAACGGGTCGCCATCGGCGCCACCATCCAAGAATACACCCCCAGCGTGCTTCTGGATTATCCTCAGGAGGTATGGGTGAACATGCTGAGGTTGACCAGCGACCTCGATCTTTCGGTGGATCTGCCAAAGTACCGCCTCCCTAAAAACAGCGCCATCGTCACCTTCGTCGACAAGAGCGCGTGCCAGTTGGCGGTGCTGGGGCTTAAGAAAGTTGGGGAAGTTGAGTGGCCGCTGGCGGGGGCGATGGCCCACTATTACGCCCTGAAATACCAGGCGAAATACCGCGACGCCGAAGAGCTCGCCGTCGAAGTGCTGGAGGCGCTCGCCGAGTTCGGCAGCGCCGAGCGCCAGCTGATGCAAAACTTACAGAAACCGTTAGTCGACGACGACGGGTTCACCATGGTGGTGGGGCTGCACCGCAAGACTAAACGGGGGTTATTGGGCAAACAGAAGTTGGCGCAGACGGTCGAGCTGACCAAGGCGGCAGCGAAACTTAAAAAGAAAGAAAAGGAAGATTTCTACCGCTTCCAGTTGCGACAGAGAAAGAAGGAGGAGATGAACGACTTGTTGCGCAAGTATAAGGAGGACCAGGAACGGGTGAAGACGTTAAAGGAAAAGAAACGCTTTCGTCCTTATTAACACTATACATAGAGCTTTAATATCATTACGAAACTGTCCCCGCTCCAGGGGCTCCTAGTATTATAATCAAAAGTAAACGTTAAAAGCACTTTGAGCTTTGCGTGGGAATTTGATCGGTGGAGGCGGATCCTCGGGGGTCTACTAGCATTTTTTTTTTCCGGGCCGCATGCACGTTGGCGCAGTTGTTTAGATATCGAAAACCGTGTGTTTACGGTTGTGACGTAAGCGACGGAATTGTGACGTAGAATAACCACCGGTTGCTAATTTAGGCGGGGCAGAAAAGGAACGACGGCGAGGGGTACGGGCTTAGCATTTGCCAGATAAAACGCCCATTATGACTAATCGTTATCGCTCAGGTTCCGCGGGAGCCGAGGACGGTTATGGCTCAGGGGGGCGGGGTGGTTATCTGATTGATTACCAATACCGAGCGATCAAGAGCCTCTCCGTTTGTGGCATCGCCCTTTTCATGTCGTGGAAGCGAGCCGCTTATTGTCGCATTGTCAGCTGCCCGTTAAGCAAACAAAACACGAAGACCGATGACGGATAAACGGTAGGCTTAAGCAACCATAGTAGTTACGATTTGTAATTATGATTCAGCCACGGCGGAACGGATTGAGCCAAATTCAGAGCCAAATAGACGCCCGTAGGAGGGTAGCCGGGTGAAGCCCCGGGGATGAAAAGGTGGTGGATGGGACGCTGCATGTGACCGGCGGCACCCGTGAGCGTCTGTACTCTTTAAGAGCACCCTTTTTCGCATCGACCCTCCGATCCGAAGCCTGAATTTGCCGCTGACGTAAGCACTGACCGAAGCCTGCAGCGCACGCTCCGTCGGGCTCCTTCCCATTTGAGCGACACCACCGACAATCCGCGACGGCCGTCGTCGTCTCCGTTTCCGTGGAAAACTGACCTCCGGGTGAAAAGTAGGGCTATACCATTAGGAAAACGTCGTCGCTTTCACCACTGTCACCACCTCCCCGAACCCTCGTCCCCCGCTAGCATCAATTGAAGGCCGACATTTATTTATCTCAGCCACACGATTCAGCCGCAAACGCACGTTGCACGTCTTAAGGTGGGTTTATCTCCGCCTGTACCATGCATGATTCTGGACCCAAATCCTTTCGTAACGGGCGAGAGCATAGGCACCGCAAGCGGCGCCCTATATAACCTTGCCGGCCCCCTCATAATATGGCTTACTTAATAAATCGACAACCATGAGTCTACCCCTGGATCCCATCGAGGAGAAACTGGTGCTTGCCGAACAAGCGGTCGACTACGGCAAGGTGCTGCCGCGGTCCGACCCCGACGACGACGACGAGTGGGAGCGCCAGGAGCTGATCCGCCGCGAGAAAGTGCTACTGTTGGACTACGACCCCGACCACTTCGACCTTGACGCCATCTTGGAGGCGTTTGTTGAATTGGCGGGCTCCCAGGGCATCGAACTGAGACAGTACGGTATCACCGTTAGAGATGTCACCCTCCATGGGGTCGACGAACGGTTCACGGTGATGCCCACCGTGGGCGACTTGATCATGCTTCCCTTGACGATTTTCCGTGCCGTCAAAGCCGGCAGAACCCCCACGAGAAAGATTTTGCACAACGTCAACGCCATCGCCAAACCGGGTGAATCAGTGCTTGTCATCGGTCGTCCCGGTGCCGGGTGTACCTCGTTCCTTAAAATGGTTTCCGGTACCGACATGAACATGTACAAGAAGCTTGAAGGCGACGTCCGCTACGACGGCATTCCGCAAAAGGAAATGAGAAAGCACTTCCGCTCCGACGTTATCTACGACGCCGAACTCGACGTCCACTTCCCCCACTTGACCGTCGAACAAACGCTCAAGTTCGCCGTGGCGTGCAAGACCCCCAACTTGAGAGTGAACAACGTGTCTCGCAAGGAGTACATCAACCGGATGACGGAGATCTTGGCCACTGTCCTCGGTTTGCGTCACGTGTACAAGACCAAGGTCGGTAACGATTTCGTCCGGGGTGTGTCCGGTGGTCAGCGTAAGCGTGTCTCTATCGGTGAAGCCATGGCCTGCCGGGCCACTTTATCGTGCTGGGATAACGCCACCCGTGGTCTTGATGCCCTGACGGCCCTCGAATTCGGTAAGACCATCCGCTCGTGCACCAACTTGTTGAGAACCACCGCCTTCGTCACCGCCTACCAGGCCGGTCAGTCGTTGTACGAGCAATTTGACACCGTCACCGTGTTATACGACGGCCATCAAGTGTACTGGGGCCCCACCACCGAGGCCAAGGCCTACTTCGAGAAGATGGGGTACAAGTGTCCTCCCCGTCAGACCACCGCCGAATACTTGACTGCCGTCACTGACCCCCTTGGTCGGTACAAGGACGAGACCGTCTCCCACCGCATCCCCGAAACCGCCGAAGAAATGGAAGCTTACTGGCAACGCTCGCCCGAGTACGCTGCGTTCATCGCCGAGATTGACCAGGCCAACAACACCATCGACCCCACCCAGACCAAGGAAATGCTCCAAAGATCGTTGTTCCAGGAAAAGCTGAAGCACCACCGCAAGAACTCGCGCTACACCATCGGCTACTGGCCGCAAGTGGCGTTGTGCACTAAGCGGGCCTTCCAGCTTATCATTGGTGACATCCAGTATCCTGCTACTTTGGTCGTCGCCGGTATTGTCCAGGGTTTGGTCTCCGGTTCGCTTTACTATAACTTGAAAGACGACGTCACCGGGGCGTTCTCCCGTGGTGGTGTGCTTTTCTTCGCTGCTTTGTACGTGTCGCTTATGGGTTTGGCCGAAGTCACCGCCGCCTTTAACAACCGTCCCATCATCTTCAAGCATAAAAACTATCTGTTGTACCATGCGCTGGCCGACGCCATTGGCCAGTACATTTCTGCCATCCCCGTTGTCGCTGCTAACTCCATCACGTTCTTGATTGTGCTCTACTTCTTGACCAACATGAAACGTGAGGCCGGACCGTTCTTCATCAACTTGTTGTTCCTTTACTTGCTACAGTACGCCATGCTTTCGTTGTTCCGAGGTATCTCTGCCATCTCCAACGCCATCTCCATGGCTCAGGGTATCGCCGGTTTCTTCATTCTCGTGACGTTGTTGTACTCATCCTATATGATTCAGCGTCCCGACATGAAGGTGTGGTTCAAATGGATATCGTACGTCAACCCCATTCTATATGCGTTCGAGTCTATGATTGCTACTGAGTTCCACGGACGGAAAATGGAGTGTGTCGGTAACTATCTTGTACCTCACGGTCCCGGCTACGAAAACTTGCAACAAGGTACCCAAGCGTGTGCCTTCCAGGGTTCGGTTGAAGGTCAAACGTGGGTATCGGGTGACAACTACTTGAAGATCACTTACGAGTACTCCTACGGCCATGTGTGGCGTAACTTCGGGTTCATGTTTGCTTACATCTGCTTCAACATCTTTGTCACTTGTGCTGGTGTGGAAATCCTCAAGCCGATTAAGGGTGGTACCGACAGACTTATTTTCTTGCGTGGTAAGGTCCCCGATGCTGTTGTCCTCGCTGAAGAGCAGAAAAAGTCCCCTTCCGACGAAGAACTGGCCCTCGACGCTGTTGCCCTGACTTTCGACGCCGACCGTGAACCGCTGACTCCCCCTGACGCTTTGTTTCAGGACTTGAAGCTGAAGGACTTGTTTGCTTGGAAAAACATCGACTACGTCATTCCCTACGATGGTGGCAAGCGTAAGCTTTTGGACAACGTTTTTGGTTTCTGCAAGCCCGGTACGCTTACCGCGCTTATGGGTGAATCGGGTGCCGGTAAGACTACCTTGTTAAACACGTTGGCTGGTCGTAACGACATGGGGGTTGTCACTGGTGACATGTTGGTCAACGGTCAACCTTTGGACGCCTCGTTCTCTCGTCGTACCGGTTACGTGTTGCAACAGGATATCCACGTGCCCGAAACTACTGTTCGTGAAGCTCTCTACTTTGCTGCTCGCTTGCGGAGATCGCCTCGGGTCCCTGATGACGAAAAGAGGGAATACTGTGAAAAGATCATCGATGTGTTGCTGATGCGTGGTTACGCCGACGCCGTCGTCGGTGTGTCTGGTTCTGGTCTTAACGTCGAACAAAGAAAGAAGCTTTCCATTGCGGTCGAGCTTGTGGCGAAGCCGTCTTTGCTTCTTTTCTTGGACGAACCTACTTCCGGTCTCGACTCGCAATCGGCTTGGGCTATTGTTAAGATGCTTCAGGACTTGGCTGCTGCCGGGCAATCCATCTTGTGTACCATTCACCAGCCTTCGGCTACGTTGTTTGAAGCCTTCGACCGGTTGTTGTTGTTGAGAAAGGGTGGGCAAATGGTGTACTTTGGTGACATTGGTAAGAACTCGCTGACTATGATCGAATACTTCGAGGAAAACGGTGGCCGCAAGTGTGACCCCAGTGAAAACCCCGCTGAATACATGTTGGAAGTGATTGGTGCTGGTTCCACCGCCTCCCAGGATGCTGACTGGCACGAAGTGTGGAACAACTCGACGTTGAAAGCCAAGGAAGAAAATCTTTTGGATCAATTGGTGTCGGAATACTCGAACCAGCCGCCGCTTGACGAACATGACGCTAAGGAATTGAAGCAAACCTACGCTGTTAACTTCATGCAACAGTTCTGGATTGTCTTGAGTCGGACGTGGATCACCTTGTGGAGAGACCCCGAATACGCCATTTCCAAGTTTGGTATGCAAGTCGCTTCTGGTTTGTTCATTGGGTTCTCGTTCTGGAACTTGCCCTACACCATGGGTGGTGCTCAAAACGGGTTGTTCGCTGCCTTCTTGTCGCTTGTGGTTGTTGCTCCCATTGTCAACATGATTCAAGGTAAAGCCATTGCTGGTCGTGAGTTGTACGAAGTTCGTGAACGTAAGCTGAGAACTTACCACTGGGCCAACATGATCTGGACTCAAGCCGTGTGTGAATTGCCTTACTTATGGTTGGGTGGTCTTTGCTACTTTATTGGGTTCTACTTCGCCACTAAGGCTCCCACTAACGCGTCTCACGCCGGGTTGTTCTGGTTGAGCTACGGGTTCTTCTGTCAAACCTTCGCCGTCTCCTTCGCCCTCATGATCTTGTACTTCTCCGCTGACTTGGAAGTGGCCGGGGTGCTTGTTGGTTTCCTTTACTCGTTCGTTGTTGCCTTCTCCGGTATTGTCCAGCCTTACAATTTGATGCCTGGTTTCTGGAAATTCATGTACCGTACCACGCCTTACACCTACTACGTTGGTAACTTGGTCCTGTCGATGTTGCATGGGCGCAAGATTGTTTGTGCTGACAAGGAAATGGCCCACTTTACCCCTCCCTCTGGTCAAACCTGTGGCGAGTACATGAAGCTGTACCTTGACGCTGTTGGCGGCTACATCAAGGACGAGTCTGCCACCGACATGTGCAACTACTGCCAGTACAGTACCGCCAACGCTTACATGGCCAACTCCAAGATCTACTTCCACGACTACCCAAGAAACATCGGGTTCTTCTTCGTCTACACCTTCTTCAACATGTTCTTGGCCATGGTGTTGTACTGGGTATTCCGGGTGCACGTGTGGAAGAAGAAGTAATCATTTCATTGCTTTTCAATGTTAACCACTTTATATACTTGATACCTAACTAATAAGATATACTAATGAGCTACTACAAAATAGATTGGCCGCAAACTTTGCTTGCACTCACTGTCATGCTCGCAATTGCATGATCCCAACAAATATTGGGGACCAGGACCATAAGGGTTTCTGTGTCAGCAATGTTTAAGCGCATAATCCACCCCAAAGTAAGAGCAATGAAGTTAGGCGCGGTGGGGAGGTTTTCACCGGTCCACAAGAAAAACTCGCATTTGTACACAGACCACCCGTTCTTTTCAAACATCGGAGACTTTCCCGATTTGGATCAATCTCCAGATGCGTCCGTCTGTTTTTCTTTTTTCGCAGATCAAAACCACCACAACCACAATACCATTAACCCCGCCATGATGATTGCAGCCTTGTACCCCGTATACGGCGTTCTCCATTGCTTGGCTCATCCCTCTCTTCTTACCATGTTTGCCGCCCGAGTGCTACCACTAACAATAGTCATTTCAATTGCCGTGTACGTGGCGGTATTCACTATACTCTACCCTCTCAAAGTGCTCTTCTATTCCATCCTCCATGGCCCTTTAGGTGTCATTTCGGCGTTATTCAACTCAATCTCATACGGCAAGTGGCTCATTGGCTATGTGGTCACAGCCTACATCATGCCCCCTATTCAGCGTAAAGTGTACCGCCAATATTGGCTTCAATACTATGGACAGCCGCCTTACAACTCCCCAAAAGTGCCGTGGACGCCCTATGCCACCAGCCAAAGTATTGGGATCTGGATCCTCAGTCTAATCCCCATCGTTGGCGTCTACTTAGCGTTACTTGTTTCGGCTCCTAACAAAGCCAAGCGGGCCCTCACCATGTGGCACCAAATGGATCCCACCATGACCAAAGTAGAAGTCTCTTTCGGTCAATTGATGGCGTATGGGTTAGTGGCACAAGTGCTCGAGTTTATGCCGATAGTGTCGTGTCTATTTATGTTCTCTAATGCTGTCGGAGGCGCGTTGTGGGCAGCCGACGTCTACTCAGTCAAACAAACAGTGTCGACGCAGCCAAAGCCCGCAGCGACACCGCCTTCGTTTGACGACGAGAACTTCAGCCGTAAAAGGAAACCCGCGCCCTCGTTGTGATAAATATCACCATCCTCCTCGTTGAACAACACCGTGCCAAAGATACCCAACTCCAGTAGAATCGTCTCAGAGAACACCTCAGAGTTGCGGATAACCAGGTTCGGGTGCTGCTGAGGGTTGATCAACTCCATCAAAATGTAAGCCTCCCACTCCTCTTTCGGTAACTTCTCTAAAAACTTAGGGATATCTTCCTTGTAGACGTTGTTGCCACCGCCTTCTCTTTGCGGCTTGAGCACAAATTTGAGACACTGCTGCGAGTCTTGAGCCCATTCACGAGCCTTCAACCCTGCCTCAGAATCGTCCATGGGATAAATGTTAACGAAAGTCAGTTGCACTTTTTCAATTGCCTCTGAATCTTCGATAAATTTGGCAAGAATCTCAGGGTTAGTGAGTTCCTGTTGTACTTTCTTAGCCCCCGACAACTGAGTCAAGATCGAAGGGCACTTGATCGCAAGCGTCTTTTCCGCTTTAAGTCTACCTTCCCATTCAATTTCCGACCCGTATTCCTCGGGCCCGTACCCTGAACGATAGTACACCACCGACACTTGGTCCATTGTCAGCTTGACATATAATCTGTCTTCACGCACCGAAGTCTTAGTGGCAAGCTCGTTAAACGTCACTCTGACCAGCTTCACTCCAAACTCGTTCAAGAGAGCGTATTCAACGTGGCGTTGGTCAAAGCAGTTACGTTCATTGGGTTGGACGACAAATAACACCACCGTTTCGTTATCAGGTTTCGTAAGCTCACCGTACTTCTCGTTGGCTTTGGCTAACCCGCGAGCTAACTCGACCGTCGACGGCAGTACGGGAATCACATCCTTATTGTAGTATTCATAGGAGTAGTTGTCATCGTAAAACCCTTGCGAATTAAGGTAATTGTGCAACTGACCCACTTTCGTTGACAACCCACCAAACAGCACCAGCACCGTATTAAACTCAATTTGCTTGATGGAATTGGTCTCAGTGTCGACCATATAGTCCAGACGGAACAACCCAAGCGACACTCGCTGCACGGGTTTGCCGTCCACCAACGACTTTTGGTAAGTCTCAAAGAGTCTTCCAGTGAACTCAGGGTCGTGGGCGCCTAACACTTTGATCACGTCGACAAGCCACTGCTTTTTCAGCACCACATTAGCATAAACTTGATTAAATGGTTGTTGGACGGCAATGGCGGCGTTGAACGCCAGTTTGGGGATGGGAGTAGGGAACAATGTCACTGGGGCGTTAGCAACGACGTGGAGCGACTCGTATCCTGGAGGATACATTGTGAGCCCATTACCAAGCGACCATTGGAGGAGCGCCTCGACCAACAAGTCACGGTTCTGTTGGGAGAGCGTTGGAAAGGGAGGGTTTGTCATGGTGGCGTCCCGGTGAAGTGTGGAGTCAATGTCACGTGAAGCGCAGTCGTCGATGGAATTAACGATAGTAGAGGAATTGACAGCTATTTATGAAGCTGGTGGGTCAGAGGTGTAGAAATGCTCGTTCTGCTGGTATGTTTTAGAATTACCTTTGAATTTAGTCTATTTATCATGATGGGCTCTTTGCTTACTGACATACTACGAGAAGTCGATCAAGCCCGGTGTAATAAGTCAATCACAAACGAACTAGTGGTGCTTTTACCTTCATTTCATTGGTAACATCAATTGTTTCTAATGATGACAAATAGAGACAGACTTCCCATTACGTACATCGTGGATGGATCCGCACGCTAATAAAGAACATTAAAATCTGCTCGATCAGTGTTACATGATAGTCCATGATAAATTGTGGTTTTTTTATCATTACTATTACTATCTACTCAATTAATTCTGGGTAAAATTGTCAAGTACTGTCCCTATACTTTGTTCCATGTACCTCACTTATTGCCACTCGCCACTCGCACCCGCAGACCACATCCACTCTACGCATCTACACATACATACCCTACGCCCCACCCAATGTTCTCTGGATTTGGTGGCGTGTTTGGCGGCGGCTTTGGCATCCCCGCTGCCTCAAATAAGTTCGAGGAGCACTTTCGATGCTACCCCGTGCTGATGATGGGAGACGGCATTCGTAAGGATGACGCCAACTTCGGTGGCAAGATCTTCTTGCCGTCGCTGGCGTTGAACAAGTTGACGATGCTCCACATCCGGTACCCCATGCTTTTCGAATTGACCAACGAAGCTACAAATACCCGCACCCATCTGGGGGTGCTTGAATTCGTTGCCGAGGAAGGGCGAGCCTACATTCCTCAGTGGATGATGGAAACATTGGGACTTAACCCCGGTCAAATCGTGAAGATTGCCAACTGCGACTTGCCGCTAGGGCGGTTCGTCAAGATTGAACCCCAGCTGGTGGACTTTTTGGACATCAGTGACCCCAAGGCGGTGTTGGAAAACGTGTTGCGTAAGTTCTCCACATTGACGGTGAATGATGTCATTGAAATCAACTATAACGACCAGAGCTACGGTATAAAAGTGCTTGAAGTGAAACCCGATGAGTCGAGTCACGGGATTTGTGTGGTGGAAACCGATTTGGAGACTGACTTTGCCCCTCCCGTGGGTTACGTGGAACCCGACTATAAGCTGACGCTGGTATCGAAGCTGGCAACCCCAGCCCCCATTGACCCGTCTAAAGTGAACCGCGGGGCGGGGGCCGCCACCATGGCCAAGCTGATTAACTACGCTAACTTGGTGTCTAACGGTAATAAGTTCCTGGGGTCAGGACAAAAGCTTTCCGGTAAAGCTGTGGACCCTAACCAAGGTAAGAAGGTGCTGGTGGACGACTTGGACCCCGATGCCCCAGCAGTGCCGCTTGACCTTCCTCCCAACCAATTATTCTTTGGGTTCCCCGTGGTGCTCCCGACGCCGTCGCCCACTGACGACGAACAACCCCAGGCGACGCGGCGGTTCGAAGGCAGTGGCCAGCTGCTTCGCCAGAGCCGCAAACGCAAGGGTCAGAACGACAACTTGCCACTGCCCAAGGCACAAAAGCTGCCGCCAGAATACATTGAGATCGATTAAATGAGGTAATACTATATTACTATGCGACAAAAAAACAACTGTATAACTTACTCGGGGGTGGTCGAGGGCAAGAACACGTCGTTGCCTTGTTCGATCGCCCGCTTAGTGTGGTAAACAATGTCCTTCAGTTCCCAGGGGTAGGCGATCCACACGTCGGGCACCTTGCGGGCGGCAAAGTAGGTGCTGTCCATGATTTCCTTGGGCAAGTCGGCGCGCTTGGGCTTTTGCTTGTCGTGGAGGACAAAGATCCCGAACTTGGTGTCGTTGGGGTCGGCACCCTTGGCCGCGGCCTGCTCGGCGACGTCCTTCTTGAGCTCGGAGACGGCGTAGTGCAAGGTGGTTCTGGTGTCGTCGACTTCGTCGATGATCAACACGTTCTTGCCCACCAAGTCGATGTTGGATTGGTGGTAGTCGATCCACTGGGTTCTGACGACCTCGGTGCCGACGGTCTCCACCGACGAGCCGGCAACTTCTTCGTACAACGAGAGGATGATGGCCATGATCCGGATGTTGGGTTGGCCGGGTTGTCTGAGGAAAGTTCTCAACATTCTCGCGGGGATGAACCCACCACCCCCAATGGCGATGATGAGGTCAGGGTTGAACTCCTTGATGGTGTCGGCAGCCTCCTGACACAACTGGTGGATGTTGTTGTAGGAGATGTACATTTTGTCGTCGGCGGCGCTCATGTTTGGCAGGGCGGGCTTGGTGGTAAGCGAGTGTAAAAATTCCTGGGCCCTGGCACAGATAGCGATGCGATGAGCTTTGCGAACGGCGACGTCATGCAGGGCGATTGTGGCGGGCTAGCCGGCGGGGAAGCGGCGGTGTAGGTGCTGATATATGTCCGACATAATCTACAAAATTTTTGCAGTAATGGGTATTGATGGTTTAGCTGGATGGTGGTACTGTTTTCTATAGATTAATCGATATCAGTCGGGGGGTCGTGCTGACATAAGCGCGCAATGACACGATTGTGCGTTAACCGTTATCCTTGCTTAGGCCACGTCTCGAGAGGTATATCAGGAAACCTAAGTTCAAAACTACTAAATACAATTTTTACCTATCAATTAACAATTGTCTCAAACCTCTAACATACCCATTAACTCAACTACTTTCTTGCAATTTTAATTGAGCGTTATCGGGGGCCGGTGTTGCCTCAGGCTCCTCCATACAGGGGTCACGCACCTTACCAGTGGCAATAGATTTGATTGTCCCTCGTTCGACTTTTGGCTCCACCCCCCACAAACCTGCACCATTGCCCATGTGTTCGTCTGGATGTGTCAGTGACATCTTTCTCGTGTGCTTGCTGGTGCTCTTTCCACCCCTCCCCGTGTGGATCCGCCGAGGGTTCTGCTCGCAAGACCTGCTTATCAACGTGATCCTCTTCTGCCTCGGCTACTTCCCGGGGTTGATCCACCTGTGGTACATCATTGCCAAGTACCCTCCCTACGAAGAGACACGTGTCTACTACATCTATAGACTGGACTTGGAGCACCAGACGCCGCGGTCGCTCCCCCACGGTCCGGGCGAGGCGGTGATCGTCTACACCGACCAGCCCCAGCCACAGCCCCAGCCACCGTACTCGATTAGAAGCCACCACCAGGTGGCCGTGGACGCTCCCACCCCCCAGCTACCTCAGCAACCACAGGCGCCGGTAGCCAATGACCCGCTGGTGCCGCTCCGGTCGCCCCTGCCTCGCACGCGGGTCGATAACTACGGCTCCATTAATAAAGGTGCCAGTGGCGATCCACCCAGCTACGAGGACTCCAGCCGGCGATAAAGCAGGGGAAGTCTGCTGCTCTCATTTGATATGTAGATGTAGTTGAATCGAAAACTGATCTCGACATTTGTGTAATTAACCGCATTAGTTAGCAAACGCTAAAGGGAAAGGTCGATCCGCACAGATGACTATCTCGTGGTCCGAATCGTTCAGCGACTGGTGGCACGCCAGCCGGGCTCTCCAGCACCCCACCACCCCGCAATTAGTCTCCGACCCCCGCTACGTGGCCGCTCGAGCGAGGATCACCGACCTCGAGCGGCAGCTCTTGCTGGACGCCATGCCGGCGGCTGCGGGACCGCAGTGGGACCTTATCGACACCGAAGTGGCCCCGGGAGTCATATTCCATGAGTGCCGGGTATTCGACGACAGATATCCCGTAGAACGGCACGTGGTGGTGGTGCACGGGTACATGGCGGCCATGGGCTACTTTGGTGGCAACTTGGCGGCGTGGGCGGTGCCGGGAGTGGTGGTGCACGCGATCGACTGGCCCGGGTTCGGCAACCTGAGCCGGCCGAAGTTCCCCGATTCGTTACTAGATGATAAAGAGAAGATTAGCGACCGAATTGCCCAGGTGAAGGCGGTCGAACGGTGGTTTATCGACCATCTCGAGACGTGGCGACGCACTCACAATATCGCTCAATTCGACCTTGTCGGCCACTCCATGGGCGGGTACCTCGCCGCCTGCTACTACTTGGAATACGGCACTGATATCGTTACCAAGCTCGTGCTTTTAAGCCCTATGGGCACCGAAGATAGTGCCTTCAGTCTCATCGACGGTAACGACATTGACGGCGCCGGAAGTGTCGGCGCGCACCCCGAAAGCAGAGGCAACGACCCTCTCGAAGAGGTGGTAGGCACCGAGGACGAGCGACAACAGCTCTGGCAGCGGGTCGGCGGTCCCAGCTTCCCCAACCATGTGATTGTACGCACCATTTGGCGCCACCACTTGTCGCCAGTGGGGCTTCTTAACTACTGCGGACCATTATCCTCCAAAATGCTCTCATTGTGGACGTACCAACGGTTCGCCCACAACCCGCCCGAGGTCATCCACACCCTCCACGCCTACTCGTTCGCGATCTTCTACCAGTACCTGGGGCTGGGGGAGCGAGCAATTACGAAACTCGTCAACGCTAACATCCTTGCCTATCTACCGCTCTGCCAGCGAGAGTTGCCGCGGGCTTTGGCCCGCAACCATACCCCCACCTTAGTGATGTACGGCACTAAGGACTGGATGAACAGACGTGGCGGCGAACACTTAGTCAACGAGATTGTCCAGGCTGGCGGTGACGCTCAATACAAAGAGATTGACGGCGGTCACCATATGTACTTGGACAACCGCCACGCCACCAACGCGGCGGTGGCGCAGTTTCTAGGGCTTAATCTTGACGATGGCGTCGTCACCAGCAATGATGCCGCCGCCACTGCTTAGACGCACCCATTAGCCATCGCTCGAGGTTTGAGGGGTAGGAGATGGCCCATTATTAGGAGCGCTGCTTCCCCTAGAGCAATGGGCCGCGATTGGGGAGTCGGGAGCAGCGGAGTGCACACACGTGTAGCCCGCCTGCATAGAGACGAAATTCTTTTAGTAGTGCGCATGCGCGACTCCATCGGTATATAACGAACGCGGTTGGCACCCGATATCGACGAAATAGACACTCACCCCTCGGCATGGCAGAGTTTGGCGGCAACACCTCGACCGAGGACCTCTCGTTGCCCAAGGCCACGGTGCAGAAGATCATCGGCGAAATCTTACCCAAAGACATCACCATCTCCAAGGAGGCCCGCGAAGCCGTCACCGAGCTCAGCATCGAGTTCATCGGGTTGCTCTCGACAGTGCTGAACGACATTGCCGAGAAGGAAGCGAAGAAAACCATCGCCAGCGACCATGTGGTCAAGGCGTTGGAGGAATTGGACTTCCACAACTACTTGGAGATCATCAACAAGGTGTTGGTCGAGCACAAAGAATTGCTCAAGGGTAAGGAAAAAAAGAACAACAAGTTCCAGAACCTGGGGTTGTCGGAAGAAGAGCTTTTGCGCCAGCAGGAAGAATTGTTTAAGAAGTCTCGCGACCGGTTGAATAACACCGTCTCGTGAGCAGGAGCCTCGGTACTGGCTACTGTTGCTCCTCTACCCCATCAGGGTAAGTTGGTACCGTTATTGGGAAAGTTGAATTCCCGGTGACACCACCCACGCAACCCTCCTGTCGTTTAAGCGTATCGCCTGGGGCGAACGTCCAGAGCTGGGATCACGGCGTCAAAGCTGAGTCCTAGGTTCTTCAGTAGTAAGTGGGCCGATACTCTCTAGCAGTCACTTCGGCTGCCTCGGAACGGTCCACTGAGTATATAATCAAGCATTCATACACAACTAATTTCAATCATTTGCCATAATCGATTCTATTTAGGGTTTGTGGTGGGTAGAAGCTTCTAGAAACCTCACGTGTGAATTTTTCTGTACGGGTGGTTGGTTTTCGCCATCAGAGTTTGCCTCCCGGATACGAGCCCTGGCACTTATTACCCGATTAGGTTGGGGGTTTATCGACCGTCGCAGTATATATTCGCCAGGTGTCTTTCCCAGTACCTACCCCACCATGAAACTCATTGTGGCTCTCGTTTGGGCCTACACCGCCGCGGCGGCAATTGTTGGCCTCGACTTCGGCCAGCAATTCTCCAAGGCAGTGTTGTTGTCCCCTCAGTACAATTTCGCCGTCATTGAAACCGAACAAGGCAAGCGGAAAGATTTAAGTGGCGTGTGCGTTCGTCCTGGATCGGGATCGGGCGACGTCAATCGTGTCTACGGGTCGCAAACGGGCTCGCTTTTCACTCGTTTCCCCCAGCTGTGTGTGGCTGACGTCAAGCTGGTGCTTGGCCACTCGCTCGACTCGGAGGCTGCTGAGGACTATCTTGGCCACCACCAGGGCGTCGTCCTTGAAAAACTGAAACTGCGTAACGGTGCCATCGTGTTTGACTTGGGATTAGACAATGACACCTACCAATTCTCCCCTGAGGAGATCGCGGCGATGACGTTCCAAACGATCAGAGACCGCGCTGTGGCCATGCTCGAAACCGCCGGCGGCATCCCCATCGTCGACGTGGCGGTGACGGTGCTGCCATTCGCTCTGCTGCTCACGCGGTTGGCGTACCTCGACGCGCTCAAGCTCGCCAACTTCACCCTGGTGCTTGGTCTCGTTGACGAAGGCCTGGCGGTGGCGCTCGACTACATCCTGAAACAAAAGGACTTGTTGGCTAGTGAAGATGAATCTAAACTGTGGTTCTTGGTTTACGACATGGGCGCTGGCTCGACCACCGCTACCCTCTTCTCGTTCTTGCCGGTGAACAACACCCTTGAGATTGTCGAGATCGGCGCCGACCCTTTGTTCGGTGGTAAACACTTGACTAACGTTGTCTATGACATTATCCTTGCCAAGCTCACCAAACAATTTAAGATTAAGGACAAACAAGTCACTGCTAAGATGCTGGCGAGAATCATGGAGCTGGCGGAAAAGGCTAAGCTGATCTTGCTGGCCAACTCCGACACTCGTGTTCTGCTTGAACTGATCTACGATGACCAGGACTTCAAGTGCACCATTACTAGAGAAGAATTTGAAGACACCGTGGGCCTGGAATGGTCGCGTGCGGTCTCTCCCATCACCACTGCTTTGGAAGCCGCTGGTGTTGATGCTAGCGACATTGTGCTGGTGGTGTTGAACGGGGGCTCGACTAGAGTGCCTAAGATTCAATCACTTTTGGGCGACTTGATCGGCGAAGAAAAGATTTCCAAGCTGGTGAACACCGACGAACTGTGTGCCATTGGCACCACCATGCGTGGCTTGCAACTCAAATCCCACATCGCTCGTCCCAACGAAATCATCCTTGTTGAACATGGCCAATCGCAATTGAGTATTGGTGTCGATGGTGGTAAGCAAATTGAAGCTTTTGCTCCCGGCGTCGTCGCTGGTACCGTCGGTGAAATCGTCCTTGACAAGGCTCCCAAGAAGCTGATTGAGCTTTACGAAGGCGACCAGTTGTTCAAGACGATTAAGCTCACCGAAAACTTGCAAAAAGCTGCCGACAAGGTCAAGTGTGACAAGGGTGACACTAAGCAAATAGTGGCGTTGGCCCTGTTTGACGAGAACAAGTTGTTCCACTTGAACGGTATAGAAGTCAGATGTATTGAACCTGAAGTCGTCGAACCTGAAGTCGTCGAAGAAGAGGTTGAGGAAGAGCAAGATGACAAAGAGACAAAAGGCACTGAAGACAAGATTGACGTTGACGATGCCGAAGAAGAGGAACCCATCGTCACCAAGCCTGTTAAGAAGCCCATTGCCAAGAAGCCTAAGCGCCCTGCCAAGTTTTCGCTTCCTGACGACCACCACTACCCTGAATACACCCCGATGTCGTCCAAAGATCATGCCGATGTTCGTGCCAAATTGACGTATCTTCAATTAAAGGACCGCGAAAAGATTCAATTGGACGAAACTAAGAATGAATTGGAGGCGTTGTGCTACCTGTTGCGTCAAGCAATCGAAGAAAAGGAAGCTGACTTGCTTAAGACGGTGGAACCCGACGACTTATCTGCTCGCTTGGACTTGGTAAAGGAAACCCTTGAATGGCTTGAAGTTGAACTGGCTGGTTTGGTTGAAGTCAACGATCGTTTGGCGAAGATTAAGGAAACCCATGATTTCCTTGACACTCTGCTTAAGATTGGTGCTACTGACTTGCTGTACGATGCCATGCGTCAATTGCACGAAGACGGCTATACTGTCTACTCCAAGTTGCTGGAACGGTTAGATGAATTGCAAGAGCGCTTGGAGCAGTTCCAACAAATGTACGAAGCCGAAGGGTTTGATTGGGAAAAGGAAAAAACCAGAGTTCTCAAGCAAGTTGATGGTGAATCTGAAGATCTGGTCAACAATGTTCGCAAGATTATCAAGGAATTTGGTACTGATCTTGCGAAGCTTGATGAAGAGTTGAATGCTCTTACTCCTGAAGAGTACAACGATAAGCTGAAGCATGATATTTACAAGATCCACAACAAGATCGCTCAACATATGATGAACTTATTGACGGACTTGATGACTATGGAAGGCGCCGTTAAGTCTAAGGTGGCTGCGTTTGATGCTAAGTTCAAGACCTTAGTCAACCGCAAGCGTGCCGCTGAGAAGAAGAAGGCTCAAAAGAAGAAGAAGAAGGCTGAAGAGAAGGCTGAAGAGAAGGCTGCGGCGGCCGAAGATCAAGAGGCTGAAGACGTTAAGATAAAGGAAGAAATTCCTGAAGACATCGTCATTGAAGAAGACGTTCTTATCAACGAAGATAATAATGACGGTAGAGATACCGCCGACGAAGAGATTAACGAGAAAGAGGAAACCCAAGAGGAACCCAACGAAAAGCCTGCTAAAAAGGCTAAAACCTCAAAGGGAAAGGCGTCTCGTGGTAAACCCTCGAAGGGAAAGCCTCTGAAGGCTAAGAAAGCCAAGGGCCGTAAGGCGCAAAAGGACAAGGCTGCTAAGGCAACCCCTGAAGATGAGGGCGATCTTCAAGACGAATTGTAATATAGAACTCGATATATAGGCTGTCCTAATACCACACAGACAGAGAGCGATAGTTGACAAAGTAAAGACGGGCGGATCGCCAAGTACATTGTGAGTAGAGAGAGCATATCCCCGAAAGCGGTTCGCATATAATATGATGTCTTGGAGATGTCAAGCATGACTCGAACACTAACGTGGGAATGGATGTGTCCTAACTTCCAACGCCTTTGATATTACGAATAGGCCGATGGGCATACGTTCGATGTTAAAGTAAATTGGGCAACCACGACTTCGACTGAACGAAACCCCCCAGTTGACAGTCAAGTCCATATTAACTAAATTTGAATAGTATTAAAGTTTTGTAACTTTTGATATAGGAGGTGACCACACGAATTGCTAGCGTCATTGTGTAAAGAATACTATTGGGTAAAGCACCGATCTAAAGTCACCATTGCACAGACGTTCAGTAAGCATTATCGGCACTAGACATTAAGACCACTCCATAGTGCCTGCGACGCCTTCCTCCATTGTCAAACAATTGGCGTGACCTGACTCGGAAATTCTCCTCGTCTAAACCGACGCGCCTCTCGCAAAGACCGAGACGACCATAGTAGCAGTTTAGATCCGTAAACGTAAAACAATCTGGATACAAAAAGGGAAAACCTACGTCACTGGTAAACACTTACTCTTGCTCACTTCCCCCTTGTCAATACCTTTATAATTGGACTATCCACTTCATCTGCTGCGAACGCGAGCCGCGTTCATTGACGATGTCGTCCTCGCCCTGCAGCATTCCTGACGTCGTATTATAAATTTGACGGCCACCAAAAACTGTAACATTTGTACTTCTCATCAGCGATGGACCTGACTCAATCCCGCCTGCTGACATCCTCTGCCCATAACGTGCGGAGAAGGTCGCCACTGACTGTCTCGGAAGCATCGACAGTGGAGCACCCAGATCCACCGCCCCCTGGGCCAGGTCAACGTCAGTCAGAGACAGTTGAGCAAGCACTGCACGAACGATTGCACGTACCTCCGATGCAATCGGTCCTTATGAATTCAACCAGAGAACTGCGACAACAATGGCAACTGCAGTTCAGGGCACATGTAGTGAATGCACGTCTATACCTTTCGCAGTTAGCTCAAAACATCGAGACGTTAGCTTCACTGCAATCTAATCAGCAGCAGATCCAAGAATACCAACTAGAACCAGATCTACCCCAGCCTTACGTGTCAGCTCCCCCCAACAGCTTTCCCCAAAGTACTGCCTCAGCTGCTCCACAACAGTTCCAACAACAACAACAACAACAACCGCGGCATCAGCAGTTCTACGGTAACTACTACTCGGGGGTTTACCCTAACCAGCCTCCCACAAATGGTCCTCAGTACCTAGGGCCAGCGGCCCCAACGGCGCCTGATCAACCAAATCACGACCAACCTCTGTACCGTATTGGGGAACGTAGTCAACAGTCAATTGAACGTGCACAACATATTTTGGTTGACGATCCACAATCTTCAGTTGGCGAAATTATTCTCGAAGCTAGCCAAAGAAATCTCATGCTTGGCCAATTCATTCTGGGTCGATTCCGCGATACTTTTAAGATCATGCAGCAGATCTTGTCGGATATGGAAGGCCTGCTGTCATCGCCGACGATGTCGCGAGCACCGTTCCAAAATAGTCCAAGCCGCAACGCCGAAACGGCCAGGTACAATCGTCCGCCACGCGCGCAGCCACATGAACAACCGCGTAAAGCTATTTTGCACCGATGCCCATGGAAACCACTTGGGCATTGTTCATACCAGGGAAGCGACAATCTCAACAAAGCCAAAGTTCACATGATCAAAGAGCACTTCATTATGGACAGTCAACCTATCAGCAGATCCATCACTGTTTTGGAGCAATTGACCGGAAGATGTTGGTGTTCCCATTTCAAGGGCACTGCAGGCGACTGGTTGAAGACTCATGTGTTAGTGCCAAACAGTTTGTGCCCATGGGTTCGAGTGGCTCACCGTTGGAGTGACAAGCCCATGAAATGTAAGTTTCGAGCGCTCAATGTGCACGATGAATGCAAGACAACCCTCAACCGTTTCGCGGATCTCATCAAACACACGCTCGAGTATCATTTCGATTACGACAATGGTTTCGTTCCACCAGAGAACGACCTCGAACTATGGTTGACCCGCAACGGGAAATGTAAGTGTGGGTATTGGGGCACTGGCAATGATATTATGTGTAGCCACATCATGTTAACGGACCTCATGTGCATCTAGATTCTGATGGGAAGATTGTGAAGTTTTTCATCATTGCAATGAAACAATTCAGTATTTGAATAGCTCAATGGTGAGGGGCATATTCATTGGGTCACCTGGGCATAACTGATTTTCCATAACAGATCGACAATCGAGATTCAAAAAGGACGGTATATTTTGTGAAGTTTGGAACGCATAGGCGGGTCATTAAAGATCCAGAACCGTCGGCGTTATGTAGTTTCAATGGGATATAGTATTAATGAGATGAGTGATATCTCCCTTCTCTCCACTTAATAACATTTTCAACTGTGTTGTTGCTTTCGCGCCCATAGTTCAAGAGAAGACATCACAAATGGCGCAACATCATTGGCCACGGGATAGTGTCATCAAACGACGCCTTCGGGACTGTAAACCCGGTATCTACAGCTCAATGTCGACTTCATCTCTGTATCATAAACTTCTTGCCTATATTTTGGTTAAATTTTTTCGGGGGCAGGGCGCTTCAAGCCGATCGTCGGAATTTTTATGACTACCAGGCAAATTCCGAGGTTTTTTGCTCTTTTTTGCTCTTTGGGTCATATAAATTATCTTGCAAGTATTCCCTAAGACTACGTCAAGACTACATGGTTCGTGTCTCTTACTCTCTTTGCAGTCATCGTATCCGTATACTGTCATGCTCCATCTTTGGTTATGCTTGTCCTGATGTAGTCGAATATTTCTTGGTAGATGACAGTATACAGCTTCAATAACACTAAGCGAAGCCATCATCTAACTCCGTTAGCTATCCGCATCGAGTCAACATCACGATAACTGCTCAAATAACAAGCAATTTAGTCCTTTTTAATTGTGACAACTACCCCACAAGGTGTGTTGTAGTCTCCGTGCTTAACCATGTCGTAAACAATGTAGAGGTTCAACGACGACACTAACATCAAATTTATGATGGCCACTAAGGTGATCCATGTTGATCACCAACTTGCTAAGCTATAAGTAAACGTGGCATTATGATTATTATGTAGTCCACCGTTTCCTTCTTGAATGCTTCTTTGATGCCTTCTTCGGTGCCTTCCGCTGATTCTTTTTTGTAGACTGACTAACCTCACGGCACTTTTCACTACAAAACCACTTCTCATTTCCCAGGGTAAACTTGAGCGCCTGCACCCGATTGAGTAACCCTACACACTTGAAGTGGAACCATTCCCCGTTAGGACATGCTAAGTTATCGCAAGCGATCATATTACCCAACGATGGCGTTTGGCAGAAACAATACACTGGCTCTTTCTCTTCTTCAATCTCTTCCATGTCCAGCTCTATTTCGACCTTTACAGGATTCTTGCGCGGTCTACCGACCGGTCTCTTTGGCTTTGGTTTCAGTTGAGCTTCTGAGCTTGCCTTCAACGAGGTCTTAAGATTCGCTTTTAGCGGAGTCTTGAAGCCATTCTTTTTCGGACTTCTCTTCAAATTCTTCCTTGGGCTCGACTTCAATAGTGTCTTGGAACGTGGCTTGATAACCTGGCTAACATTAGCTTCATCCAAATCCGGAGGTGTTGTTGACTTGGACTCAATTGGCGATACTGATGAGGTAGCCGGAGTGGGTGTGCTGGACCTGGTACGTCGGGGAGTTGATATCAGATGATTGGTGCTTGGCTCTGGAGTGGGTGTAGGTGTGCTATTGCGCTGTCGAAGCTCGCGAGTGACAGTGATTGCACCGTTTACGCGCTTGTCATTAGCGGTCTTCAAACGGGGACGACCAACTGGACGACTAGATTTTTTCGGTTTAGCAGCCACCATCTTCGCCGACGCGGGAACTTTGAGCACAAGCTTAAGTTTTTCTTGAGGGACGTCCTCTTTGAGTGCTTCCAAATGCGAGTTGAGCGGGTGCTCTTCGTAGTGTTTCATGAGCTGGAGACGCAACTCAAGACTGTTCTGTCTCTCCTTTGCCTCTTCTTTGGTCGATTTGATTTGCTCTTGTTGCGCTGCTGAATCGAGGAGCCATTGCCGATGACACTCAAGCTGTCGTAAGATAGCCTGGGTTTCCGCAACTGCTTGAGAGTTGAGCCACTCCACACGCCGTTTATCTCGCTGTATCCGATCCCAGAGTTTGGGATCATCGGACTTCGTCTCGGCGGCTTTCGCGTCGTGGTGAAAACGACGTTTGATCTTGTCGACCTCGAGATTTAGCCGTTGCACAAGCCAAAGAGAACGGATGACATCGCATGGTAAATGGTCGGTGGTGGAAATGCAATGTGACTGCGGTCGATCCAATAGAGGTGGAGGGTCACCCATTACCGCTTGATCAAAGTGGATGGTGGTGCCGTCGCGTATGTTGTGGGGGATGTGACCTGTGTGCAGGAAATAAACGTTAAAATGGAATTATTGTTTAGATGCCATGTGAGGCTGGATCTGCCTGTCAAATGCACCCAAGTAAGTAGATACGATCACTTACCCCTAAGTTTACATCAGGATAGATGGTACAACTGCCTCTACAGATGGCTTGCCCCGTTTTTCAGAAGATTCAGTTTAAAGTAACAATTGACTAAAAGTGTATAAGCTTCCATGTCGGGACACAATTTCGGATTTCAAATAATTCAAAGCCATTAGCCCATTCAAACAGTACTTCGTAGTCTCACTGTTGGAGAGGTGACGTAAATTGCGAACTCCAGTACGCACCAAATTTTGGGAGAGAATAGAAAATTGCTACTAACAAAAGCTGTTCACCAACTCTAAATCAATCGAATAGATGCTGAAAGGGCCAACGGTAATGGATTTAGTTTTGCTGGCTCGAATCGTTCATGCACACAGATCACGAGGCGGTATATACCAAATATAAATATGCACACCGGGTAAGCGAGGAAAAGCTGGAACTGAAGCCAACTATCAAGGAGCGCCCAAGTATGGTCTGTCCACCTTTTGACAGACGTAATCTTGAATAAGTGTCAGGCAACATCCACAACATCTTCGAATTTCTCGATTCAAATCAATCTTGATGGGTAAGTCATATCTATTCCCACTGGAGATTAACTCTTTGTGAACGTACCATTGTGGCATCAGGTTTTGCTGATGATCATGGGTCATGTTGCATTGAGACGAAGTGAGCGATCACTTGTCAGAGGTCCAATTGAAAGCCGAACTGGTATATCTATAATAATGGATGGCAAGGCAGAATTGTGTGTACATTTTAACCAGTTATGTTTGGATCTAAAAGACTTCACTAGTAAAATGAAAAATCATCTCATACAGGGTGGTGTAGTGTAATTCCTCGGGTATGCGCCTCATTTCGTTATTGAGAGTTTCACCAGTGAGCACGCTGCTTTTCACGTCAGCAAAATAGAACCCTACAGAACTGAATCTTTTCCAAGTTGTGGTGGAGTCAACCCCTTTGAAATGTACTTTGCTTTCATTTGCAGAATATCATTTTCATGTGTTGCAACCAAATTGGAAGTCGCACCTTTGCCAGTGAGATTCACAACCCAAGGTATCCGTAAACCCTCAACCGCACGCAATTTGGTAGTGTGAGACTACTATAAACGTAGCTTACCAATCATTGACGCGGATTGCGTCCAGCAGGTGCAATAGTGTCCCCGCCAACATAGAAAGTCGTGAATTAAACTACGTGACACAAAAATTTCAGACGCAAATTAATGGAAATGTCTATTAGATCATTATAGTTCTTTATTTAGTCTCGGTAGTCTCGGTAGTCTCTTCGGCTTCAGATTTAGTCGCTTTGTCGACTTTAGTGAAACCGAACCGCAGAGTATCAATCTTCATGAACTCGCGCAAAGCCATGGTGGCGTAGGTCGACACACCCAACAGCATTTTAAGCACCACCGCGGTCTTGTCACCTTCGGACTCGATAACACGGCTGGCATTAACGTCGCCTTCACGTAACAATTCCAAGTCAGTCTTGACAAGAGGGGTGGTGTTATCTTTGTACTTGACAATATTGTACGACATGTTCTTGGGCTTTACCATGACGTGACGGTACGAGCCAGTAAGAGAGAATTCCTTCACATTACGAGCCATGCTTTCCGGGTCCAATTGGTCCTTGGCCATGACTTCCTTGTACACGTCCAACAACGTGGTCGGGTATTCGATTCTGAAACCAGGAGTGGGCAAAATAACATCGTAGATGGTGTACTTACCCAGAGCAACATCTTCCTCCGTCAAGTGCTTGACCTGAGGGTCTTTGGATTGAAACACATCCTCCTTGAAGTCGTCGTCAGATGCCACGGGTTCATCATTGTCATACACCAAGTCACCGGCCTTGACTTCCAACCCAAAAAGTTCGAATCTTTTCAGCGCCACCACGTTCCACACGTACGACTGGTAAGCGTGCGAGTACATCATTCTGAGGTTCTTGGGGATCTGCATCAACGCCTTGAAGTAACTTTGAGCGCTGTATTCACCATTGTCGTCAACTTGCTCTTTTTCCAATTGACGGAGCACCAGCACTTCAGCGGTGAACCGGTTGGGCATTTTCTCGAGGGTGGCCTTGGGGTCACGGGTCTCAGCCCAAATCTTACGGGCTTCGACGGAAAGTGGAGCCATCACTTCTTGCTCGCTCAAAATGAGCTCGGCCGCTTGCTTCCACTCCAGGCGCAAGACGTGAACCCCCAACTGGTGGGTGGAAATCGAAAACAGCCCAAATCTCTGCAAACCGTAGTAGTTGATGAAACCCTTCTCCTTCAACGAGTTGAAACACTTTTCGACAACCTGCTTAATGTCGGCACCAGGATTACAAGGGTTGACATCACGAATAGCAATGACAAACTCGTTACCGGAAAGATCACCCAACTCAAGCCCCTTATCTTCGTATTTGAAGTTACCCAACACCGTCTGCTTCAACCCCTTATTGAGGGCATTGACACGCAACACCTTACCTCTGTGAATAGAAAACCGTTGCGTGGTCACCCCCCGACGGTCTTTAGTACCAGCAAAGCCGATAAACTTGTTAGGCGTGTGTAAAAGCTTAGACATCGTCAGCGCGATCTCCATCGTCTCCCGGTTTTCCTTGTACACGGTGAAGTGGAGGTACTTTTTGAAAGGACCAGCACCGTAGTTGTGCACGCCGTTTTCGTCGACGTGGCTCATGCTTTCTTGAGCGTGAGGCTGGCCACGACGCTTAGGCGCCTTACGGGCAAGACAGATCTTGAAAGTGTTTTCCGCCAGCGTCACCGTTTCGAGTCTACCGCCAAACGCCTTACGCAACAACTGATGGAGACTGGTACGCTGCTGTTTGTCGTCGAACGTCGTGGTGGTTTCCATCTTGTTGCCCAGAGAGAAGAGGTCTTCGACCTGTTGCAATTCTTCAGCGGTGATGAACTCCAAAAGACTGGTCCGATCCTCATCGTTAAGAGTGTATGAGTCCTTGTCTTCTTTAACTTCCAGTTTATCGCCACTACCAGCGTTAGCACCAGCATCGGCTTCAGTAGGCGTCTTTTCCTTCTTGGGCACCACGACGCCCTCATCGGTCAAGTGGACAACTTCGCCGTCGAGACCGATTTCGTTGACTTGGAAGTCGGAATATAACGCCTTAATCATCCCCAGGAACCCGCCGTTGGCCCGATTCTCGTCGTTGACGAAAGTGGTGATGCCAACATCGGCCTCCTGGACGACCTTAGATGCCCGGTCGGCCATCGATAAACACGCCCGCTTCGCGTCGGCAGTGTCGGGGGCAGGGTTTGCTCTTTTCATAGGAATCCGTAACAAAATCCGCCGCCAAGTCCGTGCTAGTTATTGACCAAGCATCCGATGAGCTTCTCTGAAAAATGCGGGCGTGCCTACACCCTCCACTCGATGCCCATCAACGCCGACAAAATATTCCCTAAATACAAGCAAAAAGAATTGGAGTTGGGGAACTACATCTCATTGATCCGTACTTGAATTGTAATCATAATTGTTATGTCTATTAACATGTCTCATAAATAGCAATTGTCGGCTGGTGTCGACGTCTCACCCGAGGATAAGCTCGTACACAATCACCACAATGTTGATGACAATCAACGGCACTCGCAACACCGTGCGGATGGCGTTGATCAAGTTGACGAGCTTTGTCTTGACGTCGTCACCGTCGTATTGCTGGAACTGGTTGCGCTGCGACCCCCAGCCAATGCGGTTGAGGAACCGGTCCTCACTCAACACGGCGATGCCGTTGACAATGAACAACGCAAAGTAAAACACATAGCCAAGGCCAAACATTTGCGTGAATCCGTTGCCACCGAAGCCACCTGGTCAATATCGGACGCGGTGGTCGGATTGCCTGGCGCTATCGCTGCGGGTGCGACGACGGCTGAGTGCAGGACGAGTGTTTATGTCCCATAAACAAACGCCAACCACCACCGATGCCCACCGCCCCAGAGTTATCCCTGCGACCGCATCGCGGTAGAAAGAGAGATCCAATTGAACAGTACATTAATGAGCCGCAAATCTTTAAAGAAAATGGCATGACACAGCTTCGCTACATGGTGTTGACCCAAGGTCTCAGAATCCCCCAGGGCCATGATACTTGTCCCTACAGGCTGTATGTGTGGCAGATTCTTATGGAAGCGCCCCGGATGACTGTCGATGACTATTACCAACTCATACATCAAGCAAGACTGCTAAAACCAGAGATATACTCCAAGATCACCAATGATACTTTCCGCACACTCAAGACTGAAGACCAATTCCACGAGAAAGTCTCGGTGTCTCTGTTAACTCGGATTCTTGGGGTGCTTGCCATAACCATGCCTGACGACGTGGGTTACGTCCAGGGGCTCAATGTGCTTCTAGCCCCGATCGCATTTGCCTGTTATAAAAGTGAGCCTCAAGCCTATAGCATTGTCCACTCGCTAGTGGTGCGGCACATCCCTCTATACGTCACCTCCGACGTCAAGGGTGTCTACACTGGGTGCGAGCTTGTGGAGGTGGTGCTTCGCCACATTGACCCGGCTCTCGCCGAAGATTTTGACTCCAAGTTCTTCCGGGCTAAGATCTACGCCTTCCCTCTGGTGCTTACTTTAAGTGCGTGTACGCCTCCGCTTAGTGAGGTGCTTCGTTTATGGGATTACCTATTTGCATACGGCATACACATGAACATCCTCTTCATCGTGGCTCAGCTTGTCAAAGCTCGCGACTCGTTGTTGGGTAACGATCTGCCGATGAAGGTGTTGCGCACGTTCCCCGCCATCGACTACCTGGAGATAACAAAGATGGCGCTTTCGTTTGTGTCGGAACTCCCACACCAGGTGTACCTGATGGTGGCTCGTCACGGGTACGACCCCGCAGTGGAAGCGGAAGTCAAGGAGTATAACCGTGAAAATGCCCACCTCCGGCCCAATAGAGACAATTAAAATACCTCAAGACGATAGTCTTCTGCATCGAAATACCCACAGAGTACGGTGCGATCGTTGTATTGACGACCTACGACACCGTTAATGGCATTGAATGCATCTTCCTCGGTTTCAAACTCAACAAACACTCGTCCCACGCCATCAGCAACGTCTTCAGTGCTTCCCCAAGTATAGTCCGGGGGAGGCTGAGGAATCTTGATACTGACGACGTTACCGAACTTACTGAGCTCGTTGGTAATATCCTCGCGAACAAAATCGTAATATTCGGGATTGGTAAGTTCGGGTCCAGTAACGCAGTTGATCATTTGAATTACTTTCAGCTTGCGGTGGTCGGTGACACCTTGGCGAGCAACAAGGCGACATATAGTCGAGGCAGTAATGTTCACTGTTTGGATGCTCCCAATACACAGGTAGTACACTTTATTCACTGCGTCGAGCAGCTGTATCTTGCTAGTAAGCAGACTGATTTCACCGTCAAACTCAACAAAGGCGACGCCCGTCAGCACTTTAGTGCCCACTTCACGCAAAAGCTGGCAGCGCCGGACCGGACCGACCGTTTCCAACTGCGAGCGAATCGCCAGGTCATCCAACTCTGGCAGGACGTGGATCGTGATCTTCTTTGGTCCCTCAGGGACGAAGAATGGGTCAACTTCCACGCCTTCATCTCGCGGAGCTTGCACCACGTACTCGCGAGGCCGTGTGAGCTTGAGTGTGATATTCCCGTCAACACCGCTGGCGCTGGTATGTTTATAAGCGGTGATGGGAAGGGCCGTGCCATTTAAAGTAAGGGCGATGGTAGCGGCGGTGGCATGAGCCGTGCGACATATAAGTCTATCTTTGAAAACATGGTGGGACTTGATCAGCTGAGATACTCGGTTGGGAATGTCGATCCGTGAGATATAGTCGTTAATAAACGTAGAAATTTTATCACCGTCCACAATATCCCAGTTTATCGCCTTACCATCTTGATTTATAGACACAACCACCGTCGACGCCACCCGTGAATCGCCAGGATCCACGCGTGATTTGGAGAGCGTCTCCGGTGCTGGCTGGGGAGTCACTGAACTGTCACTATCCACTGGTCCCACGGGGAAAAGCCCCAGCATCTTGGCTCTTTGCGCAGGAACATTTTCGAACCCGGGAGGACGCACTCCCCAGCGAGTACCTTTAGCGGGAAGTTCCTCTAAAGTAGGCACATCTTTGAGTTGTTCAAGCCGTTTAGATATCGCTTCGGGGTCATTTCTATCAAACTTGGGCTCCTGGTGCTGGCGGGGCTGGTAGTCCTGGTGGCGACTGCGGCCTCGACCTCCCTGTTGGGAACGATTTCGGTATCCTGAAGACTGAGGGTGTGATTGGCGACTGGAGTTTTGGTAGGATTGGTATGACTGGTGTCCTCGCTGGTCACCATATTGGTTGCCGTATTGGTTGCCGTACTGATTTCCGTACTGGTTTCCATATTGATTGCCATATTGGATACCATTGGTGTGGGATCCGTAACTTCGTCCGTGTGCCTGCTGGGAGTGGTTTTGGTAACTGGAGTAGTCATTGGTGTTGTTGTATTGCCCCTGTTGATGATTTTGCGGGTAGTTTGCCTGGTAGTTTTGGTATTGGTTCCGTGGGGGTCCACCATCGCCTCGGGAGTATGCGTTACCGTAAGCACTGGGCCCGCCACTTCCATCAGGCTTATCGTAAGGATGATACCGGTGCTGATCACGGTTCTGGTAAGGGCGGCCATGCAGCGAGGAGGCGTCGCGATCTCGGGACCGGTCGTGGTATTCGCCTCGCCGACTCATGGTAGGATGATTAAATGCGATGGTGCGATGAGAAATGATGTGGAGACACCGATCGAGGATACACCACAAAGTAAAGAATATAAAACGAATATTTTTTCTAGGAAGTAGTTTTAACATTTTGACTCTTGGATTTTCGAATTCCATATTTGTTTTGAATTACACTCGGTGTCTCATGAATGAAATGATATTAATAAATCTATGAAATAACTAAACGGTCAACAACTCCAACATCCCCCCGATCTCATTAGCTTCGCGGCACCGGCGGATCTCTTGGTTCACCTTGCGCAACAAGTTGGCCAAGCACTCTTCCAACACCACACTCTTGTCCATGAGCACGCCGTACATTTCGAGGATCACCGCCACGTAGTCACAGATCAAATTAAACGACCGCTGGTCCTCTAAGTTCTTGGTGAACCAAGTCAAGATGGGCACTAACGATACTTCGTCACGACCGTAAAGAGCGACTCTCACCTTACCCCGCTTCTTCAATTCATTAAGCACAGTGCAAGTGGTTTCCTTGGGAACCCCAGAAACAAACGCCAGATCAAGGGCATCGCTCCATTTGAATGCCTGTAAATATTTTTCAAACTGTTTGAGCTTTTTCGTTTGCGGCGCTTGCGAGTAGATAATGCGGTGTTCTTCTTCCCCCAAGTAGTCCTTCCCCTTCATCATCCGGTTGTATGCACTCAGCTTCTCCTGCTTCACACCTTGGGCCACTCTGGGCTCGGTCTTACGCGATCTCACCAGGATAAGCCCCAGCGTCAACCCAGTGACAAAGTGCTTATGGTCGCCAGGAGAAACGGCACACGAAAGAACCCCTCCCAGAGCAAACTTCCACCCAAATTTGACGTCAAAGTTGGACGTAGTGTAGTCAAACACCTTAACGTGGCCATCAAGCGACCCCACAAGCAAACCTTGGTCGCCAGTGTCGTGCAAACAGGTAGCGGTCTTAGTGAAGTTATCCAACTGGTTGATCTTCTTACCCCGAGCAAGATCCCAGATCTTCACCAGGGGTCCCCCCGCCGACACTAAGGTGGTGGGCGAGAGAGCAAGGACGTCTTCCACGGGGTTCTGCTGGTCAAACTCAGCGATCTTCTCGTGGGAACGGGTATCAAACACACGCACGATGCCATCATAGCACCCCGAGGTGATGAGGTTAGGGTTACCGGGGATAAACCCGACACTGCGGATATAGTCGCCATGGCCGTCAAACGAGTGGATGGGGCCCAGAGCCAGCTGACTGATGTCCCACACTCGGAGCACGCGGTCGTCGGAGCCTGTAACCAAGTGGTTGCCGATCAGCGGATGGAACTTGGCGGCGTGGGTGGGGTGGGACAGCGGCTGTAAGCTGACGAGGAGGGCGCGAGTATTGTAGGCGTCGTAGATCAGGACGAGGCCAGTGGCGTCCGACGCCACCATAAGCTTACCGTCGTATCTGTAGGAGCCAGTGTAGACCACATCCTTGAACCTCAGAAACGTCTTGATCACCTGACGGGTCTTGTGGCTGAACACTTGGATTCGAGTCAGCAGGGTCACCGCGAAGTCCATGGTGGCCGGGTTGAATTCGATGTGGTTGATGGCTCGGCTTTCCTTGATGAGCTGGGGGTTGGTGAACCGGCGCCAGTAGCGCTGCTCGGGCGTCGTCTGGTTGGGTAACGTGGGGTTTTTTAGCTGGGGGATCCGCTGCCGGCTCGAGGACATCTTGGTGGCTGCGATGAGATGAGTCGCCGCACTAATGGTGCCCTGGTTGTGAGCGCGGGGATAATCTGAACACCAAAAGGAAGTAGAGAAGGCTACTAATTACACTGAAAATTGATACAAGTTTCTAAAGTAAATATTATCAGTTTTAATTCCATATATGCAAGTGAATTTTCAAAAAATTGCTCTTCAATAAGCTAGCTTCTCACACGTCTCTACAAAAATGTAATAGAAGAGCATTGTAAAAGCTATATTTGAAAGTCGTCCCGTGACCAGGCACCCTGGCATACACGTTGCTTAAACCAGTGTTTGATTCTCTTGCCTTATGATTCAAATCTTTGCTTAAAGTGTACTCTGTGGGGACGCCTCCCGATTATGCGACCCAAAGAGAAACTCTAACACCGGAAGTATATAATGACAGGGGCATGCCCCTTTGATTGCTATCCCTAATCATGCTCATCAGCGAGCTTGTCGACTCTGAAGGCGAACACTCCCACACTGACGATAGCGCCCCGCAGTCGCCGTTACCGCTTGACGAAGTAATGGCGACAATATCCCAAGAGGACAACCACATGCTTATGGCCATCATCAATCAGGCAAAACAGATGGAAGCTCAGTGTCACCGGATGGCGTCGAGATTCCGTGTGACCATGGTGTCAGAAGTGGAGTACATGCAAGAGCAAACTACCCACTCCAAGCTCTCGCCATTGATGCTTGATATCATGCAAAACCAAACCGATTTCAAAAGCCGCTACGAAAAACACATTGACCGATTCAGCGAGATGTACAACCGCATAGCATTTGCCGAGTTTGAACTGCTGCAAAAGTTGATTGACCATGTATCGCGGATTGAGGCAGAATTGGTTAACTGTCTCGAAGCCGACGATAAGGAAATGCTTGCCCGGTGCTATCAGGACTACGTCGTCAACCACTACTTCTTTGAGAAGAAATTCTTTGTTTAGGCAAATAAAAAAACGGTGTAACGTTCACATGATGTACGCGAGACTTTATGAAAATTTGGGAAAATTTGTGTCGATGACCGCAATATTCGTAAAGGCTAATTCTTTCTACAAATTTTCTTCCTTCCAGTTAATTCAAGTAAAAATAAATAAATAATAAGGGGGCATTTACTCGTCTTCATTGGCAAAGAGACGGGCAATGTCAAACAACTTTTCGTCGGTGAATCTCATGCCAGTGACACCGACGGCGATGGGGGCGTTCTTGTACTCGTCGGCCAGCTCGTAAATCGATTGATAGAACTTATCCATGTCGTTGGCAGGCTTGTAGTCAGTGTTGGGCTTGTCCTTAGCCGGGTCAACGGTGCCCACGGGGACGACAAGGGTAGGCAAGTCCAAGGTGTTGTACAACGAGGTGTACAGCCAGTACTTAGCGGTCTTGTGCTTAGGCGCCACCGCCGGGTACACGGGACCAATGACAGCGTCCAACTTTTCGCCGTTGTCGTTAGTGTACAGCATCCAGTGCTTGAGGTAGTCCTTGCGGAACTCGTCCTTCTTGATGTTCCAGTCCCATTGCTCGGGCCAGGTCAACTCCTTGGCGTCGTCAATGGCCCAGTGCACCTGTTCCAAGATGGGCTCGCCAGTAGCTTCACACTTGGCTCTGGTGTCGGCACCACCGTCTTCAAAGTAAAGGTGGCCCAAGATCTCGTTGGAGCGGTCGACACCAAATTGCTTGAACTCGACCACTTCGACGTTAGGAAGTTTGGAAAGCTTTTCCTTCACTTCCCGGATACCTCTGAGGATGGGAGGGTGGGGCATGACGTTGCCGTCCCATTCAACAAACCCGACGCGGAACTTCTTCTGCTCAGGCAGCTTCCAGGGGATGGGGGCAAGCGACGGGTCCATCAACCACGGTTCGGCGGCAACGATCAGCTTCATGAAAAGCTCAGCCATCTTTAACGACCGGGTGATGGGGCCGGTAACCGAGATGATCAGTTGCGAACCACGTTGGCACGAGAAGTAGTCCAGGGTGGGGATACGGCCAAGGGTCAGTCTCAACCCGTAAACCCCGTTACAGGCAGCAGGGGAACGGATCAGACCACCAATGTCGGAGCCCAACGACACCGCCAGCGCTCTCATCCCGGCCGTGGCACCCGAACCACCCAGCGACCCACCGGGGGCAAGCTTGGAGTTGAACGGGTTAACGGTCAAACCGTGGCCCCACAGTTCACATTCAAGGGCCATCAACGACTGGACGTTAGTCTCACGGCAAATGGTGACGGCACCAAGGCGTTCCGAGATTTCAACGATTTGGGCGTCGTAGTTGGTGATACGGTCCAAGTGGCAGGGGGACCCGTGGGTGGGGGCGTAGCCCTTCAATGGGATCATTTCCTTCACCCCCAAGGGCAAGCCAAACAACGGGTACTTGGCCATGTCGGCCCCGTCAGCTTGAAGCTTTTCAAGCTTCTTCACCTGGTCCAAGGCCCGCTCGGGCAAGAACTCGTAGATGCAGTTGGTGAGCATCAGGGCAAACAACCCGGCGTGGAAGTAGTAGCGAATGACGTCGTACACCTTAAGCTCGCCCTTTTGCATCTTGGCAATGAGCTTGGTGGGCTCCATGTAGATGATCTCTTGCACCTTCTTGGGCAACTTTTCCTGGTAGACCTGAACCGGGAACTCGGCGGGCTTGCCGTGGTCGGCCATGTCCTCGCCGAACGCCCGGGGGAGGTCAAGCATGACTTGCTTGGTTTCAGCGTCGTCGAAGGGGAAGAGTTCGATCGTCTTGTTGACGGTGTCCCAGTAGTGCTTTCTGATCTCGCGACCAAGTTCCTTGTAGTCCTTCTTAATAACCATGATTAGTCAATTGGTGATAAGTAGGGAGATAAAGGGTCCGGAATCGCTCTATTTATAGTTGAATCCGTGGTTAGGGCGGCTAGGGAGTATACTTTGTGAATTTTCCTGTATACATACTAGGGTCAACAATCGGCCAACAATCTGGTGTCGCCTCACTGTTAGCCGGAAGCGACCGTGCGGGGGGCCCGAGCATATTTGCGGGGGTGATGATGTCAACCGCGATGGCGGGCTTACAATTCCTTATCAGTGACAGGGTCCTGTATCTATTAGGGGTGTAATTACGATCGCCCCTAACTAAGGGGGCTTATCAGAGGAATAACGGTCGGCCATTGACCACTCCCTGAATTTCCAATTGATTTCAACGTCGGCGATAGCGAGCGAGTGGGGTCACGTCTGGCTCCGGTTGGGAGCATCTGGTAGAGAAACCAAGAATCTCGGAGTTCACGTGGGGTTGTGGATTGCGGGGCTAGTGGGAAAAACTCTAAAAAGAGGGGGAATCAACTCGACGCGGGTTGACGAATAAGGTAGTCCGAGGCGGCATTCGTCTCCCCGACAAAAATAATACGGAATTCGTCAATCTCGCAGGGCGAGTTTCACTTTGCGGGTCGACGCCATTTACAAGTACACGTCTATCATGGTTCATGCTCATCAGATCGTTCCATCGTCTAGCATCATTCATTAATTTATATACAAGAAATCGTATGCGCTTAGTTCTTGGGTTGTTCTTCACCGCCTTGCGAGCCGTCTTGCTTGTACAACTTTTCGAACACCTTGAGCGATTCGTTTTGCAACTCTTCGGTCTTGGCCTTAAGTTCAGCAGAGTCGACTTCTTCGCCGGCTTGGGCCTTGAGAACAACTTCTCTGAGGTTGGTGATCAAGTCCTTAACTCTGTCAGCGTCGGCTTGTTCGACCTTGTCCTTGAACTCGTTGAGCGAGTTTTCGGTGTCGTTGCACAATTGGTCAGCTCTGTTGGCCGATTCAATAGCGTCACGTCTGGCCTTGTCCGATTCAGCGTACTTTTCGGCGTCGTTGACCATCTTTTCGATTTCAGCGTCCGACAAACCCGACGAGCCGGCCACGGTAATGTTGGCTTCCTTGTTGGTAGCCTTGTCCTTGGCCGACACCTTGATGATACCATCGGTGTCAATGTCGAAGGTGACTTCGATTTGAGGCACACCCTTGGGGGCAGGGGGGATACCAGAAAGGGTGAAGTTACCGATCAACTTGTTGTCTCTGGTCAATTCTCTTTCACCTTGGAAAACTCTGATTTCCACCGAAGTTTGACCGGCCGAGGCAGTGGAGAAGATTTGCGACTTCTTGGCGGGGATAGTGGTGTTTCTCGAGATCAATCTGGCGAACACACCACCCATGGTTTCGATACCGAGCGACAAGGGGGTGACGTCCAAAAGAACGACATCGGTGACTTCACCGGCCAAGATACCACCTTGAATGGCGGCACCCATGGCGACGGCTTCGTCAGGGTTGACAGCCTTCGAGGGTTCCTTGCCGAAGATTTGCTTGACGGTTTCAATAACCTTGGGCATTCTCGACATACCACCGACCAAGATGACTTCGGAGATGTCCGAGGTCGACAAGCCAGCGTCCTTCATGGCCTTCTTGCAGGGGTCGACGGTTCTCTTGATCAAAGGTTCGACCAAGTGTTCAAATTGACCTCTGGTGATCTTTTGGTTGATGTGCTTGGGACCGGAAGCGTCGGCGGTGATGAAAGGCAAGTTGATTTCGGTTTGTTGAGTCGACGACAATTCAATCTTGGCCTTTTCAGCGGCTTCTCTGATTCTTTGCACGGCCATTCTGTCCTTGGACAAGTCAAGACCGGTTTCCTTCTTGAAGTCATCGACGATCTTTCTCACAAGAGCAATGTCGAAATCTTCACCACCCAAGTGGGTGTCACCGTTGGTCGACTTGACTTCGAAAACACCGTTACCAATGTCCAAAATCGAGATATCGAAAGTACCACCACCAAGATCGAAGACAGCGACAACTTGACCGTCGTTCTTTTCCAAACCGTAAGCAAGGGCAGCGGCGGTGGGTTCGTTGACGACTCTCATAACGTTCAACCCAACAATCTTACCAGCATCCTTGGTGGCTTGACGTTGGGCGTCGTTGAAGTAAGCGGGACAGGTGACAACGGCGTTGTTGACCTTCTTACCCAATTGACCCTCGGCGGTTTCCTTCATCTTGTTCAAGATGAAACCACCAATTTGTTGGGGCGAGTATTGTTCGCCACGGGCTTCAATCCAGGCGTCACCGTTGTTGTGCTTGACAATCTTGTAGGGGACTTCCTTGATGTCTCTTTGCACTTCGGGGTCTTCGAAACGACGACCGATAAGTCTCTTGGTGGCGTAAAGGGTGTTTTCGGGGTTAACCACAGCTTGACGCTTGGCGGGGATACCCACGAGTCTTTCACCGTCCTTGGTGAAAGCAACGATGGAAGGGGTGGTACGACCACCTTCGGAGTTTTCCAAAATCTTGGGTTGCTTACCTTCCATCACGGCGACGGCGGAGTTGGTGGTACCCAAGTCAATCCCGATAACGGGACCGCCGGGGGCGCCGGTGGATTGGTAACGCACCAATCTGGCCACGTTCTTTTTCGCTTGGTTTCTAGCGGTCAACATCGTTGGTTGAAAAATTTTCTCGTCGGCGGATTGCGCGCGCTTTTATAGCGTCTCTGGGTCCAGTGGCAAGGAAAAGTATGGAACGTTGAGGAAAATGCGCCCTGTAGTGAGAGTCACCACACCTAATCCCGAACCCCGCTGCAAGAATATGGGGTCAATGGCTGGCCATTTGAGTATAAACGGTTGATAGAATTCTGGTATAATAGGTGTTATTTCCAGTTCGCCTGTAGTAGAGCAGTTTTGAAGCGATCTCCCCCTTGATTGCTATCTAAACCCCGGACCAGTTCCGAAGGTCCCTCAACTACTGGGTATATTGCTAGTGAATTATCTCTAGAAACGCATCGATAATTGGGTTAATGCCTCATATGAGTTTCTTTTACGATACCCGATGCTAATGAACTTGATAAATCGAGCATATGTGGGTTTATTACGACCTGTTGTCGTGGGCATCCTGGTAAGTTGGCCGGCAACGGAGTGGGGCAAATGATATTTGTGAGTGAAATTTTGGTCAAGACAAATTTTTTTTCAACTTTTTAATGGAGAACAGAGAGAGAAAAACTGTTCAAAGAACCTACATTCAAAAGAAAAATTCCCACTTATCATGGTGTTTTCCATGTCCTTCGTCTTCGGAAGTGACCGCTTCGCGATGAGGTCGTGACTCGCCGCACCATCCCCGATATGGTTCCGATATTTCCGACCGCGCTCTCTACCAATGAGACCCTATCAAGCGAGTAAGTAGTTGTAAATCAAGTTTCAATGAAACGTATTGTCGGACTTTGATCTAGTACAGCAGTTCGTACCAACACAAAACCTTCAGTCAAATTTCAACAAGTTCAACCAGCAAGTTGGACAAGCTCCATGATCAGATCCTTCGCAATCATAGGTTCGAGTCTACTCCATCGTAAACATATATTTGTGAGTCACCGGGACCCACTGGCTGTGATCATTACCACTAAAAATAATACAAATAACTGCCATCTCTCAGAATAATTCCGTAACTCTACAAGTCGGCGGGCAAGTGGCCGTTCATGATCCACGTCAACAGCTTGTCGCCGCGGAACTGCTCAATGTACTCGATGATGGTGTCCAGCGACTTATTGTACTTCTGCATCCCGCGTTCGATGGCGTCGACGAGCTTCTTGCGGCGCTGGTAGCGCTTCAGTTCCTTGGAGCGCAGGTCGCCGCGCCACTTCTGTTTGCCAAACTTCTGGTCACACTCGGCTAGAGGCGGCTGGCCAGCATAGCCCTTAGTGAACTCATCGTAGATCTGGCGCACGGTGGTGGGGTTGTGGATGAACTGGATGTGGACACGGGGCTTCTTCAGTACCAGGTCCGGCAGTTCCAGCATCCGCTTCGGCGCCTCCGACGCCGCTTTAAGCGCGTCGCCAGCGCCACCAAGGCCGTCGCCACCGCCCATCTCCGGTAGCAGCGGCGTCCCCAAGATCATCCCCAGCAGCAACGTCGGCATCGGCATCGCCAGAACCGTCGGCATTCGAACCTGCGATTGCGACGAGAGCTGGTAGTGCTGCTGGACGTGACTGTCGTTGCTCTGGGTCAGTGGCACCAGCGTCACCAGCGCCGCGTGGTTCAGCAGCAGCCCCGCCAGTGATAGCGACCCCAGCGACGGCATGCGTCCCGGCAGTTGGGGCAGCAGCTGGAGCTGGACTCGGGGTGGCGGGCGCTGGAGCAGCGGCTGGCGTTGCTGCGCTGAGATTGACAGCGGTGGTGGTGGCGGCTGGTGTTGCTGGGACTGCAGCTGCTGTGGCTGCTGTCCGTGGGGCACCGGCGGCGCCGAGATGCTGCCAGGAGCGCTGCCGGCAGTCGACAGCGTTACCCCGGTGGTCATGGCGGCGCTGCCATCGGGGCGCGCGGCGCCCTGGGGAATGAAGTTGAATGACAGTTTAGGCATCAGCACCAGGGCGAGGCGGCGCTGGTGGCTCTGGATGAACGCTGTCAGGCCTCCGAGGCCATCGGGGTGGGAGGAAAACTGGTCGGAATCGTTAACGTCATGGGGCGGGGCGTGGAAATCAATGAGACGGCCTTGGTTGAGCTCCTCGACCATTGCCACAAGCCGGTCGATTTTCTGGCCTTGGTACTCGATGATGTGTTTCAAGTAGGTGACCTCGTTAACCAACGGCGTGAGCTTGTCGATCAGGTCGACGAGGTGGTCGACTCCCCGCTGGAGGGGTGGAGGTGGGGGTTGTGGC